CTTCATCGATTGATATATGTCTCGTTCAGATTGGTTTCCATGACCTAAAAAGTCAAAAAAATGAAAAAAATCCAAAGGGGTTAGACTGCAGATTTGTCAATTTTGACAAAAACGCTGAAATGTTGATTTGATGAGCTCAGTCGATGTAGAATGACGTCACGAACCCAAATTTGAAAAACAGAATTGTTCTAAACCTTCTAGAAAAAAAGTTATGCGCCTTTTTTTCTGATTTTCACGTAAAAAAATATTTCGACTTTTAAAAACTTTAAATGGTTATATTTCCAGTTCTAGGAGGTTCGGAACGGAAAGTCTCAGTTTCGCTTGATCCTCAGAAGGTCCTTCATCGATTGATATATGTCTCGTTCAGATTGGTTTCCATGACCTAAAAAGTCAAAAAAATGAAAAAAATCCAAAGGGGTTAGACTGCAGATTTGTCAATTTTGACAAAAACGCTGAAATGTTGATTTGATGAGCTCAGTCGATGTAGAATGACGTCACGAACCCAAATTTGAAAAACAGAATTGTTCTAAACCTTCTAGAAAAAAAGTTATGCGCCTTTTTCTGATTTTCACGTAAAAAATATTTCGACTTTTAAAACTTTAAATGGTTATATTTCCAGTTCTAGGAGGTTCGGAACGGAAAGTCTCAGTTTCGCTTGATCCTCAGAAGGTCCTTCATCGATTGATATATGTCTCGTTCAGATTGGTTTCCATGACCTAAAAGTCAAAAATGAAAAAATCCAAAGGGGTTAGACTGCAGATTTGTCAATTTTGACAAAACGCTGAAATGTTGATTTGATGAGCTCAGTCGATGTAGAATGACGTCACGAACCCAAATTTGAAAACAGAATTGTTCTAAACCTTCTAGAAAAAAAGTTATGCGCCTTTTTTTCTGATTTTTCACGTAAAAAAATATTTCGACTTTTTAAAAACTTTAAATGGTTATATTTCCAGTTCTAGGAGGTTCGGAACGGAAAGTCTCTAGTTTCGCTTGATCCTCAGAAGGTCCTTCATCGATTGATATATGTCTCGTTCAGATTGGTTTCCATGACCTAAAAAGTCAAAAAAATGAAAAAAATCCAAAGGGGTTAGACTGCAGATTTGTCAATTTTGACAAAACGCTGAAAATGTTGATTTGATGAGCTCAGTCGATGTAGAATGACGTCACGAACCCAAATTTGAAAAACAGAATTGTTCTAAACCTTCTAGAAAAAAAGTTATGCGCCTTTTTTTCTGATTTTCACGTAAAAAATATTTCGACTTTTAAAAACTTTAAATGGTTATATTTCCAGTTCTAGGAGGTTCGGAACGGAAAGTCTCAGTTTCGCTTGATCCTCAGAAGGTCCTTCATCGATTGATATATGTCTCGTTCAGATTGGTTTCCATGACCTAAAAGTCAAAAATGAAAAAATCCAAAGGGGTTAGACTGCAGATTTGTCAATTTTGACAAAACGCTGAAATGTTGATTTGAGTACTTGGTTTGATGAAGAATGACGTCACGAACCCAAATTTGAAAACAGAATTGTTCTAAACCTTCTAGAAAAAAGTTATGCGCCTTTTTCTGATTTTCACGTAAAAAATATTTCGACTTTTAAAACTTTAAATGGTTATATTTCCAGTTCTAGGAGGTTCGGAACGGAAAGTCTCAGTTTCGCTTGATCCTCAGAAGGTCCTTCATCGATTGATATATGTCTCGTTCAGATTGGTTTCCATGACCTAAAAAGTCAAAAAAATGAAAAAAATCCAAAGGGGTTAGACTGCAGATTTGTCAATTTTGACAAAACGCTGAAAATGTTGATTTGATGAGCTCAGTCGATGTAGAATGACGTCACGAACCCAAATTTGAAAAACAGAATTGTTCTAAACCTTCTAGAAAAAAAGTTATGCGCCTTTTTTTCTGATTTTTCACGTAAAAAAATATTTCGACTTTTAAAAACTTTAAATGGTTATATTTCCAGTTCTAGGAGGTTCGGAACGGAAAGTCTCAGTTTCGCTTGATCCTCAGAAGGTCCTTCATCGATTGATATATGTCTCGTTCAGATTGGTTTCCATGACCTAAAAGTCAAAAATGAAAAAATCCAAAGGGGTTAGACTGCAGATTTGTCAATTTTGACAAAACGCTGAAATGTTGATTTGATGAGCTCAGTCGATGTAGAATGACGTCACGAACCCAAATTTGAAAACGGAATTGTTCTAAACCTTCTAGGAAAAAAGTTATGCGCCTTTTTCTGATTTTCACGTAAAAAATATTTCGACTTTTAAAACTTTAAATGGTTATATTTCCAGTTCTAGGAGGTTCGGAACGGAAAGTCTCAGTTTCGCTTGATCCTCAGAAGGTCCTTCATCGATTGATATATGTCTCGTTCAGATTGGTTTCCATGACCTAAAAAGTCAAAAAAATGAAAAAATCCAAAGGGGTTAGACTGCAGATTTGTCAATTTTGACAAAACGCTGAAATGTTGATTTGATGAGCTCAGTCGATGTAGAATGACGTCACGAACCCAAATTTGAAAACAGAATTGTTCTAAACCTTCTAGAAAAAAAGTTATGCGCCTTTTTCTGATTTTCACGTAAAAAATATTTCGACTTTTAAAACTTTAAATGGTTATATTTCCAGTTCTAGGAGGTTCGGAACGGAAAGTCTCAGTTTCGCTTGATCCTCAGAAGGTCCTTCATCGATTGATATATGTCTTGTTCAGATTGGTTTCCATGACCTAAAAAGTCAAAAAAATGAAAAAAATCCAAAGGGGTTAGACTGCAGATTTGTCAATTTTGACAAAAACGCTGAAATGTTGCTATGATGAGCTCAGTCGATGGAGAATGACGTCACGAACCCAAATTTGAAAGACAGAATTGTTCTAAACCCTGTCTAGAAAAAAGTTATGCGCCTTTTTTTCTGATTTTCACGTAAAAAAATATTTCGACTTTTAAAACTTTAAATGGTTATATTTCCAGTTCTAGGAGGTTCGGAACGGAAAGTCTTAGTTTCGCTTGATCCTCAGAAGGTCCTTCATCGATTGATATATGTCTCGTTCAGATTGGTTTCCATGACCTAAAAGTCAAAAATGAAAAAATCCAAAGGGGTTAGACTGCAGATTTGTCAATTTTGACAAAACGCTGAAATGTTGCTATGATGAGCTCAGTCGATGGAGAATGACGTCACGAACCCAAATTTGAAGACAGAATTGTTCTAAACCCGTCTAGAAAAAAAGTTATGCGCCTTTTTCTGATTTTCACGTAAAAAATATTTCGACTTTTAAAACTTTAAATGGTTATATTTCCAGTTCTAGGAGGTTCGGAACGGAAAGTCTTAGTTTCGCTTGATCCTCAGAAGGTCCTTCATCGATTGATATATGTCTTGTTCAGATTGGTTTCCATGACCTAAAAGTCAAAAATGAAAAAATCCAAAGGGGTTAGACTGCAGATTTGTCAATTTTGACAAAAACGCTGAAATGTTGATTTGATGAGCTCAGTCGATGTAGAATGACGTCACGAACCCAAATTTGAAAAACAGATTTGTTCTAAACCTTCTAGAAAAAGAAGTTATGCGCCTTTTTTTCTGATTTTCACGTAAAAAAATATTTCGACTTTTTAAAAACTTTAAATGGTTATATTTCCAGTTCTAGGAGGTTCGGAACGGAAAGTCTCAGTTTCGCTTGATCCTCAGAAGGTCCTTCATCGATTGATATATGTCTCGTTCAGATTGGTTTCCATGACCTAAAAAGTCAAAAAAATGAAAAAAATCCAAAGGGGTTAGACTGCAGATTTGTCAATTTTGACAAAAACGCTGAAATGTTGATTTGATGAGCTCAGTCGATGTAGAATGACGTCACGAACCCAAATTTGAAAACAGATTTGTTCTAAACCTTCTAGAAAAAGAAGTTATGCGCCTTTTTTTCTGATTTTCACGTAAAAAAATATTTCGACTTTTTAAAAACTTTAAATGGTTATATTTCCAGTTCTAGGAGGTTCGGAACGGAAAGTCTCAGTTTCGCTTGATCCTCAGAAGGTCCTTCATCGATTAAAGTGGGTTTCGACCCTATTGGTTTCCATGACCTAAAAGTCAAAAATGAAAAAATCCAAAGGGGTCAGACTGCAGATTTGTCAATTTTCACAAAACGCCGCACGCAGGGGTCACGTTAGAACTTCAATTTTTTAAGGTCTTTAAATTTTATTTCCGGAGCGGTTAATTCGGGCATCAAAGGTCCACACTACAAGTTTCATAATATCTAAAGATGGAGGGTTATGATCTTGGAGCTTTTGAGATTTTTTATTCCAAAACTTCAGGCTCCGGCGAAAAATGACCTTTCTGACGCTTTTTCAAGTTTATGCTTTTAGATTACGTTTAGATTAACCCACTGGATTGAATGTTGGCATGAGAAATGATGAGAGGTGCTAAAAATATTCATCACTTTGATTTATCTGTTTTAAAATTCTGGCTCGATTACCATCAAGATTCAAAAGGGTTAGATTAACATTTTTAATTCTTCCAAAATACCAAAATATCTATTTAGTTACATTATTCAATAGATAATGACGTCCTGAACTCAAATAGAGTGTCCGAAATATTATCTGGCATCCAGAAAAAAAATTCATGCGTCTTTTAGTGTTTTTGAAAAGAATTGAATGACTTCAAATATATGAGAAAACAAAATTTCAATCAATAATTTCTTATTTCGACTTTTCATATAGAAAGATCAAGGCTTTATCACCGTTATTAAGTTAACTAAATATAAAAAAATTAATAAATTAAACAAGTGAATCTACTTTGAAGAAAATAATAAATAAATCGAGATTATTAAAAAAAAAATACTGTAGGTCACTGGTTAGGCTAAAACGGGGAGATTCGTAAATCAACGGCAGCTGTTTCCGGGGTGAAATATCTACATTTGAAAGAAAAAAAAGATAAAACTATTCAATGAATATCGGAAGATTTGATAATTCTATTCTAAAGAATGAAACAAGAACCACGTATTGAATGGCAGGGCGAAAAAAAGGTTGTTAATAGACGTAGGAAGGTGGGAGTTCGATGTCGAAGATGTTCTTGGGCTTTGGAGGGCGGCCGACGTCGCGGACGCGAACCGTGTCGGCGTTGCGAGCGAGGAGACGACTGATGGCTCGCGACAGATCGCCGGCCTCGTTGCGAGCCTCGGCCTCGGCGACGCGTTCGTCGAAGGGCATTTCGCGGATTTGTGACAGGACCGACTCTGTCAGCTCCTGGAAAGCTTTTATCGGTGAACAAGGTTTGAACACGTTTCAGAATTTTTTAATAAGCTCCACTGAAGGATTCCCTTTGATGTGAACTCCAAACAGACAAGAAGAGCCTTGAAATTGCCATTTAAGATTCGGTTTTTCCTCGAGATAAAAAGTGCTACAGCTTTTAGAGATTCGAAAAGAAATTTTTAACAAAGTTTCTAACTTTTTTTCTACTTATCTATTGAAATTTTCAGTCTGAATCCTCCCTGAGACTAAAATTTGTGTTATTATGACCGAAATAACCTCATGAGGTTGAAAATAGATTTTATTCCTAATTTTCTGAATTTTTTGTAAGCGAACCTTCTTCCCGGCCTGACTAAGTTCTGTACTTGCCCCTCTATGGCGGAAAAGTTCTTTCTTAGTTTTATCGCCTACCTGACTTTCTTCAGACACTCGATTTCGAGCTTGAAGGCTTCTGGAGCTTTTTTTCAAGTTCTACTGCTAATCCTATTTTTTTACGTCGTGAATTTTCCAAAGTTTTGAAATCCTCAAAAACTTCAAAATTGAAACTTCATTTGCTGGGTACAGGCAAAAAACAATCCATTTTTTTTCTCGATTTTTTCAAAAATCCTTACCTTCTCCTTGCGCTCCTCCTCCGCGGCGTCGTACGGTTGATTTGCGTAGACGCGCAAAGCCTCGACCGTTGGAGGTAGGCCAACCGAATTGAGTCCTGAAAAGCTCATAAATGGTAAGGGCATCAGGGTGATGACACCAACTAGGTGGATTAAGAGTGAAAACGGTGTTTCGGCGGCTTGGAGCCGTGCTGACTGGCGGCGTCCAATCCATCGACATGTCTACGGAGACGTCGTCAATTCCAGCTGAATTGATTTTCATGAGATCTAAATCAGCTTCAACAAGTTTTCTTCGACCTGATATAACAAAAAACGAGACGAAACCCTATTTTTAAGTTTTTCAGTCTCAGGATGTTCATCTACTACATCCTTGGATGATCCGACCACTTTTCGAAAATAACTTGAAGGAAGGCTTTCAAATAAATGAAGAAACCAGTCGGAAGGGGTGGCGAATCTCGTCCGTCGTTCATGTCGACGTCAGAATCCGCGTTGACGTCGTTGGAGTCATTACCAGACACATTGTTACCGGTTGACGTCAAGAAGGGGACGTACAAACGTGAGACGTCCTTGCCGGAAGCCTTAATGATGAAAATACTGCAATCGTTTGGACACGGTCTGATTTTACTCGCTCTGTTGAATATGGTAGCACGAGGGACATTGGTAACGCGAATCGACGGCGTCGAGCGCGTTTCTAGTGACCCCTTTAGTAGCTTCAGCACTCTTAAGTGATCTCTAGAAACGCACAGAAACGTCCGGAGCCCGAGAAACCTCTTTACTGTTTTTTTTTCGAGAAGACGTCATCAACATAAATATTCTCAAAAAAGACTGCGTAACTCTGCGATTCAAGGTCATCCGACGTCACACGGTTCGCGCAGAACGACACAATTTTCATGGAACTCAACCCCTATTTTACAAGAAAGCCGAAATAACTGTATAACTCAAGCTCATCCGACCTTAGACGGTTCCGCCTCACCTTAAGCGACTCGGCGACGTCATCGATCTCGAATAACAGTCCCCGCTCAGCAGCCATCGCAGCGACTTCGATTCGATCTCCACGGCCAGTTTCCTCCTTTTCTCTCGCTTCCTTCTCTTCTGCAGGAGGGGTCGAGGCGGCCGACGTCAGCGGATCTTTCAGGGAATTCAAAAGGTTAAGGCCGGCGGCGCCCCGTTGAGCCCTGTAGGAGACGACTTGCTGGACATGCTGGCACAACGAAGGGTTCGCCATTAGTTGCGCCGCCAGGTTCATGTACCTTGAAAAACTTTCTGATGAATATGAAAGTCTGGGAGTAGTCACTTGGCGACGAGGTTATGGATGGCGATCCTTTTTTGGTCGCTGAACTGCTGGGAAGAGTCGAGGGCTAGTTCTTGGAGGGCCAGAGACAATCGGAACAGCTCGATCAAGGTCTGAAATAGTAGAAAAAGATGTACACGACCAAAAATATTATTTTTTGAAGTTAGATTCAAAATATTTCATTTTTTGATTAATAAAGTGTTTTGATCGAATATTTTTTGCTTTTTTTTTCAATTTCTACCTCATCAAAGCCGACTTCGATGCACAAAAGGCTCATGGTGCACTGAATCGCATCAATATGTGGCTGGAGACCTTCCTCATCAACAAGAACCGCTGCTCTGAAAATGTTTCGATTCATTTTTAGATGGTACAAGTAGCGAGTTTTCGGTCGAAAAGGGCATGCTATAAATTACAGGCGTTAACAAAATGCGACCGGTGCAACCGCCTATAAAATGAGATGTTTTTTGTGCTCCACTGTAAATTAATAAAATACGGACGTTTTTTGAATTACCATTATTTTTAAAAATAAACGAATTTCTAATTTTTTCAGTAGCTTTCTGATCAGTATAATGGTGTCTTTTCTGTATTTTGATAGTATTTCATTAAACCATTTTTTTCATGGTTAATTTTGTCCCGTAATAAATTTTTTTTAACCTGATTACCGGTTTATTAAAGATTCATGAACTGTGTGGAATCGTTTTTCAAACGCTTCTAATGGGAAGCCTAATGAGAAGCCAAAGTTTTTCAAGCAATTAAAGGAAAAATTTATCATCATGAATTCATTGATTTCGTATTAGAGGAAATATATAAGATTAAGAAACGCCCGTATTTTGTTAATTTTCAGTGGAGTACAAAAAAAGCGGTCGTACTTTATAGGCGGTCGCACCGGTCGCATTTTGTAAACGCCCGTACTTTATAGCATGTTGTCGGACAGTTGTTCGTTGAAAAAAACTTTTTTTCCTGTTTTATATAATTTTTTTCTTAATATTTCCTTGCTTTTTTTCATCATGAAACCGCTATGTGATTTATATAGGGACATTAAAAAAACTGAAAAATCTATCGAAAAAAAAAAATCGTAAAAAAGATTTTTCCCCAGGGATATGTTACCATTAGATATTCCGCTGACTTTTGGTTCCTATTTTTTATTTGATTCCATTTTCGATAAAAACTTACCGGTAGAGCACATTTGAGATGTCGGCGATATGTTTCCTCATGAACATTTGGTCAGCTCTTGAACATTTTTCGACGGTCAATTGAACGTCGGAAACGTCGAGCAGGTAGTTCATATGAGACAGGTGGGACAAGTTGTCGTGCCTATAAATTTGACAAAGAACTCCAACAGGGTTGAAAAAAATAAACCGCTGGCGAAGTCGAAATAGGTTTTTTCAAAGTTTGAAGGAAAATATTCCCGTTTATCTCCTAGAAAGTCTTAAAAAGTCGGCTTTCTCTCACCTTTTCAAGTAGAATGACTACTCATCTTTTTTCTGGAACTTGAAAAAACCTTTATTTTAACACCTTTTTATCTCCTTAAAAAGGAACTTTCAAAGAGTCAAGAAAAGGTGCTTGAAGGCCTTTTTCCTTCTTTTGGACTTTCTCCATAAACTTTGAAGGAGACCCTATAGGGAGTGTAACAAGGGCCTTATAAGGTAGCCCGATCCCTACGCTCTCCCTATAGGGGTTCTTAGAAAAACCCTAGAGGGACCTTTCCAAAATTCCATAATATACTTCAATAATAAAGAGCGCTTCAACAGAAACATAAAACTTGAGAAAATGGAAGTTTTTGAAATTGAGACTCCCTAACCCACACGGAAAAAATAAAAAATCAACATTTCGAGTGATTACCTATCAAGAAGAGTGTGGAAAATGAGTTGAGTGGCGAGGCGAACTTGGGGATCCCGGACCAGGGCGAGTTGGAGCAGTGTGTTCAGGAAAGAATCCGTGAAAACTGTTGCCAAATACGCCGTTCTGTACTTTGTTGCTACCTTAAAAAATCTAACTTTTCAAAAAATCTAACTGTTTTAACTTGAAGTTGATTTTTCCAAAATAAAACAGTTGAGCATGATTAAATGCCTAAAAAAGTGAAAAATTTGCTTTTCTATACCTAGACCATATAGAAAATGGTTAAAAATCCAACTATGTTAACTTTTTTAATCCTTATAATACAACTGAAGCTTAAAATTCAGCCTAAGAAAAAAAGCCCCATTCCCTTATATTCCAATAAAATGAAAATTCCCTAAATACCCTCAACTTTCAAATTTTCTTTTACAATACCCTTAAGTCTACCATTAGGAGTCCAAAATATCTTGATTGGCTGATTTTTCCGCTCTTCAAAGAATAAATTAAAACGATGATGACCTTGAGAAGGGTCTTGACGAGAACATGCTGCAAGAACTCGTCTCCCTGCTTCAATCGACGCTCATCAAGATTCGGAATGTTGCCAACGGTGAACATCATCATTTCCACCTGGAAAATTGATTTTGAACAAACTTATTCCTCAGTTTTTCCCATTCATTCATCAATTTTAAACAAACTACCAGCCTTCACCTTATGAAAAATGTCTATATTTCCTTTGAAACAATCCTTGAAGTTTTTTTATAAGCTTTCCGTGTACTTTTTAACAACTTTTATGGATATTTTTTTAGTTTGAATAAATTAACTGAGCAACTGATCAAGGTGCTGTAATTGGAATATAGAAAAAAAGTGAATATTTACGGTAAAGACTCCTACTTTCTTTTTTTTTCATATTTTATTACAGTTTTAATCTTCACAACAGCCTCTTTTACATTCTTAAAAAAAGTTAACATAACATGTAAATTACTCATAAAAAAATAGCATTGTTTTTTTCAGTGTTTGAACTTTTAAAGCTTGAAACTCATCCCCATTGTTTTTGGGCTGTTTTCACAATTCTGAACCCAAAACCAGTTGGAAAAGATTTCTACACATTTTTCTCACATTCTCAAAAAATCCCGATCCCCTTTTATTAAATTGTTTTATTATGTTTTTACTTCACATTCTCCTCCATTCATAACTGGTTGTGTTAAAGGGCAGTTGGCCCTTGAAAAATACTTTGAAATGAGAAGAGAAATTTTTCTTAAGTTAGATTAAATTGGAGTGGAGTACATTACACGGAGAGTCAGTTCGAAAAATGAAGGTAAATGGAAGTAAGCGATAGGATTCCTGAACATCTTCAGCCCTCCCTCTCACCTTCTGATAGTCAGGCAGCGCGTTGGCAAAGTCGCCCATGGCGTTGATCAACGCCTCCTGGTACTGCTGTTCGGCGTGGCGATCCTGACACTTTCCACTCCGTTCAAAGTCGACAGAGGTCCGCAAATGTTTGAGCAGCGAGTTAAAAATGGAGAGAAGAAGAGGTCCGATGCTGGTGCCGGCGATGGAGACGATATTCGAGATAACCGTGGCGATTCCGATTCGGGTCGATGCTTCCGCCGTGCACATGCTGTCCAGGTGGTTGATCAACTCCTGAAACCTTTTGGATGATAAATTTTGAGAGGAAGAGTTTTTTTGAGGTCACAAAAAAATTCCAGGTGGTTGAACAGCTCTGAGAACTCCTTGATACATCAAAAAAAAATCCAGGTGGTTGATCAACTCCTAAACTCTCTTGAATAATAAATTATGAAGATATTCATCCAATTAAGTAGGTATCATTAGAAAGTTCAGCTCCTGAAACCAATTGAACTTTTTCGCTGACCTGAATAACAAAGTAGCTATTCTGGCTCTGGATACTGTAGATGATGGCTCGGAAGACGTGGATGGCGAAATTCGGCGGCGGCGTCCATTGTCGATGAAGGTCCATGTGTTTGAGGACCGGCTCGATGACGGCGCGGAGGGATCCGAACGACGCCTGGAACGTCTTCTGTTTTTCGAAAAATTATCCGGAGACCAGTCAGAGCTCGCACCTTTCACACAAGAAAAGGAACTTTATTCCTCGAGTGGACCTCACGTAAAGAAAATCATTTTTAAGACTATCAGCCCTTCTTTCCAAATCTTCTCAAGCTAAAGTCATCACTACCTCCCTGAAATTATTTTTGCTTGTCATTTCGGTAAATTTTAGTGAGCCAATCCCTTCTCATCGACTAATTAGACTTGTTCTGCGCCATTTGGGTTTAGGCTTAGTTTGAAGAAATGAGAGGCCCTCCCGTGCGCATCATGCCCGCCTTAGCCATCAGGCCTCTGAGAAGAAACGAGCCGCGTCATTATGTGTCAATGGCGTGTAAAACCACGTTGCAAAAGTTGGGCAAAAATTTGTCATTTATATTAATTTTTTTCATTCAATCTTAGTTTTTCGCAATTTTTTTCAAATTTTCGGTGGTTATGAAGTTCAGTTAAATTTTTCTATGTGGAGTTTTTTTTTACTTCAGGCGAAAATTTTCAGATTTATGGTTAATGATCCGCCGAGAGAATAAATTTCCGCCGCCACAAAATCAAAAATTCCAAGTAACCTTGAATTTGAAAGCTTCGAAAACAACGATTTTACAAGATTTTAGAAAACTCCAATTTTTACACGCTCTTTTTCTTTTAATGGCGTTTTTCGCCGTCGCGTTTTTGGCCCCTGGCGCCCCAGGCAGCGACTTATTAAGAAATGGCATTGGCGGCCTACGTCGGTTTAGAAATGTAAACGCTTTGGGGCTCCATTTCTCCACCTCTGGGAAAATTGATATCTGTAATTGCCCATTTGCGGATGAGAACTTTTATGCAGCTTGGCTGAAACGTACTTTACGCGTTGGGACCTTCCAATTGCAGATCACAAAAAATCGTTCATTTTTTAGTGTTAAGTACATAGAATCTTGTGCAAAAAAAAATAATTCAGAGTTATTTTTATTAAAGACAAATTAACAAAAGTTTTCTAGATCTTCAAAGTTTTAGACATTTTTTTTTTGAAGCTAACTTTGAAGAGAAAATTTGAAATTTTTTTCACTGTTTTCTATCTTAACTTATGACTTCTTCCTGCTGGACTATCATCGTTAAAATACAGGTCCTCTTTTAAAATTTTAAGTTTGAAATCGACCCTTCTTTATCTTTTTTTTCTATCATAAACCGTGATAGAAATAAATTTCATCCCTCCGGGGTAGATAAAATTAAGAGCTGCATGCAGCGAAAGGCTCAATCTCTGCCATCGGCCTTTGGAAAGCCGGCACCGTACTTCTTCCTACGACCTCTCTTGTACCTGATGTTCTACGAGCGAAATTCACAACTTCTCTGCATAAGCCACAGCTCCTGCCGCTGTTTAAAAACAGTTAAATCAATGGAAGTCGATTGCACATGTACTCTTACATTGAAGATGCAATAAACAAATAAACAATAAACAATAAACCGTTAATTCTTGTTTTTATTGTTTCAACGCCGGAAACCTCTGATTTTCCAGTACCTTTCCAGTACCTTTCCGAAATTTTCTTAACTTTGAAACTGCTATAGCTATTTTTCTTTTTCTATTTCAAATCATGATTTCTTCATTCTATATGACCCCCGATTTGCCAGCACCTTTCCCATGAGCTCGCGAAGGCAGCGATCGGACAGCAGTCGCGGAGTCTGCTCGTCTTCGTCGCGGGCGATCGGCGACGAGTCCGCGAATGAAGACGCGTCGAAGGTGCTCTTCCCGCCAGTCGCAGAGGCTTGCCCATTTTTGTTATCGAGCTCGTCTGAATGAATAAAGTTCTTTTTGATTTTGAAATGAATGGATTTTTGGTTCATTTATTCACCAGGTTCATGGAGATTGTAGAGGATTGACGGGACGATTTTGTCCATGTGTTCTTGCTCCCAAATATTCGGATGCAGGTCGTCGGTCACCGACTTCCAAACGACTCCTGAGACCACATTTATCAGAATAATATATTTAGATGTGGAATTCATTGGTTAATGAGGATAAATTTTAAAAAACGAAAACGTTTCCAAGTTTATCCATTCATTCAATTCACTCAAACACAAGTTGACAGGGAACAGAACATATTTTTTTCTTTTTCGAGGATTCAAAAAAATTCAATCTTCAGTTTATTTAAAGGACCCCCTGAAACCCCCATGACAAAAGAAAAACAACAATTTTATTGGGTTTTAGTGAATTTTCTCCGTGAAAATTGTATTCGTTTTCGAGAATTTTTTTCTTTTTTTCACAAAAAAATTTCTAACAAAGGAAAAAGTTATAAGGCTTTTTGAAGACAGGAAAATAATGATTTTCTCATATTTTCAGTTAAAATTTTTTTCCTTTTTACTCAATTTTTCATAGACTTTTTTTCGCAGCTATTTATATCACTTATCTTTTTTTCAAAAAGAATTGGAAAAAAATGTATAACATATTTTTCTAAACCCTTTTTTTCTTCAGAAAGCCTCCTATCACGTCCCTTTCGTAAATATTCAAGAAATCAAATTTTTTTCGGTATTAATTTTTCAAAACGAACAAAACCTTCAATATCTTCAATCTGCCGAAAATGAGACATCAGAAAAAACCATAAAAATATTTTTCAAAGACTCTTTTTTGCCTTGTTTGGTTCCCTTTGCTCAAAATCCAAATACTGAAATAATAATTTTCAAAACGAACCTCTGAGTCCTCGAAGGCCAGCACACCGGATACGATGGGCCTCCTCGCCGTACTTGCTGCGCTTGGAGTTGGCGTGGCACATTTGCGAGAACTTGGAGATGAAGAAGTCGTACTGTCGGTGATACGAGGGAGAGCTTTCCTCGATGTTCGAGAAGGTCACGAAAGAATCCGTCGCCAATTGCTGGAAAATTTTGAAATTTTTTTTAGAAGGTTATTCATTTTCAAATAATAAAATTCCATATAGAAGCTTCCTGAAAAGCCTATTTTTGGACCTAGAAATTTAAAAAAAAAAACCCTTATTTTGAAAACTGAGCTAAGCCCGTTGGTTTAGGTAAAAAAACGTTTTTGGATACCTTGGCCATTTTTTGTAAAATTGAAAAATCCTTCAACAATAAAATAAACTGCAAAAGCTACCCAAAAATTCAAAAAAAGAAAAAATCGCGGATGAAATGACCGAACTCCTTTTATTTTAAAAAACCGTCGCTTAAGAGGAAGGCTCAAGTCGAGATGATTGAGAAGAAAGTTTACATCGCAACGGATCCGAGCGGAAGGGTTTGGAAATATTCTATTTCTCTTAAAGGCATATTTATAACCTTTTTATGATGGTAGCTTTAAAAAAACTACTTTCACAAGGTGATCTTCTAATTTGCAAGTATGCCCTCTGGATGAAATTATCTTCAAATCAATCGATTAAAGCTTTAAAAAAATTCGGAAATGATCTTTGTTATTTTGCGATTCAAAAAAATCTACAAGAAACTACGATTTCCAGATCCGATTCCAGCCGGATCCCCAACAGGAGCAGCGAGTAACTCTCAAGCTTACCAACAAAAGCGAAATGAAGCAAGCTTTTAAGGTGAATTTCGCGTAAACTCAGTTTTTTTGTTGAAAAGAACAGCTTGATCCTGTAAAATTTGGCCCGAAAATTATAACTACTTATGTCTTTTTTTTCGCAAATTAAAATTTTGAACCAAAGGTTTCATTTTTCTGAACGGTTCTATGAGCTACAAGTTAGAACTTAAATTTAAAAACTTTTTTTGAGTTGAATTGTTTCATAGCCGATTCACGGCTAGCTTGGGACTTGGCCTGTCTGCGTTCTCCACTAAGGCACTATCTCTCATTTAATCGTGCCAGGACCCTTTTTTCGATGGCTCAAGTTGTGAAATAGCCATATCTTTAAGGTGAAGTGCACACGCAACGATTTGTTCCGGATTCGTCCGGCCACCGGAATCCTCGACTACAATCAAACCGTTTCTATCACACTCACTTACAAGTTTGTCTATTTTTTTTTTCAAAGATGATTTTGAGAAGAAAGATCTGTCGTAAGAGCTTTTTCTAAGTCACTTTGAAGCCTGAATATCGAGAGATCGGTTGTTAAAAAACGTTCCCTATTTCGTGGTTTTTGGTGTACCTTTAATGATGCTGTTCTATATGATATGGACTAATATTCTTTTTTTTTCTTATACAGAGGCGGCCAGACGGTGTTGCCCTCGGAGGAGCGCCACCACTTCGGCGTATATCACATTCCCGCTCCAGAAGGCTGCACGCTCGACGGCGTCTGGAGCGAGCACTACGGACCGCCTCAGGGCGAACACAAGCTTCGCGTCAGTTTACCTTTCTGCGCGTGTGGTTCTGAGGAACTCCAGTCACTATAGGGGCAACCTTATGGGTCCTTGGAGGGTACCCTCTAGAAATCATTTTACCAGCCCCTATATGGTCCGCAAGGCTTGCAAAAAAAAAAGCCCCTGTAGGGGTTTTAGTTAGTGGGAACATTTAGGGGACATGCTTGTCGGTAATTAAAGCGAATAAGAACGTTCATGGAAAAACTCTGAAAGTCTCGCGAAAAAGTGTGAAAATGCATGAACTCGGCGTGAATAGACGTAGGATTTCTACTTAATGGAGAATTTCGAAAATATGCAGAACTTTATTTGAACCGTTTTTTTTTTTTGGGATTTTTGTGGCCCTTATTTTTGAGCCCATCATCGTGTGAAGATTAGAAAAAAACCAAGAAAAATTTCATATATTTTTCTTCTCAAAAAAATGTGTGTCTTAACAAACTTAAAGAGAAAAAAACCTGTAAAAATCCCCTAAACGGAGGACTTTTTTTCATTTTTTTCCGAATAATATTCCACAACAGAAACAAAAAAATAACCGAAAAACCGTTGAAATTTCAAGGAGATTTTAGCATAAAAACAGCTTTCTATTATTTTTTTATTTAGAAGGATAAATATTTTTTTAAAAAAATTCTTCAGGTCGCCTGGGAATGATGCGAAAAAAACGAAACCGCCAATTGTTACCCAGTTATCACACCGTCAGCCAATCGCGCATTTTCCTTCCAACAATTCAATAAAAAATGAAAAATTTCGGCATAATCATACATTTTAGACCTCGAAGGTACATAAACTATAGATTTCTGGAAATATTTGGGAAATCGCTAATCTAAAAAAACTTTTTAAAAACACTCCCTGAATGAAGCTTGGATCAACTTTAAATAAACTCTAAGAATTTTGATGATCATTTCTAAATTTAGAAACTTGAAAAAAAAACTCTAAGGTAACGTTTGTAAAAACCAAGAAAAAATATGATTTTAAAAAAGTTATAAGCTTTATTTGGGACCTTTTTTTCCCCAAAAATCTTGTGTTTTTTTCATCTCATTTCTTGAAATAAAATAATCAACTCTCACCTCCATTTTTTTGCGTTGCTGCTTTCCAGAAGCTTCTGGACCATTCTGAGATGATTTTCCGTGAACTGGGGCAAACTTGGCGAACTGGAAAGGATTTAAAATTGAAAAAAATCTTAAAATAAAATTGAAACCTGTGACAAGCTTGCAGCAGTTGATCCATGGCTTCTACGGCGATCTGAATAAAGTTTATAGCCATTTTTTTGTAAAATGGAATAATTACCTTCACTTGAACATCCCGTTGGCGGCTGAGGTCCCGGCTCAACCTCATGACCAAATATTCGCCGATCCGCTCCAATTTCTCGGGATGAGAAATGGCGTAGAAGGTCAACTGAAGCATTGGGAAAAATTATGTATTCCATCAAAATATAGGATTTCAAAACCTTCTGCATGTTGGCAGAAATCAACCCTTCGGTCACCGCTCGTGGATATATGGAATCCACTAATCGGCGGTATCTAAAAACATTTTTTTTTAATTGAACCAATAATGCAGAATAAACTGACCGTGGTTTACAAGGCGTACAGCAGCAGAGGCCGTTCATCTCTGCGCTCCTTTTTACCTGAAAAAAAGCGAATTTTCCAGAAAAAAAAATAGAAATATTTAAAAAAAAAAGGCAGTAATGAAGCTACTTCTTGAACTTAAAGCCACGGCCTTATGCTCTAAAAAGAACATTGAAGAAAAAAACAAAAGAAATATTCCGATTTACTTTTAAATACATGCATTTTATGACGAAAAATTTCATAAAATGTTATTATTCTGAAACTAAAAAAAAATAGCTTCAAGACCTCCGTGTACATTCTTTGTGTTTCAATTTGAATACGCTATGAAAAACAAAAAAAATGCTTGGTATTTCTAAAAATGAAGTGAAAAAAGAAAAAAAAACAAGAATTTTTATAATTATAAATCTGTGAGAATCGCTTGTGAAAACATTTCGCATTCTAGTCGAGACTCAAAAGTCAAAGAAAGTCTATAATTTCGTAGTCTTCCCGGTCGAATTAGTTCCGTATTTGCAGAAGCAATTGAGAAAAAGAAAAGATAAAAAAGTTGAGATCAAACTAGAATCCAGTCGTTCGCTGAAATGTATTCGGTGCAAACACCGAGGCTACAGTAGCCTTGTCGTGGAGTAAAATGTACTTGGTGTTAGTTCTCTTTTATTTTCAGTTTTTGTTTGAATCTCGAAATTTCCACCCGACCAACCTCCTTCCAATGAGTAAGACAACAGAAGGTTCGCCAATCAAAGTAGGAATGAGGCCGGTCGGCGTCGTTGGAGGCGCCGGCGCCAGATATTGAAGGTCCGACGCACGATGCACATTCAAACTGCATAAAAGTGTGTGGGCGCGAGTGGAATCGATGATTTTCCCCAAAATGGCCGGTCCACTGCTTTTTCTGACTCATTTTCAGTGTATAATCATATTTTAGTGGTTGCGCAACAACAAAGAGAAACGGATTAGCATATTTGGAATGGTCCCTTTTTTATGAGTTTCGTGACAAATAAGCGAGCGAAATCAATTCGGAACAGAATATAGGGAAGATTTTTCAAAAAGATAAGATTCAAAGCAGTTTTTTGCCTGTGGAGGTGTTTTTTTTTCAACCAAAAACCTTTTTTTGTCTTCACTAAGAAGTCCAAAAGTTCTTCCTTTTGCAGGCAAAAAGGAAATGGACCGAGAACTTAGAGATGAGGGGAAAAAGGAAGGAAAAGTGCTTCCAATGCGTAGGAAAAACTACTAAATTTGGGATTCCCTCTAGCCAAAAAGAAGGTTTATGAATATTTATAAAGCAAAAACCTTGAAATTAGAATAAAAAAATGACCTTTTTGACGTTTAGAATTTATTAAACAGAGTTTAATTAAGATTTCAACTAAAAAAAAGAAAGTTTAAAATCAGAGGCAAACTCGAAAAAGGGCCGAAAAATGTTCGAAAATAAAATTTTTTTGATAAGTTCTTTTGGATTTAAAAGTTCAAAACTTGGAGAAAATGAGCTCAATTCGTCAAATAATTTTTAGAAACATATAAATAAACATAAAAAAAGCCAAAAAAAGGTGATAAACCCTCTGAGAAACCGAACCGAAAAGTGACGCAAAACTTGTCGAATCTTGCCTCCAAAAGAAGAAAGCCGAAAAAAAAAGAAGCAGGGGAGAAAAAAAAAAGAAAAGAGGAAAGCTTTTGGGGGGAGCAGAAAACGCGCAAAATATATATGGGAAGGGAACGGAGAGAGCCGTTTTTTTTTCTTTTTATCTCGTCGACGAGCGAAACTTGAGTTTTTGCCGTCAACTCAGCCAGAAATCGGTTAATTAACAAGCCCAGCAAAAGAAAATGAAATTTATTTCCGAAACTGTGAAGGAATGAAGAAATTTTCGATTTGAATGGTAGAAAAAATAGCCTTTATAGCCTTCTTTTCTAAACTGTGTTTCACTGCTAGTTATTCCAAAAACTGCAGAAAAAAAAGACGAAAGTTTGATGATTGTGAAATTTTATGGAGGAAGTTTTCAAGAGTCGATGGAATTTGCCCATAAAAATAGAAAAAATCGTCTCAGAAGCTTACACAATTATGCTCTACGGCCAATTTTCAAAAAATATGTTGAGCGCAAAGTTTTCAAGTAGATATTTCTGAAACTGTTTTAACCGTCTAAAATAAAGTTAGGAACCCTAAAAATAGTGCTCTACAATATATTTGATTCAGAGGAAATTCTACCATATCACTCATTTTTTTTTCCAACTCATCCTAAACCCAAATGGCCTAACTAGAAATAAAAAATTGAGCAGAAAAGTAGCCTCAGCTTGTGCGTCAGGCCGGGCTTTGAAAAAAATCTTAAATTTCATTTTGGAAAAAAAAATTCACCGAAAAATCATTTTTACTCGTTGAATCATAGTTTCTAATACTTCTATGACAAAAAATAAACAAAAATTCCACTTTTCTCGTTAAAAAGCGAAAAGTTCGACTTGAAGAGAATTCGAGTTTTTTAGACCGGGCCGGCCATTTTTGCCTGAGGCCTCCTTAGGGCCGGGCCGGGCCGGGCTTGGGAAGTGGCCGAGGGGCCGAGAGGTTGACGGGCCGGCTCTCGCACAAGCCTGCCTCACCTTATCGAAAAATTTCGATTTTTCTAGAAATTTGTCCGAACATTTCTTGATGTACCAGAAGAAGATTCTGAAAGTTTCAACTTGCGAAAAATCCTGGTTTTTGGGATAAGACGCCTCAAAGTCAAAGTTACAAAAAAATGACTAAATTTTAGCGCAAAGTTGATTTTTCCTATTAAAATTTTTTTCTAAAACCGTTATATCAATCTTCTAAATTAAAATTGAGACATAAAATAGAAAATCAACAGCAAAAATAGCTCCAAAAGGTAAAAAATTTGCTCCAGGGGCTGATAAGAAAAAATTGAAGTACTGAGAAACCAAGTAGATACTTAAGGGAAAATATTTTTAAAAAATGATTCATGCCAAAAGTGAAAAAGAAAATGAAACTTCGGCTTGAAATTGAGCTAAGAGACTCCAACAAACTCAGTCGAAAAGGGCGAGAAAAAATGGGCGGAAATGGGTAGCCATTCAAACCATCATTTTGGACACATCCTCTGAGCTTTTTCCTTCTTCTTTCTGTTTTTTTGAGCTCACAATCTCATAAAAATAAATGAAAAAAACGAATAGTAGAAACCACTGTGGAAATGACAAAATAGGAAAAAGAAAGAATAAATTTTTTTGGGAACGTGGAAGGAGAAAAATGAGGGAAAACCGTGTCGCTTTTCGATGTTGATCAAAAACATTTTTTCCTATAATTTCGGTTTTTTCCCACTGGTTTCGAACAAATGTAAACAAAAATATGAACCTGATAACTTCCAGACAGCTTTTTTCGTTGTTTTTCTCAACCAAGGCGATCAAAATTGAACAAAATTTATAAAAAAAGGAGAAGTAAAAAAATTGTTTTAATCTTCAGAATCTAGGTATTTTTTCTAACGAAAATTGTCATTCCCGCATATTTTTTTTTCGAAGCCAGTATTGAGTAGAGTATTTCATCAACTTTTTCTCTTTTTTTGCAGGGAAAAATTTTTTTAAAAAAATGATCAAGCTTCACAAAAAGTAAAAAAAGTTCTAAACTTTTTGATTTTTTCCTGTAACACTTAAAAAAATCACCACTTACTCCAAGTCAACTCTAAAGTGATCACTAAAGCCATAAAAAACCAATCATAGAAATTTTAAGTCAGGTCTCCGTAGGCCACATGATCCTTCATTTCATTTTTTAAAAAAATGTTCTATTCCCGTTTCTCCCGTTCAATTTTTCTGGTTTATCTTAGTTTTTTCTGGTTTCTACTGCACCTGAGCGGCCGAATCTAACTCTGATAAGCTTTTAAGTCCAGCAAATGCACTCTAGCGAACTAAGTATTCGATCGCCTGGTTACTAGACAAATGTCGTGAAGCTGACCCACGCCTAGATTGAGCCATTGAAAAAGGGTCCTGGCACGCTTTTGGAAAAAAAAAGACAGTGCTTGGTTGGTGTAGGCCGCAGACAGGCCACGCCCTCTCTGGTTCCAAGTTATCCGTGAGTCAGCTATAGTTCCGAGGCGAGTCAATCCCATTTACGGCTCGAAATCTTTCGTGATTGGACTGTACCTTGAAAGAAGCCTTGAAGTCGTCGCTCTCGTCGTCATCGTCTTCCGATTCTTCACATCTTCTCCCGAGGCAAAGACTCTCAACGCAAACACCAAGCAGCCTTGTTACCATACGACGTCGGCGTCCTAGAATGTCTTTTTTTGAAAATCTGTTTAAAGGAGCATAAACGGATTTTAAAAAAGGTCTCGAGGTGAAGTGTGTTTATCCGGATATTTTAGTCTCGCCGTCGCTTTTATCAACATTAAAGAAAGTCTTTTCGAGCGCCAAAAATGAATAAGCAAATTGAAAGGCGCATGGTGGAGCTTCAAGTTATCTTCATGGATACGAAATTTTTCTGACAATGCTCTGCGCCTTTAAGTTTTTTAGACGTGCTCTGCGCCTTTCAAATCTGGGAGCAAATTCTTATTTCATGGTCAGCTTTACGATGATAAAAATTTTCATGAACGACAACGTTTCCATGATTTTCCTTGAATCGTTTCAACACCAATTGCTCGAAAATGTGGCTGATCCTTTAAATTTCCTAACAGATTGGCAAAAAATGTAAAATCAAGCTATCTTAGGATCACATAAAATTGAAAAGGCCCAGGAAAAGGTTTGAAAAAATCCAGAAAAAAAAATTAAAACTTTTAAATTTTCTAAACTAAGTTCATGATAACAGTGAAAAATCAAAAAAAAAGCGAATTTTCGCAGAAATTCTTTGTTTTCCCAACTTCTCATCCTATTTACAAGTTCCAATCTATGATCAACTAACCAAGCATCGAATTTTTTTTTCCCAACAGCAAAATTTAAAAAATCGTACCTCGAACCCTTTTCGACATGTTTTCCGACTGGAAGAGCAGAGAATGAAACCTTATTTTTATAGAAACGAAATTTTGGCCGTTTGCCAGGGAAAAAAGATAACGTCCGGGTTGGCCGAGGACAAACACGAAAACCGGCGAAAAATTCGTCAGCCGTGTTTGTAAATAGGTTTTTTTCTCAACTGTTGGAAAAGCATTGGAATTATTTTGGACGAGTTAGAAAGCAGGTTGACGGTTTTTTCTTGGAAAAACACATTTTATGAGCATATATTCAATAAAATTCGTTTTTGAAACAAGATTTTCGAGTCAAAATGAAACTTTTATTTTGTGAAAAAAATTTTTTGTAGGATTCCGAACCCAAAAAAATAAACTTAAAAAAACGCCATTACAACAACTAAAAAAATAGCCTTGAAAAAAACATTTTAAGTAGAGAAAATGCGCTCCATAGCGAAATTATCATAATTCTTATTCATCGCCTGTCCCACGTCTTCAAAATATTTGAATACTAACGAATTTATCAAAATTCTCGCAATTTGAACTGAAGGTTCTCAGATTAAAGCTCGAAGCTGCTGCGCCTTTAAAATCGTCTGAAGACCCAAAATAATACCTGAGCGACGGGCCTCCTGCATTCATCGCCGTGAAAATAGTGACACACACGACGATGTTGCGCATAATTTCGATATTGCTACTTGTATAATCGGCTTAAAACCGACTTTTATATATGTTAATTTTTAAAAGGTGAAATTTCTGGGTCTTTTGCCACGATAAAAACAAAGAAACAGCAAAAAAATAACGAGGAAACTTTTTATATTTAACAAAAAAAGTGGTCACCTAAAATCTATCCCAAAAACTACTATCTGACAACCGAATGGAAGAAATCCGTAACTGAATAATTATCACACACGGAAAATGATATGATTTGAGCAATCAGAAAGATGCCAAAAAACAGGGAAAATGAGATTTCTGTTCGATGAAATGATGAGCAAGTGCAATTTACAAAGAAAAACGGCTTCAAAATAAAAGAAAACCCGAAAAAAAACTAGACAAAATTCATCGGGAGACAATCTCAATGGCAAAAAAAGACAATAAACAAGGAAAGACACGTTTTTTCATACAGTTTATGCATGCTTTAAAGTCTGGGAAGCGAGAAAATGGAGAAAAAATAGAGCAAATCAGAGAGTCAATTTCAAAGTCCATTCACCAGTGTCTTGAAAAAATTTGAAACAGATTTTCGCTTCAAAACCTCATTCGCCTCGTATTTAGACAATTTTGATGACTTAATTTTCTCATATATTTTTCGACTACGTTTTTCATTTTTTTAACATTAAAAAAATTGAAAAAAATCCCTGAACATTATTAAAAAAATTAAAGGCGCATGGACCACAAGTGAAACGAAATTTTCCAGCGAAATAATTTCAATTTGAAAAAAAGCGATGAATGAATTATGAAAAAAATTAAAAATCTCTAGACTTGATTCAAAAATTCAGCCATTCCACGTGCGACCAGAAAAAAATTGAATTTTCAAAACTTCAGAAGAATAGTGAAAAATGTCTTCATGAGGTTAGTAGGAGAAAGAACAAGGAAATTTTGATTCATTAAAAAAAAAAATTAAAAAGTTCAGAACGTCTTGCGGCTGTTCAATCCACCTCCGGAGTACCTGGAAATCCAAGAGCTTCAATTTAAAACGGAAAAAAAGGAAACGCGATTTTCTGCGGCGAACTTCTAATCCAATTCAGTTGGCCCTTTTTTTTCTCTCGATTTCAGTTTTCTTCTGGGACCTTGCGAGAGAAATTGGAATCTCTGGGGCATTATTCAAAGATTTTCGAGTATATTTACAGAAAAGAGAAAAAAAAACCGTCGAAAAATCTTTAGAGTCAAAATTTATCCATGGAGCATTATTTACTCCAAAAATCAGCCACTTATACGCAAAATTTTCCATCTAGCCCCTCTGTTCCCACAATAAACATCAAGATTTGAGATTTATCAGTGGAGCAAATTTCCGCCCGAAAAAAACCGCTTCTCAGCAATATTTTTCCTAATTTTTTTTTGCGGTTTTTCTCAGAAAGAAAAATAGCAAACCTTATTTTTACTTTAAACTTTTCCGTTTTTCTTTTTTTAAAAAAATTATCAACTTTTTCTCCATAAAAAAATAGCCCTCTTCTATTTTTTCAATTCATGGGAAACTTTTATTGGTCAATTTAGAGTTTTGAAGTTCCAGTGGCCACTATAGTAGTCGATTTAGTGGCCATTTAAATGGATAAAATTTAATGACATCTTCAGAAGTCTAAGTGGTACTACTAGGCTATTGAAAATACTATAGCGGCCACTAAGACGCAAAACAGCGGCTTCTACAGAAGTTGCCACTTTAGTGTCCTCTCCACGGATTCCTTGCGGAACCTCTTAAGTGGCCACTACGGTATATTCCCAGGAAATAACCAACCTCCCATCGTTCAGAAACTGGCCGACCGAAAAATTCCATCTGCGTCGGGGAATAACGTCTTTTTGGGCCGCCAAAATCACTGAAAACTTTTAAACTTCACAAAAAATGGTTTAGAAGCTCTACCGAAAGCCGGAGTCCTTCCAACTGTAGTTGAACTTCTCCAGGGCGGTCCTAACTTCATTCAGGCTAGAAAGCAAGGATCGAGGTACAGATTCCTAGAAAAAACCCTTCATTAAACCTTCCAAAAGGTCACTCAAACCTCAAACTGGGGGATCTTGACATTTGGGAAAATGAAAACAGACCGGAATGCAAAATGTCCGCCGAAGACGGGGTGAAGGCTCAAACCAATGAATTTCTGAATGGGAAAACTCAAAACAATTCTGAGATTTTGGGAACGTACCAAATTTGGTCCCATTTTCCCCCGGGGTGGCCATTCTTCGTCGTTGACATGTGCGGGCTGATAGTAGAAGGCGGCGCCTTGAAGATTTATTTTTGAGAACTTTGGAAGTTTACTCTAATGAATATCGTCGTGAAACTGTGGAAAAAAAGGCGCGATCAGCGAATCAAAGACATATTTCGGTAGAGCTTGGAAATCTAGAAGCTTGGAAAGCTTCAGGGTCGCGCATAGAATGGCTAGACGCGTAGCGGTCGCGACACGGGTTGCCTCAAAGCGCGTCCGACCCGAAACGACTTGCACGAGGGGCATTAGAGTAGTTTAACATGGCCGCAACTTTCAGCCATTCTAAGTGCGACCAGGGCGTCTAGGAATATTTTAAGGGTTTCAGGGCTGCGCGGAGCCGGCCCCGAGCCCATATTAGTCCCAAATTTCGAGACTTTACTTTTTATCCCAAGGTTAAATGATCATAATTTTTTGGGGATAAGAATGTCTGATCACTTGATCAACGCTTCGAAGTCTTTGAAAGACATTTTGAGACAGAAAAGTTCAAAAATCGGCTAAAATATGACTGATTCGCAAGCCGCGACGAGGCCCAAAAGCTGAAAAATCAGACGAACCGGCAACATGACCACAAGTTTGCATCAGAATACGGGGGCGACGTTGGGGCGTCATCGAGTAGTCGTGGATGAGTTCGTGGTTCGCATCAATCTCTTTGAGCTTCTGAACCAAAAGTTCATCTTTATAACCACTCCATTCCACGACCACAAACTTCAACTTGGAAACAAGTTAGTTAGAACCATAGATGGGCAAGTTCGAAACTCATTCAGTCCGGGAGGAGGGGTTGACTTACAAAAAATGAAAAATCAGGGTAAGATGAATTTTCGATTCCAGGGACGTAGTTTTGGCCCCAATAATACAAGTTTTAGCATCACGAATGGAGTCATAAATTTAATTTTTACTTGGGAGGAAGGGTCGGCGGCCTTTAAAAAAATGGTCTGTCCATGTATGGTTAGAACTTTTTGAGAATTCCTAAAAAAAAAAGTTGAAAAAAGGTCATGAAACGTAAAATCTTTATTTCCAAAGGGTTAACCGTGATTCTCGCAAATTTCTTCCTGTATTTTTTCAATTTCTTTTCCTGAATTTTCTGAATTCCTGAATTCCTGAATTTCACAAATCCTGAATTTTTGAATTTTTTTCCTGAATTTCACAAATTCCAACCTCTTGAACGGAGTAAAGTCGATCGTCGAGAAATGATTGGATGGGTGAGGAGATGCTGTCTTCCATTTCTTCGAATGTGTCAAACTTAAAATTTTATATTCATCTCCACAGGGTATCAAGACAACCTTTTTTGGAAGGAATCAAAATTTAAAGATATAATTTTCCAAAAAACAAACTCTCAAATTTCAAGTTCAAAAGTTCGACATACTCAATAATTTCAAATTATCTGGTATTATCAAAAGATTGCTGTACTTCAATATGGCTAAAAATACATTTTTCTTTCCTTGAAAAATCGATAAAAGAGGAACCTTCTGAGACTTGCCGACGATCCACTTGCGGAAGGAGACGTCGAACATGTCAGGGGTGCTTAAAATGAGCAACGCCATCGTATCATTCTCATAGGGCAGTTGGAACGGGGCTCCCACCGCCGCGTTGTAGGAACCGACCTTCAAAAAAATAAATATATAATACAATTTACACTGAAATGACGTCCAAGAGAAAATTCTTACTATTTCGTTCTCTCAAGATTATGGAAAAAAGATTAGAAAATAACCTTGAACATGTAGGATTCAAATCCATCAGCTTCAGTGAGCAGATCATCGACCAAGTCTTTGATCGCGAAAGCTTTGTGATCGGCTTCCATCCTAGGTTTATTATTTTTTTTTTTGGATTTAAAAAATGGCACAAAACTTCGAGACTGCATAAAATCGAATGATATTGATAAATGATAAACAAGAAAAAAAGAAGAATAGGATATGTAGAAATAGCAGCTAAAATGGTTTTTTGAAATTTAAAGGGTAAAGTTCGATCCCCGCTACCAACCAAAAAAGTCAGAAAAAGACTTTGATAAATCATCAGGTCTTTTGAAAATAAAAAAGTCATGAAAATTTCGCTAGGCTTCCTGAAAAAAGAAAGAAACTTCATTTTGAAAACTTCCTGAAAGTTGACCAGAATATATTTAAAGCAGCAGATTAAAAGATTGGAATCTGCAATTTTTTTCAAACAAAATGATTAACATCATATAAAAATATCCTCTCTGAGCCCTCCTTACTTGAAAGCTTTTAAAATTTTGAGTTTAAGATTTTCAGGATCTTCATCTAGCCTCTCAAAAAGTATTCCGGCCCGATTTCAGGACATTCCAGAGTTAAATAACCTCCTATTTGAGGAAATATATCAAAATGTCCCCCTTTATAAAGGCCCTTCAAGGCTGCCAATATAAAATCGTCACAAAAACGGAAAATGACGAAACAATGGGAAAACGGCTGAAAAATGCATTTACGTGTCAAGTCTGAAAATCCGCACGTGCAGGAATGTCAACAGCTGTTCCAATAGTGATCAGGCCAACAATCAGCAAGTTTGCAGGGCGGTAAACAAGAGGGTTTTTGAGAAGAGAAGAAAGTTACATCAGCAATAAAAATCTACAAAAGCTTGATTTTTGAGTTACTTGGGCACGTCAGAGTGGTGCCTATAGGAGCAACCTAACAACTCTCGGAGGGTCCTCTCTAGGGCCACTTTACAAACCTATATAGGGGCTACTAAAACCTGCAGAAGTGGCTCCTATAGGAGTTTTGTTTATTTAGTGACCCCTATAGGAGACATGCTACTCGATTATTATGAACTATAAGAAGACGCAATTTTTTTCATTTTCAAATCTGAACGAAAAATTGGAAGATCCTTGTAGGGACCACTTGATCTTGAGGGGCTAAGAGGTCAGACCCTGAACTCCTATAGGAACCGCTTCTTTGGCCCATATAGGGGCTTTTTCTCGCCCTTTACCTTAAAGGGACCACTCTGGAATTCCTAAGTAGTGGAGATATGATCGTCTTTCACGATAAGATGCAAAAGTCTGGCCTGTCTGCGTCTTTTTCCCTCACCAGCTAGATATTAGAACATGAAAAAGCACGTAACGTTAGAGAGGGACTGAGAATTGTAATTTTGAAATTCAGGTTAATTATTCTAGACTTTTGAAGTTGAAAGAGCAAATAGAAGGAAAACTATGCAATCTTCAAAAAAGGACAATCAAAAATCGGAAATAATCCACCGAAATCGATAAAGATCATGGGATATCAAGCGAGATCAAAACTAGGTCAAAAAATCCGAAAACTGGATCATTATGAACAGAAAAAGTCAAATTGTGTTGAATTCGAATATTCTAACCCAAAAAACCGACCAAACGAAAATTGATAAAGTCCTAAAAGAACAAATGATAACGTGGTAGACAGTAAAAAACCAATAAAATCGAAAACTTTGGCGAATCGTACGATGAAAAAGATGTTTAAGTATTCTCCAACAGTTTTTCACTGCTATACACAATTTAAAAACTTAAATAAGGAAAAAATTTACTCAAAGATTCACCCATATAACACACGAACATGATAGGTTTTGAAAAATGAAGAGATCGAAATTTAAAAAAATGATATTTTCTAACAAATCAGGATGCTTGCTGTCACAGAAAGTGTCCTCAATCATTAGTCAATGTTGGCATTAAAAACATGGTAGAAGGAAATGAAGGAAGATAATGAATGACCTTGAAAATTGGGAGAAAAAACTTGTTTTTCAACATAGAATGTACTTCAAATATTGGAGTGACGAATATGACCGGTATTTGGAAAATTTGCTTTTGAAAACAAGTTTTTTTCTAACCATTTAATGCTCACTAAAAACTGTTCTTTAAAACTTTCAAATGCTAGGGTTATAAATTTTTGTAGGAGAGATCTAGGCATTTTTTTAAATTCTGGCTTATTCAAGGATTATTAATTAAATTTCTGACCACTAAACGGAAGTCGGGATAACAAAACACTCAGAAAAGTGAACAGAATCCGATCAAAACTTAACAAAAACAGATATGAACATAGAAAAAGCCGATTTTTTTTTCTATTTCGGACTGTCGTCGTCGCTGCTGGTGCTGCTGGAGCTGTCGGAGCTCATTTGCTCGACATTTCTGACCGGCGGTGGCCTTATCGGAGCGGATCTGCCGGCGATGTTCACGCTCAGGTTGGGCGAAATCAAGGGACTCTGAAACTAGAGATTTTTCGGGGAAAAAGAATCTTTTTTGAGAAAACTACAAAAAGTGAATGGACTGTAGCCAGACTTCGATGCTCCGCGGCTCAGAAACAGTGGAGTGATACCGTTGGCGTCACTATCGCACACGCAATCAACGACGCACGTCACAGCAAAACACGCGTCGACTTTCTTGTGTGCGGGGAAGTCGAACCAGCGACTATGAGAGCGGCGCGCGAGCATTCAACCCGCTGCGCCACACCCGTCAGAGCAAGGGATGGCCGTCTTCGGCGGTCTAGTCTCACCTGGGTTGGCGGCTTCGGGGCGTAGGGAGAGCCTTCATTGGATAATAGCCACGTGCCTCGAGGTCCGGCACGCAAACTTTGAGGCGATCCGGTTTGACCTCCGTATCTGCAAAATACGATATTCAACTGACAGAGCAAACTTGGTACTTTCTTTGGGAAATATTTCAGAAGTTAAAGAAGAAATCTGGATGGTCCTGAGACGAAAATTCTAACAATATGTTTCGTGACAAGCGATAGGAAAACTTTTTTCAAGCAATTGTAAGAATTTTCGTGCAAGAACTCCGAAAAACTCTTAAAAGAAACTAAAATTCGAGAGAAGAAAAAAATTATACCCAGTCCTGGGACTCCAGCCATACTGAGACTGTGGAGGCTGAGGCACGATCTTTGGCGAAGCCGAAGGACGCCCCAAAAGACCCGGCGACCGCACCTGAAAATCTCTCATATTCGCTTTGAAATAGGCGCCGTCAGAATGACGCAATCTCGCGCAATATTCAACAAATATACTTCATTCACAGCATTCTTGAGACAAGGAAAAAGTTGGAAAGTGTATAGATCAGAAAATCGTGTTTTTTTCCGTTGATTAAATGTCACAACGGTTTTATTTGTACAAGTTCAGAGGAAAAATGATAAGGTATGTTAAAAAATCGTTCATTTCTTCTAAAAAATCTTACGCAAAATTCTTCAAATAGCAATTTCTTTTTCTGATTCTGAAGAAAAGGTTCCGAAAGAACGCGAATACACGTCTTTCAATGCTACTCATATTTAAAGTTGAAAAAAATCGTCGTGAAGTGGGAAAGATGCTCAAAACTATGCAAAAATCTGGCTGAAACACTTTCCTGGCTAGACCCATTCCAAAGACCTTATGTGCTTTTACTTTAGAGATGATCGAGAACGGATAGTTTTTCCAGGTGAGGAGACAATTTTTATATTACTCAGACCTTGTTAACGCGAATCTGACGTTTCGGGGCAATTCTAGTGACCACTTTAGCGGTATCAGCACTCTTAAGTGATCTCAAGAATCTCTCAGAAATGTCCGGATTTCGTTACCGATGTCCCAGTAGTTTTTATCCAACAAGGGAGTTCACATTAATAAAAGAGAAGAAAACAATAAAAAAAATTTTCCTAAAATTTTCTAGCAGATGTCCCAATAAGGTTTCCTTTTTAGGTTCTGCTGATTCTCTTAAAAATATTTCTATTTTTTTCTGAAACTAACAGCCTGTTGTTGCTGTCGGAGGGCTCCGATCGACTGTGGAAGGGCTGAAGATTGGTTCGCTTTCGGCGAGGAAAGAAACGACATTCGGAACTCCGGTTCGGTTGGGAAAGGACGCGAAGGATCACCTTGAATATTTTGAGTTAGAAAAAAAGACATAAAAAAATCCCCAGAAGAAGGTCGTGAAATTCTACTCGGGAACAGAAAACCTAGGGAAAAATACCACTATCATTCGATTTTTTTCAGAACTGTAACTTCAAAAAAACTTGAAAAAAATAATTATTATAAACTGATTGAAATATTAAAAAGCTTGAACGATAAAAAGAAACCAAAAGGTCGAGAGAAATAAAAAAATTGAAAGTTGACACAAAATGAAGAAAAACATTTTAAAAACATTTAAAAAAACGTTTCAAAAAGGGTTTTTTTCGTCTTTTTTTCTTAATATTTTTTTGGAAAAAAAGCCGTGCACTTTTTAAAAAAATTGGAAATCAAAGAGAATGCAAAAAAAATTGAGACATCAAACTTGAATGTAAAAATGATCATTTTCCAAAATGAGTTCATAAAAATGTCCAATTTCGATTCAAATTATTTTCAGTTCTTTCGGTGCAAATATTCAAAATATCTCGGATTTATTGTATTTCGGAATCAATCCAAATGCCAACGAAAGTTTCTGTCATCTCAATATCCTTTCCGAGAAACGGAAAAGTCATGAAACAAACCTTGTTGCCAGAATAAGGGCGCCGCGACGGCGTAGCTTCTGCTGATTTGGTGGGCGAGTTTGATGAGGATCTCCGTGTTGACGGGTCGGGCTTCCGCTTCTCGCACTGATTTCAGCTTCTGGTTGGCCTTCAAAGCAATCGATAAGAAATTTTCGAGTATTTTCTTTCCATCGTTTCTCACTGGGTTAAGAGGGGGTTTTTTTAACCACCGATTGGACTTTTGATGAAACTTTGCTGTAGTGTACTTTAGAACCTCCCTGATTCCAGAACAAGGAAAAAGTATCTAGCATCGGATCTCGTTTCCGGGTTGAGACGCTTCAAAAGCTTGGAATAGCGCTTTTTTTTTTGTCATAAATTGGTGTTTTGCAGACTTTGAAGCTCCGTAACTCGGAAATAACATATATTGCGAGAAATTTTTTTGAAATATTTTTCCTAGTTAGAAGCCTGTGAAAACCAAAATCTCATTTTATTTATTCAATGCAAGTTTATGTACTACTTGTCTCTCGTTCATTTCTTTTTAAATTTAAATGGTTTTTTGATTTTTCCCGTGAGAATTTTCAGAACCTTCGTCAAAACAAAGAGGCAACCATGAAAATTTGTCTAGAATATTTCTTGCTCTGTCAGACGAAGATTCTGAAAATTCTCTACCTTCAAAAATCTCTTTTTTGAGAAAAGACATCAAAAAGACAAAGAAACCCCTCAAAATCCGTTAAAATTAGTTACGAGTCCCGTTTTTCAACCCTTTTTTTTGAAGCTTTCAATAGTGTAAAACTTCCAACTGTTCCGATAAATGAATGAAACAGCTCCTTGAGACCTTGAAGAAAAAAATAAATTTTTTTTAACTGATGGAAAAAAATATTTTATTTTTTTAAAACTGATAACTTCAAATGCATATTGGAAAAAAATCCAGTCAACTTGCCTTCATTTCAAATTTTCTCTTTTGAATTTTTTTCTAAATAACTTTAATAATTACAAAAGCTTGCAAAATTCGAATTATTTATTTTTTCAAAAAAAATCCTAGAAAGTAAGACCATAAGACTATACTAATGACGTATTCATAGAAATACGTTGCAAAATTGATCAAAAATGGTCCAAAACGAAACATCTAAAGTTTGTCCATTGAACTCGCCAAAAGTTCAAAGAAAAATAATCAAGAAAAAAAAACCAAACCGTAAAAATAATGCTGGTGAGGGCAGTTTCGACGCCTTTCAGGTTGATTTCTACCCGGGAAATCACTTTATCCCGATCTTCCACGCACTTTTTTAGTTCACCAATGAGGGCTTGCCTTTCTTGGAACTCCGGGACTGAAAAAAACCCAGTAGATAATCAAAACTCCATCAAAAATTCAAAAATAACCATGACAAACAATGAAAATATGATGAAAAAACCTCGTTTAACAAGTCTCCGGAGGTCTTGTTGCTTCGAATCGAACAAAAGGACCAAATTTGTGACGGTTTCCCCGCCGCGTTGCGTTTGGTTCTTGTCCCGATTCAATAATGAATCAATAATCTGAAAAAAAAAAAGTTTTTCTTTATTTTTAATAGGCAGATATTCATTAAGAAGAGCTTTTTAGAATCATCAAAGGTACAAAAAAACTGAATCATAACTTTTTTTCGGAAAAAAATATCCTAGGCTTTCGGTATGCTCAGAATGATTCAATAATTTTTGAAAAATGAATTGGAAAAAAGGTCTCTAGGCTTAAGAATCCAAAGAAACTCGCAAACTGCTCTTTTAATAACACCCAGCAAAAAATTTGAAGCAGTTGAGACTTTTTTACAAAATTCTTTATAACGTTTAATGATTTTTAGAGCTTTTTCCGATGAAAAATTTCATTTAAAAAAAGTCTTTGAAAAAAATCAATAGTTCAAAAGTATTCGAACATCCTTAATCACGAATCAAGCACGTCAAAAAATATACTTCAATAAAAAATGAAGGAACCTGCTTAACGACGGCTTCCAAGTCTTCGGCCGTTTCCAGCATCAAATCCCGCAAACTTCGATCGTCGTCCGCCATCTTAATCATGCAAATGAAAAATAATTTGATAAAACAGAAAAACGAAAGAATCTTGTTCAGAAAAATGTTTTAGCGGAGCAAGTTGAGATATTCGATTTAAAATGTAAAAGTTTTAAAATAAGATAAATATTTGAACACATATTAATAGGAATATATTCAATACACAGTTTCTTCTTTTTTTGAAAAGAGAGGAAATTGAAGCTTTCTTCATGTTTATATTTGAAAAAAAGAAGTCATATTCGCATTTTGGAGAAATTTGAAAAAGACAGCGATAAATTTTATTCCCTGCAAAAAAACGTGAACCCCGTGAAAAGGTTATTTTTTGATATCGAAAAAATTACCACGTGAAAAAAAACCACGTGGCAACGGGTCATTTCTTCTTGTATGACCTGTTTTCAAATATCTTTCTTGCTTCTCTCACGACTCCGGCTTGCTCCTGGATTCTACGTTAAGATGAGTTTCGAACTTTCATAAAGTTTCTAATTTCCGAAATAGTTCTCTTAGTAGTAAGCGCTAGTAGATTAGGCCCGTGGGACTCCCGGAGTGCCGATCCTTTTTGCTTGCAAATTGGATACGCAATGTCACGCCGAAGCCCATTCCTGTGGCTGAAGCATAAACTGTTGGCAGCGCGATGCTGACAAAGCGATGATGGGACCCCCACGAAAAATGCCGTCACAGCCTTCGGCGTCTAGGATAATTAGTTTTGACAAGGCTGAGCGGAGCTCTAGCGCACCGCCTAGTTAGTTCTTCTGATTGCATAAAGTTCCCTAACTTACTTAAGAATTTTCATAGCTATTCAGCCAAAACATTGCGATTCGCATAATTCAATCGACTTGCTTTTTTTCAATTTTGAATTTATTGCAGGAAGCTTCCAACGCACGAGATCAGTCCATGGAGGATCGACAGCAACTTCAAATGTAGCAGTTTGATGTCTAAGAAATTCTTTTTCAATTCCTTTTTTTTCAGAAAAAAACGTCCGAAACTTCTGAATAAAAACTGGAAACAAACAAGCGTACTGGAAATAATCGATCGACTGCTACTGGAACAAAAGGTTTCGAAGGTTTTATTTTCGAAAAATTTTATGATGAGGAAGAAAAAAAGCATGACCTTATTAACACTGAATTAAAGCCAGAAAAATCTTGATTCGATTTTATAAGCAAAGTCGGAAAGGCTGGAAAAAGGATCCACAGAAATTTTCCTCTTAGGGTGACAAAGGCTCATTTTTTGCTTCATTTCATCGGCTCTTTATAGTCCGTTCAGATTTTGAATGTCAAGTCGCTTCTAAAGCTCCGCCCCTTTTGACCCGATAAGCCAATCAGAGAGCGAGCCATCCACAGAGCGCCTTCGAATGACGTCATTGTACTTGACATTCAAAATATGAACAAACTATAAACCACTCATAACGGACGCTCAGAGGGCCCGTAAAGGGTACTTCCGACTTTGCCTATGAAGATATTTAAACATTGAAAAAAATGTAGTTGTTATATAGAAGGTCTCGCGCCAGAATCAACAGTTTTTTTTAGTTTTATTCCTCAGACATTCTGGCGGCGAAAAAAAAAAAATAATTTACCTTTAGAAGCAGCTATTTTTTGATTCAAATTTTGTATTTATATCCTTTTTCGCATTTAAAAGTCTTTTAGCTTTGAAAATTCAGTTAACCGCGATGTCACGAAATCCGCCAATAAAAGACGCAACGTCTTCAAATTCTTGGCGGACGGAGCTTGATCAAATCCGATGGCGGCTAAACAATACCAGGTACCAACCCAATGCTCTTAAAAGCAGCTGAGGGTTTTTTCTGTGTGTGTGTTGAATTGCAAAGGAGAAAATAAATCACAGTAAATTTCCAATGGCTGAAATCGCTGATCGCTATTTTTGGCGTGTTCATTAGATAAACGGAACAAAACGAAAAGTCGTGTTCATCGGCGCGCCAAAGTTCCTCCAAAAAAGTACTATTTTTTGTTTTGGAGCAATTTTCTTGCGCTTCGAAGCGATTTTCGTTTTGTCCGATGAGCCACCGGTATTTGTACAGATGGCCTCACGGTAAATCGACCCCAGATTTATCAACGGGGCGCGCTTTCTTTCATCCCATTTGTTCTTTTTTCTACTCTTTCTATTGCACGGCGTTTTGAAAAGGGTGGGCGGGAAGAGAAAAATTGGAATGCTTTAAAATGTGCCCTGATGTAAAAGTTCTAACAAAAAAGTGGGGTGGAAGAAAGCGCGCCCCGTTGAGAAATCTGGGGTCGATTTACCGTGAGGCAATCTGTGCAAATACCGGTGGCTTTGTCCAATGAACACGCGAAATTCAAATCGCGGAATAACTTCGAAATGGCCATGAAAAACTCCCGAAAAAATAAGAAAAAACTCGGACACTGCACTAATAATAACTGCCGAGATAAACGCGAGGTCGGTGGCGGTACATTGACGAACTCGCAAACGTCGCTTTTTTTTATGCGCTACTCGCATTTTTCTTGGCGCGACTTCGCATTTATCTCGCATTTCGGAAATTTTCAAATTGCGAGATAAATGCGAAGTCGCGCCAAGAAAAAATGCGAGATCGCGCCTAGAAAAAGCGACATGTTTGCGTCAATGTACCACCAGTGTCTCGCCTTTATCTCGGCAGTTATTCTTAGTGCGGTAACGCAAAACGGGCATTCCTAGTGACCACTTCAGTAGCGTCAGCATTCTTAAGTGTCCCCAGAATTGCTCATAAACTTCTGGAGCACGTTCGTTTAGCGTTATTAACGTCCGAGAAGATGAAAGAAAAAATAAATAAATCAAAGAGATGTGAAAAAGAGTGCCCGAATGATAAATCTCTTGTCAATTTACGTGAGGGAGGCTGAGGCTTGTGCGTCAGGCCAGGCGGCCTGGGCTTTGGGCCTATATTTAAAAAAAGCCTGCGCAGGCTCGGGCCGGGCAGATCTTCGAAAAAAATCTTAAATTAATTTTAAAAAAATTTGACAGAAAAAAATTATTTTTTTACTTGTTGTATCACTGTTTCATATAATTTTATTGAAAAAAATAAGCAAAAATACCACTTTTCTTGTTAAAAAAGCGAAAAATTCGACTTGAAGAAAATTTTTGCTTTTTGGGCCGGCCATTTTGCTTGAGGCCCCGGGGGGCCGGGCTTGGATAATGGTCAGAGGGCCGGCCCATGCACAAGCCTGGCTGTACATATAAAGGCTGTTTTTTTCCTACAAATGCACTATAAGAACGAAAAACCACCAATACTTGAAAAAGTGTTCTATATACGTGTCGAACCATTCTTTCTTCTTCAAAATTACCTAAATGAAAGTTTTAAAAGGTTAAACATTTGTTACGTACATATAGAAAATAGAATGAAATCAGAAAAGAGGAAAAACCTTTCCCGTCACGGCCGTGAACTTCAAATAACGTGTCCGAGGTTCGCAAATGGCCTTTTTGCGATTTCCCGGCTTCTTCGTTCTTTTTCTTTTCACTTTTTTTTTGCAGAGTTCAAGATATTCTGAATCAATCAGAAATGTATTGTATTCTTTTTTTCTTGAAAAAATGAATACGTGCATAAAGTTTCATTCAAACAGGATCATATATCAAAAGCAGTGCGTAAAATTAACTAAATATAGGACGTGTAAAAATTAAACCTGTATAGTGACAACATGCAATGTATCAATGTACTTCAATGAGAATAATTAAGAAGAAGGATATAGCAATATATGATAAAAATGAGCAATTTCATGGGAAAATGGTTGATTTATGAGTTCTTTTGCGGGACTTTGATGGTGACGGTCTTGACCTCAGTGTAGGCTTCGAGGCCGTATTCTCCGAGCTCGCGACCGATTCCTTAACATTTTTTTTATAATTTTAATTTTTTTGAAAAAAAGAAAAAAACCAGATTGCTTGTATCCACCGAACGGCGCAGCCGCGTCGAAAAACGTCGTAGCAGTTGACCCTGGAAAGATTTTTACACTTGATTCAAAAAAACTTTCGAACACCAAACTGTTTCACAAAAGCTTGAAATTAAAGTAAATTTTTTTTATCGGTAACACGATTAGCCCATCAAACAAAGAAGCGGAAAACATTTTTAAATGTTCGAAATTTTTCTCAAGCTTTTTCATTGCATTCCGAAAAATTTTACCAATCGAAAAAAAGGATATGAAAAAAACGACTTAATTAAAAAAATGATCCAATAATTCCTGTTAATGTCAACTAAAAAAAGAGCCTTTTTTTGTTCGAAATGAAAAAAATGGCTAGCATGCTTTTTGAAAAAAATTGAAACGGATCTTAATTTAATAGGAAATTCTTCGTAGAAAGTCGAAAAAAATATGTAATAATAATACCACAAAAAGTGGTAAATGACGAAAAAAATTTTTTTAAATGATCAGTTTTTACTCATTTTTCATTTTTGGAGAACAACGCTTAAATTAAGCTTGTTCTATGTAAGGTTTCCTTAATATAAGCGTGATTCTCTGAAGATTTTTCGCGAAGGTTATAGAAACTTCTGAAACGATTTGGAGATTTCTAGAAAGATATGAAATTTTCTAGAAAAGAAGTTACAAAATTGATCCCTATGACGTAATACAACCGTAAAAGTAAAGAAAAGGATAGAAAAGGATTCTAGAATATTCTAGAACAAGCTTAATATAAGCGTGATCTTCCAAAAAGTGTTCACAAATTATTTCAACACATCGAAACGAACCAAACGGATCCAGCCCGGATGGTGTTGGCAATGTGAAGAGCCTTGTCGAGGTCCGCAGTCATGACTCCGGCCGCCAGACCATAAATCGTGTTGTTGGCTTTCTCGACGAGTTCCTCCATCGAATCGAACCGGATGATGCTCATAACGGGGCCGAAGATCTTCAAGATCATTATTTTATATTTGAACTAGCCCCCGAAGTAGTTTCTAAACTTTCAAGGGAAAAAGAAGTTCTAAAAAAAATCAGAAGGCCTCACCGACTTGGCATTATATCCTCTCAGACTGGTAAGGGGTCACAACGGGTTTACCCGTATCAAACCCTTTTTTTGGGGCTTTTTGTGTCTCAGTTGTGCTAAAACGGGAAAAAACGGGTACAAAAAGTAATTTTTTGAAAAACTGTGATCCACCTGGGCTAAAACGGGGTCTCAATTGTGGTAAAAATGGCAAAAATTCTACCAACTGTGCTTATACGGGTTCAATATGGGCAAACGCGCCGAGAGCCCTTTTTTCTCGGCCGGTTAACCTCATCATTATGACAGTCGTTTTGACATGAGTAGTTCTGATAATGAAAGGAGTTCTTATTCAATTTTAAATGTAGTTTATTATAACCTTGGTCAAAAATTTCAATATTTTTCCTTTTCTCCGTTTTTTTTCTCATAAAATGTTGAAGTAGTTCCATTTTAAATCTTCGAATCAGTTAATCAAACCATTCAAAATCTAGCTGGAATATCCAAAAAGAACCTCTTCCTGGGCGATTTTCATCTGATCATTGACGTTGGCGAAAATGGTCGGCTGCACGTAATGCCCGTTTTCTCCCCATTTTTCGCCTCCTGAAATTTGTTTTTTTTTTTACACTTTCGGGTTCAACTAGCCTGTGACAAGTTGAGCGCCTTCTTTTTTACCCTCCTCGATGTACCGCAAAACTGTTCGCACCTGGTTTCCATCAACCTGAAATGAGATATCTTGAAAATTTTTTCCGTGACTTGAAATATATTTTTCAGGTTTTTAAGACCAACTTTCAATTTCGGATTGAAAAATAGGTCTTTAAAGGTGAAACTTTGTATTGCAGAAATCTTTTTTTTTCGAATGTTTTCTATTTCTTCAGAAATTAATCACCATTCACTGTTTCAATGTTTTCAAAGTCCCAAAAACGCCAATTCTTGGTTTTTTACCTTCAATTGACTCAAAAAGGTTCTGGGAAATGCCCTAAGCAAAAATTAAAAATTCCGTTCTTACCTGAGGACCTTGTGTCGTTTTGCAGTCGAAGGGGTCTCCGAGGACCGATTGCTCGGCCAAATCTTTGGATCGGGCGACAAACTCGTCGTAGACCTTCAAAAAAACTTCTGTTTTTTTTAAATAAAAAGAAACGCGAGTTTTTTTCTCTGTACTGACTAACCATTGAGAAATATTCACCTCAAAGAAAAAAATACCACAAATCTATGCACTAAAAATGCATTTAAAGTTCATTTCACAGACTAAAAAAATTCAATTTAAGTAAATTTCAAGTTTTTCTTTAAAAATTTCTATCTACAACATTTTTCTAATATTTTCCTATTTTACCTAATTAATCCTTCTATTACTTCATTTTTCTTCATTTTTCTCTAATTTACTTCATATTTTCTACAATGTTCTCCATTTTTCTTTCGATTTTTTTCCCTCCTCACCTTTCCCTCGACAAATGTCCTCGAACCGGCGCAGCAGCACTGTCCTTGGTTGAAAAAAAGCCCGTGATTGGCTTGTTTGATAGCCGTATCAACTGAAGCAATTCTTGAGAAAAAAGCTCCAAAAAATGAAACTAACGGTCGGCATCGGCAAAAATGATGTTCGGGCTCTTCCCGCCGAGCTCAAGAGTCACTCTAAAAAATTTCTCTATTGAATTCACAACCCGTTTTTCTGCGAAAAAATACTTTTTAATGTTCGATTCAGCGGCGGCTTTCATCACAAGTCGACCAACATCAGTAGATCCAGTGAAAGCGACCTAAAATTAATATTTTTTAATTCTTAAGTTCGATTTCCAAGTAGCCGCTTAAACAAAGAATGAACCCCAGCGGGTCCATTTTTCAACGATTTTACGCATGAATACGTTTTGATAAAGTTTTTTCGAACGAAACTTATTTCATTGCAATAGAATTATGAATAGTTTCGTGAAAATAACTTTTTTTAACCGACAAAAATAGCTTTAAAACTGTTTTACTTGTTTTCGAAGCTGAAAAAAATCAAGAAAAATCAAAAGAGAAAAATTTTTCCACTGAAAAAAACAAAATTTCGAAAAAAATATTGGATCATTTTGAACATTTTTTTCAACAATTTTTTTACTATAAAGCAAAAAAATTTATAACATTTCCCAGACTTGAAAAAGAAGGACCTGGCCTTTTCAAAGGAAAGACCAATAATGATTTTTTAAATCACCTTATCAACATCAGGATGCGAAGAAATGGCATGGCCCGCGGTCGGCCCGAAACCGGGGATGACGTTGATGACGCCGTCCGGAAAAAAACCGGCCTAAATATTCATTTTTTTATCGAATTTCATCATTTTTTTAGAACAAAAAAATATTTTATGGTTCAAGATCTGACTTTTACCAGAACTAGTTACAAAAAAAGAGAATTGACTAAGTCGAACTAATAAATTTGGGACTAGAACATGAAATAAATAACGATTGATACTGATTGATATTGGTTTATAAAGATAAGAAAAATGGGAATTTCGAAAAATTGGAGGGAAATTTGTATTAATACTGCTGTCTAACGCCGTCTTCAAAATAATTTCACATAAATCAAATTTATCTCTGACTCTCCAAAAACTAGTTATCTGTTTCACGCTGTGACGTTTTTTTTTTAATTTCAAGAAATAAACTTTGAAAACGGCTAATGTTTTTTTTATCGCGTGAAATTAATCAAAAATCCACACCGGGAAGTGTGTTCCAAGCCATAATTTTTTCATTTCAATCCAAAATTCCCGCATTTTCAAACCTCTCGAGTCAGGGCGGCGACATGTAGAGCGCTGAGGGGAGTTTGTTCAGCGACCTAAGAAAAAACAATTTTTTTTTGTCGTTAAAGACTTGAAAAACCTTCATAACTACAGTATTGCCCATGGCGAGGGCTGGTCCCAGTTTCCAGGCTTGCATTAGAAGCGGGAAGTTCCACTGAAATCCGAAAAATTAATAAACTTTCTAAACTGAACTCCTGGAGGAAAAAAATATTAAAAAAATATGCGGTTCAATATCGAAACTTTCAAGGTTTACATCGAAAAATTATTTTTAAAATCCTACTTTGTCCTAATTTCTGTTGGAAAAAAATCTTTTTTTTTTTTAAATTCAGTCCACTTTCTTGAAAATCCTCGTTTCTTTCATTCCAATTATAACCTTCAAGAATATGCGGAAACTTGAAATTTCCTGGACAAGTAAGCAAGTTCTATTTTGCACTTCCCGAGTATTACTCATCCAATCCTTTTTCCTTCCAAACTCCAAACCGGAATGATTTGTCCGCAGACGCCGACGGGCTCATGACGCGTGTAGGTGAAGTAGTCGCCGGCAATGGGAATCGTTTTTCCGTGGTTCTTGTCCGCCCAGCCGGCATAATACCGGAGGCAGGCGATCGAGAGGGCCAAATCGGCGTTGTAGGCGATCGCGTACGGCTTTCCGTTGTCCAGACTCTCCAAGGACTGAAATAATTTCGGGTATAATTCATTTTTCTCAGCTTGCAACGTCGGTATACGTTCACGTGTACAGCGGTTGCGAAGCGTTTTGACGCCAATTCTTGGGCAAAGTGGGAATGATGAGTTTTTTTCTGGGATTTTGAAGGCTCGAGAAATGGTTAGAAAAGGATGAGGCTGCAAAAAGGATGCATAAGAGCCGATGAAATGACGCAAAAAGGAGCCGTTGTCACCCAAAATGAACATTCTTATGGAGCCTTTTTCGACCCATTTCGACTTTTCCTATGTTCAAAAAATATCTAATCAATGTCAGTCTTTTCTTCTTTCATCCAATACAAATTCCGGAGGACCTTCTTTGAAATATTTTATTTCATTGGTCTTTTTAAGACTGCTACAAGCCTGTATGGCCGACGATCGCTCGAGACAACTACGTTATTGAAAAAACCCCGAAAGGTCTAAAAATTTCCTCTTCCTAGTTAAATCCGTTAAAAATTTTTTTCTGTCGTGTTTTGGGATTTTTGAGTATAAACCAAAAAAATTTTCCCAAAATTTAGGATTTTTTAAGTATAGCTGACTCACGGCTGGCTTGGAGCCATCGAAAAAAAGGTCCTGACACAATAAAGCTCGAAATAGTGCCTGGCTCGTGGAGAGCACAGACAGGCCACGCCTTCTTAGAGTTCCAAGTTAGCCGTGAATCAGCTATACATACAGAATGATAGTTTTTACTGTTTTTTGAGCCTCTTATCACCTCTAACTGTTTCAAAATCACAGCTCTAAGAAGCTTACAAGTCAATTTTTTCATAGTTTGATGACTCTTCTCTTGAATGTCAACTCCACACACCGCCAAGATAACTCGATCCCGTTCCATCAAATCAGCAAGTTTGTTGAGTAAATGCCCGCGGCGGGCGGCGTCCATCGTGCGCCATTCGCTTCCCGTTCGGAACGCCTGGTTGGCAGCCTGGAAAAGTGCATATTTTCTAGCTTGAAGCCTAAATAGCCTGATGAACCTGAAAAATCAAGTCAACTCTAGTCAGTAAAAAAATATCAAATCAAGTACTGACATATTGGTTTTCAACTTTTAAACCAATTTCCCGTTTTCCACAGTCAAAATAACTCTAATTACGTAATATTGATTTTCGATTTTGAAGTCTAAACTGTCCAATTTCCTCGTAAATCAAGTAAAACAGTAAAAAAGATATGAACTCAAAGATTTACTGATTGAATTTCTAGCTTCGTTTTTCATTATATTTTTGATAACTTAAATTTAAGAAGTTTATTAGTAGCCACTTTAGGGTTTTGACGTTTTAGTGGCCACTATAGAAGTCAAATTAGTGGCCCCTTGAGTGGCTAAAACTCATTAGCCTTTTTAGGAGTTCAATTGCTACTACTAGATCATTAAAAACTACTATAGTGGGCACTTTGTTACCAGCTAGCGGTTAATAAACTTAACTATCCAACGACTCGACTTTTTAAAAGCCTATCTAAATCTTAAAATTTTAACTTAAAGACGCGAAATAGTGTCTTCTATAGAGGTGGTTTCAGAGGTCACTTAAGTGTCCTCTCCACGTAGCCTTCAAGGGACCTTTTAAGTGGCGACTAAAATTTTTTTCTCAAGTAAGAATCGGTTCAGAAAAAAAAAACTTCAGTCAAAAATTAGCTTTTCACTTCATTTTCTCATATTTTACAACCAACAATGGTTCCAATCAGAGATAACTCAATATCGAGTCTCATGATAAAATAATCACTTTAACCGCCGCGTCGACGTCCGCCTTATCACCTTCGGAGATTTTGGCGATAAGCTTCCCATTGGCCGGATTGAACGTCTCGAACGTTTTGCCCGATCGCGCGTTCACGAACTCGTTGTTGATGAACAACTGAAATCAGATTTTTCATTGAAAAAAAAACCTTGATGTTGCTTCAACAACCTAGCCGTGAACTGAGAACTTTCCGGGACAAACTCATGATTAGAAACTTGAAAAACTACAATTTTATTCCCCCAAAAATTACTTCAAAATTCAATAGAAGCAGGAAAATTTAGGATTAGGTCACGATTCCCATTGAAATCGTCTCCTTTGACCTCTTTTTTCACAATTTTGCTGGTAATTTGTAGAATCTCCGTTGAGAGTTTCATTATTCAAAAAAAAAACCTCTCCCAAATATGGACTTGTTACCAGGAGGCGGTTAATAAACTGAACTATTCATTAATTCAAGTTTTTCAAAAACCCTAGCGAAATCTAAAAAAATTTTAATTTAGCTTTTTTTATAATCACAAAAAAATTCGAAATGGCTGGGAAAAAAATTGCTCGATTATCGATAGAGATTAAAAATTCCATCTATAGACTTCATAGCCAAAACTGCTGGACACTACTTCATCCTTAATCTCCATATTTTCCTTTAACTTGCCATCCAAAAAAAAAAATGAATAACATGGATTTTAGTTCGTCTTTTTCCTTCCTACCAAAAATGGCATTCATCGAAAACCTCCAAGTTCGCAGAGAAAAAATCAATCATTCCCTTTTCATCGCCACCAAAAACATTGACACCTTTCTCGTGAAAATCTGTGTAATGCCAATCAGTCAAACGAATTCATCAAGGACCATAAACATAAAAACCAAAAATCGCTTCTAATGAACCCCTTATCGGAAAAAAACTTAGACGGCGTATGTCTCTCGGTTGACAGTTTTACAATGTCTGGAACTTTTTTATGGGATGATAATCAAGACGAAAATCGAGAAATCAAAGTCTCGATACTACTCTGCGCGTACCGTTTAGGAGGTTGACTTCAAAAAAAAAAACTTCTTAAAAATAATGAGAAGACAAATCTCCTTCAGAAAAAGTTTCGATTCATTTGTTTTAATCTAAAATCCGGTTTCAAAACGTCATTTGGAACCTCGCAGCACCTGAGTGAACTGCGGAGCCAGGTCCGGCTGGCCAGGCGGAATAGTGGCCACTTGAGGGGCCTTCTTCGTCGCCGCTGCCAAGGGAACACGTAGCGATGATCGCAGCATTCCTCACTGGAAAAAAAGTTCCAAATTGACTTGAACTCAAAAAAATTTACAAGATTCGAAACGCCCCCTAACATTGGGCGCAGACTTGTTCTGCGCCATTTGGGTTTAGGCTGGGTTGAGAAATTCTTTTTTGCTTCATAACGGGTTTCGAAAATGGAAAAAGCAGAAAACTCAAGAAGGCGTAAAGATAAGACCCTGCGAACTCGAACTGCACCACGAGAACAATCGTAAACTTTTAGAGGCGGGATACCGAGTTGAAAGTGAAAGGAGGCCGATAAAAGACAAAAGTCAAAGATTGACCAGAAAAACGTGAGAAATTTTCGTTTGGATTTCAAGTCGCTAGTGATCATTCTATGGAGTTCAGTAGAAAGTAATATTTTCACATTTATCCGAAAAAAATTGAAAAAAAGAAATTTCAAAAATACCCAATTCAATAAATCACTCGAAAGTCAAAAAGATACACCTCATGCTACTAATTGCTATCTATAGTTGAAAAAAGAGCCTAGAACTATAATTTCTTTAGAAATGGGACTGCTGAAATCACAATTTTTTCATACATCTTTTAATCGATTCTTGTGATATTCTTTCTTTTCAGGTGTAGAAGCATGAAATTCAAATCTCAAAACCAAATTAGAAAAACGTCCATCAAACACTAAAAGAGCCCTTTATTTAAAAAACAAAACGAAAAGAAAACAATGAAAAGAAAGGTTGGAAAACGTCCTTCTTTTGATGGCCGCCCCGTGGTTATCAGGTGCACCGAAACTCCGCCCAGATTCTAGTTGATAAGGTGTATAAATTAGGCTTTGAAAAAAAAAGTGATAAGAAAGTTTCCGGAAAACTTCTCACGAGGAAGTCACGCAAAAATGAATGATAACATGTCAAAACCGTTCGAAAAAATAACAGAAAAGTTGATTCTTTACTCTCGGGAACGTGAAACTTCATAGTTTACAGCGAGAAGTGCGCGTGCAAGAAAATAGTGGGCACTTCTGAAAGTCCAAAAGTTCAACATTTCTTTAAACTTGAATTTATTTTGCAAGGCTCATCAAGAGCAAAAAATGTACCATTTTTAATCAAATTGATTAAAATGAATTTAAAAGAAACACTTTGGAATTGGAAATCTTCAACTTTGGAAAAAAAAAACAGTTTTAAGCGAGAGAAGTTCCTAACAAACCGAAATTTTGAGAAATAACTCCCTGAATTGTTCCAAAGGCAAACAGTAGAAGTAAGTCAAATAGGATCCCAATGCGTGGCTTCAAACAAACACCTATACGCGCTGCCGCTCTTTCTTTTTTATGACAAATCAAAGAACAGTGAAAGTTTCGTGAAAATCTAAAAGGCATGATCTATCAGAAGTTTTAGGCATTATGTTTCCTTTGTGTTCCCTTTCTCACTCATGAATCATAAAAGAAGAGCAAGAAAAGTTTAGGCGTTCAACAACCAAAAATATAGAAATCACGTGTCGAAAACGGATTGTGAATGACTCAAAAAAAGGTAGACGATAGCGCAGGACACAAGTAGAAAGCGTTAGAAAACGGCAACAGCTCAATGAAATTTTGAAAAAATCATACGGCTACAAAAAAGCACAAAATCATTTTTTATCTCAAGATTCCCATTAGTCGTGAAATAAAATGTTTTCAGTGTAACGCTGGAATAACTACGTAGGTAAAGCGTACCGTAAGTTTTAATTCATAAAAAAAAATTTTCAACGTGTGCCACGTCAAATCATTTCTATAGGAATGATGATGGAACTTTATAAGAAGAGGCGATGGGAATGCAGAAGGTGCTCAGTCCTTTGACTATTCTACGCAGACTGTCTAAGTCATCCGCCACGATGAGTAAGCAGCCAGGACCGATAAGTCCAAGCGAAGTAAGTTTTTTTATAAATCATTTTTAGAGATTTTATTTTAAAATGTTTATCAATAACCATCTTTAAAGTTTGCTAGCGTTTCTCGAAGCTTGAGGAGTTTTTGAAAAATAGAACTATTAAACATAGACAAGGAAGTGCGAAAAGATCGAAAAATGTTCATTTTTTTTTCAAAATGGCGAGACATAAATCACTGAGAAAAAAGAGAAACGGTGTCTCGACTAGGTAAAAGTTAAGACCGTCACATATATCAACTGCCGAAGAAGCGAAATAATTTTTCACAAATTTACAAGTTTAAAGAAATTTAAAATAGTTTAAAAAAACGACTTTCGTCCTTGCAAGTAAATTATTTTCGGTCGCCGGGTGTAACTTTGCGGAAATGTACTTTGAGGTCTCATGTTTACGAATCGCTAAAAATTCTCCACTTTTGACTTTTAGCCTAGCTGTGGGGCTTAAATTTGTTCCGTTATCATTTGAGTGGAGAGAAAGAACCCACAACTCGACCAAAAGTCAAAAGGAGAACACTTTTTTCTGTGATATGGGATCAAAAGACCTCAGAGTACTTTCCTGCAAGTTTTCGGCTCAAAAACACTTTTCTTTTTAGCTTGTTCTATCAATGCATTAGAACCTATTTTCCACTTTCAGATAGCAAAATTGGCAAGAGAACCGCCGGCCGAGACCGACGGCTTCTACTTACAACAGGCGATGCTGCGAATCAAGGACCCCAGAAAATCGCTGCCCTTCTACACCAACGTCCTCGGCATGAGGTTCTCCTTTTTCTTGATTTTTTTTTTGACCAAGAAAATATTTTCCTCACACTTTTTAAACACAGACGAACGAGGTTTTTCGAAGAAAATGGTTTTCAACGGCTATAGAAAAATCTTTTTCCGTCTGTCATATCTAGGTTCTTTGTAACATTCCGAAAAATTGTCAATATTAAGACTTTTTGGAAGGCCAAGGCTACGAAAAAGCTCAAAAAAGTGGCAGGCCAAAATGAAAAAAAGGTCAAAATTGCTTCTCGAAAAATCTTTTGCCCTTTTTTGAGAACATTTTTTTATCGTCATTTTTGTAGCCTTTTTTAAATGGATCAATAAAAAAATCTCTCTCTGAGTCCAAAAGTTCAAAAAAGAACGAAAAAAAAACTTTGAAAGAAAAAATTCCATTATTTGATCCATTGATGAAGTTTAATCGCTCTTTTGAAGTTTCGTACAATTTCGAGAATCCCTAAAAATTACCTTTAAAAAAGCGCAACAGCCACTTAAGTAATCTCTGAATGACTCAATAGCGATTTTTTCTCATTGAGAAGTCAATTATTAAAAAATTTATGCATATAATTTTAAATTTTCTTATTGAGATATACTCTAAAGCTAAACTAAGAATGAATCTAAATTTCAAGTTTAAGAAGGATCAAATTTTATGCCGTAAAAATCAAAAAATGAATAAAAATAATAATTATCTCTGACTCTCTAAAATTTAGTTATCTTTTTTCTACTCTCTGACCGGTATTTTGAATTTCGCGGATATCACTTTTAAATGTTTAAGAACTCTAAAATGGTCCCTGTAGATTCAACCTTGAGGGCCCTTGGCAGTTCCCTCTAGCCTCCCTCTATAGTGGCCACTGACGCTTGCAAAACTGGCCCCTATAGGGGACATGCTAGTCAATTTTTTTATGGACTCTATGAGCACATCTGTGCGAAAAACTTGATAAACTAGGGGTTCATTTCATTAACCACTATAAGAACCACTCTGGCGTTCTCTAGAAAAATAAGAAAACGTTTTGAGGCTCCTGAAGCAAAAGGACCTGCTGAAAGACAAGTACTCGCTGTTCCTGATGGGCTTCAAAAAGGCCGAAGAAGTTCCAAAAGACGATCACGAGTGCTTCCAATACGCCATCACTACTCATTCCGTCATTCAGCTCACCCAGTAACTTTTTTTTAGACTCATTCAAAATCTAGTTATACTTTTGAAATCATATTTACAGTTTCAATATCACAAAAAACCTTTGAAAATTTTAAATGAATAAATTAACGATTTCATTACAGCTACTGGGGCACCGAAGACGATCCCAACGTTAGCTACCATAATGGAAACAAGGATCCGAAAGGATTCGGTTAGTTCTCTGTTTCGACATTCCAATAATTCATGAAAAATAAACGGAACGGGACTACGAAAACGTGACGAAACACATCCAAAAAAAGTATGAAAACTTCTAAAAACAAAAAACAAGGAAAATTTGCCGCGAGTTTCAAGTCTAGGAAAATATTTTTCACTCAAATCAAGTTTTTTTTTTCTTCAATGGGCGCCTTGATTTGAGTTACTCGAAGGGCAACCTCAAGCTGCAAAGGTTGAAGATTTTTTTGACGTCTTAATTTTGTTGTTTTTCGAGTTCGAAACATTTTAAAGAAAGGGTAAGTTTTTTTGGACAAGCATAACATTCGAAATGCTAAAAAACTTTTTCAAAATAAAATTTTTGAAATAACATATTTTTTAACGCAGAGTCAATTGCTGCTATTTTTTCAATCATTCAGAATAAAGAAGGCGAAATTTTCTCATATATTCTCATTTTAGTGGTATGTAGTGTAATTTTTGGAGCTAAAGATTTAGTTAATTGAGACCTTCCTTCAAACGTTTTTTTCAGGTTTTAAAGGAGCATAGTTAGAAAAGTTTTTCAGATTTTGTTTTGATAAAAAGCGTTGAGAAGTAATTTAAGTTTTACTCGAGTTTTGAGCAGAATTTCATGGAAGATATTTGAGTAGAAAAATTTTAATCAAAGTCCAAAATACGGACGAAACTGCTTTTTTCATTTTTCTGGCATTTGCCAGCCTAATCGTTACTTTTCGATTTTTTCCATCTGAATCTTCTTAGTTTCATTACTATCAAATTTTCCCGACGAAAAAAGTTTTTTTTTACCAGAAATTTTAGTTCCTTTCCCCGCAGGTCTCTCGCAGCGTGTTCTCAGAGAAAGAAACCATAAACTTTATATTACCAAAAATACAATTTTAAAAATTACATAATTAAAAATAAATGAACCTTACCAGGACACATCAGCGTGGTAGTCCCCGACTTGGTGGCCGCATGTAAAAGGTTCGACAAACTCGGCGTCGAGTTCGTGAAACGCCACGACGAGGGGAACATTCACGGACTGGCGTTCATCAAAGATCCCGACGGCTACCACATCGAGATCTTCAACCCATCCAACATTGACCTTTGAGTTCCTTTCTTCTTGTTCCTTTTTGATAAATGATTAATACTTGCTCTTTGATTAGCTTTTGGTGCGCCTTATCGCTTTTCAAATGAAGGGTTTTGTGATTTTTTTCAATATAAAAGTTTACTAGCTTTTAAACCTAGGAACTCCAGAGTGATCTTTTTATGGGCAACCTTGAGGGCTCTTTAAACCCCTCTAGGGACAAATTTACTTTCCCCTATAGGGGTCACTAAAGCCAACCTGAAAAAACTCAATAAATTAGGTTTTTTCGAATGAAAAAATATTAACAAAGTACAAGTTTGTGTTTTCTAATTTTCTAATCTGCTTATACTTTGGGCGCTTAGGGGTCAGGCTCTAAACTCCTATAGGGAATACTTAAATTTTCACCCCTATAGGAATCACTCCGGCGTTTCTAAGAGGAAAGGTGATTTTTCAACAGAGTAAAACTGAAAATATATTTTACAGCAGGTTCCGCTCAAATTGAAACTATTTTAACAACTTTTTTGAATACATATGTTCACCGATTGAAACGTTCAAATCACTTATCTTTCTAAGATTCCTTCAACTATTTTTGACATGGTGTAATGAAACACTAAAAGTGAAGCTTCTTGAAACCAGATTTTTTAAAGGAACAAAATAACTTTTTAAAATTTTCCCTCGGCCTTCATTAGTCTCTTTTTTAGGAACGGCCACACGAAAAGCGACGCGGATTGCGTAAAACATTCAGCAAGTTCTTTCGCCTCACTGCCGGTCCTCTAAACTCACCTTCTCTCTTATCTTTTCTCATCATTCCTCGACTTCCATGTACTCATCAAATTTATATCTCGAAGAATATTAGCTGATTTGGTTACAGACTTACTGATTGACGATAAACCATGAGTTATAAATGGCTACTTTTATTTACAACTATCAGAGAAGAAAATGTTCGAATATAAGAACAATAAAAGGAGAATTTCTACGGGGAATCAGGCGACGTTTTTGGCGTTGAAGATCTCGATCCAGTAGCCGTCGGGGTCCTGGATGAAAGCCAGGCCTTTCATCGATCCTTCCTGCGGCTTCTTGATGAACTCGACGCCCAGCTTCTCGAATCTGGCGCAAGCCTCTTCGACGTCGGGGACATGGATTCCGATGTGACCTGCGAGGAACTCTCTTCTTTTGGCCTGTTTTTTTCCGACTTGAAAGGCGAGATGGGTAGATCAGCAAGGGTTATGCGTTGCGTACGCGACGCGGCTTTTTTGGCGGGAAACTCGAAGTTAAGAAGAAACACGGAAAAATATTGAAAAAAAAGCTGTTTTGTTGCTTTTTAGTTCTATCATTTAGCAACATTATTTTATTACCGTGAGAAACTATAAATTGACGAAAACCCTCAAAAAACCTCACAATGAAATAATTCCGATATTACACGTCTACATTTCATTTTATAATGGTTATAGCGTTTTCATGCGCAAACAAAAACTAACCATATCCTTTAGGATCCTTGTTGCCGTTGTGATGTTTCAAGTTCGGGTCATTTTCCGTGCCCCAGTTACTGTAAATCCCGAAATTCATCAAGAAAATGATGAAATTGAACAAACTGAGTGAGTTCGATAGTGGAATGAGTGCTGAGAGCAAATCGAGCCCGTTCAGAATCGTCCTTCGGGATTTCTCCAGCGTCTTTATAGCCCATGAAGAACAGGGAGAATTTTCCAGATTCGTAGTCCAATTGTTTCAGGAGCCTGGAAGGCAAAGTAAATATTTTTCTCTTTCTATTCTAGCTTATATTCTACTTTACGAAGCAAAAAATACGCGTTGTACAAAACATTAAAAAAATCAATTGAAAACCGTCAGATTGGAGAATTTAGAAGAAAAATTTTTCATATATTTTAAAAAAATAAAAAAACTTCATTTTCGTACCCAAAAAAAGAAATGAAAATTGAAAAATTGAAAAACTTCACATATATTCTAAAGGAAACTTTCAACTGAATGGTCTCTTTTACCAAGATTTCGATTCGAATCATGTTTCTTGAAACTAAATTTGCTCTCAATTCTATCCCCTTTTTACCTCATTCCAAGGACGTTGGTATAAAACGGCAGCGATTTCCTCGGATCCTTGATACGGTACATGGTCTGTTGGAAGTAGAAGCCGTTGGTTTCCGGCGACGGTTCTTTGACCAGTTCATTTACCTTTGAAAAAAATATTAAAAATCTATACAGATTTTCATATATCAGGAATTTTCAAGCTTTAATTGTTAGTTTCCAAACTATAAAACATTTATTCTTTACGTTAAAAGTCTTATTTTAAAAAAAAACTTGAGTTATCATAGCATAGAAGTACTTTTTTCACACTCAAGAAACTTAAAATGCCGTGTTCAAAGTAATTCCGAATCAGCCGTCAGAGAAAGAAAAAGATAAGTAAATTTTGGAGAGTCAGAGATAGTTTTGCATTCCGGAAATTTCTTTGAACACAACATAAAATCAATGGTTTTCAGCTTTAGGCTTTCCACTGAGTTCAGCCTTTTTTTTGGAGGTATAAAAGGCTTGGTGAACCTCAAAAGAAATTGAACCAAAGACCTTGATTCTGATTAAATTTCGAGTAGCACAAATTTCATTCTTTCATTCGACATAAAAATATAAAACGGTCCGAAAATGTGAAAAATGATAAGTGCAAAACGTCGTGAAAGATTTCAATGAGCGAGATCAGAAAATTGAACCGGTTTACACACCTGTGAACTCCAAGTTAGAAATGACATGATAAAAATTTTGGAAAGTGAGGAAATGAAAATAAAAACGCATGAGAAAACCCGCATAAGTGCAGAAAAAATGATTAATACTATATTCTCAACGATTTGAAGCTTCAAAGTGAGAATCGATTCAAGATATTTTGCCGATGCAAACCAATTTCTGTTAATTAAAAGGTGCTACCGAAGCAGTTTTTTTGTCGGACACTTTAAATCGTTGAAAAAACAGTGCATGTAACAAGCAATAAAATGTACCAAAAAGAAAATTCATGGGCTTTTGTTAAATTAATACGGAAGTGGTGAAATTTCAAGTGGATTCCCGCTTAAAATAGGCCTTTCTGGTATTATGACCGACAGGAAAAACTTTTTCGACGAACTCTTCTTCATCTTCTTCAGATGAACTCTCGTACTCGTAGTCTTTATCCTTCTTGTCTTCCCTAGCGTCATCATCGTCAGTGTCGGATTCTGACATTTCTTCTTCCTCTCCAGAGTCTTCTTCTTCTTCTTCTTCGTCCTCTTCAGTATCCTCTTCCTCGTCGACGAGCTCTTCTTTGATTTTGAAGTTAGAAGGGTCAGGATCGCCGTAGGTGTCCGTGAGAATCGACTCTGTGTTTGTGAGACGAGATTCTTCTTTCACGGATGCGGCCCGGGTTTTCCTTTTCTTGAAACTTGGCTCTCCTCCTTCTACATAAAAATAGGGTTTAGGAACTGAAGGACGAGTCAAAATTAGTGAGACACTCAACAAAACCCGCATAATGCTCTTTATTGGTACAATTAATAGATACAAATGCCTGATAGGTTCCCAATTTTTCTTCAAATATTTATATTGACCGATCAAAATTTTCTTTCCAAAATGAACTTGGATGGGAAAAATCTTCAAACGTTTTTAGCTCATGGTTTTTTGGAACATGTCTCTCTAGTTTTGACAAAAAGCTATCAAGAAAAAAAAGCTGCGCGGAAAAAGCTAGCAAAAAAATTGCCGATGCGAAATAAAAGCAGAAAAAAACTTGCTTTCAGGATTTTTCATATATATATTTTTTTCTGTTCTTTGGTCTCTCCGAGTTTTCCTGGTTTTTTAAAGGATTTCTTTCCGTGGCGTTATCGGTCGAGCGCGACAAGCATGAAGATCGCAAGCAATTCTTTCGCTGGCTTGTGTTTTGCAGCTTTCTCGCCATTTACCTTTCGAAGGACCCTGCAGAAAGTTACAGACTCGGCGCTTTCTTTTGGTCGAGGACATCTCCTCTACGGGGAAGTCCTTTCCTTGAAGGAGAGACCCGGGCTTGTGCGTGCTGACGGCGATGACGATGGAGACGCCGGGATGGCCGCCTTGGCTGAGACACATCATGTGGGCCGCCATTCCCGTCTTGTCGACGAAGGTCCAGTGGCAGCAGGTGCAAGTGGCCACGCTTTTCAGTCCGTGCTTCATCGCCATGTGCTTCTTGACGGTTTGCGTCAGCGGAACCGTATCCTTGCATAGTTTGCAGAAATGGCCGCCGGCATGAGCCGTCGCGATGTGGCGACACAATGAGGTGTAACGCGTGTAGGTGACGCCGCATTTTGGACACCGATAGTTCCCCTTTTTATTCGGCTTTTTCCGTGGTGATTGAGAATCCGTGTTGTTTACCTCAAACACAGAACGATTTTCAAGGAATCTGATCGCTAAACGAACATGAGGATTTCAGATGAACAATTTTTGAAATTCATTTCAGAGTACAGGTGAACAAGGGCGTTCAGAGAATAAAAAAAGCGTCCTCTCATTTTTAAACGCTCTCTATCTTCCGAAGTTTCGAATCTAACAGTATAATTTGTCATACAAATAGTAATTATTATGAAAATTCATGTACATACAGTGAAACATGCAAAGTAAAGCTCTTCGAAACGAAAATCTTTATCTTGAACTTCCCTTTTAAGATTATATTCCTTTGAAAAAGTAGAGAGAAAAGCAGGAAAAAAAAAAGTTAAATATGATTATAAAGGAAGCGCTGTTAGTTGTTCAGAGGGCTTTTGGATTATTAGTGATAGAAAAATGATTACCATACCATTTTTCAAAACTATTTTACGGGTTTTATGAAGTCCATGCAGGTCATGCAAAAAAATGTTTCTTTCAAGCCTTTTTTATTATTTTCCCAACATGAATCTAGATTTTTTTTTTGTAGTTTGCTCTAAACATATCAAAACAGCCTTTGATTCATCCGTTAATAAATAGCTTCAAACATTTACCTCACTGGCAGTGAGTGGTCGGGGCTTATCGGCGTCTGATCCTTGTTCTCCAGCCATCTGAACGGATCTTGAACTATTGATCGATAGTATTCTGAAAACCATTCAATTTCAATCAATATTCAGTGGGGGAAAACTCACTGGCCCACGTGGAATCGGGGTTGATTTCGTTCTGAAAATGGGCGTAGCAGAAGACGGCAAGAACTCCTGTGAAGCCGATCAGAGAGTTCTGAAAGCTCGAAAATTTCTTTGAGGGACAAAGAAACTGAATCTATAAAAATTTATGGTTTATTTTATGGAGAAATGAAACATGTATCGCAACCATACCGAAAATCAAGTAACGAACATGTTTCGTTTCACCATTAAAAAAATAATTATCATTATCCAGAGTGTTTAAAAAATCCTTGTTTTGGCAAAACTATCGTATATTCAAAACGAAACTAAAAAGACCTTTTCGCTTCAAAAGAATTTTTCAATAAGCACTACCGCAAGAATTTTTACCTAGATAATACGTTTATATTCCAAACTTTCTCTTTTAAAAAATTAGAAAGCTAATTTTAAAATCTACCGAGGCCTAAAATTAACTAAGAAAGTATCAAATCAAAATCTAACCGTTAGATTCTAATATCGATGATGCAAAAATCGGTTGGAAAGATTTTCGGAACGCTCGAGTCGTTGTAGAAAACATTTCTCAAAACATTCAACTCAATCATTTAAAAAAACATCAAAAGAGTGGCATTTTGATTCAAAAAAAAAAACAAGAGATTTTCCATTTTTGTTGGGGAAATTGTCAATTCGAAGAAACGAGAGCAACAAAACAGAATAAAAGTGGCCGGTCAGCAAAAAATTGTTTACGCACTTTTGCAAAATATTTGCGATCTTTGGTGTACACCAGCTGAAAAAGAGATTTCTTCAAGATAACTGCGAACAGTATTTGATAAAAACCTTGAAGATGTAAATTCTGACAATAAACGTTTAAAAAAGCTTTCTTTCTAATCCTCTTTATAAAGTATGAAATGGTAAATATGCAAAAAGAAAACCAAGCAATATTACCACTATTATCCTCATACCACACAAAACAGTTGATTAAATGAATATATAGCAATAAACTCAGAATGGTATATTACCGATCGGAAGGATAGAGTTTTGCCCCCTTTTGGAAGCCGATTTTCACTGACTTCGCGCCAAACAGCTCTTCCGTCCGGACCACGGATCAAGACTCGAGCTAACAAGCTCAATTTCATAAAACAGGAAACCCTTAAATTCTTGATTCAATAAATTGATTAACAGATCAAGAAAATTAAAAAATAAAGTGAAGGTAAGAAGTGAAATTTAAAAAAATCCCCTCTTTTCGAAAATATGGGATTTAAAAAAAACGAATGAAAACAGAAGCCTTTGATCCTTCGTATATCGAACTGTGAATTGGCATCAGAGTTGATTCAAAAATGATATTAAAAAATAGAAAAAAAATTATTTAAACTTGAAATCCCGCTTTTCGTCGTGACGATGCGCACAGAAAAATGGAATACCGTAGCTCAAAAACATAGTGAAAAAAATTGTTTGAAGACTTTTTTTATAAACTTTTCTCAAGAATACCAAGGCTCGGATTCAAAAATATATACTTACAATGAGCTTCCGCATGCTTTCTAATTCGTATAAGCTGAACAACTTCTTTTTTTCCCAATAATTAAAGGCGAAACCATTAGAAATGTAAATAATAACTAATCGCAATCAATTTATGTAAGAAAAACAACAAAAAATCAACAGAAACACAAAACAAGTGACAATATTCACAGAAAAAAAAAATCACATTCACAGGCAATTTTAAAAGAAAAACGAATCAGTGCTATACGAGATGAAATATTGCAAATTTATCTCTACAATTGATTAATAAGAAATATTAAATGGCATCGGCTTCCTCCACAAACTCCGATAAAAGTTCGCTGAGAGATCGCTGCGATTCCATTTCAATCTTCGTCATCGTTTGAGCGTGAACTGCAAAAAAAAATATTTTTATGAATATCCGAATTAAAATACTTTAGCTTTTTTCTCAACTTCACTCGGAGCAGGAAAATTTGAAAATTCTGACACGGTCAGTGAAAAAGAAATGCTTTGAGTCTGTTGAAAATTCACTACTTTGAAGTATCCTGAATTCGATTCGAAAAAAAAAGCTTTTCAGATACTATTTCGCGATTTATTCGAGTTTCGAACCCTCAAAATCTTTCAAAACTCGCTTTCTGGTCACGTATATGGTAATTCACAAACTTCCAGGTTTCGAAAACGTTCAGGGAACGGCCTATATTTTCCAGCAAATTTTCGGAAGATTCTCAAAGTCTGGCTGCTTGATCCTTAGGATATTCTGAAACTATTTTCACTCCTGCTAAAATTAATTTTCTTTATGATTCTACCTAAAGAATATGCAACTCACTTCAAAAATCGACAAGAAAAATGCTTACCCGATTTGTCCGCAAAGAAGTTGGTAACGCGAAGATGATAAGCATTCCAAATCTTGTCCAGAAATCGAGCACACGCGTCGTCTTGGCGTCCGCCTTGCCGTCGGATGAAGCGGAACACGTCGCGGAGAACCCGGCCTAACTCATCCGACGGATCTCTTTTCCACAAAAACATGAACTGCAACCCTTTTCGTGATATACGATCAACTAGAGGTACTAAAACCCATCGAACATGAGCAATGATGAGAGCCGCGTCTTTGGTGCGTTCTTCGTAGTGTTCGCAGCTGCGACTGCAGCTTCGCAGGAGAAACTGTCGCAGCAGGCCGTCTGGATTCATCGCCATCGCCATGACCACCGCCGTATCGTCCCAATAACTCACCCCAACTTCTGAATTTCTTCTTTCAAGTAGGTTATTTTTCATAAAGTTCATAGTTCTAGAGTCACTGTAATTTGTGAAAAATTACAAACCACTTTTTGGACTTAAATTTCCATTAACATTCAATAGTTGTTCTGAAGCGTCAAGATCAAAAAATTTCTTCCACTTGATTAAATCTTCTTTGAACCTGAACCGTGTTGATAAAGCTGAATATGTGGCCAAAAAAAAAAAAGACGCATACCAAAAAAATTTCTCGTGAAAAATATAGTGCACAGAAGTGCATCTTGTTTTTCAAAAGTATTCTCTAAATTTCGCTAGGATTTTTTTAACATTTTACCAATGAATATTTTTCAAAGACACTAAAAAGCAGTCTAAAAATAAACTTTGCAAGCGCGTGAAGAGGGTGTAGACGTCTTTGTCGGTCCAGACGACGTACTTTTCGAAAATTCGAGCGTTGCATAGGAGCAAACGGTCGAAAGCTCTTATGATGTCCCGCAAACAACTGCGGGTTTTGGTGTCGAAAAAGCGAAGTCGGCTGACTGGATTCGGTGCGTTTTCAGTGTCCTCCTGACTCGGCTCGTGAAACTCCTCCCATGAGATCTTACCTGAACATGAAAATTGTTTTTATTTTTCACAGGTGTGGCAAAAAGACAAAAGTTGAGCATTTGAATGAACTTTTGACGAAAGGGGACAAAATTATCGAAGGTAAAATATGTGAATGTTATCTCTATTAAGAAATCAGGGCGCGTCAGAAAAATTTTAAAAAATTTCCTTAAAACTTCGTCTTTCTGCATTATGATTTTTATAGAAAAAACCATCTTTGATGGGTCCAAAGAGCATGTAGAAGACGCGGACTTGAAACTGAATCTTGAAATTTCGGATGAGGATTGAAATCGCAGCGCCTTGTTCACACTCGGAGTCGTAGGTTCCGGGGCCAAATGGACCCGTCAGAAATAATTCGCGGAGGTCCTCGCGGATCTGAAGTTGATTATTATGAAAAGTATATTTTACTTTTTAAAAGGTGTATTATTTTCAAGAGCGTTTTCTCTTATATTTCGGATTTTAACGAATTGATGAGATTTTAACGGTTTTACAGATAATATTTGTAGAATTTTCTCGACTCTGAAGCTTGAAAAAATGCCATTTCAAAACTTAAAAGTGTTCACAGCTGAACAGAGATTATGTCAATAAAATTACTTCATCCATGATCTTTTAAATGGTTTTATTCGAAACTTACAAGCTCAAGTTAAGCCAAAAATGTTTTTTTTTTTTCAAATTTTTACACTTGCCTTTTAGCCTTCTTTCAATGAACTTTTTTTTGAAAGCTAATATTGAAATAAACATTTTTTCAAACCGTCTCAATAGATAATTCCAAAAAAATAGAAGAATCAAGAAAAATCCCTAACTAGATTATTTCCGCTTTAATAAGTCGAAAAATAATGAAAAAAAACTCTGTCGCAACCTGGAATTTTATTTTCCGATACAAAACAAAATAACCTGAATCTCCATTTTGGGATGAACGCCCGGAGGTTCCAACAAAACGGTCCTCAAATAAATCCGAAGACTGGGATTGAAAAGAATCGCCGCTTTCAACACATATCGCCGTTCGGAAAACGTCCATTGCTTCGTTAACTTCAATAAAGTTCAGTTTTTCTTGAGATTGATTGCAGATTTCCAAATACCGCGTCAATAATCCGACCGAAACCGGTCAATTTTCCAAGAAATGAGTGCAAGTTTCGGCAAATGTTCAGCAGAATGGCGGCTCTGATTGAGGTCGAGAACTCGATTGTTATCGACTTCACGAGCAATCCTGGATAAAAAAAATTGGAATCAAACTATATAATAATTCCAGAAGAAAAATGTTTTTGTTCTTAAAGATATAGAACGTTTTTATTTTATGTGATACATCCATATTCGAAAAATCTTGAAGATAAAAAAAGAGATAAGGATTTTCATGTTCAAGAAAAAGGTCCTTTTCGTGTCTGCGCTCTCCACCAACCAGACCCTATCTCTTACATTATCGTGTCGGGACCTTTTTTTGATGGATCAAGTCAGCCATGAATTAGCTATATTTTTACAAGACTTTTAAAAATCTGAGCAAAAATTGAAATAATATCAGGACCTGCGCCTTCAAATGAGAAAATATTCTTACCGCATCCAAAAAAAGGATCCACTTGTAGAGCGATAAATCGCTTCCTTCTCAAATAGTCTCTTTGAAACCGCCGAGCGAAAACCGGAGATGCAACGTAATTTTTCAATACATTTGACCAGGCTGTAGACGTTTGAGCCAAGAATGAGAGGGAATATACTAAATCGAGAGTTTGTTGAAAAATTGGTAATTTTCAGAAAAATTTAAATTTTTTTCTCTATAAGTTCAAAAAAACTCTCACGAGAGCACTGATGGAGAATTTTCGTCCGCAAAGCCGGTGGCAACACAGAAAATACTCCCAGTGGACTATCCTTGGACGTTGACTCAACAGGAAAAAGTTTGTTCTGAGAGTTGAACAAAGAATAAATAAAAAGTTCCTTTCCTAATACTAAAACCTTTTGTTCTTTTCGGTATCCTGAGTAAAAGCCGCAAGTGTTCTTCAGAATATTCATCTGGAGATGCAGAACGTTTTCTTGTAAAACTATCGTCCTCATTTTGGGATAATTTGGTGCTGATCCCATCAGTATGCTTTCTTTTTAAAACAGGAAAGTAGTGTGTGATAGGAGGAGTTCCCTCCTGGAAAAATTTCAAGCTGATAGAAACAATCGGAAGTTTATAAACTAACATCTTCTGCTTTTCTCTTTCTTGAAGAACATCTTCTGGGTGATACCATACTTTCCTACAAAAATAATTTTCACAATAACAAGAAAAACGCTTACATAAACAAGAAACACACAAGTAAAATTAAATTTTTAGAAATTCAGAAGGTATATTTTCGAAACTCAAAACGACTTTTTCCAAAGAGGCCTCAGCTTCTCACCAAAATAGGTCTCAAAAATACAATGCGAATTAATAGATGATCAGATCACCAATATCCAGACTTTAAAAAAAAATATTTGCGTTCGCATAAAAAAAAAACGTAGGCCAAAGTTTTGCTTAGTATGAGTAAAAAAAACAAGCTTGAAATTGAAGAAGTCCCGTAACTTCTAAAAGAGTTAACGAAGAAAATAACTATATACTTTCTCCCGCTTGATACAGATGATATAGCTGATTCACGGTTGGCTCGACCTACCGAAAAAAGGGTCCTGTCATGGCGAGAAAAGAGAAAATAGACAGTGCCTGGTTGGTGAAAAGCGGTGACAGACCAAGTCTTGCTGATAACCAAGCAAGCCATGAACGGGCTATATCCTATTTTTTCATTCATGAATTTTAGGCCATGTTCAAAGTGATTTTCGCGTAAAGCAAAACGGGTTCTGACTCTCCGAAATTTCGTTATATTTTAAATTTTGCGGAATCACTTTCAACACGGCATAATAAAAAATCTCAGGCGCGCACGCACGGGGGGTCCTAGTTCTTTTTCGTCTTTTCCTTGGCACAGCGTTCTAAAGCGGGGTTCCTGCCCCTTTTCCGAAAAGAAATAAAAGAAACGAACTTCTCACATTTTTTTAAGACTACCTAGGGCTCCTGCTCACTTTTTTTTTTTTCTGTTCCGAGCACTTCTGAACATAATTACAAAAACCATTTCCAATCGAAAGTTTGGTATTTGAAATTTTAGCGCGTTCGAATTTTCAGTCTTAAGCAGCGCAATGAGAAAAGATGAATGGGCACGAAAAATATTGAAGTTATAACTTTTCAATTAGTTCAAAAGCTATATATATAGCTGATTCACGGCTGGCTTGAGCCATCGAGAAAAGGGTCCTGTCACGAAAAGAGACGAGACAGTGCCCTGGTTAGTGGAGAGTGCAGACAGGCAACGCCTTTTTGCGTCCAAAGCTAGCCGTGAATCGTCTATAAAATAAAAAAGAGACACCCCGTGCGTGTGCTTGAGAAAGGATAAAAAAAAATTTTAAAGAAAAAATCCTCTTAAGCGAAGCCTTCGGGTTGATCAGAGCGCAACTGCACTAAAAATGACTGACGAGATAAACGCGAGGTCGGTGGCGGTACATTGACGAGCTCGCCAACATCTCGATTTTTTCTAGGCGCGCTCTCGCATTTTTCTCGGCGCCATCTCGCATTCATCTTGCATTTCGGAAATTTTCAAATTGCGAGAGAAATGCGAGCTCGCGCCTAGAAAAAAGCGAGCTCGCGCCCAGAAAAATGCGAGACCGGCGCGAGAAAAAAAGCGAGATGTTTGCGAGCTCGTCAATGTACCGCCAGTGTCTCGCGTTTATCTCGGCAGTTATTCTTAGTGTCCGAGTCTGTTTCATTAATTTTTTTGTGATTACAAAAAAATTAAATTTTTGAAAAAAATTATTTTTTTTAATTAAAAAATATTAATTTCGCACTAACAAATATACTGAACATCTTTACAGGGAACACTCCATTATTTGTGCCGTGTTCAAAGTAATTTCGGCGATTTCAAAATTGACGCGTTATTCGTTAAAATTATTTTAGGAAATAGGCAAATTGGACTTCTGGAAAGGCGCAGAAATAATGAGTCCTAAAACGACTCTAGTTATGCTTTTTACTGCAACTTCTACGCACTAACTCAAAATTTTCGAGAAATTACACGAAAATTTCAAAAACGCGCGTAAAACTCGCCGTAAAACAGCATATCTTGCAATATATCGTTTTAGAACAAAATTTTCTGCGCCTTTCCGGAAAACAATTTCTGCATATTTCCCGAAATCATTTTTAACGAAACGCCTAGTTTTTGAAATCGCCTAATATGCTTTGAACAACAAGCCGGTCCTCGCACAACCCTGTCTTGGACCTTGATAACGAAAGCCCAACGCGCCCGGACGTTTCTTAGCATTTCTAATATTTCTTTTAGCAGCTTCATCACTCTTAAATTTTTATTTAAAATTCTAAGAAACGTCCGGGACAAGTCCGATTTGCATTGCCAAGGTCCGAACAATTAAAGCCCTCAATCTTTATGATAGTGAGGACCGAATTCAGCCAATGTGAATTTACTGTGATTTCTTTCTTCCTTTGCAGTTCAACACAGAATAAAAAAAACCCTCAGCTGCTTTTAAGAGCATTGGGCTGGTACCTGGTATCGTCTAGCCGACCCAGCGGTTGATCGACCTTCCTCCGCCATGGAATTAGTGTCGTCGAATTTGCATGGATTGATCATTTCGTTGAAGCTTTCTGTAATAATTTCAATATTGAAGAAGGCAAGTGGATTGAATTATTCGAATAACAATGTTTTGGCTGTTTAACTATGTGAAGTCTCAAGTAAGTTAGGGAGCTTTATTCAGTCAGGAGAACTAACTAGGCGGTGCGCTAGAGCTCCGCTCGGCCTTGTCAAAACTAAGATTCCTAGACGCCGAAGGCCGTGACGGCATTTTCCGCGGGGGTCCCATCATCGCTTTGTCAGCATCGCGCTGCCAACAGTTTATGCGTCAGCCACAGGAATGGGCTTCGGCGTGACTTTGCGTATCCGATTTGCAAGCAAAAAGGATCGGCACTCCGGGAGTCCCGCGGGCCTAATCTACTAGCGCTTACAACTCAAAAACTTATTTTGGAAATTAGAAATTTTTTGGAAGTTAAAAAAACTCATCTTGACGTAGAATCCCGGAGCAAGACGGCGTCGTGACAGAAGCAGAAATGAGATTTGAACGCAAGTCATAAGAGAAGAAATGACACGTTGCCACGTGGCTTTTTGTACGTGTTAATTTTTTCGATATCAAAAAAATAAACTTTTCACGGGGTTCACGTTTTTTTTTTTGCAGAGAATGAAATTTTTATTTTCTGAATACAACTCTGGGTCATATGACGTGAAAAAGTAGAGCTTGTGGAGACAGTAAAAAAACTTTTTCAAGTTTTTTTAATTTTTTTCGGCACTTTATTTTAAACGTTTCATTAGATTTTTAAAAAACCGCACCTAGGGTATAAGTTCAGATGAAAAATAAATAAATAAACAACTAAAATAAATAAAAAAAAAACCGGGCGTACGAGCTAGACGCTGTCCCTTATCAAGATAAGGTACAGCCATTTTGTAAACCTTCGGATTTGGGGAATGTCGTTGCAAGTTTGTTGTCTTTTTCTTCTCGGATTCTTTTCCAATTTTGAAAGTCTAGAAAAAGAAGCCGCAGGATACAAAGCGGGCTCCAATTAAAAAAGTAGGACGGAGAAAAAAAGGAAGTGAGTTGTGTGGAGAAAGAGGAAAACAAAATAAGGAGCTTAGATGAAATCGAGAGGAAGAGATCAACTGATAACCTGAGAAAGATGAGCGACAGCGACGGACACGGCGACGAGGATGAGAGGAAGTTTCCGTTCAGCAAGCCAGTCGAGTTCCCGAGGAAGGTCGAACCAACGCCAGAGCAAAAAGTCGTTTTTGAGAAGTTTGTCAACGTAAGAACCGAGCCAAAACGTCAAGAAAAATCAGAAATTCCGTTCAGAGTATAGTGAAAACCGGCGTAGAAGGTCTTCTGGCCCAGTACCAGTCGGTCAGAGCCTACATTCCGCCGAATATGAAAAGAGACGCCTTCGACGCGAATCCATCCAAAAACCGATACAAAGGTTTCCATTTGGAGTTCAAGAAGTGAGAAGGATCTTGAAGACGTCGTCTGCAATGGAGAAACCCGGGTGGTTCTGAAGGATGGCCGGGAAGGCGACTACATCCACGCCAACTTCGTCAAAGGCCTTCTCAAGCCCTTCTACTTGACACAAGTTTGTTCTGGGAGAAAATTGTAGAACAATATGACTTGAAAAAAAGTCGGAATATATGGTAGAAAAGAATAGAAAAACTGAATTTTCCCTTGAATTTTTTTTTTTTTGAAAAGCCTCCCACAGGGAAGGTCATTTTACTTTGCGGTTGGGAACTTCCTGAAAATTGACCAGATCACTTCTTGATGTACTAGAAGGAGATTCTGAAAGTCTCAACCAGCACAACTTCCTAGTTCTTAAGAAATAGGAGTCTAAAGTCCCAAAATAGCTCATTTTGAGCGTTTTCTTCGAACTTGTAGCGTCTTTTTTCGAAAAAGTAGAGAGTTGTGCAGGTTGAGGCTTTCAGAATCCTCTGGTACTTCAAGGAGTGTTCTAGCCAATTTCAGGAAAATCCCAACCGCAAATTAAAATGAGTTTCCTGGTCAGCTATCATTTCCAACCGCAGCGCGACCGCGACGCGCCTAGCCATTACATCACAGCTTTTGAAGATAATATATAATTGTCTAGTGCATTAGAAGATCGGCTTTGTTACGATTTTGAAATCATTTCATTAAAAGTGATATTACCCCTCGATTTTCTTCTCATTTGGCTTTTTTTCGTTCCCTCACTCTTTCCAAGCCATTCTTCGCAGGGTCCAACTCCAACGACGACACTCGACTTCTGGAGAATGATCCTACAGGAAAATATCAAGATTATCTGCATGTTGTGCGAAGTTTAACTAAAAAAGCTTTTTGATAAGAAATCTCTGAATATTCAGACCATGGAGTACGGCAGAGAGAAGTGCCATCAATACTGGCCTGCAACGGATAACGTCGTTTTAGAATTTGGAGGTTTACTGGGGAGCAAGAGAACGATGGCGACCTGAAGAGACGCCAGACAGTGAGAGGGTTTCCAATTGTCTGGCATCTCTTCGGGCCGCTGCTGATCTTTCGATTTCGCTCAATCTCTTTGCTCATTTTCATGTGAGACTATGGTCCGATGCAGATGTAGCTTTTCACGGTTATCTTGAATATGAGCTTGAAAAATGAAAAGCAGGTCTGTGAAAAAAGTTATGAGCGATCAAATTGGAACGGAAGGTCTAATAAAGTTTGAAAATATCTTGCAAACTAGCTTGGGAAAATTAAATAATCGAAATAATCAACTTCGATTTTGAACCCTATTGGTCATCTCTGAACATCCAAAATGAGCTTATCAAAAATTTTCCACAACCTTACGACTGTGAGCATAACTTGGAAGTTTTTGAGAACAGATCCGAGTTTAACTCAAAAAGCTGCATCTACAACAAAGTTAGACCAACTTCAAATATCTGCTGTGACCAACTTATAGTCATTTTTAAGCTCCCATCCATTTGACGGAGCCCAATCTTCAACTACAACCTGTTTAGGGATCTCAATCAGGAACCTGAGACTGGAGAAAGAGTTTGAGAACGGAATGAACAGGTCGCTCCTCGAGATCGACTCAGAGGGGATCAAGTCGTACGTCTGGCACCTGCACTGCAAGAGTTGGCCCGACAAGACGGTGCCCCTCTCGAATATGAGCATTCTCCGAGTCCTGCACTATCTGCGCGCCATTCCCGGGCCGGTCGTCGTCCACTGCTCGGCTGGCATCGGTCGCACCGGCACCTTGGTGAAGACTTTGTGCGCTTAACTCATCAGTCTTTTTAATCGACTATTGCTGCGTTTGAGCATTTCTGAACGCGCTTCTGATCTCTAACCTCTGAAAAGGGTGTTCGTTCCACCTTGCGGTCTGGATTTTCCTGAAAATCGGCCAGAACACCCCTTGATGTACCAGATTCTGAAGTTTTAACTTGCGCAACTTCTATTTTTCGAGAAAGGACACCTTGAATTTGAAGAAAACCCTCACAATCCTTTAAAATAGACTATTTTTGGACTTTGAGTCCTCATTTCTCGAAAACTAGGCAGTTCCGCACGTGGAGACTTTTGAGGCCTAGTATATCAAAAAATATTCTTTTCCGGAAATAAATTTAGGGACCTTGTTAGGGACAAAAAGGGCCCACTATAGGGCAGAATTTAGGTGGTCCCTATAGGGTTTTAGGGTCTGTCTGTTTCTTTAATAATGATCAACTAGCATGCCCTCTATCAGGGCCACTTTCGCAAGCTTTAGTGATCCCTATAGAGGCAGGTAAAGTAGTGCCTTGAGGAGGGGGGGACTACTCAAAAAGTTCTTACCATTGTTTCTTGTTTGGCTTTTATAATTTCAAGATTCATACGAATCTATTTTCAAATAATCATTCCAGGTGGCCGTAGAAGTCGCACTACAGACGCTTTACAACGGCTATGAGCTGGACCTGTACAAATGCTGTTGTTCTATCCGAAGTTTGTCTCGCAGAACCTGAAAGAAGCGGAAGAAAAATCTGGAGGGAGACTAGAGAAACGGAGGCTTTTATTTTCTCTGGCCAGTCTCCCCAGGACCACACGCTTATCTTTGAAAAAGCGCTTCAAAAAATTATTTTCCAGACTACCGTATGAGCAGCGTCCAGGTGGATGTGCAATACCTGGCCATCGCCGAAATCGTCGCCGACTTCGGCTTGCGATCCGGTTTCATCAGCGACAATGACCTCAAAGACGTACTGAAAAACTGAAAAAGCTTTTTTTAAAGCTTATAACTTTAGAATTACGAACTTTTGAAGCTGAATATCGCTTCCTACGTTCAGACCAAGGGTCCCGAAGCGGCTCCTGTCTTGAACAAACCGCTTTTCGAACCGGAACCGGCTCCTCCGGTTAACCTTGATAGATTGAGAGTTCTCATGAGAAGTTTTTAGAAAAACCGAGACAATGATGAAATGCACATAAAGAATGATAATGAACGCACCGTCGACAAGACTTTCGAAAAGAACACTAATACCAACGACGACGAGGAGTCTCTGAAGAAGCCCAAGAAGGAGGTTGGGAATCTAGGAAAAATATATTAGATTCTTATGAAGAATCTAGCGAAAAGACTGCACTCATAATTTGAGAATTTCATAGGAAAAAATTAGAATGTTCTTTAAACTTTTGTTCATCAATTGTTTTGTAAAAAGCTTAGGAACTCCAGAGTGGTCCCTAGAGGGGCAAGCTTAGTGACCCTTGAAGGGTTCTATCTAGGGACCACTTTACCAACCCCTAAAGGGGCCACTGAAGCTTGCAAAAGTGATCCCTATAGGGGACATCCTAATCGATGCTTTTATGTGCTCTAGCGAAAAAGCATTCAATGCGAAAATTTAAAGACGTAAAGGTTTTTCAATTGAAGTTGAAAGACCCCTATAGGGAACACTTGAGCTTTAGGGGTTAAAGAGTCGGACCCTAAAACCCTATAGGATCCACCTTGATTTAACTCCTGAGAAGTTTTGAGACTTTTTGGGGTCGACAAATACAAGTAGAAGAAAATTTAATATCCTTACTCTCCAGGAGAGGAGTTGAACTTGTAACCCTGTGAACTTTCGAAAAGCCTTCCACCAACTGAGCTATGCTGCTTTTCGGAAAAGACCTCTTTCAGACCAATAACGCTCCAGCCGCTCAACCCGGAGCCAACCTGGCCCGTCCCACAAAACCAGCGCCGAATAATGTTGCACCGCCGCAGGCGCCCCAGCTAAAGGTTCTACCAGAGATGAGAAATTATTATCCTGAGATTTCGCCTCAAAACCTTTGATATATGTTCGGAAAAAATTATCCGCGCTAAATTTCAGTTTTGAAATATCATTGTTTCCTTGCATAAATGTTGAGACTGATCCTTTCAGATTTTTTTTTCCTTGATACGAAAATTTGAAAAAGTTGGATTGAACCGGGAAAGTTAGATAAAAAGGATTTGAATGTATGGAGCAGTCTTCATTATGACAAATATATATAACGTAACAGATAAACGGTTTACGATATGGTGGTAACTTGAAACGCGAAATGGAATTTGAAGCCGTCTACAGTATCAAAAAAAAAAAGTTTTTTCAGGCTTCAGCCGATGCGATAGGTATTCCGCCTGGTCCATCTCCGGCTGTCACTCAGTACGTGCAGCTGAACGCCCTCAAGCCCAAGGCGTCGTCTGGACAGAAGCAGCAGCCGTCGGCGACGCCGCCTGGTCCGCCGAAAGCCTGTCCGCCACAGACAAACCAGGTATTTAGTCTGTCCAGTCTCCGTCCGAACTAGCCTATCAAAATTGATTCAGTCTCCCCCAAAAAAAGTCTTTAGTTTCACCCCCCTTCGAAATTAGCCTTGGTTGGGTGGGGGAGGGGGATTTTGAAACTTTCCTATATTTTTGAATGTCAAGTACAATGACGTCATCCGGAAACGCTCCGTGGATGGCTCGCTCTCTTATTGGCTTATCGGGCCATTAGGGGCGGAGCTTGAGCGACGACAAAATCTTAACAGATTCTACTCAAGTTCTCAGATCCTCATTAGCTCAAACGAACTAGGCCTCTTCCGAAAATTTGATGTGACCACTTTAGGGTTTTGACCTTTTAGCGGCCACTATAGTGGTCGAAGTAGTGGTCACTTTAGTGACTAAAATTTATTGGCCTCTCAAGGAGTCTGAGTGGTGGTACTATACCACAAAAAACTACTATAATGGTCCCCAAGACGCAAAACAGTGGCTTCTATAGAGGTGGTTTAAGTGGCCACTTTAGTGTCTTTTCCAAGTAGCCCTTGATGAACCCCGTGGCCACTAGATTATTTCCGCAGTCTGATGTTTTTTTTTAAAGTTTAGCTTATATCAGAATCTTATTTTCATGGAATTTAGTAATTTGTTTCATGAAAGGAATGGAAGTTTTTTTATTTTAAAAAATTAGAGGAATTCCAAGGAAGAATTTTTTTGAAGTCAGAGCAATCTTAAATGTATAAATAATGCTGAAAATGGCTTTTCGTCTCAACCCCTTTTGAAAAAAAAAATTTTTCACAAGAGTTTTCTCGTCTTTTTAATCACTATTTTCTATGAAAGAACTTGCAGCAGCCAAAAATCGTCCCGCCGAGGCCCGTACTCCCTCCATCTCACTGAAGTTCTACAACTCGCCCAGAAATCGACGCATTTCCGGCATACTTTTTCTTTCTTTTTTTTTTTAAATAAATCTGCTTTTTGAGTGAAAATACTTGCTTATGCCTTGAGACTAATTTACCGACAGTTCTCGACTGAAAAGTACAGATAAACAGCAAATCGAGTGTTTTCGAGGCCGTCGAATTTTCCGTTAGATTTGAACAAACAAGTACTTTTCGAATTAAATTCGGCTGTCAACACATCAAAGTACCTATAAATACCAGATTAGGACTGGAAAATGATGAAATCGTCGACTACTAGCCTTTTCTTTGACTACCTTTTGAAAGGTTGGATCTTTTTTATCTCAGATTTTTTGAAAATTTTGATTACCAGGGGAAAAAAAACCATTCAGCGCTTCTTTTTGTTCTGCGCCGATGCGCCTTTAATCAAAAAAGGAGCTTAACTTATAATTTATATTTATTGTTAAGGTGTTACTGTTTGAAATTATGAACAAGTCCTCCTAAAAATTTCATCCGGATAAGTCGACCGTAATTCAACCGAGACCGGAAAGATTGATTTCTTAAATTTCCATCATTTTTTCGGAAAAAAATCAAGTTACAGCAAAAATGGCGAGGTTTTGGTGTTTCTTGGCGGTTCTACTGATGTTAACAGCCTTCTCTTCCGCCCAATTCATGTACCCCTACGCCGGGATATCTCCCTCCGCCTATCCTACCGTCTACGGCCCCACCTACAACTACCCGAGGTACGGCTACTCCTACGGCGCCCCAGTTTCCTCAATCTATTATCGTCGATAAACATCTCATGAAACTCGTATCTATTCACAAAATATATATTTCGAAGAAGCACCGAAAAAGTGGAACACGTACAGTATGGGAAGTTGAAGTTGATATCCATTAAAACAGGCTCAGAAAATCGATAATAATTATAATAAAGTGTGACAGAAATATTTCCAACGGTGAGCGACGAGATAGGGGAATAAAACGGTTACCGGTCGGGTTATAAGGCGAAAAATGAGAGAGGGAACGAAAAAATATCCGTGCAATACTATATATATATATATAATTCAAACGAGCAAGGGACTAAAACGGAAACAATAAAAATACCTCGTCCAATTTGTTCTAATTTTCAATTAAGGATATTATTTACAAAAACGCTAAATTTACAAAGTTTGTTGGACAAAAGGAGGAATAGGTGCAAAAAATTTTGGAATTGAGTTAAAACAGTCGTTTCGGGAAATAAATTAAGAGTTGTTCGGCCTTCTCAGCGTGTTTTTGAAGGGCGCGAGTCCGGTCGACGTCCAGTTGGGTGTAGTTGACGTTTGTGTCGGAGCTGCGGCCGATTGAAGAGCACCTGTAAGATAAGCTTCTGAAAAATTAGTTATAATAAGGAAAAAATTGAAATTAAAAAAAAAAATCCTTGAAAAAAGGGATTCAAAGTTTGGTTCAAAACAGTTTGATAACTGCGTTATCAGTTCTTTTCCAAATCATAAAATATTATGAGAAAGTGGAGAAGCGGAATTCAAAAAAATCAATAAAACTTGAGAAATGTTTCGTAACGAGATATAAAGGGGACAAACATTACAATAAACTTTGAAACCCATGGTCGCACTTGGAATGGCTCCGTTCTTAAGGGCTCTTTTAAAGCGCTTTTGATGCGAAACGCCCGAAATTGAATTGAAAATCATCAGAAGGGCGTTTAAAGTTACTTTCGGGCAAACAATTTTGAACTCTCTTTTTTGCCGCTTCTTGTTTGGTCACTGACCAAAAATGCGAGGGAAAAAAAAGAGATCCAGAGAAAAAGAACAGCTGCAAAGAGGGGAGCTTTCAGTCGAATATGAAGTCCCTTTGAGCCAAAAAATTGTCCGTTTGTTTTGCGCGAAAAAACCGCAACGCAACCGCGACGCGTCCAGTATCTCCAGGCTCTCCAAGCTACATTTAACGATCATTTATAGATCCCTTCTCAAACACCAAACAAAAAAAAAGAAATCGACAAAATCAAAGCCGATTCATCATTGTTTGCAGAGAAAAAGAAGTGTAAACCACCATCATTCTTGTGTAATGCAATCGCAGAGCCCGTCCAACTCGGCACTATTGATGGGATAAATTGGAAGCTCAGGTGTTCAATTAAACTCTTGTTGAGTGTAAGGAAGAAACCGCGAAAAAAAGGAGAAAAGATAAAGAATGACAGCTTGGTTCTCTCAAAATACTCTGGTAGGTGAAAAACAATTTAGATATAATGAATATTGGGAATCTAAGCTAAACCTTTAAGGAAAATTCAGGCAGTTTAAAAAAAAGGGGGAAAAAAAATAAAGCGCTAACCGAGGGTGACATACGAGATTTTCAAAAGCTTCAATATATCAGTATAATTTTTTCTACTCCTTTTCCTATTATTTCTTTATGATGCTCATTGTTCCTTATGTGGAGAATCATAAAGCGAGAAGACGTGTTTTTTTTTTCAAATTTTGTTCAATGCTTGTCGGACCAGTGCTAAATATCCGAATGGGGTTTCGATTGGGTCAATTTTCAATAAAATTTTCCTTTTTTAGTCATAAATAGTAAGCAAAAATCCGAAAATCAGCAGAATATTTTCAATCCCAGTAAATGCTATGACTACACCAAAAAAAAAGTTTCGAGGCGTTTTACAACCTATCACTCTTATTTATTGCAGCACCATGGAGAAAAAGCCGAAAATTACAAATGAAGCCTTTTGCAGTTCACTTTTGAAGTTTTTCTTTACTACCAAAGGAAATCCCAACTAACCTGCTGGGAGCTCTGGACTCGGCACTGTCAGCAACTGGAACAAAGTGAGCGTAGTTGAGCCAGGGAAGGGGCGATCCAGTGGAGGAGCGGACGAGTTCTCCGCAGCCGACGGCAGAAGTCGGCGGCGTCGTTCGAACCGACGAGATTGGTCCGTCGGGGCAGCTGAACTGTCGGTGCGACATCGTCGGCGATGGGTCTTTCTGAAGAGAAAAATCAATTTCAAAAACACGTCTGTTTAGGACTGTGCTACGGCGGCCGGTCAATATTGCGCGGTCAGTTTCGGAGTTAGAACATTATTTATTTTTTTTTCTTTTTTTTTAATTTTTCAAAGACCAATTTCTCGAGGTTATAAGATAAATCACCTCACAAAAATACACAAGGTTTCATTTCATGATCGAAAAACCTATCTAAACTACCGTAATATGACTGGTCGCCTTGAACATGAACAGGTTGTTTTAAAAAAGAGGACGCTTCACAAGAAATGTTCCAGTTGGGCAAAAGCCGGGTCGACAGCGTCGGAAAAAGATTGAGAAAGATATAATCATTCTTTTCGACTTAAAAAGTAAGAACAGTAGCTTCCGAAGAATGAAGCGTTGCGGGTTCCTGGATAGAACTCAAGCTCATCCGAAAAAAAAAAAGAAAGAGATAAGGGTTTACTAGACTAATCATAGAACTGAAGGGTCTGGGAAAGAGGCAACCTATGAAAATTTCAAGAAACACGGTAAGAAAAAAAAAGTTTTGTCAAAAAATGAAAGTAAGTTGCTCAGGTCCTCAAGAAAGAGAAATTTTAAAAAATCAAGCCCGTTTACCTATGTTTGAATCAAATAGACTGGGTAGAATGAAGCATAGATGACGAAGATTATGTTTTCGACAAAAGCTCTCAAACGAACCGAAGCCGAGACGACTTCCATATTGACGTAGCGTCGCTGAACGGCGCCTTCAGTGACCCTGTCGACGACGCCGTCAGTCGCGTCTGAAACGCTGGGACTCGTCGTGTAGATGGTGAAGCGTTGGAGTTGACGCGAGAGAGTTCCCATCGTTACGTGGGGACGTGGAGGCGTCAGTGGCGCCGCCAGACTTCTTCGCTGGCCTCCCCTGGAGTATTATGAGGTTGATGGATTGATTGAGAAATTAGCGTTGGGTTCTTCGTCCCATATCTCATTCGCAAGTTAAAAATTAATGAGGATTCGTCCCATCAAAGCTGGTAGAAAATCGAACTTATTACCCAACGGAAAACTGTTTCTAAATAAATATTCAATCCTAGTTCCAACATTTTAAAGTTTGGCGGAAAAGCAACTAGGATTTCAGAAATTTTACCTGAATATTAAATCGAGCTTGTTGAAAGGTACCATATGAGCTGTAATGACGAAAATCCACAGATTTTTTCGAGAAACTTAGAAGTTTTGAAGTAAAAATTAAAGAGCGAACACACAAGCCTATAGAACCTTTCAACAAGCTCGATTTAAAATTCAGGTATAAGTTCTGAAGTACTAGTTGCTATCAAAGAGGTCTAAAAAATACTTTTAGAAAAAAAGGCCTCACTTTTCTCTTGAGCTTTTTTAAAAGGACCTTTTAAGGAGCATAAAAGGAAGAGGCGGAAAAAAAAGACACTCCGAAGAACTTTCGACACCTTTTTAGGAACTCAAAAAGGCGCCTAGAACTCTTCTTTTTGAGGTCGTTTGAACTTTGTCAAATTAAAAAAAAAAGAACAAAACAAATATACGCAATTTCGCCTTTTTCTGTGACTCACAGTTTTTACAAGCCCGATATGTAAATGGCGCTGTGTTATTAGTACAGTTCATGTTGTGAAAAAATTATTTTAAAGAAAAAGCCTTAAAAATGATTTTCTAACCTCCTCCTTTGCTAGTTTCGACAGTTTTTTTCCCAAATGAAAAAAATTATTTTCTCGAAAAAGCAGATTATTTTTCCAGTCGAAAAAAAAATACCAAAAAGGCTGAACGGTAGTGTTTGGAGTCGCTTGGCCCGACGCCATCGAACTGACAGCCGAGGCGACGACGGCTGCAGCGTTCGCCGTCGCCGCAGAGTTCCTCCGTTCATTCATTTCTGAAAAATCAATTTCCAGCTCTTTTAAAGAAATTTCCTATGAGCAGCAAGTACAAGAATTCAGTCAGGCTTCTAAAAAAATCTAAAGCTATGTTGAACCTAACAGTACCTTATTTATTCTAGGCAATTTAGCGAAAGTCTAATGAAAAATGTTGAAAAAAAAAACTATGAATATTCGACTTTGGAAAGACTTTATTGATGAACTAATCAATATAGCCGCCATCAAAATGGCCTTATTACTAAAGTAATCAATATAAACGCTTTTAAAACGACCTCATCATTTGAAACAATCAATGATTTAATAAAATCGCCTACGAAAAACAAGAAAAATGAACTTGGAACCAATATTTCTATTTTACAGATTTTACTCTTTAAAACATTTTCTAAAAAAATCCGCGTGCTTTTCCTATTTCCCGGCCACTGACCAGCGACTTCCTGCGTCGAAATATTGATATACGGCGGCAAATTTCCATTGCCATATTCGGAAACTCTGCTGGGAACGACGCGTTCAGACCTACAAAAGATAAAAAATGACAAAAAATCAATACGATATCAACAAACAAAATGCTTCCAACGATTCGCTGATCTTTCAAAATAGAATTGATACGGCCAGATGAGGTAGATCGCTGAGTTTGGAACGATCCGAAAGAGTTGGGATCTTCGTTTTGCGGGTGCTGGTTGGGGTTTGGAGGCTCGCCGTAGCTTCTGAAAGAACATTTTTCAAGTTTTCCGGTCGGAGAGCTGTAAAATTGAACTAGAAGTTCTTGCCTAGGCCTAGGCGGGGGCGGCAGAACGACTTGACGATGACGGGAATTCGAGCCCCTATGGTAGGAATGGTAACCCATCCCATCAATGTGGAAGCTGTTCGAGGAGCCGTGCGACGAGTCCATACTCAGGATGTCGGATCCCATGCCTGCAAAAATAATAAATATTTTCTTTTCTAGATTCGAGAATGAGCCCCAAAGGCGTAGAGATAATGATGACGTTCAGAAATCGAATATGGCTTTTTATTCTAATCCAAACTTCTACCTACTTTGAAAACGAAATCATAAAAAAAGATATATACATGAGATATTACTCGGACCTTGGTAATAAAATCCGAACGTGCTTCGGACTTTTTCGAGTAAGTCTAGGGAGAGCTGACGCTACTAAAGTGGTCTCTAGAATATCATAGAAACGTCCGGGTCCCGTTGCCAAGGTCCCAGAAAAAAACCTTTACAGGATAAAAAATTGAGTCTGAAAAAGTAAAGGTTCCAGTCTGTAAAGCCAGTCGCGAATAGTCTTTGAAATCCATTTCATAACTTCAGTCAAACTTTAAAAAATAACTGGAAGCCCGAGCAGAAAAGAAATTTTTCTTTCGAATTACTTCTGCAAAAAAGATAAGGGCAAATGAGAAAATCTTGAAAAGATTGATATAGGGCTGAAAACTTTGTGAGAATTCCCGGAAAAAAATATAAAAAAACGCAGTAAACTTCTGGCCCTTCAAGGAATAAAGTGTTTCTCCACGAAAAACTTCCTCTAGTCTTTTTTTTTTACAAATTCAGCCGCCAAGAAACGGACCTTCACTGCGGAACCTCTGGACGGAGGACGGCATGGGTCTCACGGTAGAAGTGCCACGACTTCTCAAAGAAAAAGTCGAGGCGATCGAGGAGGTCGAGCTCTGGTGATTAAGGTGATTCCCATTGTAGGTGCTGCCGAAAGACTGTCGCCGGGAAGACGGCTGACTTTTCCGCTGCAGTTCCAGACACTCGTTGGCGTATTCTTCGACGTACGCTTGGACTAACTGAATGCTGATGTTGCTTTGCAAAATAATGTTTTTCTTCAACTTCAAAAATCTCGTCGGCTTTCTTGCTCTGGAAACAGTGCAGACCCTCTCCAGATTGACAACGTCGTCCGCTTTCAAAAAAGAATATGCCTAAAAATGATTAACTTCAATCATTTATAACATTGAATGATGGGAATGGAAGAAAATACAGTTATACTGTTTAAAAATTGTAAGAATTAGACTAACAGTAAATTTTGGTCATAGCCCAGGAAATATTGCAAGGAATCACTTCGAAGATTTTTTTTTATTTATAAAGTTATGTGGAAAATAGAAGAGAAAGGGCTAGCTGTGAAACCCCTTAACCTAGAAATTATACTTTCAACGCCTTTAATCCCATCAAAAGTGAAGAAAGAATTGAAAAAAAAAATCCACCTTGAATCATACTAATTGAATGGTTTCGCTTCTAAACATTTTTGAATATTTTGGGTGAAGTTTTTTAAAAAAAAGTCTTAGTTTTGAGAAATCACTACCTAGACGAGAACCCTTCAAGCTTTTATTAGCACCTTTAAAAGCTGTTGTGAAATATTAGGAATAGACTAGGGCTTGGAATAATTTTCCTTTCTCCAACTCACCAGCAGACGTATAACCATAACGTCGCAAGAACTGGAGCGGCCAATTTGTTGAGTCATTCTTGGACTTTTCCAGAGTAATTGTCGTTCTGGTGATGCGAAGCCACGCTGTAACCGGGAAATCATTACAATTTGTCGCCAATTGATGACAAACCGTGAATGAGTTTATTACGGCGGTGGATGTAGACGCGGAAAGACGTCGTTTTCGTGCTACTAGGATCATCGCCCCGATCGACGTCGTTCCGATTGCCCAGTAGCGCGTGCGCCACCGCACGAATCGCCCGCATTTCTCAAAAAATGATTGGGTGGCATTGATGACTCGTCCTTCATATTATTTTGCCTTCGGCGGCATCAGAGGGTCAAATGCAATAGATACAAAAAATTCGACCAAATACGGGCATGATGATGGCGCAAAATGATGTAAGATCAAGCCGAATCCCAGACTGAAGTTGAAAATGAAACGAAAATTTTTCAAAACTTCCTGAAACTGAGGGTGGCAAAAAAACACAAGGGGACTTTTTGGCTGCTATGAATCCCCAACAGCTTCAGGAAACTCTCGTTATACACGCACTAATTGAAACATTATCAAAAAAATTATCAAGGAACGTTTATTTAAATCTACCTCAAAAGAAAAAAAACGCTCTTCGCGTTGAAGCTTTATCTTATTCAAGTCTATGCTCCTTTAATAAATAACTTGAAGATACTATATAAAAAAACTAAATGTGTTCAATTAAAGTTTCCAATAAGAAAGGGCATTTTTTAGATTTGGGGAAAAAGTTTTTAACGTACGAAAAATGAAAACAGGAGAAAATAGTTCGCGTTGCCAAAATAACCAAATGATTAAAAAAAAAATTTAACTTATATATGGTATTCTGTCGCAGTTTCAACATGAGCAGTTCATCCATTTTGGCGGTACCTTTAACAAAAACCAACATCTTGATACAACAGAAATAAAATATTTATCATTTTTGAGCCGAATTGAGCTTTTTAGACAATGAAGAAGAAAAAAGCTTGGAATTTATAAGCGGCATTAGGTAACATAAAGAGTCCACCAGTGGCATGTGTCGTAATCTAATAGCTTCACAACCTTCACTTTCATTGTCTTTCTTGCGTTTCTCGGCTCCTGAACAGCCGTATTTCTCAAGAGACGAGGATTTGTGTAAAATTTTTGGCCTCTCGCCAAGTTAAACGCGCTCCGCGGAGAAACTGCTATGGGGTGGGAAGATCGAACATACGTGCTGGTTGAGCGAGTAAACAGAAGGTTCTCGAGCGTTCGAAAGTTTCCAGTGAGATCTCTCTGACGCCCTTTTCCCATTTTATCTTGTTCCAATTTCTCATTTTGTTCATGTCACGATACGGTTTCATTTTTGTCTTTTAGTTGATCTTGAACCTACTTTTTCATCAGTAGTACTTCATCTGAAACCTGATTTAAAGTTAAAGTTGAAAAATTTCAAAAATTTTTTTTACATTCAAAATTTATTTTCTATTTATTTCAGTTTTTTTAATGTCTTTTTTTAGTTAATATTAAAGCTTCATTGAGAATTTTTCAAAAGTTATATTTTTGTATTTTGAAAAATGTTGTGTTTTATAGTGTTTTCAGACCTTTTGTGTCTTTTTTTTTTCTCTCAATTTTGAATCTTTCAAAGTTTTTTTTTTTCAAAATTTTCATCGTTCTCATTAATTAGGTTTATTGATCGTTTTTTTTTGGAGTCCTTCAAAGTTTGAATCAGACTTCACTTTCAGATATCCCAGTGTTGGAATGGGAAAAGACTACTACAAAACTCTTGGCGTCGCCAAGGATGCTTCGGATGATGAAATCAAGAAAGCCTATCGTAAGATGGCATTGAAGTATCATCCAGACAAGAACAAGGAAGAAGGAGCCGAAGCCAAGTTTAAGGTTTTTTTCTTTTGGAAACTTTGAATTACGGTAAACAGGAAATGGGAAATTTCAAAATAAATGTTTAGGACATTGCTGAAGCGTACGAAGTTCTTTCGGACCCAAAGCGACGAGAAGTCTACAACATGTATGGCGAAGATGGCCTGAAAAACGGCGGAATGGGAGGTCCTGGAGCCGGCGGCGGCGGAGGCATGCCTGGTGGTGCTTATCATTATGAGGTAATCTTGATAGCCCGAATTGGCGCAGCTTATCGTCTTTTTTTTCTGACGAAAAGCCCGTGTACCAAATTTTTCCACTTCTCTTTTAACCTTTGTTTTTTTCTTGCTTTCTCGTTAGCAGTTTTATAGAGAAAAATTTTGTATCTACGGTGCCTTTTTTAAGTTTTTTTTTGAATGTGACTGCCTTGCGCGGTATGCTATCCTTCTTTTCGGAAGTGATATATTTTTTTCAGTTCCAAGGAGATCCATTCCGGGTTTTTTCGCAGTTCTTCGGGGGAAGCGATCCATTTGGTGGCGGCGGTGGTGGACCAAGGTTTGAATTTTATTTATTCTTCATTTACGTTGGAAATTGAATTTTTAGTATGTTTGATCTTGGCGGGATGAGCGGCGGACCAGGTATTTTCATGAATATGGACGATGGTGGTCATGGTATGGGCGGTTATGGAGCGTCTGGAGGACATGGCAGGAGAGGTAGAGCCTAATTTTTTTATTTTAGAAAAATTCAATTAAGTTTTGGCCCGAATGAACTTCAAAGTTGAAAAATTGTGCTGTATCAATTTTAAGACGATTTCAAAATGTTTTAAGTGTTAAAAAAATCAATCGAGGATTTTTGAATGGGCAAATAAAAAAATAGGGCAAATCGTGAAATTTGTAAATCTTTTTCGGATATTTTTATGTTTTGCATTTCTGTTGAATACGCGTAAAAAGGTTTTCAGAAATCTTTACGAGAATTTTTTTTCAAAATTCTGATTTTCAGGAGGACGACAAGATCCGCCGATCAACCACGATTTGCCGGTCAGCCTCGAAGATGTGGCTAAAGGAACAACGAAAAAGATGAAAATCACGAGGAAAATCGTCGGCAACGATGGCTCCTCCAGGACAGAAGACAAAGTTTTGACGATTTCGATCAAGCCAGGCTGGAAAAGCGGCACTAAGATCACTTTTCCCAAAGAAGGCGATCAAAAACCTGGCCGCGTCCCGGCAGATATTGTGTTTATTATCAAGGTAATCGAAGAGACCCAAAGATTCATTCAATCGACATTTTTCTCAGGATAAGCCCCATCCGAAGTTCAAACGCGACGGTTCCGACATTCGATATCAACAACGAATTAGTTTGAAAAACGCACTCATCGGATGCGAGTTAGATATTCCGACGTTGGAAGGAAACATACAACATTTGAAAATTACCGATATCATCAGGCCGGGAACTCACCGAAGGTATGAAACTCGGAATATTTTATGAAATTCAAAGTTTCCGAATTTAAGGTTGCCTCATCTCGGCCTTCCCAACCCGAAAAGCCCCAACGTCCGCGGAGACTTGATCATCGACTTTGAAATTGTCTTCCCAACTTCTATCACCCCTTCGGCCAAAGAATTGCTTAACAACGCATTGCCTTGAGAGAAATGTCTTCCTATTTCATGTTCTAACATTTTACCTTTTCTTAAGTTCCACTTGTAGCCTTTTCTTGCGTTCATTTTTTTTTTCAAGCCTTCTCATTCTCTTTAATGCCTATAGACTTCCGAAAAGCTGGCCTTTCACATTTTCCCCCTCAAAACATTCATACTTGTTTAATTTTTACTTTTTCATACGCGCAGGTGCAACAGATTTTTTTTTCGACTACGCTTACCGGGTATTTTTATTTAGTGTTCAATATTGTGTTTTAGGGATTCAACTCGAATTTTTTTCTTTCTGATTATTTTTTTTCCATCTTTTTTTTTGGAAATTGGGTAAAGTTTGTGAAATTATTATTTTCATTTTCTGTGCTGTACCTGTCGCTACGAAATTTTTCAAAGTATTTATTTTTTTTAATTTAATGTTCTACTGGTTAAAGACTAATATCCTTTGAATAAATATGAACAAAAAAACCATATGCCTTTTTGAATCTTTTTTTCACATTAAACTTCATATGAAGTTTGAATCTTCAAACACAAAAATTAAAATCGGCTGCTTTAGAGTGAAGGAAAGTTATAAAGGTCGTTCATGATCAGCTTTCCAATCCAATAAACTAAGAGGTGTTCTTTGGTTTGATAAAGCTATATTTATCATGGATCCTGTGCCGAGACTAGTAAAAAAAATTTATTCAAGCATCTTGTGAAAAAAAACTATTTGATGAGATTCACCCTAATAACTTATCTCAAATCAGTAAAAAGTGTGTAGTTTCACTGAGAACCTGTTATTTTATCAACACTGCAAGCGCGTTCTGATAGTATGAGCAAATCGATTTCAAAACGCTGAGTTTCCTATCACTATCAGTCCCCCTCATTCTTCCGATTTCTTTTCTCTCAAAGCCTTTCTCAACTTTGAATATATTTCACCCTTCATATTCCAGGTTTCCAATGACAACCGACTACTACGCGATCCTCGATGTCGACCGTCACGCAGATGACGCCGAGATCAAAAAAGCCTACTACAAAATGGCCCGCAAATACCATCCAGATAAGAATTCGGATAGCGAAGCGCCAAGAAAGTTCCAGGTTTTAATTTTTTTTTTTCTCTCTCAAGTTTTCTTATCGAATACACTCAAATTTAGCAAATTTCCGCGGCCTACTTTATTCTCTCGGACCCCAAAAAAAGACAGGAATATAACCAATCAGGAACTTCAACATTCGACAGCTCTAGGTAGGCAAACCAAATTGAATCACTATAATATCTAATTCAGGCCTTCCAACGGCCAAGGAAACTTCTCTTCAAGCACCTTTAACGCTGAAAAACTCTTCGAGGACTTTGTGACTGAGTTCAGTGGAAAAAGGTCTGAAAGCAAAAATCAAAAAGTAAGATTTGAAAAATTTTCAGTATGTTCGACATTGATGGTTTCGATGATGGGTTTATGCCTAATTCACAAAAGGTGAGATTTAAAACCTGCAACTTTTTCACATTCATTTTCAGAGTGGAGGATCAAGAACCAACGGCAGCCGTGCATATTGATGAATTGAATTAAATTTTTTTTTCACATCCGAATAAACTTTTTTTCCACAGTTCAAATGAATGATTAAGTATACCTGTACATACTCATCGGATAATATATGAATTTTTTAAATCGTGAAAAAAGAAGAAAGGAAAATGAGTGCAAATGATTTTTGTCTAACTGTATCATGTGTTTCGGCGCGCGGCGCACTGAACTTTTTTGTTTTTGCATTTTTTTTGAAGTTTCTTCGTTCTTTCGAAATTATTAATCTAAAGTTTGGGGTTTCCTCATCTTTTAAGATTGATTTTGCATGATTGCAGCTAAGAGCTATTCTTGGAAAACTCCTAATATGACATTTTTCAGCCTCCGCAATATTTAATTAAAGCCTCTCTGTTAATTTTTTGTTTACTTTCATTTTTTCAGGAAGAATGCTTTCTAGAGGAGCTTTATCAGTTTTAAAAGTTTCCAACACGGCCAGGGCTCCTGCACTTCGAGGTAAAAGCTACATCAAGCCAATCGATTCAAAATTATTATTGTAGGAGTTTCCTCAAACTTCTTCCAAGATGCTTTCAATCTTGAAGAGCAGTTGACGGAGGTGATTTTTTTTTTCTGGTGATTATCTTTCAATTCAACTTTTCTTTTAGGATGAGCGGTCTTTAATGTTAGGAGCTCGCGAATATTGTCAAGAGAAGCTTCTTCCTCGGGTCACCGAAGCCTATCGCAATGAAAGTATGTGGGTTGAGAAGAAATGAAGTTAAAATTGGCTTTAGAGTTCGACAAATCCCTGATTCCGGAGATGGGAAGCATGGGTCTTCTCGGCGCTCCTTATCAGGTGAATTTTTGAGAAAAGTTAATAGTTAAATTTTATTAAAAGAAAGTTGAAATTGAAAAAAAAAAACTTCACCTCAAATCGGCAAGTTTTATTTTTCGTGAACTTGGGTACTGAAAATGATTTTCATTTTAACGTGGATGAAGCAGGAATTATTGAAAATATATTGAAATGCAAAGAAATGCTTCGAAACTGAAAAAAAGAGATTTCAATATCTTTGAATTCCTAAGGGTTACGGATGTGCGGGAACCTCGTCAGTTGGATATGGTCTCATCGCGAGGGAAGTGGAAAGAGTCGATTCCGGCTATCGATCCACGATGAGCGTCCAGACGAGTCTTGTCATTGGCCCCATTTACAATTATGGTAGAACTTATTTTGCAGAAATGTTTTCTTCGATCAGCTCGGTCTATGTCTGTGCGTGCGCCTTTAGCAATATGTAAAATTTGAGTATTTATTAAAGGCGCATGCAAAGAAACAGGTCCCGCGCTTCGAATATAAGAGTTTCGTAGGCGAGAGATAGCAAAAATCCTTATGAATTTTCAATGTTTCTAGGTATAATTTTCCATGAACAAAAAACAAAAACCTATACTTCGTTTTTTTAAAATTAAAAATAGCAATTACGGAATATATTTCCAGGAAGCGAAGATCAAAAGCAAAAGTACATTCCTGATCTGGCGTCGGGCAAGAAAATCGGTTGTTTCGGTTTGACCGAGCCGAACCATGGCTCGAACCCCGGCGGCATGGAGACCAAAGCAGTGTAGGAGATGATTAGAAAAGTCCAAGGGAAAAAGGGATTTTGTAGTTGGGACGAATCGGCAAAGGTTTACAAGCTGAGCGGCACTAAGACTTGGATCAGCAACAGCCCCGTCGCCGACGTGGCCGTCGTCTGGGCGCGCAGTTCTCGTCATAATAATAAGATCAAGGTTTGAATCTCGTGAAAAAAGCTTTAACTATCTAAACGTTGCTTTAATTTAACTTAGTTTCCATACGTTTTAATTTTTTAAAATAACTGTAGTTGTAAAAGTGGAAGAAAGTTGTTCTTAACACATTTTCGAGCTAAAATAATATCTTTTTTTGTTATCGCCCTGAAAATATCGGAATTTATTCATAATATTACTTCATTGACTGCTTTTTTTTCCATTATTGACTGGAAAAGTTGCACTAGAAAGTAAAAAATCATTGTTTCTCTTTTATTTTTGAAAGTAAAATTCAAGATGACTTTTTTCAGTCAGGGAACTCTTTTTTATATTTGAAGGAAATGGAATGTTAGAACTCCTTCAATTATTATTTTTAACTCGTAAAAAATCCAAAAAAAGTCATGAATTATTTTTAGTTCAAACTGTATCCTTTTTTTTTCAGTTGAACTATCGAAAAAGTTTCTGTAGTATATATTTTTTTCTTTGAATATGAGAATGAAATGAACGATTTTGTTCAATAAATAAGAGAACTTTTACTGTTTTTATTTTCTAACGATTTGGTCGACACGCTTCAAAAAATATTTTTTTCCGTTTTCAAAATTTGAACGAAACGTTTCAACTACGTTTATGTGCTTTTCCACTTATAAACTTCAAAAAAACTCAATTTTTTAAGGGTTTCATCCTCGAACGTGGGATGCGAGGCCTGACGACACCGAAAATTGAAGGAAAATTGTCGCTGAGAGCCTCGATCACTGGCCAAATAGCTATGGATGACGTCCCCGTTCCAGAAGAGAATCTCCTTCCCAACGTATCTTGAATGGAGTTCAGATACCGACTTAAATAGAAAAATTACAGGTTGAAGGTCTCCAGGGACCTTTCGGGTGTCTGAACAACGCCCGTCTCGGAATCGCTTGGGGGGCTCTCGGAGCTGCTGAGGAATGCTTCCGGTTGGCCCGCGAGTACACTTTGGACAGGTTTAGATCGAGTTGAATTTTTTGATTTTTTCAGAAAGTTATTGCGTTTTTTATTGATTTAGAGCTGGTATAATCCTGTTTTTAAACCTTTAAGAGTCTATAAAGTTTATTCTGCCCCATTTGAAAAAAATTCCCTAAAACATCAAACATGTCACGCGCTTCAAAATGATATATAACTTCTTCAGGCCAGTCCGAAATTCAGTTCAGAAACATCTCGTTCAAGTTAGAATATCAAAAACTGCAAGAATTTACTGAAAAACCTAATAAATGATAAAAAAAAGTTGCAGACAGCAATTCGGACGCCCGTTGGCCCAGAACCAGCTGATGCATCTTCGATTCGCTGATATGCTCACCGAAATAACGTTGGGACTCCAAGGGTGCCTCCGAGTCTCCAGGCTCAAGGCTCGTTTTGTTAATTAGATCTATTCGGGATGCATTTCGAAATTTCGTGATTACCCTAAAGTGAGATATTTTACGGTTTATCAGAAATATCATTAAAGTTTCTGGCGATAGAAACTCGACTTCGCGAAATTTTGGTCCGTAATGAGAACCAGAAAACTTTTAACAGTTTTTTTGTTTGAGAAAAAAAATTTTTTTATGGAACGCTTGTGTGTAGCCGGTAGACTATCAGCATCATTGATATTTTGAAACGAATAATTTTGAGATCCAAGATGCCTCTTATAGAAATGGTTACTAAGAAAATGAGCTATCAAAACAAATGTTTTCAAAAAGTAGAGGAATTTCCCAGAAATTCTTCAAAAATTTGTCCACCCCGTAGTTGGATCCAGTCCAAGTATGATTCAAGCTTTTTTAGGACGAGGGACGCGTCGAGCCCGAACAAGTGTCGTTGGTGAAGCGCAACTCTTGCGGAAAAGCGCTGGAGATCGCGCGAAGGGCCCGCGACATGCTCGGCGGCAATGGAATCGTCGACGAGTACCACATTATGCGCCACATGGTCAACCTCGAAACTGTCAACACCTACGAAGGTCGGACTTTTTTTTCAAACAGAACTATAGAAGTAACTTTATAGAGATATTTTCCAAGGTATTTATTGAATTTCCACGGTATGAATCTAGCAAAGCCCCCTATAGGGGCCACTAACAAAACCCCTCTAGGGACCACTAAAAAGCTCCCCCATTAGGGCCATTTCTACAAAACGTAGTGGTCCCTAGAGGTGACCTTCAAGGTCTCCTAAGATTGTCCCTATAGGAATCACTCTGGCGTTCCTAAGTTTATAGGGTTGAGGAAAATTATTAGGAAAAAAACTACTTTTTTTCCAACCGTTGAAAAGGCTCAGGGTTTTTTCTCATAATTTGATAAAGTATTCTTTTTTTTCAACCTGTTAGTTTTCAAATTCTCCACTGCTCTTTTTAGTATGTATAATCGCGAAAAATCTCGAAAAATGAACAAAATTGAAATTTTTTATTTTTCCAAAGCTGTCAGTTGATGAATTCAGCATTCACTTGGATAAATGTTGAGATTTCAGGCTTCAAAAGCTTTTACAGACCCTAAATCTTACATCACCAAGCAATTCATCAACCACTCAACTTTTCAGGAACCCACGACGTCCACGCACTGATCCTCGGTCGCGCAATCACTGGCCTTAATGCATTTAATTGAGTTAGGAGTCAATTTCCCGTTATTGCATTGAATATCCCTGTGATTTCCTTCAATTTCCCCCATGTAAAGGCTCATAATCTGTTGATCATAATGAACGCTAGCGAGTAACTTCTTGTCACATCAAGTTAATAAACGGTTGAAATGTTTTTCATTATTCTGAATTTCTAAGTCTTTTCAATTCATATTATCCATTTTTTGCTCGAAAGTTCAAATTATTTTCAAGATTTTCCTTTGGTATACAGCCTCAACAGTTTGTTTAGTGATCCCTTAAGCGATCCCTTCAGATTTTATAGTTCAAAGTTATCGTTTTTTAAGCAACCTGGACTCTATAAAGACCTGAACATTCCAGGGCTTGGAAAGGTCAAGGGGTCACTTAACGGATCCGACTAACAAAAAAGACTTGGATCCCTTAAGAAGTCCCTATAGTATTTCTCAAACCTCTTCAAAATCCTGGTGATAAGTGTCAAGCAGAATTTGAAGTGATCACTTGGAAGGCTTGAATCCTTCTCAAGGGATGGATGTTCAATCGTTTTTCCCTTGAGTGGTCACTCCAAGTTTAATCTCTTTAGTGATCACTTTTAAAATTTCTCGCAGTAAGTGATCCACCAAGTGTTTATTTCCGAAGAAACAAGTAGTTTAACTTCGAAGCAGATTAGTTTGATCAGCTCCCTCTCAAGTGGTCACTTTTCAAGTTTCTCAGAGCAAGCGATCACTCAAGTGCTTTTTCTCCGGTGAGTCAATTGCGAAGCAGATTATTTATTGGATAGAATATTGAGAAAAAAAAGCAACAATTTTAACAGAATAAAACATGAAGAATAAAATAAAAATTAGCATCTTTTTGAAAGATAAATATGTTTAAAGCTGAATTAGTTAACGGGGCATTCGTGCTTGTGGACGTCGCCGAAGATGTCGAACGTGGCGACGTCGACGTCCTTCTTGCGTCGCAGCCGTTTGTCCTTGGGCTTCAGTCCGAGGCTGATGAACCGGATGCAGCCGTTGAAGCCCTCTGAAAAATGATAGGATGAGCTCGGATTCAGTATTTACATATAAGTTTTATATCTAGGAAGAAATGACAATAAAAATAAAATGGCAAAAATCAGTTCGCTCTGGTGAGGAGTCGAACCTGTGAACTCTTCTTCAACTGAAAATTATCGAAAAACTAAGTTTCGGAAATTGATCGTTTTAGGCCTATAAATAAAACCGAAAGCCAAAAAACTCAGTTGTGATACATGCTTCCTATTTGAAAAGACTTGAGGAACGCAAAAATGGCAAAAATCAGTTCGCTCTAGTGAGGAGTCGAACCTGTGACCTCAAAATTCTACAAGCCGCTAAATTTGCAGATTTTTCGCGAGATTCCTAACTAGCTTTTTTTCAAATCTGCTAAAAGAAATGGGATTGAAACGAACTTTTCGTTTCGAGACCCTTGTTGGTGACGGACTCGGGGACGCCTCCGAGGTAGAGGGGGTCCTTGGTGGCCGTGTCAGTCGAGCTCTTCTTCATGATCCTCATCTTGCTCCTGCCGTTGACCGTCAACGTCAGCAAGTTCTTCTTTTTCATGACTCGGATGTTGTGCCAGTGGCCGTCGCAGAACTCGTTGAGTTCGGTCGGCGTGAAGTCGACGTCTTCGCCGCCGCTGCCGCTGTCCACCGTGAGCTGAAAGTATTTCAAGGTTCCGTCAAGGCTCTGCCTAGTTTCCAACCTTGATGGTTCCATTGAGGTACTGAACCGTGAGGTATTCCATGACACCGACCGACAGCAAAACGCCATCCGGAGACCTGGCACGGATCTCGAACTCGACTCCGAAAGTGTGTCCGACCTGGAAATCCCTTTGTATTGTACTTATCTATCTTTCGTTCAAGAAAAGAGAATTTTTTGTGGTATACCCTTAAAAAAAAAGCTCGATCGGGAACCATTGTAAATTTTGACGTTTTGAAAGGCCTCTAAAAATGTTTCCCAGACCTCCAGATCAGGCTTCAATCACCTTAAAAAACGCATCTAGTAAGCCTAGTCCCGAATTTCGAGACTCAAAATCCTCTTGTCGCATTTGGAATGGCTTAACGCGTTACGGTCGCGTCGCGGTTCAAGCTAGGATCTCAAGTTTTGTGAAGCCCATTCCCCCGACTTGAAAAGGGGCATATCTATACCCTCCTCGTCTCTCGGCGACCCTCTCATAATGCCGGGCTGTTTTCACGTTTCTCTGATTTCGCCGGTGAGGGAACAGAGAAACGAAAACACGCGGAGAACGGATTTTCTTTTTTCGAAAGTTTCAAGCTTTTTTGTTGACGTAGTTTACGTGCGACCAATTTTTCAAAAGTCGATGTGAATCGACTATGCTTAATTTTTGTTACTCAATAAAAATCACGAACACATGCACTTCTGAAAGTCAAATCAATACCTCGAACTCCTTCTTGACGATGGCGTAGCCGCCCTTCTGACCGAAGAAGATGCCATCTTCGACGAATCGGGAGCACTGGGCGGTGCCGTGAGATTTGGCGCCTTCCAAGGTCTTTCCGTTGATTCTGAAGTCGCGGATGCAGCCGCTGAGTTGCGAACGAGAGCCCTGGAAATGATGATTTATAAGGGAATCAGTGACACTGATCGAACCGGAACAAGGGTTCTCGCGAAGCTGGCGAGTTCGCTTGGCACTCCGCCAACGTAGAACGGCGCCTTGGTGTCGACCGAGTCGTTGGCGCCACGGGCGATGGTTTCGACGGATTCGTCGTCGACGATCAGATGGGCCGATTGACCGCGGCGGGAGGCTTTGATCGTGTGCCAGGTGTTGTCCAGAATAGAGCGGTTCGACTTGAGAACCGTCTGAAAGTTTTTCCGTTGAAGTTGAAAATTTCATCTTATATCGGAGACATGACGAAAAACATCGAAAAAAACATTGGTCTCAATCTAAAGAACATAATGTGCTCCATGGAGAAAAAAAATTTATAATAATTATTCAAATATCTCTTCTTCAAAATCGAAGGCTCACCACGCCTAGAAAGAGGCGTGGCCAGCCAATAAGATACTTAGTTCGTTAGAGCGCATTTGTATGATTCTAAACAGTTCGGTGAATAATTTTCTACTTTCCCTTAAAATAAAAAAATTTCGAATTTTGACACCCAATTTTTTAATTTTTCCCTTCTTTCAGAATTATAACTTCAAGATTCTTTAATTATCCACGGAGCACAGAAGAAATTCTCTACAAAGCTTTTTTTAAATCTATCAAGCGCCGAATGAAGTCTCAGTCCTCCACAGAGCGCAGGATATCTCCCCTAAAAGAAAAAAAACTCGACCTGTCCAGATCCAGCATCGAAGGTGAAGACGACTCGGCCGTGGTCTAGCATTAGGCCAATATGATCGGTTCTCTTTTCGCTGAGAGCGAAGAAGAAAACTCCCGAGAAGGCGGTGGGGCGAGTCATCAAGGTGAACGTGCCACTCTTGTCGAAGGATTCCGGCACGACCTCGTATTCCAGACGACTGTAGAGCTGCGTTCCGAAGTTGACGCCTTCAGGTTCGGCGAATTCGCCGACGGGGATCGGCGGCAACGCGCAAGCATTGTCTGGACGTGCCTGGAAATGGATAGATTCTAAAGTTTGAAAAATATTTCACAAGCTTTATAAGTACTTGAAATTTGAGCTTGTATCAAAAATTGGACAGTTTTCGCCAAGACCTAATGAAGGCGGAAGCAAGATCACAAGAAATCTGAAGAGAAAGCAGAGAAGGATCTTTTTTTTTCTAATTTCTCTCCACGACGTTTATTTTTTTTACTGCTCAATTTCCAAGTACTCAAATTAAGGCGTGCTGTAAGCGTTGAAATGAAAAAGTTTGGGGTGAAGGAAGAACTGAAAAAAAAACAGGACGGAACTCAAAAAGAAGCTGAAACTGAAAAGAGTGAGATTGGTTGATTTGGGTGAGTGAAAATATTGAATCAATAAACCGGATGCGTTGACGTTTCTGAGCAAGACCAGTGACCACTTTAGGGGCCTCAGAACTCTTAAGTGATCCTTCGAAAAGCTAAGAAACGTCCGGGGCTGCTCTGGTTTTCGTTACTGTTGAATATTCAGAAATGAATAGATCACGTGGGAGATTAGAGCACTATAAAACGTCTGTTTTCACAGTCTAGCAGCAACAAACTTGCTCCCGCCTTGACTCCTGAATTCGACAACCTACCCTCGTCTACTACGACGAGTAAAAGCGACGACTAGCCGCCACTACATCTTTCTACCTAACTTAAATAAAGTGTGGGTAGAGATACTGTTGTCCGTCATAGTGGCGAAGACGGAACAGTATCTCTACCCGGCGGCGGCTAGTCGTCGCTTGTAGGCGTAGTCGATGAGTTGTCGAATGCAGAAGTCGAGGCAGGAGTCGAGGCGGGAGCGAGTTTGTTGATGGACTGTGAAAACAGACCTTTACATATAGTCTGTTCAGATTTTGAATGTCAAGTCGTCGCTCAAGCTCCGCCCCTAATGGTATGATAAGCCAATCAGAGAGCGATCCATCCAAAGAGTGTTTTTCAATGACGTCATTGCACTTGACATTAAAAATCTGAACAGACTATAATGGTCTAATCTTCAACGTGATCTATTCATTTCTACATACTCAACAGATACCGAGGTTCGAGAGGGTACTTGAAGGTTCATGAAATTCCCTCCAGTGACTACTTCAATTCATTTCGCCGCGTTTTCAAAACTTCAACCATTTTTTCCAATGAATTGAGCAATTCTTCAACTCACCGAAATCAACCAAAAAGTTCAAAAGCAACAGAAAAGAACAGAATATTCGGGGGCACACGAAAATCACTACGAACTGCTGAAATGGCATCAGTGTTTTTGGGTTGTCTTACGGAAGGGCTGCTGGTGCTGCTTATCACTTGTAATTTCATCTAAATTGAGGATTCCATTTTGATAACATTCAGCTGGAATGGGGTCAATCGCCTGAAATGTTTTTTGTACCTCAGCTGGTGCTTCTGTTGTCAAATCTTCAGGGTTTTCGGTGGTAGATGGTTCATCTTGAGGCAAAACGACGCCGTCGGATGCCACCGGAAGCTCGGTCTGAAAGAATGATTTCATGAAAATATAGATCCTATGAAAAAAAAAAACGCTTTGAATTTTCTAGTAGAACTTTTCTTATGATTCCGGATATCTACTTTAAAAAAGACCAGATTGATAAGACTACTCCAACAATGCTTTTGCCTAAAACTCAAAATTTTCTGTCCTCCAGGATAATTTCAAGTTAGAAAAGGTCCCAAGTACATTTTCAGAAGGAGCTTGAGTAGTCGTGACCGGAACTTGCTGTTCTTCGTCCAACAAGGAGCAGCCGTTGAGCGAAACCTCCTTGATGTTGGCCTGAAACGACGTTTTCAGATCTTCTTGAAGACTCGATCGAACCATGGTGAAGTCGAAGAGTTCGCCGTTGAAGGTGACGTCGCCGACGCATCCGACGAACGACTGCGACGCTTGACGACGACCGAAGAAGATGGTCGCCGGGCCGTCGTCGTCGCCGTTGCCAGTCCTGGTGACTTCGTTCGTGAATAGGTCGTCGGCGTCGATTCTCAGCGTCGTTTTGGTCTTTCGGATCGAGACGTAGTGCCATTTCTCGTCGGCGGCGCCGGCCAGTTCCAGTGGTACTTTATCATCATCAGTGCTGGCTGTGAGAATGCCATCCTGCAGGGACAGGGTCAGAACTTCCTCGTCCTCAACTTCGACCGACAGAATCGATCCAGAAGGGACTCTGGTCTTGAACTTGAGGGTGACGGTCATCTGTTCGGCGCGGGAGGAGACATTGTGGAAAACGGCCGTGGATCTTTCGGAGAGCATCGAAACGGTGCGGACGGTTCTCAGGGGACACATGCTTCGGGCTCCTTTGCTGGCGTGACTCTGCTCGAGGTCGACCTCGTCGGAGCCGAGGCGGACCGATTTGATGCAGCCGCGGAGGGGGATGACCGGCGTGCGGACGGCGACGCTGCTGGGGATGCCGCCGACGTAGAGGAACTCGGTGACGCTCATCTCGGCCTCGTCGCCTGGGGAGTCGCCCTCCTCGACGACGCCGTCGACGTCGATCTTCACGTGCTTCTCCTCGCGCAGCACCGACACCGTGTGCCATTTGCCGTCGCTGTAGTTCTCCTTCTGGACGGTCCAGTGGCCGACGCCGGAGCCGAAGTCGGCGGAGAGCTTGACTGTGCCGCCGGCGAGTTCCAAGGTCATGAAGTCGCGCTGAAAAATTTGTTATGAGCTTTCGATTAATAAAAATGTGTTCGAAGAGAACTTTTTTACGGACTTGGAAATCGAATATTTGCAAGAACTTGTTCTAAAAGTCGCAACAGTGGTCTAGAAGACTTACGTCTTTTCCAACGAAGAAGAGAAGGCCATCTGGTGAGAAGGTCAAGAAAGACAGGGAGATCTTCGTTATTTTCCGTGGGTTCCAGTGATCCGGCTTGTAGACGGTGTAACCTTCTCCGTCAAGGGAAATCGCTGAAAAATAAATAGATCTTGAATATTTCTTGAAGTGATCAACTGACAAGCTTCTTCCGAGCCGACAGCTTTGGTCCGTTTCGGCGCTCCGTCGACACGGCTCACGCCATTTTCTCGCGCATTCCACAATCCGATCGGCTCTCCATGCAGTTTCAGGCCTTCGATGTCACCAACGAAATCGCGATTGCGGACCTCACTCGATATCTTCAAAATTTCATAGTTTTTGCTGAGTTTTTGGTCAGGCCGTTTTCAAAACGAAGGATATTCAGGATCAAGGTTTCAAAGTGTTTATAAAGGACGTTATCGTATTATTTTTTATTGGATCGCTTTATTAACTTCTTAAAAAAACGGAATTTCGTGGATCTTTTTGATAAATTTTTTTCTGGAGATAAATTTGTCACGTTTTTTTCATTCAAAAATTTCTACACTTCCTACAGTGCTTGAGAATTCTTCTACGAAAAAAAAAATACAGTTCTTTTTCCACTTTTTGAAGTTATTTACAAAATAATGGCGCTTACAAGTTTTTAAAAACCCCAGCTCGTTCTTAAAAACCGTGTTTGAAAAGTTGTTCTTCACCATTTCTTTTCAAAGTCTCCACTCAACCGAGTTTTGAAAAATTTAATCAGAGCGATTCTCAACGTTAAACCCTCAAAAAGTGACTTCAACCCGAAAACCCTTAAGATGTCCCTTCAAATGTTCGCGGCAATCACCTTGGACTCAGTCGGGATCCCACCAACGTAGAGCCGACTAATCTTGTGATGGAGGTTCAGGACGCTCTTGTTTCCGCCGGAGATGCCGGTTTTGGTCTCGGCGATCCCCTCTGAGTTCGGTTTCGTCAGTGAGACTTTCACCGTTTTGCCAATCCGTTCAACGTTCAGCTGACGCCATTGTCCGTCCGAAACGCGGCTGAAATATAGTTGAATAAGTTAAGATTCTTGGGTGTTGGGGCAGAACGGAAAAACTCTAAAAAAAAGTCTTTGAGCAATTTTTTCAGTTTTCGGGATCCTTGGAGGGAGGCTCAAAAGGTCTTTTTTGAACCATAAAAGAGGCTCAAAAGGTCTTTTCTGAACCATTTTCGAATCTTCTCGAAAAACCTTTCCAGCTCATTCGTCAGATCCTTCAAGGCTAAAAAAAGGCGCAAACAATCTATTTTCCATCTTTTTTTCGAGCTTTTCCGTTCCGCCAATGAGAAATTTTCACGAACGTGTCGAGTTTGACGACAAGAGGCTCGTCGCCGAGGTTGACCGTCACTTTGGGAGTTCCATATTCGATTTCGACGGCGACAAAGTCGTCAGTGGGTACGGCCCGGCTGCCTCCGGTGCTTTCCTCGTTTCCGAAGAAAACCGGAATTCCGTGGTCCTGGTCGGTTTTGAAGAAGAACGAGATGTCGGTGTGGGCGGCGCTGCGGGAGACGCGCGGCGGTAGGTTCAGGTTGAGCGAGGAGCCTCGTTCAAAGTGCGCTCCGAGTTTGATCTGCAAGAAGGGAATGGGTGACTGCTTTTCTTTTAGACTTTGATATCATTAAGCGTCCGTGAGCCTAATTTTTCAGTGATCCCACCTTGTTGGCTGCGTCACGAGCCACGGCGACCATCTCCTTGATTTGTGCCACCTTATCCGTGATCGATTCGACCTTGAAAATATACCAATTACACCAAGAATAAGATGACGTCTTGACTTTCTTCTCAATGTGGAACCTAAAAAGCAGTCTCGACAATTCTAGTGCTCCCTCAAGTGAATAGACTAGAAAACTCTAGTAGTCCCACTGCTTCAGATACATCCTAGGAACTAGGAACTAGCGCGAGATGTCTCTTACTTTTACACTTCGCTCCAATTACCTTAGCAGAACGGCTAGCCGAGTTCTCACGAAGCTTGGCGAGCGACTCGACGACTTTCGGGGCGAGTTCTTTGAGCTGCTTGGCGTTGGACCGGGCGATCTTGAGGCCGAGCATGGCGCTGTTGGCCCTCTCGGCCACCTCGTCGGCCTTCTTGGTCACGTCTTCTGCTTCGGCCTTGGCGGCGTTCAGAGCCTCTTCGATGCTCTTCTTCAGCTCGTGAACCTGCTCGACCTTGGCGTTGATGTCGTCGAAGTGCGTCTCGTTGATGGGGCTCTTCGATCCGGATTTAATCGAATCACGGGTCCGCTGCATCGTTTCCACGTTTTCCTTGAGCTGCAAATGCGATAGTTTTGAAAATGACTATGTTTTCCTTCAGACATAATCTCCTTCATACAAAAACTAAAAAAATCATAATGACCCTGGCCAAGGTGGTCTTCATCTCCTGGGCGTCTTTCTCCAGCGTGTTGACGGCGTCTTGTCGGTAGACGCTGGTTCGGCGGAGCAACTCTGCCGTCTCGTTAAGAGCCTTATCGATTCGACCGTTCTAAAGCTTCCGTTCCCATGAGCTCCTTCATAATGACCCAACCAAGTCCTCGATTTCGCCCAGCTTCTCCACGGTGCTGACAGCGACGCCGGCCTTCTCGTTGGCGCTCTTCATCGTCTCCGAAATGTTTTTGAAGGCGTTTGCGGCTTCAACAGCGCTCTGAATATAATAGAGTTATTACCCAATTTTTCTAAATAACTAAAGGAGGTTGTATAACATTCCATTTGAAGCTCTTATTCTCATCCTAGTCATAAAAATTGTGAGTGAAAAAAATATTGCATGTAATTATAGAGAAGCAGTGATCGTCTACTACTTTCCCAGAAAAGTCGTGATACTCTACGCGTCGTTCTTGATCAACGACAGTTTCGCTAACCGACAAACAACTCTTCAACTATTCCATGATTCAGCAGGGAATCGCTTAGTCATTATACTTGCAACTGAAAAACGAGCAGCTTTGAGAGTTATTGACCTTGGACTCCTCCATGGCGCCGCTGAAAGATTGTCCGATTTGGGCGGCTTGGAGGCTGAGATCATTGGCGCGGGAAACGATCGCCTCGCGGTCGACGACCGAGGTTCTCTTGGCCCGGCGCGATTCGGCGTCTTCGGTGAGTTCGAGTCGCGTTTCGTTGAGTGTCGCCATCGAGTTTTGGATCGATTCCATGATGTCGCGAGTTCGCTCCGTCTCGTTTCGCAACTAAAAATCAAAGTTCTGGTTTTCACATCTCTTTCAAAAAGTCTTTGCTATGGTTTTGAAAGGCGTACTGGAAAATAGATTTTCGTTTCGAGACCTCTAAAATTCCAGAATGGATTCTCAAACAAGCTGTAGCCCTCTTAACACTTTGAGAAATTTTCCAAGAGTTAGAAAGTCCATAGAATGAAGCTCTCTATACAATTCTCCTACTACCAAACAAGAAATGTTTCAGCTTGAAAATTGACAAATCTGCTCCTCATTTCCTCACCTCACTATTCTTATTTCTGAAGTCGTTCTTCTCAAACTCAATCTTTTCGATTTCGTCGCCAATCGCCGCGACCAGACTCTTCAGCTTTGTCAAAGAGATCGACTTGGCTTTCTGAAATCGGTAGAATCTCTTAAAGGTCAATTGGTCCGGAATTCAAACATTGGCAGCCATGTCGCCCTTCTTCTGGGTCTCCTTGAGCAGCTGCTGAGCGCTGTTCAGATAATCGGCGAGGTTGTCGGCCTTCTTCTGTTCCGTCGCCAAATTCTCCGTTTGTTCCTGGAGACGTTGGACCTCGACGGCGGTCTTGTTGAGGATGGCGTCGATTTTCAGTGGAGCGCTTGTCGCCAACTCGGGATAAGGATCGCTGGAAAAGCCTTTTTTGAGGCCTTGGCGGCACTTGGAATGGCTTGGAAGCGACGCGGTCACGATTTCAGAATAGTTCATTGAGATAAAAAAAAACGGCTGATTTTTTAAAAGTACAAGTTGTCCGTAAATGATCAAGTTGAAATATTCAGTCTAACCTTCTCGCAATTCCGACGAAAACCAGACTCAAAAAATTTTATCGACTAAACTACAAAAGTCTCCTGATGCCTAAGCGCGCAAACCGTTTCTGGTTGGTCAATCTTCGTGCAGAAGAGAAAAAAAACGAACGCTGATGTGGCTTCAAGAGCATGCAGAGTTTCAACGGCTTGTTGAAGAATCGTCGCGTCAAGAATCGGCGCCTTGGAATGGCTTCCAATCGACGCGGCAATGTCCCTGACTTCCTGGACCGCCTGGCGGGCTTTCTGAAGGAAATACCTCTTATTCGAGTTTTAAAGAAAAGTATCAAAAATGACACAGAAAAGTTCGCAAAACTTCAAAAAACCAATAAAGCTCAATTTTTCTTGTTTCTGTTATTCTGCGCATCTGAATCTTTCTCTAAAATTCTCAAAAATCCCAATACCTCGGCCCGACGAATGATATCCTGGAAGAGCGCCTCGACGTCCGTAGTCAGATTCTGACTGCGTCGCGACGTCTTGTTGGCCCAAGTGCCGGTCCGATTGCCCAAGTTCATGACGGCCGTCCTGTTGGTCAAGATGGACCGTGCGTCGCCCATCATGTTCTCGTACTCGTTGTCGTCGTTGAGCAGGAACTTTTCGAGTTCCTGAATTTTCATTTTCTCAAGGGGTGACTTTTCGGGAAAGACGAACGCTTCAAAGTATCACTTCGAAATTCCACAAGGTGATGTCAAATCAACTGGTTTTTTTTTCTTAGAACTTGAAGAAATTCGAGGATTTCTGGTAATTGAAAAGCCGATTTTTTTTAAACTCAATTAATCTTATAAGTCGATTATCCCGGTTCATGCTCCAGGCATTTTTTTTTGGGTTTTGAAGGCCAGAATTTCTAAAAAAAGACCTTGTGGTCGTTGAGATCTTTGCGGCTTCGAGCGAGACGAGCTCCAACGACGGTCGCCGAGGAGATGTTGGCAATGGAAGTGTTGAGGACGTCGATGCGGAGGCCGAGGTCGTCGACGTCAGCGATCAGGTGGTGGACGCATTCGTCGCAGCCTCAAATTTTTAATTTGAAGCTTACGTTTGCATTCGGAGTGTATGCAGAGTTATTCCTCTTCTCTTCTCAAACTATTCCATTTTTCGTTTCTCGACCATTCACATCGAAGTTCTGACTTTGATAAACCCATGAATCTCTTCTGGATGTATATATCTCTCTTTTTTACTTATTATCTTCCTATACGTCTTAAGATTATTCACAGCAAAGGTTAGGCTTTGAAATATCTCGAGTCTGTTGAAAAAATATTGATAAAAAACCCCGAATTTCTCAAATTTTCTCAGCTTATGTTTTTTCCTTACGTCTGCAACCCATGGGAGGGACCCGAAGATAGAAAGGTCTATACCTCTTTTTTCTCTTACTATTTCCCGAATCCTCTCAAGAGATTTCACAACAGAGCTGCGCGCAGGCCGGGAAGCTACTTTTTCAGCTGGGCTGAGCTTAGCCGGCAGAGAAGCAGAAAAAAGCCTCTCATGTCCGTCCACTCTATCTCAAACCGCTTCGCGGCCGCGTTGCGTACGGGGGCGCAGCTCTGTTTACACCAAAACTTTAAGCTCTGAAACGTCTTAAGACTGTCCTACGAATACACCAAGCCCCCGCCCCCCCTGATTGCCAATTTCAGGCAATTTCCTTACGTCTGCAGCCCATGGTCGGGATCCGGAGGTAGGACGGTTGACATTGGTCGCATCGGGGCCCGGTGGCGCCTTCCTGACAATGACACTGTCCCGTCCGAACATCGCACACAGTTCCCATTGACAAGTCCGCTTCGCAGTCACATTCTAAATGTGGTTATTTTTGAGTTTCAGTTCTGAAATGGAAATTTACTGTCGCATCCATGCTCTCCATAATTCCAGTAGCCGTGCTCACAGTGCTCACATCGTTGACCAGCAGCTCCGGGACGGCAAGAGCATTGTCCTGGAAACAAAAACACAGGTTTCAATTCGAAAAATATGAGGTGTTCATCGAAAAACTAAAGAAGCTTGTTTTACTTGCTATGCAAAAATTTGCGTAACAAAATGTACCCTTTCGGAGCAAATTTGGCGCTTCAATGAAAGTTTTCTTTTCTGGGCTTTTGTTCAACGCATTATAGTCTGTTCAGATTTTGAATGTCAAGTGCAATGACGTCATTCAAAAACACTCTGTGGATGGCTCGCTCTGTGATTGGTTTATCGCACCATTATGGGCGGAGCTTGAGCGACGACTTGAAATTCAAAATCTGAACAGACTATATCATCAAAAATAAATCAAATCGAAATTTTCAGATTATTTTTTGATTTTTTCAATAAACTCCTTTTTTCCAACATTTTTTTCAAAAGTATTCTGAAAGCCTCAGACTACTCTCAACCGCCTCGAATCCTCGACCGCCCCAAAGTCTCCAGAAGAAGACGCCGACGACTAAGCACCCACTACGACTACGATACCTTCTACACTCAAAATAATGAAAGATAGAGTGTTAATCAGTTTCGTTCTCGCACACATGTATATGAAAGATAAAGAAGTCGGCGTCTTCTTCTGGAGACGTCGGGGCGGTTGAGAATATTTGGAGGCATTCGGACTTCTTTTTATACTCTTTACTTGGTCTAATCTTTCACGTGATCTGTTTACTTGATCACGCCTATTCACATACTCAACAAACTGTTTTTTTATTATTTCTTATTTATATAATTTTGGAGTCGCATTCCTTCATTTTATTTTCAGAACTCACCATTTTCCGAGTTACACTGGGTGCTGAAGGCAGCCTGGCCACAGTGGCACGGTTCGCATCCGCGGCATTTCAAGAAGCCGAAATAGTCGGGCTAAACGTCGAATTTCAGTCTTTTTCTCCCTTTTTTCTCGTTGAAACCTTGCAGCGATCACAAGTTTCGCCTTCGACGTTGGGTTTGCACTCGCAGCCGCCGCTTCGATTGTCGCAGACCGAAGATCCGCACTGATTGCAGGCACATTCCGTGCAGTTTTTCGCTGTGACAGCGTCGCCCCAGAACCTGAGATGGGAAAAATTCACAGGTTTTTTTTAAAGTATCGTGAACATTGATGTTTTGATAATTGGAAAAAATCGCGTATTTTTAGACTTTGTTAAGCTTTACTAACTTTTGAACTTTCGGATGATTAAATTCGGTAGAAATAGCTAACTTTTTATGGATATTGAACATTGAAATTGTGTTCTAACGGAATTTTTTACCTAAAAATTTCTAAAATTCGCTGTTCCTATTCATTTTTTCGTGACCGAACGATACTTTCTGCCCATAGGCAAGGTCGGAAAGGATCAAAAACGGCTCCATAGACATGCTCTTTTTTGCTGCCTTTTTGCGCCAATTCATTGGCCCGTATGCATCATTTTTGCTGCCTTTTTCCACCATTTTCAAAGTTCTAGAAAGAATGGAGGACTATTTTTGTTATTTTTCTGCCATCTTCTTTTTAGCGTTCCCTATCCACCATTGCGTCTTTGCCCGAGCCATTTTTGAAAAGAATATTCAAAGAAAAAGTATTTTCAATAAGTAGCTTTGATGCTTTTTGCGAAAGGTATGAACTGATAATCTGTGAAATGAATATTCCTCATCCCCCACCAATTGTTGCACCACTCGCAGTGACGTCCGGCCGTGTTTTTCTCGCACAGATGACAGTCGCCGGTGATTGGATGGCAGGCTCGCGAGTCCGTCAGATTGTTGTTTCCGTTGCAGTTGCAGGGTTCGCAGGAGCCGCCGATCTGCGTCGGCTGGCCGAAATGGCCGGAATCGCAGCGATCGCAACGGTCGCCGGCGTAGCCTGGTTTGCAGTGGCACTGCTGGAGGACGCCTTCTTCCGAGACCTAAAATCTACTCTGTAAGCTTGAGAAAATCTGAATATTTGCTAAAATAGTTTGTATTGAATGGAAAATCGCGATTTTCTTTGAAGTCTTATCTCAATATCTCCTCGAAGTATATAGGTTCTCTTTAGCTTCGCCAAATATTAGGCTTCACGACGAGAAAAATCAGCAAAATCTCATTTTTCATGTGAATGAATGGTCTCATAAAACTTAAAAATCGCTAAAATTCTCTAACTGATTTCAAAATTTCTTCTTGACTTTCTCAAAATTTCTAACAACTTTGTATACGAATTCAAGGCTAAAAGCTCTTTCCAGGAAATTTTCTCCAAAAAATACCCGAGTTTATCTGGACCAAGTTATTTCAAACTAGCTTCAGAATTTCTTCATATAGCAATGAAAAGTTCAAATTACTCTCTACTCTATTCTACTTCATTTCCTCCCATCGCTCTATCACTAAATTCAAGTCAATCGATTCTCTGTCCACTCTGTAACTGAATTTAAGGCTAAAGCTCTCTTCTAAAAAAAATATTTTTCATAAATTCCATCCAAGCTCCTCTGAATAAAGTTATCTCAACCAAAGACTTACAATTTCTTCAAATCTCCTTCAACATTTCAAACAAATCTCTACTCTATTCTATTTCATTTCTATCACTAAATCCATGCCAATCGACTCTCCGTCCACCCACCTCGCAGCCGGTCGCAAAGTTGTTCGATGGAGCGAAGGGACAGGAGCAGGGCATGCAGGCGTAGGGACTGCCGGTGGTAGCGTCGCCATAATGGCCCTCCTCGCAAATCTCGCAGTGGTCGCCGAGGGTGTTGTGTTCGCAGTTGGTACAGATGCCCGTGTCCGGGTCGCAGGTTCCGGAGTGTCCGTTGCAGTCGCAGGGCACGCAGGCGCCGAGGACGTTTCCTGGCGAGTCGACTCGGTAGTAGCCCTGGGCGCAGAGCTGGCAGGACGGCCCGGTGTAGGGCGCGGGACACTGACACTGCTCCACGGAGACGGCGCGGACCGCCGATTGCTGGTTGTTCTGTAACTTTTTTCTTAATATGCAAACCAGCAAAAGAGACTTTTTGAAAACTCTCAATTTCAACTGGGGCTTCTTTCAAGCAACTCTAAAAAAAAGACCCACCTCAGTGGCGACTTCCAGTCCAAACTCGTGAAGAGACACCGACTTGGGATATTCAAAGTAGGAGGCCTTCAAGGTGATGTTGGTCAACGAGTGGAGGATGATCATGAAGTCTTCACGGGTCACGGGCTTGCCCTCGGTCGTCAGGAAGTTCTCGGCGACGAGGCGACATTTCACGGTGAACTCCTCTTCCGGATTGGTTGGCTGTTCCGGAGCCCAGAACTCGACGGTGCGATTACCTCCAGAAATGCGGACGTCGGGCTCAGAGCTCATGACGCGTCGAACGTCCGATCTTGCTTTCAGGGACATCTTGAAGGTCAGAAGCAGGCCGTAGCTGTTGGTGTGATCCTTGTTCTTCTCGATGGGCACGGTAAAGTAGACGGAAGCCGGGGAAGTCGTGTCCGAGGAGTAGACGACGATGTCGTCCTGGTTATCGACGATACCGCTGTCGTCAGTGGTGATGAAGGCGGACATGTCCACAGACATGATGGAAACGGGGAACATGCTGGACCGACAGCTGTCCGTGACTCCGAAGCAGTAGCAATTGCTGCATCCAAGGGGGTTCTCGGCGGAGAGGGCAAAGGTGCCGGCTTTGCAGGCCTCGCAGCGAGCTCCGTAGACGTTCTCCTTGCACTTGCACTGGGCGTTGGTCGGGTCGCAGATCTCTTCGGTGGTGCCGTCGCGGTTGCAGGAGCAGGCGTAGCACTGGGGGAAGGCGTAGAAGCCGGCGAGGCAGCGGTCGCACTGGCGGCCGCCGACCGATTCGCGGCACAGACATTGGCCGGACTCGGCGTCGCAGACGAGGTTACCGCCTTCGGACCCTTGAGGATGGCAGTCGCACTTCTGACAGCCGATCAGCGGGTCGTAGCCGTAGGCGTTGTTGACGCAGCGGTCGCAGGAGCTTCCTTCGACGTGCGGAGGGCAGAAACACTGGCCGGTTCTTTCGTCGCACTGCTGGCCGGCTGTGCATTGGCATTCTGAAAGGTCGAAGGTTTAGGAGCCGCTTTTGAAAAACTATGAACTTAAGAACGCCTGAGCGGTCCTTATAGGGGTAAGAGGGACAAACAGCCCCTATAAAGAATAGAAAATGCTCCATACAGCGGTAAAGTTCAAGTGGTCCCTTCAGGTTCTTGATATTTTTCGTTCAGATTTGAAAATTAAAAAGATTCAAGGACCCTAAATGTTGCTTCTATGGGGACCACTCTGGATTTCATAAAAAGTTTTCCTAACTCTTCGAAGCTCTTGACCCTAATTTTCAAGACCCCAACTTCAAGCTAATTATCAACTCTAAGAAGCTTCTACCAGCTCAAAAACTTGAAAAAACTCACTGATACACTCGGGGAAGTTGTAATACCCTGGGGCGCATCGTTCGCATCTCCTTCCAATAACGTTGGCTTTGCACTTGCACTGGCCACCGTACTCCTCACAGTAGAAAGATTCCGAGCCCTAGATTATATATTCTTTTCCTCCTTCCTGTGTTGGAGAAAAAAACCTGGGCAACACAATCGCAAGAGAAAGCCGCAGCGTTGAAGTCGGTGGTCAAGGCGAAGATTTTGTCCCGACAGAAGTCGCTGATGTTTTCAGGACTGTAAAAAGGAGGAAATTGAAGTTAACTGCGCGTTAATGAGTTTCAAAAGCAAGGCTTTTATTTTGTGAAAAATCTCAAAAATCAGAAATTTGAGTTCACATGAAAATGCTCAAAAAAATCAGCTCTTGAAAATTAGGCAGAAGCTTTCAGCGGAAAGTGTGCTCCACTGATAACACCTTCAAGAACGTGAATTTCAGTTGTTTTAAGTTTATAGTAAGCCTAAATACTGCCAAAAATTCGAGTACGCGAACAAAAAAAAAATGAACAAAGCAAAAAAGAAAAAATTCGAAGAATTTCCATGTAAAATCATCGAAAAAAAAAAATAACTGAAATTTTCAGACCTTATCAAGCCAGGCTGAACTATTTTCGATGCCAAATCTTTTCTGGTCCTTATTTTTCAACCTGACTTTTCATAGGCCCAAACTTCCTACTTCATACAGCAAAACATTTCAAAGCCCGAAAAACAAGACGAACTGATTCTGGAAGAACTGCTCGCTGCACTGCTTGATAAACTCGGCCGAGAGATCCAATGGCAACGGTTTCAGAAGGCTGTTCGAGAAGGAGTTGTATGAGACGGCCGTGATGGAGTCCTGGACACATTTTCATTCATTTCATTTCTTCTACAAAAGTCTCACAATATAAATCGGCCCTTTCTGACTGGAATTGTGATACAACGTCGCCGTGTACTTGTCGTCCATCCAGAATTGGATCGTCTAACAAAAATAGTATTATTCAGGGAACTTTTCAGTTTGTTTCAACCTCGGGCCGTTCCTTATCGCTAATCAGAGCCACGCAGCCAATCACCGAAGGGCAATAAGACAGGTGAACGGAAGCTGGAAAGGCTTCGTTTAAAATCAGAATTTGAACCGCGGGAGAAAACAAGGGGGAAAAAATTGGATTCAATTTGGCAAAGTCAAGAGAGTGTGGATAAATGAGAGTCTCCATGATCTCTAACAGGCTAGACGTCTCTTCTTTTCCCATACTCTCTCAGGAATCCCTACAATGACCACTTCCATCAATTTTCTTGGAATTTTCGTTTTCGTGAACGTATGAGGTTTAAGAATGTTCTTTGGCTATTTTTTTCAGAACATTAAATTAGGAAAATTAGAAATTCCAGCAGCTTAAGAGACACTCTCTAGCTCTCATTATCTCCATTTTACCCACACTCTCTCGATTTCCGCGAATTTCTAAACCCAAATTTTCTCTATCACTCCTTCGAAATGATCATGAGGTTCTCGACAAGTGCAAAAAATTTTCTCATGATCTTCTAGATAGGAAAAAAGCAAGATTGTCTAGCATCGCACACAAAAACAAGCATAGCAACGTGTTGCTCATGTTAGAGCTGCTTTACATGCAAAACGAACCGTTGAACAAGTATCGTGGGTGATTCTTGACGTCTGAAATCGTGTTTGGTTGAAAAAACGGACAATTGCAAAAAGTGAAGGAATTTTTCAAGGATAATATGCATGTGCGGTGGAAAAAAGTATTCTTATAAAGAAATGAGGGAAAATAGCCTTTTCAGAACAAAATAAAACTCGCTCTACTGATATTAGACGGAAAACTGATAAGTGAAAACTAAATTTAAAAATTTTCAAAAAAAAATTAACAGCAAAATCGCTCGGCTTATTTTGATTAGGAATTTGCGCTCCACGGACAAAAACCATTTTTCAAACTAATAACTTTGCGGCTTAGTTTCCCACATTCTTCTCGACTAGGACAGTGATTTCGTGCATATTCTATAAAGAAAAAAAAATTCGAATCACGCTCAAAAGTTTACTCCGATACGACAGAGGGTCATGCGAAATAAATAAAATTTTTTTTTTTGAAATTTCAAGTTTCACTAACTTTATGCTGAAAAAATGTACAGAGGGAGTGCTTTTGAGGAAAGTTAGGTACTGGCCATGGTTTTCGGAAATAGAAAAAAGTTTTCACTTTCAATTTTTAGGTTGCTTGCAAAATATGGCTAGTAAAACTTACCTATTTTCCCATTTTGAAAAAAAAATCTACGAGAATCTCAGAATATGACTGTAAAGAGGTTACCAAATGAAACGAGCTGATAATCAGCAAAAATGAGAGAGTATTAGCACCCGAAGAGACTCTAAAGAGAAAGAGACACCATCATTGTCTGGCGTCTCTTCTGGCTACAGCTGTTCTCTCGTTTTAGCCTATTTTCGCCAAAATTTCATACCTATCAATCTATAAGCCATCCTAAACAACTTTGAAAATATTGAAAAACATCTAAAATTTTTTTTTCTGTAATCATTTTCTCTAGAACGAGTGGTGAATAAACTAGACTTGTTTTTGGTTTTCATTTTCTTTTTTTCATCCAAATCAAATGTTTCTGATGAATATCTTCATTCTCGGTGATTTTCGTGAAATTGATCCATTTTTCCAAATTCGGAGGTCATATTGAAACTTGATTTTCAACCCTTTTCGAAGGATTTTTCGGCCAGTACCATAACTACCAAACAACATGGGACATTGTGCAAGAAGAGAAAGAACAAACAGCATGCGCGGCTATTGCATGTGTCACCCTGGAAGTAGTGCTCGTTCTGCAGCAAGACGTCCACGTTCAGCGGAGTATTGTCGTTGTTGAAGTAGTGGACGAGGAACATGTAGTGGCCCCGGGCTGGCACGACTCCAGAGATCTCGATTGTGCCCTGGAATTCTTCTTTGAAAGCCTATGCGCAGTCAAAAATCTTTCAGAGCTTACTGCTCCCATTCTTTATCTCATGTCGCTTTGAGAAACCTGAGAGTCGTCGAGAGGAACGACGCGGACTTCCTTGGCTCGGGCAACGGGGAAGGGCAACTTGTCGCCGTAGATGGATTTGCCTTCGTTGGAGCCGGATTCGGCTTCGGTTCTGACCGAATCGGGGGCCGGCGGATAGGACTGCTGCACGCAGCGGCCGTTCTTTCGGATGCACACAGGAACCTTAATTTCGTGGTTTTTTTTTCAGAAAAATCTATTTTCTTCGCCAAATCCTACCAATTGCAAGTAATCGGTGCTGAAGTCAGCCTTGGGAATGAGGTTGATCGCAGCGAGCCCGAACTCGTGATTGGGCTGAACATGGAGCTGAACAACGGCCTGTCCTTTCTTGAGTGGTACGTAGGCCATCTGGCCGCCGTTCTTGGTCACGAGCTCACGGCAGAACGTACTAAATAACCATTTTATAAAAAGCTGGAGCTTTTCAATCTTACGCGTAGGGGCAATGATGGATGACGACAGATCCGTTGAGCTTGACGTCGCCTTCCTGGGCGATGTCGACGACGACGGGCCGATAGGACTCCTCCATGTTGACGTACTCGACCAGGACGACATATTCTCCGTCGGCAGGGACCTCGATCTTCGCCTCCACCGTTCTGCTGTCGTTATCGGCGCGGACGAAAGCCGACGGGCCGTTGATGTCTTGCGGCACGATCTCGACGGGGACCATGTCCAGGGTGGTGGTCGTTCCGTCCTTGTTGACATAACTGAAGGTGTCCTGGCCGTCTTCCAAGTCGGCTCGGGCGGCAGAAGTGAGTGGAGGGTAGAGGAGATCGATGCAGGTGGCATTCTTCGTCGACTTGGAGTGACACGGCGGCGGAGCTCGTTCCCTCAAAGCCTGTCCTTCGTAGTACTCCGCAGGCAGAATGACGATGTAGTCCAGGTACAGTCTTTGTTTGGTCGCAATCGACACCGTCCATTTTCCAGGATTCAAAACGAACGGCTTGCCCTCGACGGTGATTTCCTTGAAGGCCGGATCCGAAGAAGGCGGGAACGTGACCTTGGTGGACTGTTCGACGTCGTTGGTCTGCGTGAAGCGAGGCGCAACAGCGATGGTCGCTGTGACGGGGACACTGGTCGGATTGACGTAGCGGAAGAGGAGACGGTAGACGGAAGCCTTGTTGACGTCGACGTCGAGGAGAATCTTCTCCTGGATGGGCGAGAAGACGGCGTAGCCTCGCCAGGAGAAGTTGGCAAACTGGGCCGGGTCGACGGCGAAACGGACCGGTCGCTGTTCTTCGGTGTAGCCGTCTTCGGCCTCATATTGGTGGTGCCAGAGGCTTGGGAAATAGTGATTTTCGATGGGTCGGTCACATGCGAGTCCAGTCACGCGGGGTCGACACTTGCATTGGCCGGTTTTCAGGTCGCATTCTGATCTCAGAGATCCTCCGATGTTGCAGTTGCAAGCTGAAAAATGTATATTCGGAAAATTCTTGATTTTCACTGGAGGAAAATAGTAGGATCAGGTATCTGAGAAGTCTTACGTTCGCATCCGAGCTGATTGTAGTTCTGCAGGTTGTAGAATCCCTCAGAACACTGGTCGCATCTGGAAAAATCATTGACTTTTAGAAACGTTTAAACTTTAAGGCAGAAGCTGATGTTTGAAGGTGTAGAGCCTAGTTTTGAAAAAACGCTACAAGTCAAAATATTTTCATTCTTATTTGAAGCCCAAACATCTTTCATATTAATCGAAATTTCGGAAGCGTTTGAAAAAATTTATTTTCTTCGGTTTGGTTTCAGACAAAATAGCTTCAAAAAACTTCTAAGGCCTAGAAACTATCTCAACTTTTCCTCTTCAAACTCAACCAAACTTTCGATTTCTCGTCAAACTTTCTTCCGACTTGAGAAATTTTCATGAGTTTCTATGAGTTTTTTTTTCGGAACCTTCTGGAAAAACCTTCAGTGGCCATTATAAAGGCTCGCCAAGGACTACTTGGATAGGACACTAAAGTAGCAACTAATATCCCTTTTCTAGAAGCCGCTATTTTCGGTCTTAGTGGCCACTAAAGTAGTTTCAAGTGGACTAGTAGTAGCCTTAGGCCTCTATAGTGGCCACTAACTTTTAACCCCTTAAGTGGCCACTAAAACGTCAAAACCCTACAGTGGCCTCCAAAAATTTTCCCAGTCCAATCACCTTCTTCCAGCCGCATTCTTCTTGCAAACGCACTGGCCCGTCTTCAATCCACACGTGTTCAAGCCGGACAGAGTTCCATTCAAGTTACAATCGCAGTCTTCAAAATTCAGTTTTCTCTAAGAAAATCATTGATCATTTCCAAACCGATGCATCCATCCGGATGGTGGTACTGGAGGTCCCAGAAGCCGGGCTTGCACTGGTCGCAGATGCGTCCGTCGACGTTCTTCCGGCACGAGCACAGCTCTCCAGGGGCCACTTTGTCGCAGCCGGCAAAGTCTGGCGTCACTCCGGAAGGATTGCAGTTGCACTCTTCGCAGATCGGGAAGTTGTAGAAGTTCGGCTTGCAACGGTCACAGCGTTCTCCCTGGAGAAATCGTGGTGAGATTGAAAAATATGAAGAAAAAAGTGAAGACACCACTTAAGGGTTTATTTAAGAGCTCTCTAAAGGGCGCTTGAGGAAAACGGAAATGGAAAAAAATTCTAAAAAATGAAAAAAAATTCCATAGAAATATTCCCTTTCTCCACCTCAAAATTGCCCTTGCAGTAGCACTGGCCGTTGTTGTCGCAGGTCTGACCCTTGGCGCCGTCGATGAGACAAGAGCAAGCCTAAGTTTTGACAAATATATTATTTTTTCACTCGAAAGTATAAACTTTGCACTGAGGGTAATCATAGAAGCCAGCGGCACACTTGTCGCAAGTTCTGCCGGTGAAGTTTCCATTGCAGGGACATTGTCCGCTGGCCGGTTCACATTCCGGTGAAGTCGTTCCGGCGCCGTCACAGCCGCAAGCTTGAATGATAAAAAAATTTCTTGATATCTTCTTTTCAAATCTAAAATTTTTTGAGTAGTCAAAAAAAATATTCAAAGCGTGAGACCAAATTAATCAGCAATCAAAAAAATATGTCTTAAATCCGGTTTTTGAAAAAGACAGATCTCTTAAAATGGAGGGGACTTTATAGACATGCTGACAATGGGAAAAGTTTCTTTTGTCTTTTCTCATGTTTTCCGTTTCAAACTTTAACAAAACGAGAAAAAACCCCTACGTTTGCTATTGCGAGATCCATAAATGCATGTGTCCTTTTCGGTTGTACTTCTATTGTATTTTGGTTGAAAGTTTATGTCAATATTGAAGCTATAGTAGAAATCAAGCTGACGACCAAAAAGACTGAAAAGGTCCCATTTTTTTAATTTTTCTGTCATTTTCTCAATGGTTCCACAGATTGGTAAACAAGTAAGTTTTCAAACTCGAGCAACCCAATGAAAAGTCTGCTTACGTTTGCAGTTGGGGTATCCGTAGAAGCCGATGTCGCAGTGGTCGCACTTTTCGCCGGCGAATCCTTCCTTGCAGAGGCACTGGCCCGACTCGTCGCACATGCCGCCCTCCGTTCCCATCGGGTCGCAGTTGCAGACTTAATACATTCCAATTTCTCTATCAGAGGACTTTCAAAGCCTCACAAACTAGAGGTATCAAGTACATCAAACAACTTATTCTAATGTCATAAAAACGGTCAGGTACATTTCAATTAGTAAAGTCAAATTCCGGGACCACCCTAAGGCTTTTGGAGCTAACTTACAGAACCGTTAGAAAAGATTGAAAACATTTTTTTGCTTACAACTTTCTTAACTTTTTTAAAACTCTATAAAGCTGTGTTTTTCTTTCTGCGAACTGACAGGCCCTTAGAACTACTCCAAAAATTTTCAGAAAGATCAAACTACATACAAAATTTTTGTGACCAAAAAAGCGTTTTTTTCGCATCTTTTCTGACAGAAGTGTATCTATGATAACTGTTAAGAGTCTGTTCATGAACAACCCTGACGCTGTTCACTTTAATATATATTTTTTTTCTCATTCATCTTCTAACATTTTAGGAAATCCTAAGACCATTTTTGCTTTTTTTTTCCGGCTAATGTTCTCTTCTGGCAATAACCTAATCATTTTCCTTATCTAACCATAAAAATCATCCTTATCAAAGCTTACAAGTGCAGTTGGGATAGCCGTAATAGCCGTTTTGGCACTTGTCACAAGCCAGTCCGGAAAACGCGGCTTTGCACTCGCACTGGCCGGTTTCCGCTGAACAATTCGAGTTTTCTGATCCAGTGGGGTCACAGACGCACTCTGAAAAAGCAATTTTCGAATTTTTATTTTTCGAAATTTTCTTACCAACGCATCCAGCTGTCACGTTGGTGAATCCTGGAGCGCAAGTTTCGCAGAAAGTTCCACCGAAACCGTCTTTGCAGGGACATTGGCCATCAGTTGGCTGGAAAATTTGATTTTGCAAGGTTTCGTTTTCGAGAATTCGCGCAGATTGAAAAATTTTGTTCAGTTTCAATCTTTCTTTGCAGGAAATTTGAGTTTTTCCACAAAAAAAAAATTACGAGCTATTTTCATCGCCCAACATAATTGCCGATATCGCAGCGGGCCGCAGGCTATATAGCCAATGCTTCTCGCTGCAATCTCGTCAAAGTCTCGCTGCCATATCGCTCCCTCTCAAAATTTTGAAATTTGAAAAGCTTTTTTTTTTGCTTTATTTTTGACTTCTATGATGAAATCAATCGAATTCAAGAAAAGAAAAATTTTTGAAGAAAAATTTTTCAGAGAGCGATGTAGCGCAAGACGTTTGCGAGGTCGCAGCGAGAGGCGAGCGATATCGCTCACGGCTCCCACGCGGTATAGCATTACTCTCGCTGCGATATAGTCCACAATATTGGGAGATGTTTCTTTGACCTTGCCGGTGAGGGAAAAGAGAGACGCTGACATTCGAAAACATTGTGAGCGCCAGAGTGCTCACTAGAGGGCTACTGCCCGTTATCGGTGTTTTAAACTTTTCGGGTGGTTCGCGGGGTCTATAACTGATTCACGGCTAGCTTGGAACGCTAAGGGGCGTGGCCTGTCTGCGTTCTAGTCCCTGTCAGAACTTTTCTTTTCGATGGCTCAAGCCAGCCGTGCCGTGAATCAGCTGTAGGCGAGGTTAAAATTGTGTTCCAGGTGGTCGGCTGGGGTTACAGGGGAGATCGACGGTCGCACCCGCGGATGCTACTAGCCAACATGAGAATAAATGACAAAATGAACGTACCAGACAGGCTTCGCCGACGGTTCCGTTGACCTGGCAGTCGCAGGCGCGACACTCTGGCGGATCGTAATAGCCCTTGGCGCAACGGTCGCAGTTCTCGCCTTCGAATCGCGGCTGGCATTCGCAGCGACCCGTGCCCTCTGCGCAGGCTCCCGTGTGTTTGTCCGGATCGCAGTCGCAAGCTGAGAAAAAAGATGATTTTTTTCAAATAAACGTTGAATTTTCGCGTGGTAAGGATTGTACATTTCATTGAATTTTTCAGAAAGATGAAAATTGAGCTTGCAGTGGGATGAAATAAATTAAATTAGTCTGTATAGATTTTCGCTGAACCTCCGCCCCTGATGGCGCGATAAACCAATCAGAGAGCGAGCCATCCAGAGAAAGTTTTCGAATGACGTCATAGTACTTGAAATTAAAACAGAAGAAAGAGAGTTCTCTCAATTTTTTTTCTGTGATTGGACTCCCTGGAAACTCACGCTTGCAAGGCTGAGTTTCGTTCCAGAAGGTTCCCTCGGGCCGGAAATACCCATAGACGCACTTGTTACAGTTGATTCCTTCCGTGTTGAACTGCAATTTTTGACCGTGTTGAAAACTTTTTCTCGAATCTAATACTCGACATGTTTCGAAGTAATTGAAAAGAGTTCGGTATAGTAGAAAATTTTGGCGCGAGATTTTCACCTTGTTTTCCTCTACACAATTGCAAAAACAAAGATCTCGACTTAGGAATTTCAGAGTGATCCCTATAGGGTTTGGGAAGAAAAAGCCCCAATATGGGCCGAAAAGCGGTCACTATAGGGGTAAATTTTAGGTGATCCTTATAGAGGTTTAGGGACTCCCCCATAAAGCTGAAGTGGTCCCTATAGGGATCTCTCAATTTACGCTTATTTATTAAGTTTTTTCGCATGGAAATGCTTCTTCCCATAGAGTTCATAAACATTATCGACTAGCGTGTCCCCTATAGGGACCGCTTTTGCAACCTTCAGTGACTCCTATAGAGGTTGGTAAGGGAATCTCTAGAGGGATCCTCCAAGGGCCTCTAAAGTTGCCCCTATAAGGACCACTCTGAAATTCCTAGAAAGTTTGATCAAATTTGGTATACGCTCTTTTTTGCAAAAAAAAATGGAACAAGATCATTTTTTCAATTTTTGTTTATTCGGATCGACTCACGCGGCAGTTGAGACATTTGCCGCCGCCCTCGTAGTTGCCGTGAATATCCAGAGACTGATGGTCGCGATCGATCTGCGCGTCATAAACACACTCATTACTTCTTCCGAAGCAGTTGCAAGCTGAAAATCCTTCGATTTTTCTAGATTTTCCCTGTCAACGAACGTTCGCAAGTGAAATTATTGTGCGCGGTGGTCGGTTGCCATTGTTTCTGTTCGAATCCGGGGCAGCATCTCTCGCACATGTCTCCGCAAGTGTTGTGTTCGCATCTACAAAAAATTTGGGCTTGTTTTTTGACAAAATGGTTCTCGAAACTTGTCCAAAATCTTGAAATTAAACTATCAGAGCTTGAAATTTTTGATAACCTTTTATAAAACGCTCTTTCTTCACTAATTCCGGAATTTGAAACATGAGAGATTTTGAAAAAAATCGATCAAAAACACAAAAATTCATATTTCGGTATAAAAATCGAAAATTTAGTTAAGTAACTTGAAAGCTTATGTTTTCCTTGCCTCTTCAAAAAAAAAACTGGGCGATTCTTAGATACGCAGTCCACTTGCCTACCGTAACCCATCATGAGACAAAATGGCTCAAAAAGTTCTATCAAAATGAAGAATTTTTTTATTTTTACGCAGGATTTTCTTTAATAAATTACAGTTAAAGCGTCTTTTCTACCCATTCCAGATAATTTATTTAAAAATTGGCGCCTAACATTATGAAGCTTCTTTATTAGGATCATTATGTGTTATTTCCCCAGGTCCTACTGTAGCTTTCCATTAAAGACCTGCACAGAAGGGCTCTCGGCCGACGCGGGTCCAAAATGTCGCAAGTGACGGCGTGGCCATTGCATACACACCGACCGCCGATCATGATCTCCTTGATCGCGTAAAAGTACTGAAAAAACCATTCCTCTACAGTAAATCAGGAAGCTACAGTACTCTGCGGGTGACGGTAGGGTCTCTCCACTCGTTCATGTCCATGAGGTGTCCCTGGAGGGTTCTGGTGCCGAGAAGCCGGAGTCGGACGTTGGTGGCTCTGGTGAAATTTTGGAGCGCTTCCGACGTCGCGAATTGCAGAGAACTTGGTCGGTGTTCCAAGATTCGGATGACCATCTGGAAAGTTTTTGCTTATTTTTTTCTGAAAAAAAAAACTATTATAAGAACTGGAACACATTGAATGGAAATCAACATCATAAATAAACGTTAAAATTTTTTAAAAAATATTTTTCGACGAACCTCAGCGTTCTCCAACGGTTGGAGACTGGCCATATCCGTGCGGCAAACGACGGAATCGTCGTCGGAAATCGGAGAAAGCGACTCCATTCCGAACTTTCGCATGCACTCGGCACTGTTTTCGGCGAAATGGAACCAGGGCTGGTAGGTCTTGCCGTGGTCCGTCGATCGTTCCAGGACCCAAGTTCCAGGCCTCGGACTGTTCGCCATTTGGATCCAGACGTAGGCGACGTGAAATTCCTGGAAACAGAAAAATTTTCAGATTTTTTTTCTCCTTGAGAATTCAGTACTTGTTCGAGGTCGATGGTGATGTTGACTTGGTTGTACTGAAGACCGCGGGACAACGGTGGCGACATCCACCAACTGTTATTTCCGTCGACCATGTTGGCAGCCGGGTGCGCGTTGATCGTGTTGGCATGACAGTGTCCGCAACCGTGACCGCCCTAGAAATTGGTTCTTTTTACACGGCGTTCTTGTCAGTGAAAGAAAATGCAGAAAAAAAATACTAGGGGCGGGCCTCTCTAAATCGTACGACTACAGTAGATTTGATCTGTTCAGGACCCGTTTTTGGATTACAAGACCCACCCTTTAAAGCTCTCGCAAGATTTACGGAAAGAGTTAATTGAAAAAAAGCATAATTTTTTTGCTTTTTTTACTTTTTTTAATATTTTTGTTTGACGTTTTTTTCTATAAGCAAAAAGATATTACCCAGTTCCTTAGACGTATTTTTGAAACCGGTTTCGTGTAAATTAGAGTCAAATTGAATTTGCTGATGCAGTTTGAAGATTTTGTTATATGAATCATCTAAATTATATTTTTTTTCTAGTTTTTTTGATGGTTTTTGGATCAAAAAAATTTCGCCATACGAGGTTTTTTTCTAAAAATTTCTGCTTTCTATCCATTATTTGTTTTTTTCTGAAGCTAGGTTTTTCAAGGTATATAAAATGTTTCTTTTTTTCATTTGCTCCTCGAATTTCCCTCATTTCAATATTTTTCGTATTTATAATTGCTTATTCAATGGGAGCTAATTTACCTTCATAATAATTTTTTTGTTTTAATTTTGTAATCAGTAATTTAGAGTTTTTCCCCCTCCGAAATCGTTCCTAATTTTTTTAAACGTAAGTGAATGTTTTTTTCACATTATTCTCTTCAAACTGACAAGATTTCGAACATTTCAGGAGTTATTATCCTAAAATTGCGAATTCTAAAATTGAAAAAAACAATTTTGAGTATGAGATAGTGCGTCTCGGTGTGCTTACACCCTAAGCATCATAATTTACGAGAAGTCTTGACCTTGCGTAATAAAAAAACGCCGTGTTTAGGATATAAAATTTTAAAAATATCAAAAAGGTTATTTTTGCGCGTCATGTTCGCTGTTTGCGTTCACGATGTGTATGCACGCGGAACACTTTACCTCACACACTAAGAATAACTGCCGAGATAAACGCGAGACACTGGCGGTACATTGACGAGCTCGCAAACATCTCGCATTTTTTCTCGCGCCGGTTTCGCATTTGTTTGGGCGCGAGCTCGCATTTTTCTAGGCGCGAGCTCGCATTTCTCTCGCAATTTGAAAATTTCCGAAATGCAAGATAAATGCGAGATGGCGCCGAGAAAAATGCGAGGTCGCGCCGAGAGAAATGCGGGATCGCGCCTAGAAAAAAGCGACATTTTTGCGAGTTAGTCAATGTACCGCCACCGAGCTCGCATTTATCTCGTCAGTTATTCTTAGTGACAAGTATTAAATAATAATTTTCAAAAGAATTTTATTCGTTCATCAAAAATTGAATTTTTCAGAAAATTTCCTATTATATTTCTTTTCAATTTACGCGAGCTTTTGTACCATTTATTTATGCGTTCAAAAACTTGACAAGTTTTCAGTCAAATGAGGACGAACCTGAACGAAGGCTTCTCTCGGGTTTCGGAGCTCCTGCATCATCATTCCGTGGGTTTCATCTTCTTCTTGGTAGGAGTAAGAAGTGAGCGGCGTGTATTGTGTTGAGCCTGATCAAATCGATAGATTGAATTTGAAGAAAAGAGGTAACCGAACCAGTAAGTGAGCAGTAGACTTCATTGATGGGTTGTCCGTTGATTTCTCCGCAAGTGGAGGTGGCGACGATCGGTTTCCGATGGGAAATGGTGATTTGTGAAGGCGTGAGAACTTGCGCCTGCGCCACGGCGGCCACTAGAAGTAGCGGCAGCCACGGCGAGGTCGACGTCAGCCACCTCATCGTGTCCTGAACTTCTGGTTTTCTTAAAAGAAGCTCCAAAAAGGCGTCGGGTGTGCAAAAGGACCGAATGAGAAGTGAAAGACGAAGCGAATGAGGGATGGGGACAAAAAGACGGCGGCCGTCGAGCAGCTGCGGCCGCCAGATGTGAAACTTTTTCCACTTCGGTCCGTGCCACGACGATAAATTTGTCCGCCAAGCAAAAAGTGGGGTGTAGGGGTGAATCAGTGATTGCAAAAAAGAGGCAGCTGCGTTCTCGGATCGAAGGAAAGTGCAACTTTTTTGGGGATCGTGTAAAGCACCTGCGAGGACGAAAAAAGGATTTTTCGAGAGTAGTACGGTATCCAAGATATATAGAATGGACCTAGTTTATTCGAAAAATTGTCGTTTTCAAGAAAAACTTGAATAAAATGGAAGGTGTGAAAAATTGAAGCGAATATCTTGGAACTTTTGCGAGATCTGAATTAATATCTAAACGAATTCTTTGTCTCGAGACCTTTATGAGATTTTTTTTAGTTAAATAAGAAATTCCTAGAAGACCATACGTTTCAAAAAGATTTTTTTATTAATCAAAACACTTCAAAGAATTTTTATACGAAGATTAGTTGATAAAAAAATGATAAAAAGGAGGCTTCCGAATAACAAGCTGTAGGTTTGTGGCTTTTTTTTTGAGGCCCAGATTTTCAACCACCTGATTTTATCAAGTAGGAAGTTATATTAAGTTGATACAATTTCAAAAAGGCTGAAGATAGGCAGTTGAACACCACATTTTAGACAGAATTTACAAAGTTTTGGCGTTTTTCACAGAAAAGCTTTCGAAAACTGACAGAAAAACCATCGATTGTTTCAGATGGACCATCAGAAGCGAGGAACGAAACATCGGGGGATGGAATGAAAGGTGAGGACTTTACAACGGCCCGAGCAGCAGCAGGTCACTCCGGCAGACGCCTCGTCGCCCGTAAAAAAGAGCCACACCACAACACTCGTTTTTTGTCTGTCCTTCCAAGGTGAGAACAAGAAGAATTTTTTCATGATAATGTTAATATTGAATGGAAGAGCTTACTTTCAGTCAAAGTTATTAAACCAAGTGGAGAATTTGAACGAAAAAAACGTATGAAGGAAAATGGACCTAAATCTTGAAAAAAAGAGCAGACAGTCAGGCTTTGAGGTTTAACGAAGTACATTGCTTCCAATAAAAATAATTTTTCCCGCTTTTGAGCCGATTTACAACGCCTCAAAGTTCGTAAGTTACGATTTTAGGAGAGAAAATCAGGATTTTCGATCCCTTTGTGGCGCCATAACTTGACTCAAACACTAGAGACAATGAAACTTTGCGTTTGATCGAGAAAAAAGCAACTTCTCAAAGTTAAACTACCTTAGCTTACTTTAGTAAAGAAAAAAAAAAGATTACATAATTTTTTTACTCGACTCGAAAATTGAAAAAAACGAGGGAATAAGTGCAGGCATCTGAAAAAAATAAGTTGAGAAACAGAAAAGTCGAACAGGTAAAAAAGCAGCGTCGTCATCAATATTTTCTGTAGGAATTAGAAGATCTAAAAGAAGAATCTCAAAAATAATAATTTTTGAACTTCTATATATCATAAACGTTGAGGCTGATAAGCTATGAAAATTCACTTTTGAGCGAAAAATTAAATTTGAGCTCTGCTAGAATTTCTACCAGTAAAATAATGAGTACTGTATGTAACCTTAAACAAGAGAAGTATATACAAACTTGTGTCAGAAACAAAATAAAAAGGAAAAATAGAGAAAAGACTAGAGAGCGGGATAATAGACTGACTCGAAGCACGCCAAATAAGTGAAGGCACGCGGCTCAACGTGCCTGTAGCAAATGCCGCTATCACCTTGGCGCCTTTCCAAGTGACCCAACTTGCCGAGATAGATCAAGTGGTCCTCTTGACAAGTTAATAAGAATCGACTTGTCTACTCAGAAAGATAAAAAACTTGGAAATTTCAGAGTGGTCCCTATAACGGTTAGGGGGGAGAAAACCCCTATAAAGGGGCCGATAAAGTGGTCCCTAAAGGGGAAAATCAAGTTGGTCCCTATAGGAGTTGTTAAAGTGGTCTCTACAGGGGCCTCCCCTAAGGTTGCACCTATAGAGACCACTCTGGAGTTCCTGAGAAGATCTTCCAAACTCTTCACAAGAGAAGCCATTTTAATATGCGGCTAAGATTTTCATGAAAATTGGCTTCTTGATGTTGATGAAGATGAAGGTCCTGAAAGTCTCAACCTACACGATTTCCAAGTTTTCGAGAAAGAACCCCTCAAAGTCAGAGAGAATAGACAAAATCCGTTGAAAACGGTCATTTTCAGACTTTAAGCTAACAATCCTCAAAAACGAGGAAGCTGTGCAGGTTGAGACTTTCAAGACCTTCATCTGGTCTATCGAAAAGTGTTCTGGCCAAATATGATTCCTAACCACAAAGTAAAATGACTTTCCATGTACCATATGCAATATCGAAAGAACCCTTTACAGGCCCATTGAGCGTCCTTTTTGCTGATTTTTCCTGCCCGTTCATCGGCCTTCATCCACTCTTTTTGGACCCTTTTAAAAAGCAAAAAATTTTTTAAATTGAAAATAATCTTTACCAGTGACTGTGTATGAACTAAAATGTGCTACAGTAATAAAATCGGAAATCATCAATAGCAGAGACTTTCAGCACCTTTTTGCACCCTCACTTCTTCCTCACCTTTTTTTTTGGCCTCTTCCTTTTTTTCACCCTTCTTAGGACTTTTAGCCCACTAAGAAAGGCTCAATAAAGGCCCCAAAACGGAACCCTTTTTGCGGCCATTTTGCAGTCACTCCCTTGTTGCACCCTGTTAACCTTCCTTTTATTTATCAAAAAAAAGCTTATACCAAAACATGTGTTATTGTTTTTCTGTCTATCATTCTAATCATTCTCTTTTGCGTCATCTAATGAAACAAAATACAAAACTTTTTCTCACTCTCTGTGGGGAAATTTCTCGATTCGAGCTTTCTAGAAAAAGGTCAGAGCTCAAAAAAATTTTTCTTGGTTTTTTTGGTCTTATATTTTTCCAATTGGAATTTCAAAAACAAAAAAATTTTTCCACTGGCATGTTAGCTGGCTTAGTCACTTGCATGACTCATTGATTAAATAATTAAAACTAATAAACTCCTTTTTTCCAATTTTTTTTCTCTTTTATTTTTCAAGTTCTGTCTTGTTTACCAACATGAAAAGACATCATTTGAAAAGGTGATATTTTCAAAAATCAAATAGACAAAAGTTGTAGTTTCTTTATTCACAGGAAGGTTTTCCGGCTTATTTATCCACTTTTTTCCCATAGTTTTAATTTAGTTCCCTAGTATGAATCAGTCTATATATCCAAGTTTTGTTTTTTGAAAGTGAGGGTTTTTTTTTCTATGGATGGTGAGTTCCGATGGCTTCATTATACGCAAGGAACTTTTTGATTTAAGACACTTGCACTTTTTCCTTTACAAACTCCCTTTTTTAATTTTTTTTTTGTTTCAAAACATCTTTGGGACAAATTCTATTGATTTATTGTTGATCCAAACGGTTGACCGCATCAAAGGGCTCCCGACCCAAAACGGCTTACGCTTGGCGGCATCTGAAACAACTCCAACGTTTACAGTGACTGTAAATGCGAACAGAACTTTTATTCTTTTAGTTTCCACTGATTTTAATTGTTCAGAAAGCTTTTAAAAGAGTTTTCTTGACAGTTTTGGTCAAAAAACCATATTCAAAACACTCTATTTGACAGTTAAACGCTAAATTCGGTACTCTTTTTCGTGAAATTCGTCCAAAATACCGATAAAAAACCTCTGAGAACACCCATTCTGCTAAAAAAAAAGACCAAAAACACGGGGGCGGCCGTTTCCTTCAGAATTTTCATGTGAATCGGCGGCGCCGCCATCTCGATTCCCACCTTTTCTTCAATTTTGAGCTTTTCCTTCCCCTCACTTCAGCCCCGATTTTCTGATTGTTTGAGAAATCGAATTTGTAGAAAGTAAAATCTTTTCAAAAATAGATCTATAACTTTTCGAAAGAGTATGAATATTTATTTAAAGAAACTGACCAGTTTCCTGAGTTTCTCACGCTTCACCTGAAAAATTGGGGAAAGTTGAGTCAAATCGCACTTTTGGGCTGCAAAATCGCCGAAGTTATTTTTTTTTTGAATTTCCTAGTAAACTTCTTACGTTTGTTGACAAAGGACACTGATAATTAGAGGCTGTTGTCTTTTTTGAAGTTTTTCCGATAATTTTTTTAAATTAAAGGTCTAATCCTGCCTCGGATACTATTTTAATTCAAACTCGATCATACTTCAATTAATTAACCAGTTAGTCCAGTTTACATTAAAGATTTTTTTGAAACGCTTTGTCAAAAGTTGTTTCGATAAACTTCAAGGCCAATGAGAATTTGGAACTATAAATCCAGGAAAATAACTTTTTTTCCGAGGAAATATGCATATTCAGAGCCAATTCACTTCATTTTCCATGGATTAAAACCGTCTGGCCGCACTTGGAATGGCTTAATGCGCTGCGGTCGCGCCGATTCTAATTTTCGTATCAGTCAAAAGAAAATATCAAGCTTTAGAAGGATTTATCTGAAGCAGGGCTACCGACGGGCACCCCGGGCAGGCTCAGTAGTCACCCCGGGCGACTCTACTCTCTGGTTGAAAAAATTTGCTCTTTTGGCAATGTGACCGCTTTGCGAGTAGGGCTGGCCCGGTACCACCCGTCTTTCCAGCAGTCCTGGTATAAGGTACCAACAACGCCCTAAGCCATTCTCCATGTGACCAAATTATTTCAAATCTCAGTAATTTACTAGTGAAAAAAAAACAAATTTACTTCCTGTTTTCCATAATTTTACCTCGTTTTCCCATGCTCAATTTGAACTTGTATACGAATACTCTAGTGAGATTTTCAACAAACTTGATATCTTTAGAAGTAATTGTACGTTTCACATGACATTTTGATGAAGTTTTCATCAGACCTTAGTCTGTACTACGGATACCTGATGATATTTCATTTTACCCACATGCCAATTTTTCATTACATTTTTCATTAGGCAGCCAATTTTTCATTAGATTATTGGCTTCCTTGTCTGACACACCATTTTCGATATCTTCCTTACGCATGACATGATTCGACCTTACATCCTTTGCAAAATACGATCAGAATGTTTTTTGAAGCCTTATTTCTTGTCTTGGTTCGAAAACAACAGTTGGAGGAGCCATGAAAAGCAAACTAGAGAAAAACAAACTTTAGAAAAGGTCGAAAAACCGGGTAGAACCGCCTCGGAAAGTTATGCATCTAAAATCAGAAGAAGATTTTTTTTTCTGGAGATTTTGACCTTAGAGCATATCTGTATTATGGGATTACACGGCTCTTTCTCCTCTTATTTTTTTTATGAGCTGATTTAACACCTTTTTTTCTTTAGATATCTTATAAAAATCCTTGTTTTGGTGCCTTATTAAGGCTTCAAGGCTCTGAATCGAAAACAAAACAAAAACCTAGAAAAATTTCGTGATTTGTTTTTTTTTTACTTTCAAAGGGAATTTTCGATCATGCAAAACGTGAAGCGGTCTGATTTATTTGCGCCCAATATTCAGTTCATCCTTGAAACTCTCTGACACGTCTGCGCTCTCTTTTCCCTCTACGTAATGATCGTAGAAGAATCCAAAAACAAAGTGAACATCAAAACTAGCAGATTTTGGAAAATTGCTTTCATCAGGGATGTCGCTGAACCACGAAGACTGTGCCTCGCCAGAACTGGTCGAAGCCTTGATTTCGACCTCGCAACGGGCCAACCACGTCCTCAACTTCGTCCTGACCTTCGCCACCGTATTTCTGACAATTATCGCGATCAAAGTCCTCGTCTACCACTCAATTTTCCATAATACGACGAGAATCTTGCTGTTCACCGGCTTATTTTATGCGAATCTTCATGAGATCTGCAAGTCCTTTGGAAGGGTTAGTTTAATTAAGATCGAAATAAGCTAGAAAATCAAAAAAAAAAACTATAAATGAAGTTAATTTACGTTCGAAAGAGTCTTAAAAGAAAATAGTTTGAAACTTTATTAGCGCAAAAAGGACTTTATTCTAAAATGCACTGTTTTGAAGAATTTAAACGGTTTTCTCCGTTTTTCCTATTTGAGGAACGCCAGAGTGGTCCCTAGAGAAGCAACTTCAGAGGCCGTTGAAGGTCCACTTTTTATTGTGTCTTTAGAGATCGCTTTATCTCTCCCTATAGGGGACAATGAAGCTTGCAAAAGTGACCACTATAGGGAAGCCTTATACGACTTTTTAACACATCTTTAAACCTATCAAAAAAAAAAACTTAAAGACCACTATAGGGACCACTTAGGCTTTAGTGGTTCAGGATCAGACCCTTTACAATCCGCCTAAGTTTAAGCCCTCCAGGGAGCACTATTTTGTCCCCTATAGAAGCTCTTTTTTACCGAACCCCTCTAGGGACCACTCTGGCTTTCATAAGATTGGCTCACCATTGAAGTGTTCCTGACAATTGAAATGGAAGAACATTCGAAAACTCGCCTAGAAATGTATTTTTACAGGGCAAAACGTTAAACCGAAGCCTAACCTATGGAAATTATCCGTGTCGTATTCTGATAAGTTCTTACGATTGTCGCTACGAGACCCACGTCATAGTCGGTTCGATAGCTGGCATGGTCCTCACAGAATGCGCCTTGACCTTGGACAGGTTTTTCATATATTTTTACTGAGAGATATTCCAATTTTCCAGAGTCATAGCAACATTTATGCCGAATTTCCACTCGGCCTTCGTCAACGCCGCCGGCGTCGTCCTCACTGTTGTCGTGGTACGTGAGGAGTTTTCCAAGAAACCTACGAAATTTCATGTTTTCCTAATGGGCACGTTCACGAGTTTTTTTTTGCACTGAAGAAGAAATTATGATAAGAAAAAGAAAGGTTGTGTGAAGTTCTGTGTGGTGAGAAAAGATCTTTACAAAGATCTAAAATCTTGAAAAAAGTTTCCTTATCTGCTTTAAGATAGGGTTTTTGAGTAGACTCGTCTGAAAATTACTGGGGACTCTGAAAAGCCAAAAACGTTTTTTTGGTGTAAGAGCGGTCGCTATAGGCGACAAAAAGTCCTCCCTATAGGGGTAAAATTTAGGTGTTTTAGGAAACTTAGGCAATTTTTGAGAAATTTAGGCCTCTTCATTTTTTCAAACTCAAGTAGCCCATATAGGGACAACTTTGGCATTGCAAAAATGTCATTTTCTCGATTCAATAAAATGTATATAGCTGGTTCAAAAAATCTTTGCTTTTTTTTGAAGCGATTAAGCTTTTTAAAGGCCTATAATACATTGAAATCCCACTGAAAACAGCCGTTCGCCTCAGAAACTTCATTGAATAAAAAGAAAAAAAAAATGAATTCCAAACCACAGTACATTTTCCGGTCAGTGGACCGAAAATTTGTGTTTTGAGCTCTTTTCGATTTGCAAGTTCTCTGACACTCTCTATACGTTTTGTTGTCTTTAGTTTTTGGCGGAGTTCTTGGAGTCGGGTGCAGAAAAAGTTTGAGAAGGCTATGAAGTTAGAATAAGAATCTTCGTTGAACTGAAAATTTAGTGTTAAAGACAAAATTAGGTCTGAAACCTTAATTTCAAAAATGTGGAAGCCCATATCAGGGAAATCCCAAATATTCTGAACCCAGTCAAACTAGAAGTTTGGACCAATAGCGACTATGTGGGTTCGATTCCCAGTACAACGAAGATTTTTCGAGTACATCTACAGAAAATTCTCAAAGGATTGGTAAAATATCTCACTATGTCAATTTTTTCGATTTCCTGCATTAATTTATTCTCTTTAATACATTTTTTGAAGACTCCACGATGTTTCAGGGAATCCTAAGCGTTCTGATCCCGGTCACAGTTCTGTGGAACGAGCCGTACGTCGGCGACGTCCCACAGTGCACCCAGCCGCCGGTTTCGAGCTTCGAACGGATCAATTTCCTCCTACAGCTCTACACCTTCATCAACGTCTTCAACCTCATCGTCAACGCCGCCATCATCTTCGTGAATCGTCGGCAGGAGCTCTCGTCAGTTCGAACAACCCATCGAACATGTTGATTTTCAAGATTAGTTGTAGAACGCGATATGTTCTCGCTGGACGCTATAGATCCTACGAGACTCTGATCACTTCCCAAGCCATCTGCTGCATTTGTATCTCGCAGTTCCTCGCCTTAGGCTTCTATTCAGGTTGGTAGATTGCTCAAGAAGGGAAAATTCGTAAGAAGTTGGGAATGACCTGAGGCTTGTCTTAATCAAACTGTAAGAACTAATAATTAGATTATAGATTTAAGAGAACTAATTAAAAACTTGATCTCTGATTTAAAAAAAGCCGTAACGTTTTTTTCTTTTTATTTTTTTGAGTTTTAACTCTTGAATTTCAGCTTCGAAATGAATAGAATCGACTTTTAAAAATGTGAATTTTTTTAAAATCTAAATTTAATTTCATTCTTATCTGTAAATTTTTGGCTGATTACCTTGAAGACTCGATAGTGGTCCCTATAGGGCTACCCTAGAGGCTTTTGATGTTTTCCCTCTAGGGACCACTTTCCCCTTGACCTTCTTGCAAAATTGCTCTTTTTCGGGCTTGGAGTTAGTGGAATCTCAAATCTGAACAAAAGTTAGAAGGCCCCTATAGAGGCCACTGAAGCTTTAGGGGCCTTAAGGGTCAGACCCTGAACCCCTATAAGAAGTATACCCCTCCAGGGAGCACTTTTTTCCCCTATAGGGGCTTATCCCCTAACCGCTATAGGGCCCATTCTAGCATTACTAAGATACTTGAGGACCTTTTTTTCGAGGACTTTTATCGATTTGAAAAAATCAATTCATTCCTCTATTTTCAATCCAACTTAACACACGGTATCCGAAAAAATCTACCTTTCTGTGGATTACTGTAGTCGAAATACGAAAAAAAATCTAACTTTTTGTTAAACGAAAGCCAGTGACAAAATAAGCATTTTTTGAATTTTATCAAATATTTTTTTTCGATAACTGAAACAATATTGAGCTTTCGTTTGAAAAAGGTTCAATCGATTTTGACCACGGAAAAAGAAATTAGACTTTTTTTTTCGTATTTTGGCTACTGTAATCCTTAAAAGGGGCGGAGCCTGTCAAAACCTCAATTAAAACTTTCAGAGGCTTGTTTAGTTGTTTTGATAAAAGTATGAGCTCGAAAAAAGCAAAATTAATTTTTAGTACCAACTTCGTTTTTGTCGGAGAAAGTGTATTGAACTCTTATCATGCTTGCAGGAAGTGTTCTCTACCTGAGGCTTATCAAGAAGGAAATCGGCCTGAGTCTCTTCAATCGCTTCGTCGTCTGGCTTTACGTACGTTTCCTTCTAAAAACTTTCAAAATAACCACCCCTTTCAAGCCTAAAATTACATCGCTTTGCAAAAACCTTTATTACGCAAACAATTTCCGGCTTTTTAACCCGAAATCTATTCGGACTGATTGAAAGCCGGGCCAATTCGACAACAATGAAATAGTGAGCCCATTGAGCTAGAAAACTAAAAATGAGCAAAAAAGGTGCGGTCGAGCTCGATTAACGTGGTGTTTTGCGCGTTCGCTTTCAAGGCCCCAGTTATATAAATTTCGCCTTTTTACGCTTGGTTTAGCTTTTTAGTTCACCTTTTGAAGTCGGCGGGGATGGAGAAGTCTTTATTTCTGGGGAAAACTATCTCTGAACACTTTTCTGCTTACTAAGCTACAGAAACTGGCCAAAAAAGGCGAGGGAATAAAAATTTAATAATTTAACCAAATTTCGACACATGGCGACAGGGAAAAACTCCGTAAAGAACAAGAGAAATGAAGAAAAAAAGTACGTTTTTTTGCTAAATCTTTCAAATTCTCTGAAGTTTCTAAAAAAATGAAATTTTTTTGGGAAAAACAGATTCCACAACCAAATGAAACACGGAAAGCGATCCAAAGTTTGACCTTTTTTTCTAGGTCCGGTTCTAGGGTCACCACTATTTCAACCGTTGAGCCTTGGATTTTTTTGATAGAATAAAGTTTCAACTTTTCTCTTTTTTTGTAAATTTTTTTAGGTTGGTGTTTTAAAAAAAGAACTGTTGGGTTTATTGATTTATATTTCTTTCAAAAAGCAAGTATTTAAAGATAACTTCCATTCCTCGCATAGACTTGAGTGAAAAGCTATATTGTTTTACAGTTAAATAATATTTTAACAAAACGGGATGATTATCACGCGCCGTAGCGCAACTGGTTGTGTGCCTGTATAGGGTCCACAGGGTCGCAAGTTCGATCCCGACCAAGGGGTTTAAGAAAATTTTGTTAGTGTGGAAACCACTTCCTTCCCAACCGTAACAAGTGGCGTGTATGTTATTAGAGCCAGTCCACCGATTATCACTGATATCAGGGCCTTGCCTCATTACCTTGGGGCGCCGCTCAGGCGTTCGAGTGACGAGAAAAGAAGAATAATCTTATATCACTTATATCACCAGCCAACATTTGCAGGTGGTTCCCTACGCCTCCGTCTCCCTGCCCCTTCTGATCGTTCTGAGCGTGAGTATGGTCGGCCGACATCGGAGGAGCGTCATCAAAGCGATAACCCACAAAAAAGAAACACAAGAACAACACATGAGATCCCTAAAAAAGATGTGGAACTGACTTTCTTCTTTGTAAATAGGATAATCAAGAGCATTTATTTATCCCGTTCAATAAATTATATTTTGTCAGTATAATGTACAATGTTGAAAGTTGATTAGTTTTTTGTTAGTTTACGATTCTGCGTCCTGAAATTTGAAATTTTCTATGAAAAAAAAAGTTTCAAAAACCTTCCCCACTGCTTTCAATTCCTGAAGACTCGATGCCACTTCCTGAAAAAATGAGTATTTGAAAAAAAAAAAGTGAGAAAAACTAACCAAAAACTTCTGTTTGCCCAGAAGACTCTTCTCCAGATGCTTCGACGTCTCCAGAAGATTCAGAGGAAGACATAGAGCCAGAAGCTTCTTCTTCGATTTCTCCAGAAGACTCAAGTAGGATGATTCGAATTTCCGATGAGTTAGAAGACGGCGAAACACCAGAAGATCCAGAAACTCGATCGTCAGCAACTCCAGAAGCTTCAACGTCTTCAGATGAAAATAAAAATCCTTCCAGCATACCTTCGACGTCCCCGGAAGCGTATCCAGAAGACTCCGATGGAATGTCTCGAATCCCAGAGCATTCCAGCTCATTTTCGAGGTCACCTGGAGATTCAGATGAGGTAGAAGACGACAACGTCAACCCAGACTCGTCTCCAGAAGCTAAACGTCTTAAGATAAATCATAGTTATTTTCCAGCCTACCTTCGACATCACCAGAAGATTCCGAAGTTGAGGACAAGCCCGAAGCTTCTCCAGAAGTTTCGAGGGAGACATCTTCGGTTTCCGAAGAGTTCGAAGGCTCAGATGACAATGGCCACAGCCTCAAGCCAGAAGACTCTCCGGACGATTCCAAAGTGACGACTTCTTCAGAAGACGACTCCAACGGTAAGCCAGAAGACTCCACGGGGACTTCTTCGGTTTCCGAATAGTTCGAAGATTCAGAAGGCGAAGGCCACATCTTCAAGCCAGAAGACTCTCCGGATGACTCCAAAATGACAACGTCTTCAGCTGACGACTCCAACATTTCAGACGAGTTAGAAGACGATGAGATTCCGGAAGCTTCAGCAGCAGACGATTCCAAAGTAACGTTGTCCGCAGACGCCTCAAAGACGTCTCCAGAAGTCTCCTTTGTTGAATTCGCTTCGGAAGCGCCCAAAAGGTCTAAGAGGTCTCCGGAAGCAAAGTCGTAGGGTTCTGAAAAAACTTCAAGTTGATACCCAGAATAATCTGAATTCACCGGTGTCTGTCGCGTTGGGCGGGTACAGCTCCAGAACTAAAGGAAATAAATGTTGAGGTGTTTTTGTAAAATGAAGAACAAACTCAAAGATTCTAGGTCCTTGACGCTGGCGTCGAGTGGCGAGGCGGCTCTCGTTTCGAACTGATTCAGGGGGACTCCATTCTCTCCGAGTGGAACCAACTTTGACATCTCGAAAGTATCAAGAGGTCTCAGGATTCGGACTTTTTTTTTCATATTGCTAGCAAACTTTCCACCACTTTTAAGATTTCCAGTGAGGCCCCTATAGGGGCAATCAGAGGGTAATCTCTAGGGACCAATTTATCAACCCCTATAGCGGCACACTAAAGCTTGCAAAAGTGGTCTCTATAGGGGTTTTAGCTAGTGGCTGCTGCTAATCGATAATTTTCATGTAATATATGCGAAGAAGCGTTTCTAAGCGAAAAGTTAAATAAATAAGCGTTTTTAAACGAAGATAAAAGACCCCTATAGGGACCATTTAAGCTTTAAGGGCTAAGAGGACAGACTCTATGGGCTAAGAGGTCGAACCCTAAGGACCGTTTTGATTATAATCCTATAGGGACCACTTTTTCGGTCCCTAGAGGGGCTGTTTTTTTCCCTAACCCCTATAGGGTCCACTCTGGGATTCCTAAGCTTGCCGACTTTTTGACGTTCTTTCTGTTTCGAATGGGAAACTGTTAAAATACTGTTTTTTTTAATCGAAAAATAGACTGTAGATAATATTTCGACATGAAATTTTTGGAGATATATCTCCTTTTTGCTTTCCATTCTCACATATGTGGGTTCTTCTTTTTACAAAACTTCTCCAGTCTCTGGATCTTTGGAATATTCCCTAATTAGTTGTAAATAAACTCATTTTAACCATTGTATATCTACTCGTATCGTATCATTTTTGGACTCGATTTCAAAAAACAAAAAAATTACAGCACTGTCAGCCTCGGCCTTCTCCCGAATTTCTTTTTCCGCCTTTTCTGAATACATTCTTCTCAGCTCGGTGTCCATATTTGAGTCGATTCGGTGCTTGGCCAAGTCGGCTCCACTAAAAAAATTCTGTAAATTTTGAAAGAAAATGTCAAAAAAATTAAGGGAAATGGGGAAAAAAGAGTGTGACTTGCAATGTTCGACAAAATTTCAAATCAAATGCCCGACTTTGGGAGGAAAATTTTTGGCACGACGGACGAGATGTACAGATTTATTCATTTTGATTTCAAAAGCCCTATTTGATGGTGTTTTTTTTTTCATGAATTGAAGTTAAGTTTCGGACCCTCTTCCTCAGAAAAAATATAGTTTCAACGCTTTTTTGTTACTTTCTAATAATATTTTGGAAATCTCACAAAAGGGGGCGGGGGGAACTTGAAAATTCATATAGCCTATTCCGCGCCAGCTTGTCACGTTTTTCTTCCCGCCAAAAAGACCGTATACCAATTTAGATCAAATTTCTGCTTTTATACCGGCAAGAACCAAAGGTCTTGAAGCGAAAGTTGGTTAAATTTGATCTGGCCTTTTGGCGGAAAGAAAAACGTGACAAGCTAGCGCGGAATGGCCTATAGCGCAAATTCAAAAAGAAAAGAATCTTTTTCCGGGTTAAATTTTCTAGTTTCAGATTCAAAATTCATGCATTTTTTGAAAACTTCTCTCTAATTTTGACCTACAATGTACTAATATCATGATCAAAAAAATATATAAATTACTTTCAAAAAAAGCTTGACAAACTTCAAAAAGGGTCCCACGGCGAAGAGCCTTTAATAAACCCAAAACCTCGTGAAATAACAACAGAAAACCTGTAAAGATAGGAGCATTGTTCCGGGACAAACATTCCAAGAACAGGCCTCAACAAAGTCATTTTGTCCTGACCCACGGCGAGTGGACGAACAAAGACTTCCTGGAAAACATATCTTTCGCGATTTTTTTCGTGAATAATTACAGAAAGCAAAGTTCCGGCGCTGCCCTCGCATCTCGTGTTGAATTTTGGCCGGATACAGTCCAAAATACAATCGCCTATTCTAAAATAGCTTCAAAAGATTAGAAATTGGTATCATTTCAAACTTGCACAATCCACCAGTAAACTGCTTGAAATTCTCCAACTGTTGTTCAGTGGGTACTTCTTTTGGGACTGGTCCTTCGCCTCTGAGCTGAAAAAGTCCAGAGAATTTTGGGAAAGTCATTTTACAAGGTTCAGCGTTATATTCTCACTGATATTTCTAGACTAATTTTGTGAAATTTTCGTGATTTTCATTTTAAAAATTTCAAATGAATTATAAATGAAACTTCGTTTTTCAAACGCAAATTATTCGTGAAGCTCTGAAAAAAAGTTACGAACTAGTTTCCCCAAAATTCTTGATTTTTTTCTTTTTTTGAATCCTTTGGTGCTACAGAAATTGAGAATGATAATACTTCCAATGAAGGAAATATGAATTATAGTCTAAAAAAGTTTTTTAAATATAAGTTTTAATAACGCCCGGATTCTTAAATTTTGTTCTGTGATCAATTTTTCTAAAAATTCTTTACCACACAGCTGTCTCACAGCTGGCTTGATCCATAGAAAAAAATTATCCTAACACGAAAAAAGAGAGACAGTGCTTTTTTAGTGGATAGCGAAGACAGGCCACGCCCAAGCTAACCGTGAATCGGCTATACTTCAAATGGCGTTTTTTTCGTCTGGTCATTTTTTGTTTAGAAAGTTTTTCCTTAGCCTTTTTGATTTAAACTCAAGTAATGACCATGGCCATGAAGGCGTCGGGAGAAAATCCGTTGGCGCCAGCGCCGGCGCCTCCAGTCGCGGCGTCGACGATTCCGTTGACGCCCTGTTGAATCGTGTTCTGCATGGTGGAACGCATGATCCAGTTCATGAAGAACGTCTTCGTGTGGCATTGGTCTTCGCATTCTGGATTTTTACATGTTGATGTTGTGAAATCATTGAGTAAAACCCGACTGAACGACTCCCGCAACGTCGTTGATGCACTGGATTGTGGCGTTGAAGGCTGGAAAAGTGAAACTTTGAAAAATAGTTTTTTTTTAAAAATAAAATTCGACTTTTCTTCATTCTAATCGACCTTGAAACGATCAAAAAAAATCGTGATAGCCAATCAGAAGGGTATAGTCGATTCACGGCAGCTTGAAACGCAAAGAAGTGTGGCCTGTCTGCGCTCTTCACCAATTAGGCACTGTCACTTTTTTCTTCGTGTCAGGACCTTTTCCGATGGCTGTAGCCAGCAGTGAATCAGCTATAATTTACTAGCGCAAAGTTCGTAGTTGAGGCAGGTGAGAGTAAAAATTAATAATAACAAATGAACTGGAAATGGACGAAAATAAATACCGAGCGACTGATCGACGCACATGTACTTGAATCCGGCCGTAAAGGTGTCGAACATTCCCCGATCTTCTTTTTCGCATTCCTTCTCTTTATCAACACAATGAACCGATTCGTTGTAATTGCTCAAAAATGTATTTTTGGCAAAAATGATACAAGACGCTGTTCGAGACTTTTTTTCGCTACCAGTGTCCGGACCCTTCTTTGAAATTTTTTCATATATCAATTTTAGTTTATTTTTAGAAAAATTGAAACTCTACGAAGCTACATACCATTTTGATTTTTTTCTAATTATGAAAATAATGCTATTAACTAAAATCGATGCAATAATACTTCCACTAAAATTTTTTTTTCAATTCAAATTGCCACAAAAAAACTCCCACCACGATCTTTTTTCTCAAATAAATGGAAAAAAAATAATATTACCACCTATACCTAAACCAATCCAAAGAAAAACATATAAACAGACCTGCAAATTTGTTGGTAGCGCTCCACGTGGCTCATGTCTTTCAGAACCAGACCCAATGAGTCGCTCAAATCTTTGGAACAGTCTCGCTGACAATCCGGCAATTTCGACAAATCCGTTTGGATCATTCCTAGTGGCCGAGAGTCCCTTAATTATTTTTTTAGCGATGAATTTTTCTGCACCTACCAATTCTTGTCCTTCTTATCCAGAGGAGATTTCGGCGTCGTGATGCTTAGATAATCTTCATCATCAAGGGTAGTGTTTGATGGATACTTCGTCGATGCTCAAGTATTTATTTTCAGTATTCATTTCATCTTTTCAACACTTACCTCGAGTAGAACTTGTATAATTCGTGATACTGCGAGACGTGTTTTTTGAAGGCACGGAATAATCTAAAAAATAATCGACTCTATTTCCTTTTTCTCATCAAAAACCTGTTGTCAAATATGCAGTTGTAGTTGAAGGGACGGTTTCATTAGAAGGAGGTGTTTGTGTCGGAATCTTTGGAAATAATGATATTAGGTTCTTGAAGAAAAATACCGAAATGGCCGAACGAAGAAGAGGAGCAGCGCCTGCGGGCCACCAAGGAAGCCAGGATTTCATCCAGCCGTCTAATCGGACGTCGTCCAGCTCCTCACATCGTACTGAAGTGGCTAAGAGCAACAATAGTACCGCCGTTCTCATTTGGAACTAAAAGTGAAACTTTTTCCATTTATGCAGACTTTTAAGCAAAAAAAAAAACTAACCACGATGAAGCAAATTGGCGTAACGTGAAAACCTCATCATGCTGAAAAATTTCTCAACCTGCAATTGATCTATTCTGATCTAGATCATCTAAAGACAGTTATTCTTTGTCGCGCTTGGTAAAAAACTGTTCCCCTAGAAGCTGCGCCGCCGGGCCTGCACATAACTCTTTTTTTTTTTTTGAAAATGCGCAAAAATAGCCGCCAGAAAATTAAAAATTTCACGAAAACTACTCTGAAAAAAAGCCTGCGCGAGAGCGCCGCAGTGCATGCACACGAAACAAAATACTAAAGTAACAATACCAAAAAAAAATGGGCGGGGCGTCGTCAAAAAAAATGTCATGTCTTGCATATCCAAATTTGGAGAGGACTTAATCAAAAAAATTTTTAAGAGCTATTTTCATGTAAAGTGAATCTCAGCTAATTTTTCAAAACTACTTATAGGGTGACAAACTCCACACGGAGGTGGTCGGTAAACAGTGCTGAAGCCAAGCGATAAAAGAATTAAAGTTTTTGCACATATTTCCTGAACTTTCTTTCATATTCCTAGAAAGTTTCCTCATTTTCTCTAAAACTATTTTTGACTTCTTAAAAGCGAGTTCGAGCAACTTACCATTTTTCATATTTTTTTTCTTTTAGACACAAAAAATTAGATTTTCGATACAAAACCGAACCACTGAATTTTGAAGAAAAAAAGACAGACACTTTTATAAACTGCGCTTTTCGAAGAAACTTCCAAGGACTTTGAAGGGCTTCTGCCCTTATGCACCATTTTTGTTGCCTCCTTCTCTTTCCACAATTCTTGAGCCTTTAAAATCCCAGAAAAATGGGAGGTTCGACAAAGGGACTCTCTTTGCTACCTTTTTTGAGCCTCTCTCTTTTAGCGGCCATTCTCCACCATTCCGACTTTGCCCGAGCTAGAAATTCTCTCAAGTTAGAAAAATAAATGTAGAAATAACTGTTTTAACAATTAAAATAGTTTTCGAAAATTTCTAGTTGAACGTTACATGTTGGACAAAAAATAAACCTACCTGACGTTTTATGAATTAAAATCTTCGAATCTCAAATGCGTGAAGTCAGTAAAATTCGCGTAACTGGCATTCAGTATCACTGATCTTCGCCGACTAAAGCAATGGGTAACTTTTTGGACCTTCCTTTTTCTTATCAGCAATGAATTCTCGAGAATGCTCCATGTTTGAGCCTTTAGATATCGCGGAGATCCCATGCGGTTCGAACTCACCAGTGAATGTAAAGAACAAACTTTTAAATTTCGGGCTCTCGTGTTAAACGCCCTATTTTGGCTTTTTTTAGATTCTTTCTCTGTATCTTTTTCCTTTCTCTATCTCACTCTTCAATTCAAACACTCTGTGAGAATTTCGAGACAAGAAGATTCGAAAAGTGGCCAACTTTCGACTGCTTCGCGAACGCGTTGCAACACTACAGTACCGTCCAAAAAGAAATCAACCGTTAGGTTTTTTGCCATAACTCTCTTTAAAGTGTGGGATGCTCAACGAAACTTGGATATAATATGAACTCCGGTATATCAAACTCTCCAAAAGCTTTTCAGACCATTGAAAAATATAACAAAGAAAAAGTTAATTTGTATTGAACTTTTGAAAAAAAGCCGGTTTTTACAACATCGGGGAACCGGGGGAAAAATGACCCATAAACCAAACGAATCTCAGAGATATCGATATAAATTTCAAGAGGAGGTTCAATATGTTGTAGCAGCACCCTTTGAATCGATGAAAGCTTGGCATCCTCGCGGCATGCTGTCGATGAGCTTGTCGATGCAGGTCTGATCGATCTTCTTCCATTCTTTTTCATGTTGCGAAAATTTTTCAGCCACATTCGATGTTTTTTTGTTTGCCAGTCTTTTCTACAGGTCTTCCCACATCTTTTCGATGATTTTGAGGTCCGGACTTTGGCTCGGCCAGTCGAGACGACGAACTTTTCTGCAGTAGAACCAGTTGCAGACGTCCTTGGATTGATGTTTGAAATCGTTTTCGTCCCGGAAAATGAAAGCCCGGTCATGAACTCGAAGTGCAAATGAACTCATCTTCTTCTCAAGGATCTCCTAGTACATATTCCGATTCATGATACCCACGATCCGGTGCAGTGGACCCAATCCAAGAGCGGAGAAACAACCCCATAACAAGTACAGTCCTCCACCATGCTTCATCGTCGGAAGTTGACGTTTGGGGTAGAACAAAATCGAAAAAATATTTCGAAATCTTGAAACGACAATGACACATATTTGGCGAAAATTTGCAAGCAATCTACGAAGCAGAAAGAAAGTTTTGGCAAAAAACCCCAAAGTTGATTTCTTTTTGGGCGGTACTGTATCTCGAATGCATTGCAACTCTATTTCTTTGTACTTGGACGCTAATTCTGAGGGTTGAAAAAAATGATGACATCTTAAAAATTTCTTCAATCGAAATTCGTTCTTTATTCGAAAATTAATCGAAATTCGCTTTTTCAGGTTGTACTAAAGTTCGCCAGAAAAGACAAATTTTTTACATCTCCATGACACTTTTTTGCACACTGTCATCGGTTCTCGCTGAAGGTTTTTTTAAAATTCCTTAGCACTTGAATGGTATCAGAGTAATTTTTTTGTCTTCGAGTCTTGTCCGCGCCTCTTCCGACGATCATTGATTACCTTTTTTTCACAGAAATCTTCCCTTCGCTCGCGGTCTGTTTCGGTTCGCGCCTTTGATACAACATAACTCACATTTCTGAAAACTTTTCAGATGTTCGTATAGTCCGTTCAGTTTTTGAATGTCAATTATAGTCAATGTTTCCCGACTTGAAAGGCGATGCAAGGGGCGGGACGCGTAGCGTGTGCGTACGCGGTTCTTGGCACGAGTTCAATTCAACCGCCAGCGAGCATTCAGAGAGCTCATTTTTCGCTCTATTCACTTCTTTTTTAATTATTTATTGATTATGTTAATTTTTGCATCAAAAATTAGTAGAAAATACAGAGAAAGAGCGGTTGCCGAGCTTTTTAAGTAGTCGGCGGCAATTTTTATTGAACTGGCGCCAAGAACCGCGTACGGACACGCTACGCGTCCCGCCCTCGCCCCTGCCTCCCCCTTTCAAGTCGGGGAACATTGACTACAGAATGACGTCATTCGAAAACACTCTGTGGATGGCTCGCTCTCTGATTGGTTTGTCGCGCCATTAGGGGCGGAGCTTAAGGGAGGACTTGACATTTAAAATCTGAACAGACTGTATACTCATACTTTGGCTAGGGCTCCATGGGAAAATCACGGACAGGCCGCGGGCGTAGATTAGAGTCTGCAAAAATGATCTTCAAACCATTTTGAAAGATAAAAACATTGACCATTGGTTTCATAATGACACTTTGAGAGATCAAAATTTGACATTTCATTTTAAATGATCTCTCATTATGAGAAAATCAAGAAAAATGAAGGGAAAATCTCCGTATTTTCTCATCTGTCGCAAAAACGAAACGACACGGGCGGGTCCAAAGGTCTCAAAAAGGACTTTCGAAAAAAACCCCTCAAGAGATCAAATGTAGAAGGGGCATACAAAAAAAAATACACGCAAATAAAAGACTACCGATTACGCAGCTCAATAATGAAATAACTACCCAGTCATCATCCCGATTGATTTTTGTAAAATGCTGGATATTTTCGAATATTATTTCCAGAGGTATGCTGCACTAAATCGGCTTGGGCGTATCCGACCGGGGAGGCAGTTCCACCGGAATGCGACAAAAACGGGGTCACATGCACTGAAGGGCTAATACACGTTGAGAAGCCGTTAAAAAGTTCGAAATCAATTGCTGGCTTATTGGGAAGAGTAAAAAAAAGCGGCCCCATAACGATTCTCGACAACACCGATTTGGTGATTTCTATCGACATGCTAGAAGAAATCGTTCACAACGGACCAGGTATGACTTTTTGAAATTAAAAACTAAAAGAAACTGATCATTTTTGAAAATATAAAAATCCTGCTTAACCAACGCTTTACTCTGCGTATTTTTTCCCTAATACTTCATTTTAACTCATTTAATCAGCGGGGCGGGACGACTGCTCGAAACAACGCATCTTTGACTATAATTTTTTAGTCTGAACTTTATTGATAATTTTTACAGGTCCAGCTGTTCACTTGAGGGATCCGAAGTTAGCAGATGGTACCTGTTTTACGAGTCTGAAAAGAATTATAGTGGATGAACCTCTTCGGTATTGCAAGAAACGAGATCTTTTGCTTTTCGAAGGAAACGTGACGCCAGAAGTGAAAGATCTGCTCGAAAAAGCTGCCAATGAGGTGATTTCAGTTTATATTTTGTTTCGAGCAGGAAAAACTTAAAATTTTCGAATCGCTCAAAAAAAAAAGGGAAAGTGTCAGGTTGAGCGTTTGAGAATGCAGCAGTATTCTCAAACAGGCGACGGATGTATTCATGGGGCGTGGCTATATACAATGTGTGCAGGCTAAGACAGGCCTGCCCGGGCCGAGCCTCTCGGAATCTTTAACGTCTCCTGAACGATCATGAACGGCAGTGTACTGAGAAACTTTTGAAGGGTCCCTATAGGGGGATTTATAGAGGGCCCTAAAATCGTCCCTATAGGGGTAAAAAAATTTTTTGGTTTAAAAATCTTTTCGTCCTGTTTGATAACGTAGAATTCATCTTTTTTTGATAATTCGTAATATTTTATTGATGAGCGAGTACGAAATATAGGAAATATACAAAATACTGTAATCTGCGAGCGACGACTTGAAATTTCACCGAACGACATTCCGCTGTTCCGCTGCGCGCATTCGCGAAGCGTCTTTCGAATCTAGGTCACGCTTTTGATTGATTGTTTTTCCTGTGAGAGCACAGGAAAGTGAAGTATCTTAATAAAAGAAAAAAAAGTTGAAAGTGCGACCAAGGTTCGCAAAGGCGCCAGCGGCAGAGCGGAATGTCGTTCGCTAAAATTCTAAGTCGTGGTACACAGGCTATCGAATGGGTTCATCAGGTAAACAAATGAGCTTCAAAAAAAAGTGATCAGTTTCAATCAGCACTGTCTCCTTCTTGTTCGTCCTCAGACTCATCGGCTTCCTTAGCCAAAGATTTTGAAAATTCACACAACTAATCATAATTTCTCAAGCCAGCGCCGAGTGAAGTTTAGAAGGAAATAATATTAGAACAATATAGAAATCAAACCGAAGAAAACTTTCGGTTTTTGTTGTTACACATAGAATAGATTGTGCTTAAATAATTGCTAACAGATTTCATAACATTCACATGAAATAAATTCAAAAATTGAAATAAACTTTCCAAAAATCTTGAAAAACTTATATTTTAAAAGTTACTTTTTCTAAACTTTTCCAAAAACTACATAGGCAAAGTCGGGAGGACCCTCCGAGGATCCATAAAGACTCCATAGAAATGTTCCTTTTAGGGTGATGAAGGCTCCCTTTTTGCTGCCTCTTCCTTTCGCCACCATTTCTCAAGCCTTTGAAATCTAAGAAAGATGAAAGGCTTGAAAAATATAGGGGCCCTCTTTGCTGCCTTTTGCTGTCTTTCTGCGGCCTTTTGGAGCTTCTCCCCTTTAGCGACCTTTATCCACCGTTCCGACTTTGCCCGAGTACGTAAACCAGAAAACGAAACCAACCTTAATTTTTTTATACTTGAAAAACTGATGGTTCTAGTTAAAATTATCGAAAATTTTGAGGTTAAAACGCGCCGAGTAGCAGAATGACGGAATCCTACACCATTTCTACACATTTTTTCAAAAACTTTGTTAGGAATATGGAGCTTCGAAAAGTCCAAAAATCGAAAGTATATTTCAAAAATTTTCGGAAATTTACTAAGGAAATTGCCAGTAATTCGGCATCTCAAAAACTCTAGAAAAGCCGGCAAAACCGGCAATCGATTGCCGCACAGCACTGTTTCACAGTCCATAAAGACAAAAAAATGTTTTGAATTTTTGAAGTCTACCCTATTTAGACGCTTTCCGGCTGTGAAAGTTTGACGACGCCAATACCCACGTCTGCAACATTAAACTGGACGACGACAATCAGAAGCCTGCCGACGACATCGAACGGCATCGCGGTTGTTCCGCCATTATGTGTTCAGAGTTCTGCCGCCGCCTCAGCCCATGAAAAATTGAAATGTCCGAGCAAAAGTAATTTCAACGGTTTTTCGTGTTTTCAAGGATGATCCTGATTTAAGACGGAATACTGGCCGCGGGTATAATAGTTATTGTTATTCTTCTGGTCCTCCTGGGCATTTCAATGTCTGTCTCCATCAAACTCTACTTCTTCAGGAAGCAGGAGGACGCCGCTTTTGCCGCCTTTGGTAACTACATAATTTAGTTTATTTAAGTAAACACTTGAAAAAAACTTTGAAAAGAATAGTCATTTTATCATGAGGTTGGAAGTTATTTTCGACAATATTATCCGGAATATCCTTTGATGTAACATTAAAAATATCCTGAGAGTCTAACGTACGAAATTTCTCAATTTTTGTGAAACAAGGGATCAAACTTTGACAATGGCTTTTTTTTGGAGAATTCTTTTTTGGGCTTCATGAACCCAGGTGGGATGACCGTGAATCGTATTTATAGTTCTTGTTGAAAAAAATTCACAAAATCAGCCAAAAATACCAAGGGAAATAAAAATAGAGTGTTTTTATGAATTTTTTGTGTTGTATAGTGCGAATATATACAACTGTTAGTTACGAACTATTTACTTCAAATCCAAAAGTAAAAAACGAAGACACAACAATGTAGGAAGCAATCGCGGAACGCGATTGCGCAGAAGTGGAACTGTGAAGGTGGCCTGCACATCTTAATAATGCGCGGCAATTTGAAATGGGGTAGATTTACGGTATGAAATCTAGAAACTACAACACCTCCCCTTTTTGAAGAAAGTGTGCACAGGTTAATAGAACAATATAACTTGCACAATGTTAGATGAGCGCCGGAAGATGAGCGAAAACTTGTGTTACGGTGAAGGATCGTAACGAGAAACAGGATTTCGCTGTCGTGTAGATCTTCGCGGTGCTGGCGGCACGTTGACTGACTGCGTTGGTGCGGCCATAGTCGTTCGGGCTTGCTGCTGGGCTTGACTGTTGGTTTGGCTCGTCGATGGAACGGCGGTTGTAGCTGCAGGAGCGGCTGGGCACGGCAGTTGTGGACCAGACGTTGTCGGTGCACAAGTTGGACTTCTGCTGCTGCTTGAGCTTGAGCTGGCTGGAGAAACATCGTAGGTGTCCAGCAACACGTCGAGACATGGGTCAAAGGTATCGTTCACTGAATCAAAATGAGAGCGATCACTTTTAAGTTGGTTGGTGTGGAAACGTCTGATGGATTCTCCCAAATCCACCTCGTAGTTCACTTTACCAGCCTTTTTGAGGATTTGGCCGGGTCTCCAAATCCATGCGTTAGCCGTATGGCATTTAGCTAACACGGACTGGCCTGGGGAGAAGCTTCGGGTTTTCGCTCCATTATGGTGGTCAAACCAATCCTTCATGTTTTGCTGGTGAATGGTCAAGGGAAGTGGGTTCACGGAATCTCGAGGTTTCAGAGCGTCGAGCTCTGTCCTGAGCTGTCGACCAAGATGGATTTGCGCGGCAGATTTGCCTTGCAAAACTGTGAGCGGGGTGCGTCGATATATCATTAGGAATTGGTTCAAGATATTTTCGGATATCTTCTCCTCCCCTTTTTGAAGCTTTTTGAGGGCTCTCTTGAGGGTATCGACAAACCTTTCGGCTTGACCATTGGACTGGGGACAGTAGGGAGCAGTCCTGATGTGTTGGATATGGCCATTCTGGCACATATCTGCGAATTGTTGGGAGGTGAACTGGGTTCCATTGTCCGAGACGATGGTTTCGGGGTAACCATTTCTGGCAAAAATCTCCTTGAGGACTTTCACGGTATTGGCGGCGGAGATGGAGTGAACAATTTTTACCTCCGGGTATTTGCTCTTGGCATCTACCACTACCAAATACCATTGTCCTTGGTCGGGTCCGGCAAAGTCGATGTGAATCCTTTGCCAAACACGTTCGGGTGCGGGCCAAGGTTGTAAAGGGACTTTCCGGGGAGATTTGCTGTGCAAACTGCATGCTTTGCAGTTTCGCACGAAGTTCTCGCAATCGGCATCGATTCCGGGCCAAAAAGCAACGGATCGGGCCAATCGCTTCATGTGATCCATTCCGGCGTGGGAAGCGTGGAGTTCTTGAAGAACTTCTCGCTGTAAGGTCTTGGGAATGACGATTCGTTCGCCGACCATGAGACAGCCTTCGACTACGTTCAAATCATCTCGTTTTGATGCAAATGAACGCAAAGTCGGAGGGATATTTGTAGGGAATTTTCCGGATCTCACGAACTTCATGAGGTGTTGGAGGTCTTTGTCCTGACGAGTAGCGGTTTGGACGCCCGCGTTGGTCAGGGGAAGTCTTCGGATGCTGGATCGAAGCACTTCTTGAACCTCTACTTCCACTTTCGCGATGACAACGTCGTCTTGTTGAAGGGCCTCCTGATGTTGGATCATTCGGGACAAGGCATCGGCTTGCCCGAACTTATCGGTGTTGACGTATTCAATGTGGAAGTTGTATCCGAGCAGGATGATCGCCCATCGCACAAGCCGGTTTTGGGAGTGAACAGGAATTCCGTTCTTGTTTCCAAAGATGGATAAAAGGGGCTTGTGGTCAGTGCGGAGAGTGAAGCGTCTTCCATAGATGAATTTGTGGAACTTCTTCACTCCAAAAATGAGAGCCAAGGCTTCCTTTTCGATTTGGGAGTACTTCTTTTCCGTTTCGGTAAGGGACCTTGCTGCATGTGCAATAGGCTTTTCGGTGCCATCGGGCATGATGTGGGAAATGACTGTGCCTATGCCATACTCGCTGGCGTCGGCGGCCAGTACAATTTGGTGCTTCGGATGAAAATGAACGAGGTTCAGATCGGAGGACAAAACGTCTTTGAGCTTTTGAAAGCAACGCTCTTCAACTCTAGTCCACCTCCAATCCTCATCTTGGACCAGAAGTCGATCCAAGGGTCCTCGCAATGCTTTGATGTTGGGGATGAATTGTCCGTAGTAGGAAATCATGCCGAGAAATGACCTTAAAACCTTCTGGTCTCTCGGAGGGGTCATGTTGTGGATAACCTTAACCTTTTCAGGATCCGGTCGGCGTCCAGAAGCATTGAGGATGAATCCCAGATACTTGATTTCGCTTTGTTCGAAAGCGCATTTATCAAGTTTAAGGTGGAAGCCGTATTCACGGATACGGGCGAAGACCTTCCGAACATTTTCGCGATGTTCGGCTTGGGAACGGCCAACTACGATGATGTCGTCCAAGTAAACGGCCACGCCATTCAATCCAGTAATCATTTTGTCCATGATTTTCTGGAAAATCGCCGGAGCCGTCTTGATTCCGAAGGGTAGCCTTTTGTATTGAAAAAGGCCTTTGTGGGTGTTGATGACGGCGTAAGGCTGGGATTCAGGATCTAACTCAACTTGCAGATACGCATCGCTGAGGTCGATTTGGGTAAAAACGGATCCTCCGTTCAAATTGGCGAAGATCTCTTCGGAAGTGGGCAAGGGATATTCTTCGTCTTCCAATGCTGAGTTGAGTCCTGTGCTGAAATCAGAACAGACTCGGATCTTCCCTGAGGCCTTTTTAATGCACACGACGGGTGCGGCCCATTGGCTGTGGGTAACGGGTTCAATGACGCCTAGCTGCTGAAGACGATTCAGTTCGCCTTCGACTGCTGCCAGGGAGCCATAGGGGACGGGGGCGCTTTTTGCTTGAAGACTGGATTTGCATTGTCCTTCAAGGTAAGCTTTGCTTGCTCTTTATTGCATTTCCCTAGACCTTCAGCAAACACTTCCGGAAATTCTTCCTTCAGCTGTTCACCGAACGGTCTACCGTTCTCGATGGAATTGATCATTTGGTCAAGGTGGTAGTTCATGTGGGTGGATTTTTCAAGCCAGTCCAATCCGAGTAAGTTTCCGGAATTCCTCACGTAGGCATAGCCGCTGGCGTGAGAATCCTTCAACTGGAAGTTGCACTTGAAGCGGCCTTTGATGTCCATGTCGCTTCCGCTGGCATTCTTCACTCGGAAAGGGACGTTTTCCAAGGGCGGTTTGCCTAGTCGTTCCCACTCGGGGGTTCCGACCAGAGTCAAATCGCTGCCGGTGTCCATTTGGAATGGGATTTGGACGCCATCGACTTCGACATCGATGAAGCGTCGGACGGCTTGCACTTGGGGGGATTCTGCGTTGGCAACTGTGACAGCTTTGCACCGGGTCCAGGTGTTCGGCTTTGACGTAGTCGTTTTCCTGGGGTTGGTGACGCGGGTGGACTTGCAAAATTTCGCCAAGTGTCCCTTTCGATGACACTTGTCGCAGGTGGATTTGGGATTGCGACAAACGGGTGAGGAGTGCCCGTCTCTGCCGCAATTCCAACAGGTCATCCTGTTCATAGGATTTCCTTCTGAAGCTACCGGGGTTTTGGGGGAGGCTTTGGTCTTCAACTCGAGAACTCTCTTCTGTCCAAGTTCTTGGACTTCAGTTTTCTGTCGTTGAATCCTCAGCCATTCTTCGCAGAGGTCCATGATGGTGGTGGGTTGTTTGCTTTCTACTCGTCGTTCCATGAACTTGATGAAATGGGCACGGATCTGAGTGTCTCCTGCTGCGTCAAGGCCCTTAATCCAAAAGAATGTTTTCCATTCTTCTGGGGTGATGTCTTTCAACATGGCCTTTTCGCAGGTTTCATTGATACGGGACGTGTAAGCCGCTGGATTTTCATCCAGACGACTTATTTGCGTGCATGCGAATCTCCAGGACAGCAGGGATCTTTTAACATCGAAGTAGTCGCTCAGCGTAGCGACTACGTCCGCATAAGATTCCGTGGAGGGGTTCTTGGGACAAATCTTTGCAGCAAATTGCTCATAGATTTCGTCGGGTAATTTGTTGAGTAGAAGCCTGACTTGCGTAGTCTCGTCGAGGGACTTTCCTTCAACCGTGATAACTTCTCCATATCGGTTGATCCATTTTGGAAAAGTTTTCCCGGCTTCCGGATCGTATTCGAACATGGGTATGCGTGCCGATAACGCTGCCACGACACAAGATGGGTCAGTCGGGGCGTTGGCAACAGTGGGGGCGGTTGTTTTCAGGGTAGCCTGGAGAAGGCTGAAAATAAGGTCGTTCTGGGCCTTCATTTCGTCCTGTTGCTTTTTTATCAAGCTGACAAGTTCATTCACGTCGGGGGTCTTGGTCATCTTCAAATCAGTTCGAACAATCGGAGAAAGTTACGCAACTGATTGAGAGAGAGAGAGGAACGGAGATGTGAATGAACTGACTTAAGGTCGGGAAATGAGGGCCAATTGGGGTTGTGTTTGTGGCTCAAGACAATGAATCTCACTGAACTTGAGTGCTTACAGCGCGGGAGGACGCTGTTTTGTGCTGGGAATTGGGTGGAGGGACGGGTCTCTCTTCGGTCTTACCGAATGCACCAATAAAAACACACAACCTACTATATGTACAAACCTATCTAATGAAAAACAACCTACAAGTGAAAACAAAAAAATAAATAATTTTTTTGTTAAAAAAACCCAATATTAATATTTTTTTGACCAAAATGATAATTAAGTTTTTTTAAAAACTACAGTTAAAAAAACTATTGTAGACACGCGGAATACGTTCTACTACCTGATCGCCAATTGTTGTATAGTGCGAATATATACAACTGTTAGTTACGAACTATTTACTTCAAATCCAAAAGTAAAAAACGAAGACACAACAATGTAGGAAGCAATCGCGGAACGCGATTGCGCAGAAGTGGAACTGTGAAGGTGGCCTGCACATCTTAATAATGCGCGGCAATTTGAAATGGGGTAGATTTACGGTATGAAATCTAGAAACTACAACATTTTGGTAAAGATTTGTTTTCAATTTCGAGAAGAACGTGAGAATTCAGTCTGAGTTTGCAAACGGTCAATCAATAAATGTCACACAGAGTCTAAATTTCTGCTATTACAATACTCTTTGTGCCATTTTGTGAGAAAAAAAAGTATTCTCCATTCAAGGAAAAATTTTAATTTTTGTAAATTGGTATTTGTGTGGAATGAACATTTTTGACTGAATCTCTCTCAAATAGTTGAAAATTGGTGAAAATCTGAGCATTTTAAGCGATTTCCTCACGACACAGCCCTGAGTTCTTATGAGCAATTTTCATCTTCCAGAGAGCCAAAATTTGAAAAACCTTTTTGAAATTCGCACATTCTTTGTGAGCAAAATACGCTAGTCCATCGTATTTTTTCAGTGTCTTATGTCACGCAAGTCATAAATTCTATGATTTATCTACAATCTGGCTGTGACAGTGCCATGCGTTAGTTTCCCTATTCGCATCTCTATTCTGTTCAGAGTTTATTTCAGTTAATGGCTTTATGCTGGACGGTCTCCACAAGAAGAGTGCCCAATTAGGTAAGTTTGGTTCAAAGTCGAAAAAAATTCCATATTTTGACCAAAAACATGTTATTTTTGAATGTGGTTAGGCACTTTCTGATAAGAAAAAACACTTTTTTATTTAACAAAAACCGTCTCAGCTTTGATATTTTTTGCGCTTTTCTCTAAAGAGCCAAAAGATGGCCTAACCATCCTTAACAACAACAAAAAAGTTTGTTCGAAGGCGATTTGGACGCCAATAGGAACGTGGCCAAATTTGGAAACAGAGCCTAATCAGAGCGGTCATTAACTGATTTGCGCCAAAAACGAGAACCATATCATCATCCTTTTTTTAAGCGAAACTCGCGGATAAATACCACGACCAGGCCGCCGTCCGCAAGACGAAGTTCAAAGAAGGCCAGCCTCTAGACCCAACAACAGACCTATTTCGGAAGGCAACAGTTCATTGGAAACAAAATTTTGAGCTATATGATAAACCCCATCTGGAGAAGGAGTTTATTGAAGCCGCTCAGAAGTACGAAGCTGTTAAAAAAGCACACGAAGCTGGAAAGGAGTTTGAGCCTCCAAAAGGGACCAGGATTTGGTCGGATGTGCGACTGAAATGTCCTGAAAAAATGGAGTTGGCGAAATTACCCGAACAGCAGATTGTCGCGAGGAAGCCAAAACCTCAGCTCCCAAAAGGTCCACCGAAGGCTTTTTCAAAAAGACGGCAAAAAGGTGGAGGTGATCCGCTTTCCAAAGCTGCCAGCAGCGTCGCCAACACTGAAAACCCAAAAATGGAGAACAGGAAAAAAGAAAATCCGAAGGTAGCAGAGTCGAAAGTAGGAGAACCGAAAATGGGAAATCTGAAGAAAGAAGAACAAAAAAAGGGGGAGCCAAAGAAAGAAGAAGTCAAACAGGGGGATGAGCAAGTTAAGTACGTGGAACCTGAAGCTATCGTGAAAAGAGAGTTGAAAAAAGATCAACCGAAGAAAGTCTTCGTTATGCCGCGCGAGAGCATCCAGCTCGAAAAGTGTCATCCGCTCTGTCTGACGAGCCGTGTTCCATCAATCTACGACACATTCAAGAGCAAATCGACTGTTTTGAGTGGGGTTTTCTATTTTGCAATAGTAATCATTTAATCACAGATCTGAAATTTCATAAAATACCTAAAAAGCTTTTGAGAATAAGATATATATGAAAATATCGTTGTAAGGTATTCTGGTAAACATGAGAACAAATTCCAAATGTAATGCCGTGTTCAATTTGATTCCGCGAAATGCAAAATACCCGTTAGAGAAAGGAAAAGATCACTAGATTTTGGAGAGTCAGAGATCATTTTGCATTTCGCGGAATCAAATTGAACACGGCATAAATATTTCGTCTTAAATTGATTCTAAAGGCATATTTTTCAAAAATTGAGGGACTAATACAGAGAATGGCAGAAAATTTTTTTCCACATCCAGTGTTTTTCGTTATGGAAAAAATATACTGTAGTTAAATTTTTCACGGTCCAATCAACAGTCAAAGATTATCATTTGAAGATGAAAGAATACATATATTTCACCTTTAAAATCCATAAAATTGTGCTCACTTTTGTACTGACACGGGCAAAGTCCAAACGACCTTAAAAAGAAGAGCGTAAGGCTTCTTTTCAAGTTCCTAAAAAGTGTCGAAAGTTTTTTGGAATCTCCTTTCTTCCGCCTTATTTTCTACACCTCCTTAAAAGGTCCTTTTCAAGAAAAGGTCCAGAAAAAAGGCGCCTTTAAGGCCTTTAAAAGACTTTTTTTTCCCAAAATTCCTTTTTGAGAGCTTTTGGACTTTGCCCGTGGAGAATATTGCGAATTCTACCGCGTTCCGCAAAAGGAATGTTTATTCCGAATAACGCAGTTTAAAAGTTCAACTCCGCCTATTTCTGGAACAAAACCAAATATGATTTCAAAAAAAGTTAGAATGCCAGAAGTTGCTCGTTGAAGCTGAAGAGGAATAATTATTCGAAATCTGAGCCTGCGAGAGAAATAAAACGTTATAGTACTTCAGTTGTAAAGAAGGATATTTTCAGGAGACACGTTCTCCGTTTTTTCTTTGGTGATGGAAGAGCTGGATAACTACTACGAGTTCCACGCAAGAGGTATAGAGATACTGTGCGAGACAAAATTATTTTCTTTTTTTTCAGCTTTGGCGCTCATTAATTTAAACGCCAACCACGTGGAGATAAAAATGGTGGAGACCGCGAGATACGGAGCTCAATACGATAAAGTGAATTCAACTTGGCCCGCTTTCCCTTTGAACAAGCAGCCAAAGAACAGATGGGCCGTAAACGGGCGTCCCCATTATCAGATTCCACGTGAGTTTTAAACTTTCTAACCGCTTGAAAAGTGGTGAAAAAGAGCAGTTTTCAAACCATTTTACTTTCCCGCCTTTATTTTTGAAAAAAACCTTTGAATCGGTGTACGGACAACTGTTTACAGTACCCGTGCATGCGATGTCACGGCGTTCTTGGCAGCGAAAGAAAATACAGAAAAAAAATATCAAGGGCGGGCACCGTAAATCTTACGGCAGCAGTAGTTTTTTCTGTGCAGGACCCGTTTTCTTATGAACGACTCACTAATCATAGATTTACTGAAGGATTCAGAGAAAAAGCGCTTTCAATTAACTTTTTAAATTATCAATAAAATTTTTGACGTTTTTTGTAGGGTGATTGTCATTATCCAGTTACGTTTCACGTAGTTTAAAGCCGGTTTTGTGTATTTTGGAGTCAAATTGAATTGGACATGGCTGTTTAAAGTTTTATTTTATAATTAATTCAAATTACTTTATTTTTTCTAGTTTTTTGATGGGTTTTTTGAACTATATTAAACATTTCGCTCTCCCAGGTTTTTAAATTTTTGATTTCTCTCTATTATTCGACTTTCTGAAGCGGAATTTCCAAGGTTCATCAAAATTTAAAATTATAAATATTCTTTTCTATTGATTCTAATTCTATTAGGTTGGTAACTAAGTTTCCGATATTTTTGGTGTAAACAAACTTTATTATGCTTAGCAGGGGAATAAAGGAGCAAATCTTAGAAATATTCTCCGTGGGCATCTATGGTCTGTTGCCATTGCCTGGGCAGAGTATAAATGCCCTGCCTCCAGAACGTAGCGGGCTGGGCTTTAAACCAGTTAGTCAACCAGGGTCTGACTTGCTTCTCGTTGTCGAACTTCTGCCCCGCGAGGGCTCGTTGGAGTTCGGAGAATAGATAATGATTAGAAGGGGCAAGGTCAGGGGAGTATGGTGGGTGAGGTAAAACATGCCATCCGTACGTCTCCAGCTTAGCCTTCGTCGATCGGGCTATGTGTGGACGAGCGTTGTCATGTTGGAAGTAGATAACGGCCTGATTCCCGCGTCTTTTTCGACGCCGAGTCTCAGCTTTCGCAGCTGGCAAGTGTAGACGTTGTGGTTGATGTACGTCCCTTTTGGTAAAAGTTCTCAGATCTCCACGCCTCGAACCGACCATCAGAACTACAACATGACATTTTTCGCGCGTAGATCCGGTTCAGCGACGTCTTTCTGCCTGCACATCTTTGTCGATCCACTGAGGACGGCGCTCAGCATTATCATGGAGGTCCCACTATTCATCTCCAGTGATGATGTTGTCCAGCCATTCGTGCGTTCTGTGGAGAGTGAGAAAAGAAAGAGCCATGTCGACTCTGCGATCCTTGCCGTAGTCGGTCAATGGGTAGGGTACCCATCGGCCCATCTTTTGGATCTTTCCGATTTTTTTCATTCCTTTTAAGATAGCTACATGGTTTACCCCCAGTGTGGTTCCCATTTATCGGGCGGTTGAATAAGGATCGGCTTCAACTTTGATGCGCAGCATGTCCAGATCCAACTCCGACGGCCGACTCGCCCTCTCACCTTCAGTCATAGAAAAATCCCCTTTCGAAAACTTATTGAACCAAAAGCTTGTGGTGCTTTAAGAGGGGCATGCTCTTTGTATACGTCCTTGGTACGACGTTCCGTGGCAGGTTGATTGGTGCCAGAAAAAAACAGAAACAGAAGTATGTGTCGAATGTGAGTTCGAATGGGGATGAATCTATGAGGCATTCTCGAAGGGGAGACTGAATCTATCCTTTGTTTAGGTAGAGGAAACTTTCCTCCTACTAGCATGCCTAGTGGCGAAACAATGAGTGCATTCAGTAAAACGTGGGAGCTAAGCAAAAACACACCTCAAAAATATCGGAAACTTAGTTACCAACCTAATACCTAAAAATTAAAAAAAGTTAAATTTATTATTTATAATTAACATCAATTAAAGTACAAGCTTTGATTATTAAAAAAATTATTCTTTTTAAAAAAATTATTCTTTTTTTACGAGGCTCTTTTCAAATTTTTTTGTTTAATCTGAAGTTTTTTTCATGTTTTTTTAATGATTTTTCGGACGCGAGGCAACCTACCAGAAAAAAATATTTTTCTGTTTTTTTCTTTCGTTATCCGCAGTTTAGAGTTTTTTTACCTTTTATGATCGCTGCTATACATTTTATATGATGTTCAAATGTTTTTCAACTTCATATTCTTCAAATAGAGAAGATTTCATAATGTTTGGAAGCCATTAGCTTGATATTCCAAACTTTGAAATTGAAAAAAATTTTTCTGGAGTATGCGATAATGCGTCCCGGTGTGTTTACACCATAACTATCATAATTCACGGAAGTTTTCGACTGACGTACCGAAAAAAAACGCCGTGATGTTGCAGACTTCTGATTAGACTCGCATTTTGTGAGTAATAACCGGATATCTGCTCCAAATCAAGGTTTTTTTCTCTGGAAAAAAAACATTTAATCAAACAAAAAACACACACCGATAATAAAGAAAACACAAAATATCGCAATCACAATCAAAACCTGTGAAAAATCATCATTTTTCACTCGAGAAGCATTTTTGTTTGCAAATTTATTCGAATAGAAACTTTTGAGGACGAAAAGAACTTTAGTGACAACAGAAAACATTTAAATTCGGAAGAAACAGAGAAAAAAGCGAAAATCCAAAAAGGGCGAAGAGTGTTGTCCATAGAGCAACTTTACTGCAAAACGTTCTTTTTGCGGGAACTCAAGCTTTCCTCTCTCCAACTTTGAATTATTTTTTTTCCGAAACTAGGAAGTTCGGTACGTTTCCAAGTTCACCGTTCGATTCGCAATGAAAAGCTCTACAAAGAACTGCTTTGAACTGAAACACCGTTTTTACCGCTCCTATACCTTCAATGCTATTACCAGAAACAAAAAGTTTTGATGTATCGAAAAAAAGAAAAAAATTGATTAAAGAGTATGAAGTTCGCGTTTGAAATTTTACATTATTTTGACTGTTCAAAAAATACAGGGTGAGCAATAAATATGGAAACGCGTTTGAAACGTTATAACTTTTTCAAAAGTCAACCAAAAACCACCAAACTTGGAGCAAATTTTATTCTTACAATATAGAAACAAAATTCAAGAATAGTTTTCAAAACGTCTTCCTTTAGCTTTGATAGCGGACTTCAGTCTCTTCGGATACGCATCGATCACGGCACGAAGGTAGTCATCGTCGATTTCGTCCCATTTCTTGATGAGCGCGGTCTTCAGAGCTTTGATACTTGGGTAGTTCTTAGAAGAGACCTTCTCGGTCAGATATATTCACACGGCATAGTCCATCGGGTTGAGGTCGGGCGAGGAAGCAGGCCAATCAGCAGCCGAGATGAACTCGGAAAATTGGCGCGATACCACTCTTGAGTCCCTTTGGCACGATGAGCTGGGGCGCCGTCTTGCTGGAAGGTCCATGGTCGGTTTCCGTAGTGAGAATCGGGCCAGGGCAACACCCCCAACTTCAGAATCTTCTCCCTGTAGTACACTTGGTTCACTTGGACTCCAGGATCCACAAAAATCAGCGGAGTTTTGCCGTCAGCGGTAATTCCGGCAAAAACCATCACGGAAGCCGGATGCAAAGTTTTATTCAGAATTTTTCCTTTTTCACAGGCACTCTGATAGTCAGTAGCGATGATCCGATGATTTTGGCCGTTCTTGTTCGCCTCCACAGTGAAGATTTTCTCGTCGGTAAATAGCGTCGTCAGATGCGAGCCGTCTTTCGTGCCAGCGAGCAGCTTTCGAGCCTTTTTCATCCGCAATGTCTTGTTTTTTTGATTGAGGAAGGCTCCTTTCTGCATACGGTAGGGAATCATCTTCAGCTTGTCCTTGACAATAGTTCTCATCGATCCTTGACTCATTTCGTATTCTTTTGCCATCTTTCTCATGATTCTTTCCGGAGTGCGTCTGATTTTCTCTCGAACGGCTTTGACTGCTTCTGGAGTCGTGACGGTGACTAGACGTCCCCTTCTTTGCATGTCATCTGAAGTACCGAGACGCCAATAGCGTTGTGCAGTTCGAAGAACGAGAACACGATACACTTTCAGCTTTTGAACGATCTCTGAATTCGTCATTCCGCTTTTGACACAATGATTGCGGTACGGTACGGAGATGGGGCCACCATCACCTGAAAACTGAAAAGTATGAGCTGTAACTTCAAAGACATGATAAGTGAGTATGAATGAACGAAATAAACAAAAAATTCAAAGGCCAGTGCTTTGTGCAAAAAGCAACGATCAAACAAAAAACGGTTTCAATATTTATTGCTCACCATGTACAATTCCTTTTCATTTTTTCAAAAAAAAAAAAAAATGTGCGTTTCCGAAAAAAAAAACTTTCTGTGCGTTTCCTGAGACGGATTTGAATAATTTCTTTTTACAAAATATGCGTTCAAAAAAAAATTCGAAGTATCGAGGTTAACAGTTTGTACACGACGGATAGTAGTGCTACAAGACGGATAGTAGTGCTACACGACGTATAGTAGTGCTACACGGCGGATAGTAGTGCTACACGACGGATAGTAGTGCTACACGACGGATAGTAGTGCTACACGACGGATAGTAGTACTACGAGAAGAAAAAGAGGAACCTTCTCGCAACAGCACAGCGGAAAATGATGCGATGGATGCTCGGAGTAACATTGCTCGACAAAAGAAGAATCTCCTGGCTCTATGAAAAGTTGAAGCTACGCAAAGTTCGGTCGGAAGCTGTGAAGAGAAAATGGCTTTTCGCAAAGAAGATCGCTACGGGAGAAGACACATGGGCGAAGAAAATCGTGGAATGGCGACCATGGGCGAAAACTCGTGAAGTTGGACGACCTAAACCTCGTTGGCGAGATGACCCACGAGCAGTTCTTGGTGAAAGATGGGCGACAGTCGCGCGAACCGACAAACATCTCTTCAAATATTCCATGATTCAGCAGATTCATGATTACTCTGAGGACTGAATAAATGTTAAATGTTAAATGTTAAATGCGTTCAAGTTATTTAAAGAATTGTGCGTTCTCATTCCGAATCAAGTTTTGAAACGGCTTGAGCAGGGCGGTCTCAGAATGATTTGGACGAGTCCAATTTGGATGAGCCAGCTCAAAGTCGGTTCAAATCGTTGTGTCTTTCCATTTCAGTTCAGAAGAGTAATTTTCAGTGGCCTACGATGAATTGAAAAGGCTGCGCGCTGGTGCCAAAGCAAACGAGAAGCGGCTTCTGGAGATGTTGGAGGCCGAACACGTAGAGATGGCGAACCTCTTGCACGCCGAAGGCCTCAATTATTTTTTCTGGTACAAAAGTTCGTTTCCTCTTTCTTGACTTTCTTCGACACTTATTGAAAACTTGAGAAGGAAGAAAAAACGGTACATTTTGCATTTTAAGACACGAAGAAAGACTAATAATAAACTTATTATTTTCCAGCTAATATACACATTGAACAAGCGATTTTGCCAGGAGAGACAGTCGGCGACGCTTGCAAGCGAGTTTTCAGTAAGTTTGTCCATTTCGTTTCTTATTCCACTTCTACATATTTCAGCGCGCAAACTCTCTAAGAATTTAAAGTTTTATTGATTGAGATAATTTTTCAGGGTCCCATGACCGATACAAAGAACTCTTTTCTCAACTGAACGAGGTTCATTACGCGCGAAATCCGGGTGAGAAGCCGAAGAAATACCAGAAACTCCAAAACCCGCCCGCCCCGAAAACTTCGGAAGACAATAACGCGAAGGAAAAAGATTCGAAAGACGAAAATCCGAAGAAGGCCTAGAAGATGGCATCAGATACTTTCTTTTCAAAGTTTATCCAACCGCTTCTCAAATAAATAATTTTTTTTTCACACACTTCGAATTTTTTTCTATGAGAGCACATATACATAGGGACCGCAACCAAATTTTCAAAAAAATTTTTGAACTTCTATGTCACTATGGTTGGATAGATGCTCTAATTCACTATTCAAAACAGTTTAGTTTTTCGAAAAAGGTTAAGAACAAAAAAAGTTATCGTCAAAACAGTAGTGAAAAAAAGTCGCGAAATTTAGTACTGAAAGTGTAGATTTTACCCTTTTGGTCGTTCATTTTGTTTTCATATCGGATTTGAATTTTTTTAGTAGTTTAGTTTGGTTTTCAAAGTCATAATTAGTTATTAAAAACCGTATAAAAACAACAAGTTTGAGGAGAAAAAGCTATTTTTTTCGTGAAAAAAATAAAAAAACGTCAGCCGCGAGGATCGAACTCGCGATATCAAACTCGCGATTCGGCGTTTTTTTGTTATTTTTTTAACGTTGGCATTAAATTAACAATAATTAAACTTTTTAGGCATCGTGGAAATTTTTTTATTTTATTTTTTTAATTGATTGAAAAATTGAGATACGTTAATAATTGAGAAATAAAAAAAGGCGCCAACGGCATCTGGCCATGTTAAAATGAATTTAGAAATTTTCACTGTCTTTTTTTCTCAGAAAACAAAGTTTTTCGGAATAAGTTTTATACTAATAAAATTTTTAGTTACAATTTAATCCACAACTTAAAAATAAAAAAATTTTTTTACTTACACGCTCTCGAAACCAAGTACAACATTTTCAACTTTGCGCGGCCTCACGAAGATTAGGCACCGTAAAAATTTTAATTTTTTTGCCTTAAAAGATTTGTTTTTCACTTAAGAATCAAATTCAAAAATAAAAAAAGGCGCCAACGACATGGAACTAGGTTAAAAACCCGAAGAAAAAAAGTAGTTTTGGTTTTTTGTACGACACTCCGCTAAAACGCTTCGAAAATCGGGTGAAAAGTATATCAGATTAAAGAGGAAGGTTTTCTCTATGTTTCCACTCATTTTCTCTGTGTTTGGTTCAGTATTGTGCTTTCACAAAAACATCAAACACAAAATCTAAAAAACCAGTGCATTTCACCATCGCAAAAAGGGGCGTGGCTTTGCGGTCTCTACATATACATATATAGTCAATGTTTCCCGACTTGAAAGGCGAGGGAGGCGGGGCAAGTGGCGGGACGCGCAGCGTGTGCGTTCGCGATTCTTGCCACGTGTACAATTCAACCGCCATCTACTCTTTGAAAAGCCCGTTTTTCGATTTTTTCAATCCTTTTTTAATTATTTATTGATTATGTTCATGTGTGCATCAAAAAGAAAACATTGAAAAAGAGCGGTTGCCGAGCTTTTTAGATAGTCGGCGACAATTGAATTGAACTCGTGCCGAGAACCGCGAACGCACACGCCACGCGTCCCGCCCCTTGCCCCGTCACCTTCGCCTTTCAAGTCGGGAAACATCGACTATATAGTTGTTTGAAAACTCGCCGTAGGAAATAAGAATTATTGTCTGAACTTCAGTTCCAGAGGGGGTTCGATAGGCTATAGTGACTACGAGCTTGCAGTCCAGGCCAAAGACGAAGTTTATCGAAGACGAGTGGAAGACGGACAAAATGGACAGGGGCAAAATCGCGATTAGACCGAAAAGCGACTTTTAAAGAGTACGTAAGAGGGCAAAGTGTGTTCAAACTCTTTCGCGGAGAACTTTTATAGATCTTACTGGAGGAGAACAAGAAGGTTCATAGGTTAAGTTTTGTAGGCCTTTTCAAGGATTTCAAAATGAGAAACAACGTCACTCTCTGTATTCAAGCTCTCTTTCCAGTGTTTTGATTCCCCGAAAAAAAAGTGTAACAAGGTTGCATTGCTGCCTTTTTTTTATTTAAGGAAAAGTCAGTTGGTTGGTGGTCTCTGTTGGTTAGTGAGATCTGTTAGTTTATTTCTTTTGGCTAGTCGCTCCTGTTAGTTGGTGGTTCCTGTTGGTTAGTGAGTCCTGTTAGTTGATGGTGTCTGTTAGTTGATGATTTCTGATGGGGAGATTCAGTCGTTGTTGACGACCGTCTCTTCTTGTGTGGGACAAATATCCTCCATTAACTCCTGAAAAAGTTCTCAATTTGGTCCAGGTAAATTGTAACTGACCGTGCGGCTCACAGGTTTTCGACGACGAATTTTGATGGAAACATTTTTCTTAAAGGCTTCTGCGTCTTTGTTCTCCTGTAGTGATAGGGGTTTTTTGCTTGATAAAAAAATTTTGACTCTAAGAACTAAATCTTCTGTTTTTTTTCAATACTTCTTTATCACCTTTCCACATGAAAAAAAATCGATTCAAGTCAGGGTTTTCCGGAAATTTTTTCCCCTTCTTAAGTCACCAAAAAGCATCGAAAAAAGTTTGGGAAATTCCTGTTCATAAGCTCTTATAAACTCACAAGGGTCCCTTCCGTGATTGTCTTCGGTCCTCCTTCGATCTGAAGAAGTATTTAAATAAGAAACTAATGTAACAGAACCGACCTTTTTACAGTCTCTGTAAAGGACTTTGAGAAATTCCACTGTCTGAAAGTTTTCCTGTGATTGTGAACTAGACTCGAAAACCTCATCCATGTCCGTCCTGTCCCTCATCTGGTAGGTCCACAGTTTCTGTTCGACGAAAGAGCGAAGGGCCGGTGAAGCGCGGGTCTGTTCCAGATCGTTCATCTCGCCAGTCAGAATCTCAACAAATAATTTTTTCTGACTAAAAAGTTTTTTACCGGGAAGTTTTGAATTTTGCATACGTTTGCAATCTTTTTTCGAAGAGGAATTTTCCGAAAAGTTCATTTTATTTGAGATAAGAAGTGTTTGAAAGATTTCATAGTAACTTTGGAAATTTTAAATTTAACAATAAAAATTGTCTCCAGTGTAGATGAAGTCGAAAAAAATTTTTTTCTTTTTATATACTATTGAAAAAAATTAATTGAAAGGCCAAGTTCTCGAACAATATTGAAGTTCTAAAAACGTTTTCTTTGTAAAAAAAAAAGTCATGCCATTATAAGTGTTAGCATTTTGAGCTGAAAGATAATCGAAAAAAATGAAACAGACTTTTTCTCTTGCTTCGGCAGAACTAAGATCCTCAAAGGGCATCATTCCCCCCGAAAAAATCTCGTACAGAAGATTCTGAAATAAACCATTTTTTTTTCTCTGATCCTAAGCGAGCCAACTCACTCCGAAAGCAAAAGAGTCGGTAGCTTGAACAAAGACGTACATTGACAGGGTCTCCGGCGATAAATACCGTGTCGGTAACTTCTCCGCTGTCGTCATGAAGTAGAATCGGCCGGATGTTGCAAGACCGAAGTCCGAAACTTTTAGCTAGAAAATACTTCTTTCTAATTTCTGTTGATTATTTGGATCAAACCGTGAGGTCTGAAGTCAATAAGCAATTACGGGCGGCCACATCCCGGTGGAGCACTTCCATCTCGTGCAAATGCGCGATTCCTTTTGCGGCATCAAGCGCCAATTTCAGAAGACGTGAGTTATTCGAGCCGTCAAAATTTTGCATCAGAAAGCAGTCCAGTGAGCCCCCTGCGAAATACCGTGTCGTAAGGAAAAACGAAATTATAAAAGACTGCTTCAATTTACGTTTACAGCTTTCATTTCCTTTATAGAGTTTTGAGAGCTTTGAAAAATAATATTTAAACATTGAATAATATACTGAAAGAAAGTTTTTTCTTGAGCTTTTTTCCAACATGATAATAGTTGCTCACCTTCCATCAGCTCTAGCACGAGCTTGAAAGGTTGTTTGTCGATGACCCATCCGTAAATTTCGATGACATGCTCGTGGCTGAGGGTGAGCATGATGCGGGCCTCATCCAGCATCTTTTCGCTCAACTCTCTTAGATTCGGACTATCCTTTAAAAGCTGCAAAGATAGATGTTATTCCAAAAACACTCCTTTAGTTGTACTCACCGACTTGACTGCAACTGTCACGTCGGAAATCCCGATAGTCTTCATTTCGGCTCGGTAAACCTCTCCGAAGGCCCCAGAGCCGAGCGAAAAAGATGAATTTACTTTGGTCAACCTTTTTTGAATATCAAAAGATACGAAAAAAAAGGTCTTGTTAGTTTAAATTTCTTTTTCAGCCGAATCCAAATTCAGGCTTGACGGTTTTCTCTACTTTCCGTCACTTTAGTGCGATTCTTGTTGGACAAATGTGTTTTAACAATTTCTTGAATAAGCGGAATGTTCAAAATTGAGAAACACTCATTTTTTCAGTAGTGCTGAAGATTCTACTGTTCATAGATGGTTCATTATTTTTCATAATTTTGGACTTTTACGCCTTTTATAACTTACTCTTTCTACTTTCGTTATCTGGTCCTCGCAAAACTGAAAGACGCGCCTCGGACAGGGACGCTTCAATTGGATCTTGAGAGACGCCTGAAATTATATATTTTTCAGTTTTTTTGTATTTTTGAACGGCATAAATGATCAGACCTTTCCGCTTTCACTCTATATTCCTCCAAAATTCTTCTTTACCAATAGCTTTTACCTTGTTCGGATGAAATACATAATAGGCAAGTAGGTTCTCCAAAGAGTCGAATGTTATCTGTTCGTCGATGAACAATCCAACTTCGTTTCGTTCAACAATGTAGTCTTTGACCCTTACTGGCTCGTCTTGCCCATAATTTTCCTCTAGCTCTGAAACTCGGACGAGAAGGGGATGATGAGATAGGAATTTTGGTTGAAACTGTCGGAACTCTCGGAAAAATCTCATAAGTCGCTAGAAGAAGAAAAGAAAATCTCATTGAAGAAGTTCTATTATATTTTCACTATAAAGTTTGGAAAGTTGCTTCAAAATTGACTTGGAAAAGTTCACGACTATGGAAATCTTCAAAGAAATCCAAAAATAAATCACCCTCGCTCCCATCCTTTGTGTAGTCCAACAAGACGCCGACTGACACGACAAGAAAATCTTGTCCTTCGTCTGAATAACTTTATTAAATAGTCTAAACTTCCGTTTTGTTTCACCTTCCCACTTTCTCAACAAAAAATCGCCGGATCGCCGAATAAAAATTCGGGTCTCCATTTGCGGTAAGAATCTGAACATAATCGATTTTGATGTGGTATTCAATCTAAACATTTTACCCGTGATAAAACTGAAGATGTACCAAGAAACTCTCGTCGTCAACTTTTACGACAACTACTTCCCTTTCCGGGACGATAATGTCATGGATTTCATCTCCTGTAAGTAGAATGGGAAATCGTTTTACACAATTGTGTGTTTACAGTTCATCTGTTTTTCGGAAGTTTGATCTTGAAAAATTTGACAGTAGCGGCTAAAGTGATTCATAAAACCATATAAAAATACGTTTCTCTAGTTTTTTCAAATATAAGAAGTTCGAATGTTACCACACGAATTGCTCAGTTCCTACAAGCTCACATGATTTTCTGAGAATATTTCTATTGATTTCTTTCAAGCTCTATTTGAAAAAAACTTCCGTTAAACTTCAAAGATTAGAAATGGACCTTCTCGAAATGAATCGATGGATGAAGATTGACCGCCTTTTCCAGAATGAAACTAACAAGAGTTTTTGAAAAAAAGTTTACTTTTTTTGATGATCATTAATGGTATAATTTATTCACAAAACCCAACGAGTTTAAATCTAAAGTTCGACGAAAAATATCAAATATTTCTATTTTTTTGAAAATTCCGCCTATATTTTAGAAGCCCATTTTCACTTGTTTTTAATTTTTTTTTTTTTTGACTTTTCTTACAAGTGGTCTCGTAGTCCTTATATAGTTGATTCACGGCTAGCTTGGGACGCTAAGAGGGCGTGGCCTGTCTGCGCTCTCCACGAGCAGGGCACTGTCTCGTGCAACTTCATGTCAGGACCCTTTTTTCAATGGCTCAAGTCAGCCGTGAACCAGCTATAGTTGATTCACGACTGGCTTAAGCCATCAAAAAACAGGTCCTGAAACGACTAAGCAGAGACGTGCCTAATTGGCGTAGAGCGCAGACAGGCCACGCCTCCTTATCGTCTCAAGTTAGCCATGAATCGACTATAAAAGATACTTTATTCATTGCAAAATGAACAATCGGATGAGAATGATGAATCGCTGAAGTACTCGTCTGTTGTTTGGAATTCATAACTTCAGTTTCATCGATGATGAAGAGATGAATAAATGTAAAAGAAACGCTTACGGTTCCTCCTTGCGAATGTCTTTTTTCTCTGCTCCGCCGAAGTGGGCACTCCGTCCATTGGTCCACCTTTTCTAGTTGATTCTGCTATCGTCAACTCCGATAACAACTTGTCCGCGTCTACTTTTTTCTCCTCCATTTTTTGAAAGGTCGCGCTGAGCGCCGCTTCACCGCCTCCTTCGACTTCATATCCAGTAGGGGCTACAAAACCGTGAAACAGAACTGACTCAAAAGCAATTAGATCAAAATTTTTAAGATTGAATTCTTCTGAGAGTTGGCTGATTCTCTGCAGACCCCTTTGTTAGCTAGAGAATCTTGACTTTTGGATAAAGTGATAGCGTGGTACTGTTTGAATTCCAGTATTGGAAAAAAAGTCTCATATAGTCAACTTTCCCGACTCAAAAGGCGAAGGAGGAGAGAAATGGGCGGGACGCGTAGCGTGTGCGTACGCGGTTCTTGACCCGAGAACATTTTTTTCATTTTTCTGTATTCAGTTTTTTGGTTTCTCTTTTTTCCATTTTTCCATTTTTCCAGCTCCACTAGCCTAACTAGTCTTGCGAGTATTAAAAAAACACAAACTTTTTTTAATTGGTTCAACATAATCTACCCTCTTCCTTCGGCTTCTGGATGCTGCCGGTGGGTTGGTTGGGGCTCGTGGGTGCACAGGGAACAGTTGGAACGACTTCCGATCCACTTTTCAGCCGCACCACACCTCCAAAGACCGATACGAATGCGTTCCCTTGAAAAATTTTTTTATTAAAAAAACTGTAGAACTAAAGGACGAAAAAGTTCGAGGCTCGAATATAAATGTTTCCAACCTGAAACATTGACCTTTCTAGTATTTCTTTTTTCGTCTCGGAACGTCGTTCAATCGGTTCTTTGTAAGTTTATCACTTTTCTAGTTGCTTTTTCAAAATATTGACTCTGCTGGTTAGTTTTGCATGAACTTTTCCCAAAACTACATTGATATCGTGTTTTGAAACGAGATTTGAAACGAACTGGTTTGCTGTATGCCCCAGACACTTGACTTCTTTCCGCATGTTGCGCCGCCCTTGGCTTCTTCCACAGACACTATAATTTGAGTAAGCAGTTTTTTATCGACAAAATTTTGGCCCTATTTTTTGCCACTTTGAGCCATATTTAAGCACGATCACGTTGGAACCTGAATTGCGCAAGTGACTCTTTGAGTTCTTCTTGCATTCTCTAATATAGTTAATCAGGGTGCGCATAAATTACAGCAACAAGGCTCGAGACCTCGAGCTCTTTTTTGAAAATTATTCGATAGAGGAGACTTTCAATATAAATCGCTTCGTTCTCAGAAAAGGAAAAAGAAAAACTAGACGCGGCGTTCTGAAGGCACAATCTGACGATTTACCCGCTGACGTACGACTCTTATCATCGTTTATTCGAGTCCTACGTATTTAAAAGGACTGGACAGAATTGAAAACCCAAAACTGTATCAAGAAGTCACAAAGAAACACGGCTCCGCTTCACATTCCTTTGGACTGGGCCTGCAGAAATGAGCTTAATGCCTTTAAAAGATTTCAAGCTTTCTTAATTATTTTATGTTAACGCTGACTTAAGACCTACTTAAAAAGTGTACCACCAAACAGATCTCTATATTAGCTAGTTATTTACTACAGAGACCAAAGCGCCTCTAAGCGAGACAGTACTGTATCATACCTGCATTGCACCCCTCCATCGTCTTTTTGTCCTTCATCGCGTCCTCCATTGCTGGTTTTTGTTGGCTTGCTGCTTACACTCGATACAATCGAGATTCAAGAATAACCTTCTTCTGGACTTTACTCGTCGCCTTGATGTTTCTTCTCTTATCTCAAAAGTTTATCTCAATTTCCTTTTACACACTGGTGAGAATGATTATTCCTTTTTTATCGCTTCTTTAATTCTCTTCGTCTTTCTCACGGCCTGATTGAATATTTCAAAACAACCTCCGTTGCCATTATAATCGTCTGAATTTACCGATTTTTCTTGTGAATGGAGCTCAAAACCCAAGAAAATATTCATGTTTTGAGAATGCATGAACCGATGCTGCTTTTCATGAAGGCGAACAAGAATTCATTTTTTTTGAGTTTTAAAATACTCTTTCGCCTTATTTTTCTTCATCTGAAATACTTTGAATATACTAGAACAGTTTTAACCACGAAAAACAAAAATTTTGAGAGGATTGTGAGACTGGTTCCCGTTCACAGTGACTTTTGAAGAAGGCTACCAAATGTAGCTTTTTCCACGCTGTTTTCAAACTTGTGTTAGAAAACTACCTCAATTTCACATCTAAAACGACGTTGTTGGAGTTGAACTAGCAGGATAAAAAATTAACGCGTAAAAACAATGTGATCGACGCCCTCAAAAGAGAGTTTCCGTAAGCTCCGTCCTTAATGCCGCGATAAGCCATTCCGAATTTAAATTCCTTACTATTTTTTCAGCAAGTCTTGAGACAAGCTCATCAGACTTACGTCGATTCTATGCGTTGCACAGTAAATATGCGCACGAAGGCATGTAATCTTGCGAAATGGCAACATTGACTTACTCTGATGTGGAGCGCCAAATGGGCGCCACTACTCTTTCTCTGACACACACTGTTTCGTCGTTATCTAGCTGCGAGAAAACGACGAAACAGTGTATGTCAGTGAAAGAGTTGTGGCGCCCATTTGGCGCTCCAATTCAGAGTATGAGCGGTTTTAAACTTGCGAATTATGTGCTTAATGTGGTAGTCGAAATTGAGGTGCTGTGGTTCGGCCTCTGTAACATGTGTGCCCCAATTTCAAAAAAAAAATTTACGAATTTTCTAACTACCACAAGAACTGAGTTACTCTCTGGAGCTGCCGAGAATTCGTAATTAGACTAAAATTGTGTGAATTTTTTTTCAAAGGAAGAAAGTTGATACCTGTGGAGCTTTAGAAACTGGTCGCGACAAATCAGGCATTGTGACAGCTCTGGTTGAGGAAATCGTGTTCATTAGAATCGGAAAAGGAGCTCTCTGTGTGTCGTGAATGGAAATATTTGAGCTACTACTTCCTTCACTATTAGATTCGATGGCCTCTCGACTGGGGAAAAATTATAAGATTACGACATTTTCAGGACAAACTGCAGTAGGCAATGAATGATGTCATAATGTGACGTCAGGGAGTCGCGGTTGACGATTTAACAAAATCTAACCAGCACTTTTGGTAAGCACTTTTGCGATACCAGGTGCTCCTTCTGCGAAACCTTCATCATGAGCTTCAGCATTCCGAACCACGTTTTCCGCCTCATTTTTGTCCATTTCTATTTTCTCATTGAAAAAAAAATTTGCTGTTTTTATGCACCACAATAAATATTTTCTTTAAAAATCGCTTCTTTATTAGAAAAACGTGGCACATTATTTTCCATCCTTTTCATATGCAGACTGTCGAGTAAAAAAGTACAACCAAGATAAAATAATTCTCAACCTGCAATTGATCTATTATGATCTAGATCATCTAGAGACAGTTATTCTCTGTCGCACTTGGTAAAAACTGTTCCACAAGACATTGCGCCGCCGTGACTGCACCAAATGCCTTTTTTTGAAAATTTTTTTCCCGCTGAAATTACGAAAATTTTATAAAAATTTATCTTTTTTTCGGTGATTATGATTTGATCATTATATTTATCTCCGTGTTCAGGAATTTTTTTTTAATGCGATTCTGTTCATAGGTTTATGGCTGGTAGTCCGTTAAAGTTGGACGATCGGTTGGCATACGCAGCAAAGTACGATTCTAAGAAATTGTATTCTTATTTGCGTCGCTATTTTGATATAATCGGTCAAGTGAGTGTTGATTTTTTAAAAATTGTCATCACTTTATTTTAGGTACATTCTGTGATTCATACGAAGCAAGGTTCGGTGTTCGTCAGGCTTTGGAATGGAACTGTGCCAGCGAAAAAGTGGATATATTTCGATTTTTTCTGAAAAAATTTGGTTTCAGTGCGACTCGAACTGTAATTACAAAGTTATTCCGAGTAGAAGATTGCGTAATAGGGAAGGTTTGCTTGAAAACTTCGAAATTAAAGGGGAAAAAAAGGAATTTTAGCACATTTCTCCTCCGCTACTAGCAATTTCTGAAGCGACGGAGAGGCTCGGCGAAGGGGCCATTTACGATATAAGCGTCTATGAGGAATATATCAAGCCTGCGGAGGCTTTGAAGGTTGAAAAAGTTTGCAAATAGGGTGGAAAATTCGATTTTCAGAGTGGCGATTATGTTGTGATTAGTAATATCCACTATTACTCCCAAATCAGCCAGCCGGCCGATTGTTTGACGATCCATGCGCGGGGCCAGTTCTACAATCGGGGAGTAGTCAAAATTCCGTCGGATTGTCAAAATCAGCATTATCTTGAAGTGAAACAGTTGCGTGTTCCCGTGGATCTCAGAAAATTTATACCGAATTTTCAGGAGGATCGAAAGTTTGATCAGCCAAAATGTCCATCACAAAGATTTGAATGAGACAGCGGAAGTAAAAGAGAGATCAGACGTTGAAAATCAGGTCAGAGACATTTTATTTGATTAGTTCTTTCCTGGTTTTAATTGATAGTTTCTGATTGTAGAAACGAAATTAACGTCTTTAATTTTTTGTGTTTTTCTTTTTTTCAGAACAAATTTAGGCTGTTGATGAATTGGACATTTTTCGAAAAGTATAACATTTTTCAAAAAACTAAGCTATTTGAATTTTCTTTTGCTAATTTTTATAGAAGCAGTTAATACATTTTGTAGACAGTTTCAATATATTTCAAGCTTTTTTCTTGAAACTGCGCACAAAATTTTTTTCGACTTCTTGGTTGTAAGTAAAATTTCAATTGATCAGTGCTTTTAAAGGCTTCAAAATTGAAGAAATTATAATCTTCAAAGATCTCCACAAAGACCCCTATACTGTCAGCTCCTTTAAAAAATAATAATTATTTTTTCAGCCAAATCCTCCGAGATTTGAAACAAATTACGAGGAGCAGCCAAATCCCGTGGATCAGGCTAATATTGTCAAAATCGTCAGCACGACCGTCGAAAACGAAATTTTCATTGAAGAAGATGATCAATGGTTTTTTTTTTAAATTCACTTAAGTTGTAACTTGAAATAATTTTTCAGTTTCGAAGACATTCCGCGCCACAAGGCGATTTTAATCGGGGAGAACTTTATCAGCGTCGATCGTTTTGTGTGAGTTTTTGAGAAAATTCTGGAAAATTGATTTTTCTACGTTTATTCGATACTGGGAGTGGTAAAGAACAAGAATTCAAGGAAAAAAACAGTATTTATGAACTTCAAGTAATCTTTTTTTGTGAGAGTTCCTTGAAAAAAATTTTTAAAAAAATCAGTTACAATCATATTTTTTTGATTTACAGTTTGCGTGACATTTCGTCCTTGGTATAAATTTTTTTATTCCCTCAAAAATTTTTGCGATTTCAAAAAAATTCAAATAACCGTCAAAGATACGTTTCAAAAACATTAATAAATTGCCGAAATTATATTTATTGTAATCGATTTTTTTCGAATCGCCCTGAATAATTTTTTTATTTCCTTTTTTTTGTTGGAAATTGAGTTTTAGGAAAAAGAGACGGATGTTCGTACCATTTCTTGACCCACGCCCATTCGGATCATTGCTCCGGTGTTAATGTTGGTTTTTTTTCTTGTTTAGGGATGATAATAATGTACACTTTTAATATTTTTCTCTTTTTTTTTTTAAGTTGATTATATAAAACTTTGAGCTTTCTTAGGGACCCTAGGGTGGTCCCTATGGGGTTTTGGGGGGAAAAAGCCCCTATAGGGATAAGTTTCAAAATGGAAAGTTTCTTCAAACTTCTAATTAGATGAGATAACTTTTTTCTACTACACAATATTCAATGATTTCTTCCTTTCTTAGGAGTGGTCCCTATAGGGGTTTAAGGACCTTTGAAGGTCACTCTATAGAGACCACTTTACCCCCCTAAATTTTTTTAAAAATCTTACCCCTATAGGGAGCACTTTTTTTGCCCATTCTCCAGGGACCACTCTTGCTTTTCTGAGTGCATTCGAAATTTCTGAAAATTCAGATCGGCTGGACGACGCCGATACACTGCTCCAAAGCCACGTCCAAGCTTCTCCCAATTTTGACCATGTAGAAAAATTTTTGTATTTTTTCCGTCAACTTGAATATTTTGAGGTCGAAAAAGAAGAAGGGCGTCGATCCAGCCTATTTGCAGGCTTTGGAAGTCGGCAAAACTCATAAAATGAAAGGATTCGAAGTGACGGTTTTGGAAGCAAATCACTGTATCGGAGCCGTCATGTTCCTTTTCCAAGGTTCTTAAAAAATGAAAAATGTTTTTTTGCGCCTTTTATGGTATTCTATCTCAGAGGGGCTGTTGTAATGAAAGTTTTAAAAGAAAATCAGAAAATTGAACTTTTTCCAGGCCCTCTCATCCCCGGCGGTGCTGTCCTCTGCACTGGCGATTTTCGAGCAGATGATATGCTTATTCGAAGATTTGGCGCCGATCCAAGTTTTGACCTTCTTGCTGAGGTTTTTCTGTTTGATTGAAGCTGGAAGAAAACTGGAAAATTGATTCAAAATAGTGACAGATAGCTCAAATAATCAAGAGTTGCTCCTTAGGGGGCACTTTTTTGAATTTTTCTGAGCTCTTAGACGCTGTTTTTTGCACTTTGAGCTCGTTGACCCTAACGGGACCGCTTAGGACGTTCCATTTCTAGTGACCACTTTAGCGGCGTGAGCCATTTTCAAGTGAGACATCTCTTATGCTTTATTGGTGTCATAACTTTTAAGTGACCTAGTTCGGAGTATTTAAGTGATCACTTTAGTGGCGTTAGCTCTTTTAAGTGAATCGATCCTGAACATCTCTAGTGAACATCATCTCTAATCTTCAGCGGCATTGTTATTATCAAGTAAATTAATTGTGAGCCTTTCTAGTGATAACTTAAGTGGCGTCAGCAGTTTGAAATGGATATTTTCTGAGATTTTGTAGGGATCAATCTAGTGGCGTCAACAGTTTTTAGTGAAACCTGAAAATCTCTAGTTATCACTCTAGTGACGTCAACACTTTTAAGTGAATAATTCTGAACATCTCTAGTGATCACTTCAGCGGCATTATTGTTCTCATGTGAAATAATTGTGAGCATCTCTAGTGATCCTTCTAGTGACGTCAGTATTCTCAAGTGAAACCTTATGCCGTGTTCAAAGTAATTTCCGCGAAATGCAAAATGGTCTCTGACCCTCCAAAATTTAGTTATCTTTCTCTTTCTCTGACAGCTGTTTTGAATTTCGCGGAATCATTTTGAACACGGCATTAGAATCTCTACTGATCACTTAAGTGGCGTCAGCGGTCTGAAATGAAGTTTGTCTGAGCGTTTCTAGTGATCACTTTAGTGGCGTCAACTCTTTTAAATGAACTAGCTCTAAGCCTCTTAGTAATAACTATAGCGGCCTAGGCACTCTCAGCACCTCTTGTAATCACTTAAAAGTGCTGAAGCCACTTAAGTGATCACTAGACTAGAAACGTCCAGGACGCGTCCCATTTGCGTTATCGAACGTGAGTTCATCTATTTTTTTTTCAGACCCATTTATCGGCCGTTTATTTGGACAACACATATTTGGACGATTCCCCAACCGATCATTTCATAACCCGAGAAGAGGCCGTGGGAGTGTGAGATTCAAGAAAAAGAATTTCGGCGAGATGGGTTTTTTGCAGGCTCCTCAAGGAGATCCGCAAGTACCCATATCACAAAATCATCCTCCCGATGCACAAACTCGGGCGGGAAGATCTTCTCGAGCTTCTCCATGATAAGTTGGGAGTAAGCTTTTTGAAACTCTCTATTTTTTGCGCTACGCCTTTAAATATCAGCTTTTGAAATTGTAGTTTGTTTACAATGACCTACTAAAGCTCTCAAAGCTAAAAATTTTTCCAAAAATCAATTCCACTCGAACATCTTCATTAATTTCGTACTATGGTCCTTTAAAAAGTCCACTGCTTTGTTCTTAATCGACTAAACAATATTTTGATTAGAAATTATCGCTTTCTGTGTTTATTTTGAAGCATTTTCTGGAATTTTCGGTCTGAAAGTCACTCATAAGATTTTATAGATCTTATTTCTGTCTCCAATTTTTTCTCAATAACTTTGAAGTTTTTAGCTGATTTTGTTCATTTTCACTGTTTGAGAACCTTTTTTGAATGGTTTTTGATGTAATTTAATCAATAATGGCTCGGACACCTGGAAAAATCTAGAAAAAATCAAAAATGATTCATTTGAGCGTAAGTAGATTCACGTTTCTTATTTTTTTTTTTCCGCTTATCAACTTTTAATTTTTATTTTGCAGTCGAGTTGCTACTTTTTAATAGAGTTACAATTAGTTCCTGACTTAATTTCAAAAGTTAAGGAGCCAATTTCGCTCTATGATATCCGAGAAAATTGTGCGACCAAACTCGAACTGCACATGATGATCGACGAACGGCGGAAAAGTCCCAGAAAATCCATCGATAACAAAAAAACGGCGATCGAAGAACCGCGAATTCGGGTTGTTCAACGAAATTCCGCGTGCGTTTTTCAGCTGGCAATCTGAAGGATTTGGTATTTTCCAGGGCGATCCGCAAGGAACTCTCCAGGGAGGACAAGGAGTTTATCATCTTCGACATCACCATGAAAACTGGCACCTTGCCGTTAGTTTTTCTTTGTGTCGTCGATATTTTGGAAACGAGGAGTTCATTTTGAAAGGATTTCGAAAAGTTGCCCTTGATAATCAGAACTTCTTCGTATAATTTCCCAAAAAAATTAGTTGAAAGATTTTTTTAAATAGGATATTGAAGGACTTTTTTTCAAGAAATTTTAGATGAGCTACTAGTATTATTAGTCACTGTTCTACCAAGCTTTTTTTCGATCTGTACAAGACCAAATTTTAAAAAAATTTAAGAATGCAAACATGACAAGACTAATGTCAATAATATTTCAAAAATTTCATACCTGGTAAGACTAGATTCATCCATATTTCAATGCTTCAAACCTCACAAAAATAAATTTTTCGAAAATTAGAGAGTTCAACCTGATAAGACTAAAATTTTCAGAGCTGATAAATCTTTGAAATTTTTCAACCTGATAGAACTAATCATCTTAAATTCTCAAAAAAACCGAAACCTCATAAAACTAAATTTAGTAAAAATTTCAAAAAAATCCAAACCTGATTAGACTAAATTTTTGTCGAAAGTTCAAAAATTCTGACCTCATTAGACTTATTTTTTTTAGACTCAGAATTTTTAAATTTTCAAATATGACAAGATTACATTTTTGAAAATTTCAACTTTTTATTTCAGTCTGAGCGAAGAAGAGCTGAAATCAACATACCATATCGGTTACTCGGATCATTCGAGCAAGTCCGAAATTCTAAACTTCATGCAGCAGTAAGCGAGAAATGCTCTAGATTCTCCGAAAATCGAGAATTTATAGTTTATCCTTCGACGCCGTCTTCCCGATCAGCGCCCCGATGTCACCATTTTCTAAGCAGGAGTTGATGGAACTCAACAGGAATTTGCCCTCTCTGAAGTGGAATTCGATCCAAATTAACTCTTGATTAATTGGTCTTTTTTCAGTAAGACCACGAAAATCAATGTGCAAAAGAAGCAGAAAACGATGACGGAAGTTGTGACGATTTCCCTCGAAAATGAAGATCCAGAAGAAGACGTTCGAATTGAGGAGGATACGGAAAATAGGTGGGAAATGGAGGAAAATCTAAAAATTCTTTTTTCTTCTTCTCAACTCTCTCTTTCTCCTTTCTGTCCTCCATATATTTTCTCTTTTTTCTAGGTTTTATCTCTCTCGTCTCCTCTTTTTCTCTCTTCTATACTCTATTAGCCATGATTTCTAGCTCTCTGACCTGTCTGCGCCTTCTTTTCTCTCACCGGGGAAGAGGGCGCAGAGAATTCAGATCCTTTCAAACTTTGAATACTTTTTGAATACAATTTACAAAAAAATAATAATTCTTTTTCAGACAATTTTGTAGAAAAAAAGTCAAAAAAATTGGGGAAAAAAATAGCTTGGTTCGTCGATTTTTTTGACCAAAAAGAGACGAATTTCAAAAAAATTTCTGGGAAATTGAAATTTATTCCCCGTTTTTTTGTGTTTTTTTGTGAATGCTACAAAATGCGCATACCTCTAGGAAATTCAAAATAATAAAGCTTTTATTTGAAATAATTTTGGAATTTTCTCAGATCCACCGTTGAGAGAGAACAAGTACAGCCCGTAGATTCTGGGAACAGGTGATTTTTACTCGAAAAGTGATAATTTTTACTCAGTGATTATTTATCAAACAAAGAGGTCATGGAAGTTTCTCAACGACTTTCTCGGCGAATAGAAGATGTTTACAAGGAAATGTAGGTTTTAGAAAAAATTTTCACCTAAAAGTTGATTTTTCAGAAGACTAGAGCCGCAACCTGTCCAGTGCTTGCCGGCAGCTCGACTTTCCGGCTACGAGGGATCTCTCCAGGGGTGAGTTTTCAGCGATTTTGCACTCGAAGATAAATTTTTCGAAGATTCCGGCAGCCTCAGTCTCTTCGTGAAGCCATCGCGTTCATTTTTGCCCCGGACCCCGTGAAACCGGCCATTTCTAATGGGTTCGACATGAATATGTGGGTTTTGGGAATTCTTCGGAGGAAATTTTACTTGTGAAAAGTATTTCTTTGTTTGAGATTAAAAAAAAGCGTCAATTTATGCTGGGTATGAAAAAAAAATTGAGAAAAATAGCCTTCACCGTCTTATATGTTTTGGAAGTGCGCTCCACGGCTAATTTGAAAATTTTCCATTTATTTTGAAAAAAAATTTATCAAGGATCTGACAACCTTTGATTTAACGAAATTTCCGACGTTCAATGCAAGAATTTTTATATTTTCGCATTGGAGCAACTTTTCTCAGGCAAAAAAGCCATCGAAAACTCTTCTTGGTATTTTCATATTTATTATTAGTTTTGGCGAGCGAGACGAAATTTTTTGGCATTGGAGCGTTTTCGAATCTCAAAAACAGCTTTTTCAGCTTGAATCACAAAAAATAGCCTTGGAGCGCCATTTTTCTCGAAAATTGAGCTATTGTGCTTTCGTTTAAATTACTATCATAACCATCGTCTGAACATAGTGAAATAAATGACTTGAAATTAGCACTTCCCAAGGCTTCTGAAAATTGAATTTTTTTCGAGTTAAATTTGAAAAAAAAAATAAAAAAATGTTCAATTAAAGAGTCGCGCCGCCTCCATTCATTGAACCGGAATCTGCCAACGAGTGTCCCCTCAAAATCGACTTTGATTGAATAAATTTCCAGTTTCAACCAACTTATCATATCGCATTTTGTAAATAACGCTTGCTTTTTCCAACATTCCATATTTTTTTGTTTAATTTGCTCAAATGTGAATAAATTTTTTTCAATTTTATGAAGCTTGTTTCTGTCTTTTTATAACGTCTTATTTGTTACTGTGAAATAGTTGAAGCTTTTAGAAAGATAAGATTTTTCAGCAGTTACAATTCCGAACCATTGTTTTCCACTGACAATGAACCACAAGCTTCAAGGCGTTTTCGAGGTTTTTTGAAGTTTAGAAAAAAATCGAAAGGAAATTTGAAAATAAGGGATAAAACGTTTTTGTTGGTATTGAAAATAATCCGTAAATCATGCCTCCGAGGCTATTTTTACTTCAAAACATTTTTTTAAAATTTTGCCTGTGTTCTTTCGAATGTCCTGCTCCGAGGCCAGAAATCTTGTTTTGAGGCCATTTTTTGATGGTAAGATTGCTCCAAGGCTAAAAAGTCATTTTAGTCATCCTCCACATAAGAGAAGTTGTTCAAGTCATGTTTCACGACTGATTTTCATCAGAGAAAGATCAAAAATGCACTTCGAAGCTATTTTTGCCTGGAAAGGTTGCTCCAAGGCGAAAAGTATCTTTTCATGTTGAACCACAAAAGTTCTGTTATCATTCAAGTTCAAAATCATCTATTTTCGCCACAAATACTTTTCCCTGAGTCAAAATATGTTCTCGGACCTCGGTAACGAAATCCGGACGTTTCTGGGCGATTCTAGGGATCCCTTAAGAGGGCTGACGCTACTAAAGTGGTCACTAGAAATGCTCAAACACGTCCGAATCGCGTTGAGCTGATTCACGTTGAAAACCCAGTGGCGATAGCCGGAAACATCCAGAAAATGGGAAACAGTGATTTAGATGAGATGAGCTTCATCCTCACGAGGAGGATGAAGCTTCGGATAATCCTTGGAGACCTCGTATAGAAATTTACCTGAGAGGTGTGCAAAAAGAAAACGGAATGTATCCTCGTCTACCTATATACATCCCTCCCGTTTTCTTCGCCTTTTCTTTTCTTTTCCTCACATCGATCGCTTCATTTCTTGTCTTGTTATCTTCTTTTCCCTTTTCTTCGCCTTCCTTTTGTTGCTCCGGATTGTTTTCGATGGAAATGGAACACGAGAGGAATCAAATTTGAATTTCTTTCTCTTGTCACAAAATTCCCTTGTTTTCCAATTTTCTACCTCCAATCTAATTGGAATTTTATTCTAAAAGAAGTTTGATTTTTCCGTCTTTAAATCAACGTTTTTCTTTGGCCAGAACTCTTGATTTTACTTTCTTTCTCTCGTACTTCTTCATGATCAGCTGAAACGCTAGAAAGGCTGAGAACACGGCTCAAATTGCTCGCTACAATGCGCTCCACTGATAAATATGTCCGAATTCACCTCACAAATTCTCGGACTTTGTTTCCATGAACCGGACGCGCTCCGGACGTGTTGGAGTATTTCTAGTGATCACTTTAGTAGCGTCCGAACTCTCAAGTGATCCCTAGAATTATATTAGGCGCATATGGTTTCCGTTAAGGAGGTCCGAGTATGATCAAAATAAAAAGCCCTGATCAGCTTTTTTTACTTCGAAAACTTTGATTAGTTTTTTTAAATCCTTTCTTCCTGAAAGTCGTCCCCAACTGCCCCACGGATAAATTACCGAAAACTACGCAGCTCAAATTTGTACCGTTTTCTGCCCTAAACTTGTAAAAGAACGTAAAAAAAATCCGATGAAGAGCTCAAAACTTTTATGATTGTTCTCCGAGTGTATGGTTGGGCTCCGAGTGAAACTTCACCCCCATTTTTTTGTCCGGAGCAGACTTTCAGGATTTTTTTTTAGCCCTCGATGACCGGATTTCGCTTTAAACGTGTAACTTTTTCCATAAAACAGCTTTCTTACAAGTTACTCAACAGTTGAAAATACTTCTTGACCCTTTTTCATCTCGAAAAATCTCGTGACGGTTTTTTTTTTTTGATTGATGTCTTTGGCTAGAGTTCATTCTGACTCGAGTTACAAACATGAAAAACCCTTCAATTTCATTTTTTAACCATTCTGAAAATGGAAATTCTCGAAAACTCGTTCCAAAGCTTGATTTTAAGTTCTCGAGGAAGTGCTTTCAATTTGTTTTTACTATTCTCAAATTTCTTCGAAGCTCGATTCAGAAGTTCATTTTTCCTTGGCCATGCTCCAAAATTGTCTTCTGAACTTTCAACAGGTTCTTTTAAAAAAAGTTATTCGCAAGAATACTCTAAAACTCGATCTAGAGCCTGATTTCTTCCTTGGTCATTCTCCCAGATCTTCTGAAACATCAGAAAGTTCTTGCGAAAGAGCTTTTGTCTTTGTCTTTTTTTTTCTGAATCATAGAGGAAACGGAGCGGCACGGCGCCGCTCCTACAATCCGCCAGACCACCGTAACCTCGGTCGGAGCCAGTTTTTAGGCGGACGAAAAACGACATCGCGTGCAACAATTGTATGAGGGGCGACTTAAGCCGAGAACAAAGCAAGTACATCTGCGAGTCTCCGCCCACTTTTTGTTATCCTTATCCCGATTTCCTTGTCATTTTCGGCGTTAGTCAGTCTTTCTTCATTAGTTTCCTGGTATTTTACTGAGTTCCTTACAAGGGAATGGTCTCACAAGGAGGTAATTTTAATTCCCAAGAGTTGGCCAGAACCCTTCTTGATGTACCAAAAGAAGATTCTGAAGGTCTCAATCTGCACAACTTCTCAGTTTTCGAGAAATCATGGGTCAAAACTAAAAAATGGCCGGTTTGATTGCCTTTCGAGAGCTTCCTTCGACTTTGAGAGTTCCTTTTTTCGAAATCTAGGAAATTTCGCAGTTTAGGACTTTCAGAAGGCTTATCCGGTTAGTCAAAGAGTGCTCTGGCGAAATTTAAGAAAATTCTAAGCCGCAGAGTAAAATGACCTTCCTTGTCAGCTCAGAGTGGGACTTCTAAATGAGACTTGGTTCATTAGATGCAGTTTTTACGCTGATTCTGAATCTGTCCTCAAAAGTTACCATCAAAGTCTGTGAAAAAAGTTAGGGCTCTGAAAAGTCGAAAATTCGGAATAATTGTAAAAACTATAGCCTCATTCAGAAGTTCCACTGCGATTTTTCTGGTCAGCTCTTTAAAATTTTCAATGAATTCACCTTATTTCATACCGTAAGAGCAAAACCATCCAGAAAAAGAACTCAAAAGTGATTTGAAAAATTCGAATTTTAGGAATATGTCAAAAACTAGTTGAGATGTACTCTGAAGAGCTTTTTTTTGAGATCTGGGCCTTTAGAAAGAAATTTCAGAACTTCTGGGATACTTTTAGACGTTTTCAGTGAACTTTTGACAAATCGATAATTAAATAATAGAAAAATTCGAGTGAAAAATCGAAAAAAAAATTCGATGATCAAAAAAAATAACTTGTCGACAAAATTTAAGCAAATGAGCTGTCTTGGCGGGACCTTTACAAAGTTGAGGAACCATTTTCTTTTTCTGACGGACTTTGGCAAAATTTTCAAGCCCCGATTCCGAATAAACGTAAGAATCTTTATTAGATTCTTGATCGGAAGCCTTTTTTTAGAATTCAGACGATTCCCCAGTGAGTATTGCAGGAATATCCATTGACATATGGAAAATAGGCTACGTTTTCTCAATTTTCAAACTTTCCCAATTCATCCACTGCTACATGCAAGCCATTTCAAGGCCGGGAGCGTTGAAAAAATTGGAAAAAAAGGAAACTTTTTCTAATCTTGCAATGCTTTCGAATCCATTCCAGAAGAGAGCTCTATAAAAAATATGCCTTCAAAAAATCCAATTTTATGCCTGATTCACAGAAGATAAAGCTTAATTTTCGCTTTTCATGTTATCTCTTCGAATTCGAATAATATTCTTTCCTTCTTCTTCTCAAATAACAGAAAAAAAGGAACACTACGAAAACCTAACTGTTATTTGTAGCGGAGTGGACATTTTTCCGGCAAATGGAACTAAATCTCCTTTTTTTCGTATATTTTTCTTTGACTTATTTTTTTCAATTTCAAGGTAAAATGCGGCGAGAGCTTCCGTTCATCCTGGTGTTCCTGAACTGCTTCGTCTTGTTGATCAGCGCCATCCAAGAAGATGAAATCGCCAAGTCTTTCGTCCTCAACGAAACAACGTTTGGTAGGGAACTTTAAATTCAAAGGATTAAGGAAATTGGAATTTTTTTTTCTGACAGGGATTTTTATGGTTACCTGGAGTGTCCACTAAAGGGTTTGGTTTTATAAGCGGTCTTTTAAGGGAAAACCAGAGGCTACATACTACCATTGCGCTTTTTTGAAATGGCTTTCTTAAGGGATCACTCAAGAAGTTCTGCCTCTGAGAACTTTGTGAACTCGACCAAGCTTTTTCGGTTATCTGAAGTGTCCACTGCAGGGTTTTGTTGTGGAAGCGGTCCTTCAAAGGAAAACTAGTTGCTGCATACCACCATGTAGCTCACGACTGCGCTTTTCTTAAGTGATCACTCAGGCAGTTCTGAAGCTTGAAGGGAAAATACATGATTCATTATGGCGGGAAAATGACTGAATTCATTTGAAGTGATCACTTTAAAAAAAATTTCTTGTGCCAGTTCGAGTTTTGGCTGGTTATGTCTGGAGAAATCGCATTTTTTGAAATATATCACTTTAGTGGCCACTTGACGTTGTCAGACTTTTTTGAAGACAAAAATAAACATCCTCTTGTAAAAAATCGTACCATTCTTGTCGTGGAGCATGATTAATTAATTTTTTCAGCCGCGTACAATTCCTCGGACTCTCCTTGTCGAATCGAGTGCGCCGACGCGGAGACGATGGCGTCGGCCAGCTTCGACGACTTCCAGAAGATTTGGATGGTCAACGACAGCGACTCGTTCGACGCCAACACCATGATTTTCATCAACGGAAACCGGAGTCTCGAGTTCGTAGTTATTTACTTCACGCTTTTAAATCTGAATTTCGATCCTTTTTTATCTTACTGGTTAGTCTTGATCCAACGTCGGATCATCGCTTGGAGTCGAACTCCCGACCAAAATATTGCCAGCAAAAGTGTTACCAACTGAGCCATCTTTGTTATTTTTTCAGGTTCGCTGTGCTCAACGCGGAGGACTCGGGCAGCTACAAATGTTGCGTCAGGGCTCTGGATCTGGCCTACCAGTCTTTTGTCTGTTATTTCACACAGATCACCGTCATCGAAGATTTGCCTGCCGAACTCAACTCTACTGGTTTCTGGAAAAATCAAAAACTTCTCACTAGATGTTTTCAGAAGCACCTCTTCCCCCGGCCTGGAATTTCCAAGTCCCGGAGGGAGGATTCCTGAACGGACAGCAGGAACACACCTATTTCTTGCGTCTTTTTGAAGAGTCCAACCTCACCGACATCGCCTGCACTGTCAATGGCATCATTGGACATGTCAAAACGGTTCGGTTCAGTTTAGGAGGAAATTTGGAGAGGAACCTTACCAAAAGATATTGAATTTTGTAGGGCAGTACTTTGATATTTGTAACAGAGGGTTTAAAAAAGTCAAATTTCAAGTTATAACATTTTTACAGCGTTCTTTACGTCTTGAAGATTCAAAAAAATCCCCATAGTTCCGCAAACTTTTTAACCTTGGAAATATGATTCTTTGAATATTCGAAATACGCTTTTCAGGCCTATTTTGTGTTACATTCGAATTTTTTTAAAAATCCAAACCTCCATAAGGAAATTAATCAGCTATAAGAGATTTTTCTAAACTTTCAAGAGTTTCTGAGCAAAAATTAAAACAAATTCTAATATCCAGGCTAAAAATGTCCGTCCAAAATTAGAAAGCCTTGAGATTTTTCACTTTTTTTTGAAGTTCTGATTTCAAAAACTGAATTTTTAAGCAGGTTGCAACGGTTAGGGAACTTTTCCTGGACCGTGGGAAAATAGAAAGTTCGAAGTTTCGGACAAAAATAAAAAATAGATGTTTAGGAAGGTAGCAACCATTAGAGAAGTTTTTCTAGAACTTCAGGAAATTTCAAAGACTCTAAATTGATCTCCCATAAAGGCATTTCTGACGGTCCGAAAAAGTTTTGACTAGCCCTTTTCTATCCAACTAAACTTCTTCAGAACAACGCCTTCCCGTTCCCGACGAACAACGACATGCTCATTCGAGACTTCAACACGACCCTCCACACCGGCGTCTACGTCTGCAACGGAACCATTCAGGTTTTTTTCCCAACCTCAAAGCTCTGCCATGCATCCTAAAGCAGACGGGGAACAGCTCTTTTTCATTCTGTTTTCTCTTCTTTTTATTTGGCGCCTCAAAAGCCGTCGACTTGCCCATTTTATGGGCGAATAATTCGATTGGCCGGTGTGTCGAGTTTATACGACAGAGGGGCCGCCGAAAGAACGCTTCAATTAGAGACGATTGGGAACGGCGGATTCTGGGGAGGAAAATATCCAGTCGGTTACGACGGGATAGGTCTTTTTTTGAGCGGAAAAACTGGAGAAAATGAACTTTTTTTTTGTCAATATCGTGAGTTTGAGACAAAATCCAGTTTGTTTTGAAATCCTTTTCTAGATTTTTGTAGGCGTAGTCTTACATTGTTCCTGTCAAAGGCTGTTTATCTCGTTATTCCAAGTTCAAGGAACCACAGAACAATTGTCACTATTTTTTTCTTTAAAGACGCTCTGGTGAAACGCATTATTTCTTGTGAAAAGTTCACGGAATAAAAAAGATTCTTTTATATATTATAACCTCAAACTTCAGTGAAAAATCAAAATCCTAGAAAAAGCGACCGAAAAGTCATTTATAAAATGTTTTTCACCATCTGTGCCACGATTCAAATTGAAAGGACTTCTTCAATCGCGTTTTTAAAATATTTATATGCAGTTTTGCAACATCAAAGAGTTTCAGGCCGGAAACGAGACGGAGACGGCGTCGACGACGTTCACCGTCCGCGAATCGCTGGAGCAGAACGAAGGAGCCGTGATGCTCGACGACGCGTTCGTCCACAAGGTCCTCGCCCAGGCCGACGAGGACAGCTCGGCCGCAAATCGCGCTTTCCTTGCTCTTTCCTTCATTTTCCTCATGCTTCAATGATTTTCTCCACTTTTTGTGATGATGACCGGCTCTATATAAATTTAAATGATGAATAAACAAAAAAATTCCCAAAAAAAACCCTTATTTGTCGCATTTACCGTAAAGTTAAAGGTTTGTTGTGCATACACAGCGACGCCAATTTTTCAGCGAAAATTTCGAAAAAACTTGCTTTTCTTTTTTTTTTTATTCTCATTTATTTTAAAATAAATTTCGTTGAAAAATCCTTGCCGAGAAAGCGAGAGGGACAGATTTAATGCTGAGACTAAAGTAAAATTGAAAAGGCTCTTCGTTTTGATTATGTTGCAAAATTTGTCTGCGACTCAAAAACCTCAGCAAGGATTTTTGGACTTTGTATGTCTTTTTAGAGTTATCCTGCGCTGCAGTTTTATTTTTGATGTATTTTTTTGCTCTAAATCGGTTTTTTATCCTGAAAAATCTTTTTTTTTCATACAAATTTAAGTTATTCCGAAATAACTCAAATAATGATTTACTCACCATTTTTCAATGTTGATATCATTTTTTTCGTTCTGTACTTTTTTTCCGTAACAAATCGACGCACATCTTTGCTCATGTATTAGAAACAAGACCAGTTTTTCCTATAAATTGGCATTTTTAGATTTTTTTGTATGTTTTTTTATTGCTTTATTTTGTGATTATTCAGTGATATGCCAAAAATAGATGATAATAATTGAAACATATCACACTGGCTAATTTTTGCTTTGAATGTGGATATTTTCAAATGATCAATTTTGGATTTTAATAAAAGTTATTCCGGAAGCTGTTTTTTTCACCCAAAAGAACAGCATTGAAAGCATTTTTTGAAGTTTTCACTACTGATTTTTTTTTTAAATAATTTATTTTTTTAACTTTTTTTAGGGAGTTCTTTTTCCTATAAAATTACGATCTAGTCTTGTGAGGCTTTTTTTCAATACGATTTTTTGAAACTGAAGTTCTCTAAGAGAAAGGTGACTTCTGCAACATCCGATGGTCTCAAAAACGTACATTTCGATGATTTCGAGCCTAAAGTCCGTCTTAATGGATTTCGTGACGAGGGCTTGTGCCATGACAACCAAGACACCGCCCGTTTAGGTCGGTCGCTTCGAGAATTCGCCACACTTTTTCGAGGAGAGAAACAGAACGTAAGAGCCCTGCTTTCATCTTTTTCACATTCGTTTTAGACTTTCTTCAGTAACAAATTGACTTCATTTTAACTAGTTGACCATAAATTCAGCATGTAAAAAGTTCAAAAATTGAGAATTTTGACAAAAATTTCCGTGCTCTGTTAAAATTTTTTGAGAAAACATGACTTTTTTGTTCTTGATAATGTTCTGACTAGTTTCAGACATTCTCCAGCTCTTTTGAAAAACTGTTTTTTTTCGAAATCAAAGTAGAATATTTCTAAAATTCATCTAATAACTTTTTTTGAGTCGTTTGTATTTTTTTCAAGGTTTGAAAAAAATGACTTTTGTTAAAAAAATTTGCGGTTTAATTATTTTTAAATCGTGTTTTGTCGAAAAAGCTTGAAATTCCTCGAAAGCCTGGAAGTTTTTTTTTCATTTCCTCGTGCTCCGATTCGTTGTAAAGTGGATAAGAGTTCGCGGCATACGAAAGGTGAATCAGCAAGGTTTATCTATACTTTCAGTTTCCGATCGACTTTTTTTGTTTTCTCTCTGTCTGATCTTTAAAAAAAGTTTTTTTGAAATAGATATTTCGAAATATAAGGGATTTTGTTAAGTGAGTTCAAAAGGTTTTCATAAAAATGGACGTCTAGATCTTGAGATAAAAATAGAGGTTCTGTTGTTTAAAAAAGTTGTCTGAAAGCCTCAGAAAAAGTTTCAAAAATTTCTTGGCTTGATGAAAAATTTTTTGGTCAGAGTGAGCACTTTAGAGATTTTATCAAGTATGAAAACCTATCTAGACTTTCTAAAAATAGTTCACTTGTACTTAGGTCTTTTTTGACGAAGCGAACGATCTTGAAATATATAAAGCTAGTGCCCAGTGATTTTTTAAGTAGACTAATCGGCTTTCAACTGAAGTAAGACCTCCTAAAAACACTCAAAACCCACTTGACTTAACCCAAATCCCCGGGTGTTCACCGCGGCAGACTTGTCGCGAACTTTTTTCGCCACTCCATCATCCTCAATTCGTTCCCATCGTGTCCTATTAATACAAGAAGCAAGCTTGTCAGGAGGCCGAATGTGTGGCGTCGAACATGGTGTTGAATAAAATATGCGCGGGAAAAGAACCACCGAAAAAGGAAAAAGAAGTTGTTGCATGCGGCTGCGGCTTCATTCAACCCAAAACTTCTTTTTTTTTTCCTTCTCTCTTCACTACTTGAGGCCAATCCAACGACCCATTAGGCATCTGTGCGCTTGCGTATGTTGTTGTGTCTTTCTATTGAGCTCACTTCGTAATTTTCCGTTCTGCAAAAGGACGTTCCTCCCGCTCAACTTTGACTTCCTAATGATTTCTTACTTTTTTTGGTTTTGAATTTTTTTTTGTCTTTTTTAGCCTTGAGGGTCTAGATCATCTTCTGAAGCTCGTTCGTGCAATTCTTTATTAAAAATTCCCGCAAAAATGCGGAATAATCATACTCACCACACGCGAAAGTGCAGGCTTTTTTCCATTTTTGTGCTCCATGGCCTTCCCAGAACGGTTCGACGCCGATTTGCCATCCTGTCTTTTCATCTTCCTTCATCCTTCGTTTTTTTTAAAATTATTATATAAGCGTACTATTTTTTTTCAATAGTCCGAAGCTCTATTAATACCTGCCGAATAAAAAAATGCCAAGCTCGCAAAAAAAGGCTTGTAAAAAAGTAACCTTTTGCGCTCCATTGAACTATAGTCGAGTTTTTATGAATTTTTTTAGGAATTACATCTTTTTATTTAAGTAAACAAGTGCTAACTCAGATTTATTCTTGTTTTTTTCGATAATCAATTTGAAAACCGGGGAAAAAAATCGAGACTCATTTTAATTATTTCCAATGAAATGCAATAAAAAAATCGCTTAGGAAAAAAATTCGAACTGATTAGACTTTAAAAAAATTTTCAAAAAAACTTTTGGAAAAGATAATTTTTAAAGTCTTGCAAGTTTTATCCGTGGAGCGCCAATTCAAACTCTGATACGGCTAATTTTTTCCTGACCCTACGACTTCAGGCCTCATTTTCTCTCATAATCCAATGAAATCTTCCGTATCCTTCTCTACCGAAGCGTGCAAAGTCCACATATCTAAATGGATCTCTTTGCCCTTTCGGCTAAAAGTTTCGCGAAGAGCTCTAAGTCAATTAACAAAAGATAATTAGGCTGGAAAATCGTCGCGCCACACGTTTTCTCCTTTAATTATTTCCGACGATCTGCGGCCGGGCAACGACCGCCGTTTTTGCACCCCCCGTCCTCAGCCATTCCACTTGTTATAGACCACGCCCCCATTCATTCTTTCTTTTTGCTCTCCTGCACCACACATCTTCGTGTCGCTTCCTCTTCTTTTGACGCTTTTTCCTCTTCTTCTGCTCATCAAAAGAGCAAAAAGATGTTCTTAAAGTCTCACCGAGTTGATGCGCAGTGAAATCTGGATGGTGTAAATACTTATGAGCGTCAAATTTTGGAAAAAAATTAGTTTATTGTACTGTAAATAAGCTTTTTCAGCTTCTGCTGGTCAAGCGATTTCGACGCTCCTCAGAGTTAAATTGAGTCGTTGGCAGCGAAATCTGCATGATGTAAATTTGTTTTAGCGTCAAAATCCTTCATTTCTAGTGTTTTGTACTGTACATGAGCTTTTTTTCGGTTTGGCTCATCAAAAAAAAGTAAAAACGACCTCGAAATTTCACGAAGTTGATGCGCAGCGAAACCGGGCCGTTAGATTTTTGTAAAATTTCTCGTTTCCGTATGTTTGACGTACTTTACTGTATATAAGCTTTTCCCCTTCCTGCCGATGAAAATCACAACAGTTGCACCGAGTTGATGCACAGTGAATATAAATTCTGAAAATTCAGTTTGATTGTTGTTCTACGTGCCAACACTCTCTTCGGTGGTTGCCAAAAACTTCAGTTGATGCGCAGCGAAAATCGGCTCAGGGTTACTGTATGAGGAAGCTATGAGACAGAATTTTGTTTACAGTAACCCCTCGCATGGTTTATTCATTTTTGTTGCGATTTGAATTTCAAAATGTCTTTTTTTTTAACGTTCATCTCTTACATTTTCTTTCCCAACTCAGAAAACCTGTCTACTTACCGTCGAAGTTCGATCTGAAAGTTCCGACAAACCAGGAAAAATTTCCAGGATATCACATGTTTAAGACCTTTTTATTTAGAAAACCGAAAATTTTCTGGTTGAAATCACGCGACCAAATTGCACTAATTCGATCACCATTCGGTTAGGTCTTTTTTTGGGACAAATAATGGTGAAAAGGTAGGAAAATGGAGAAGGAATGCGTTTCTGGATACTGTGTTGTTCCGTGTTAATTTTATTTTTCTGGTAAACCTATTTTAATATTGGCTGATCTTAAAGTTTTACGCATATCTCTCCAAATTGGAGTGAAAATTGTCCGTTTCGAGTCATTTTTCGATGGTTTCCTTGCTTTATTTTCTGATTACTCTGTTGGTTTCGCCTCTGATCGTCAATTTTCTTCAATTTGGGCCATTTTCTTCAATTTTAGGAGTTGACTTTCATGCAAAACGGCCGATGCGGATGATTTTGAGAGCAGCGGCGGCGCTTCTGCTCGTCGCCACCGTACGGGCCTCACATGTTTTCCAAGGTTCTTATTTTATTTGTTTTATTTGCTTTTGAACTTGCCTTTCATACCGTACATCAAGAGAACCGGACAAATAGAATTCTTATAATTTTCATTTTTGGAAATTTAAAAATTATTTTCAATGTTCAAGCTCCAAAATGGAAGTATCATGATAAAAATAGCTTATTCTGAACTTTTTCAATAAAATTCGATCTGGTAAAATCATGAGAAAAAATTAATGATCCTAGAATTTTTTTAAATTGAACCACAGAGAAAAAAATGATCTGTTCTTCATTTTTATCATTGACTGAAGCTTAGAAAGTTGTTCAGAAGTTTGAAAAAACAATAAATCATAACTTTTTTTGCTTTTTTTCCCACGAATTTCTTTATGTTTTTTTAAAAAGATTTCAATTTTTTTGAAGCCTATATTCGATTTAAAATCGGAAACTGTTTAGAGATTTTCTGAAATTGAATTTTTTCTCTTATTTTGGACCATTTGAGGAGTTTGAAGTTTTTCCGTTGGACTCCAGTCGAAAAGCAAGACTCTGCGGTCCCAGGCTTAACCTCTGTCGCCCATTTTTGAGTTCGACTCAATCCTCTTTTCACTTGGCCTTGATGAATTGTCGCCCCTTCTTCTTTTCACGGAATAAGCAGGGGACTTTTTAGCGAAGTTCTTAAGAGGACACTTATCATGTAGCCACTGGAGTGAATAATTGGCCTTTGAAAAGAAAAGCACTTGAATGATCATTTGGGTTCTGAAGAGTAGATCACTAGTGTGACTACTTGCTATGAAAAGAAGCCATCAAAGTTATTACTCTTGCTTTGAAAAAAACCACTAGAGTGACTACTTGTTCTTTGAAAAGAAGACCACTGGAGTGACCACTTTTTTTTTTTGAAAAGAAGACCACTGGAGTTGATTACTTGGGCCTTGAACAGAAGTTTTTCCATTTAAAAAATCCCATATGTTATTTTGAAAATACTAATGAGTACAACTTTTCAGTGATCTTTTCAAACTAAAAACTGTTTTTTACGTTTTTCCATTCTTCTAAAATCGGCTTCCGAAGTGAATTTTCAGAGATATATTACTAGGAAATCCTTGACGGAGAGAAAAAGTGTCGCGTTTTTGACTTGGTTAGTGTTTGACAAGACGCGGCGGCGAATATTAGTTTATGTCTTTTTTTTCACCTTTTCTAAGCGGTCTCTCAAGTGGCTAGGCAGTGGGAAATCCAAATTTTGAAAAACAGAAGTTGATACTTCAAGGGAAGATAAAAAAATTTTTAAAAATATCTTTTTTTAATCTCACAATTTTGTCGTTTTTTTGAAGCTACATAAGCTATACTATGTTTTTTTGACTTTAAAAAGACGAATAAAAAAATTTTTGAGAAAAAAATAGGATTTTCTAAAAACTCACGTAAAAAAATTTCTTAAAACCAAGTCTGATATTTCCCTTTGTTTCTATTTTTTTCCCAGAAAAATCAATATAAACTTCTTTTTGAAAAAAAGGATTTTTATTCGATTTTGCATGATTTTTTTGAGAACCCTACAAACTAGAAAAAAAATTCGATTTTATCCCAACTTTCTTCATCGACTTTTTGGAGTGATTTTTTCATAACCGATAAATTTTTGATTCGAGAAAAATCGAGGGCTCTACAGAAGTTACTTTTTAACAGTTCCGATCCAGGAATCCCTCTCCCCGAATCCAAGTAAAACGCTCGAAAAAAAAAACACTTGAAAATTAATTTTAACGCGGTAAAAGCTTCACTCTCCAAGGCGATATTCATTATGGATTCAATATGATTAGGAACAGAGGCTTCGTCGTCATATTGGCCATATTGCGGACACGAAAACAACGAAATGCCGTTGATTGCGAGGCTCATTTGTCGTTGTGAGGGGATTAGGGTTTCGCCTGCCTTTTCCTTTGGTCAAGAGTCCCCCGCTTTTCGTGGAACGATCTGGGAAACGGATAGGAGAGTTTTTGAGGTGAAATCGAAAAACTGGTTCGAAGTTCTGAGTATGGGTACTCGAAAACAAAAGGATTTATCGGCTAAACGCCATACTTAGGAACCCTAGAGTGTTCCCTACAGGAGCAAATCCAGGAGGGTCCATTCTAGAAACCAATGGCCCCTATATAGCCCCTATAGGGGCTACTAAAAATTTGCAAAAGCGACCTCTATTGAAGACATTCTAGTCAATAATTGATATGAACTCTAAGCGAAGAAGCATTTCCATAGGAAAAACAATAAACAACCGTTTCTGAATGAAATTGAAAGACCCCTATAGGGTCCACTTGAGGTTCAACGGCTAAGGGGTCAGACCCTGGACCCCTATTGGGAAAACCTTAATTTTACCCCTGGAGTGACCAATCCCTTTAATTTTCCATGATTAGGCAAGTACGGTTATTGATGATTTCAATATCGCAAATATTTGTAACCTTTTGAAAATTCATTTCGAAACGTAGAATTTTATGGCTAATTTTTCTCTGGCAAGAGAGGTCATTTCACTTTGCAGCTGGGAATTCCTAGAAAAATTGGCTGGAAGACTCTTTGATGTACAAGAAAACTATCCTGAAAATATTGATGTTTTTCTCCTTGTGAGAGCTTTGATCTTTTTGGAAATGGAAACAGGGCTCTTTTTGACGTAAGAGAGGTACCTTAAATTATCACCAGTTTTTTTAAATTAAAAATTTGAACTTTTTTTTCTTGCATAATATTAGTTTCTAAATTGCGAAAAAAAGGTCTTAAAATATTCCAAAAAAATCGCTTCATTATCTCACTGGAAACTAAAATTTTATAGAAAAAAAGACTTCCTTTTTTTATTTTTAGCAGTTTTCTGTACCTCAAGGTTGTACCATATTTCTATGGGGCTTTCCAGGGAACTCAATTCCTTCGTTTTTCCGAGGAAAAAAAGAGCTGGCCTTGACTATATAGACAATAAAACACGGCTTTCCGCAGCTTGCCAGGATTATGCAAATTTGGTTTGGTGTTTCTCGAAGCGAAGAGGACCAAATGATTAATTAGCTGTTGCTCTTTTTCCTCCTCTCAACACCCTTCGTATTTGTTGAGCTTGGGACAGAACCTTGGGTATTTTGGTTCAGGGAATATAGTTAACATCAATACAACGTTTCGTTTTGGGTCTTCCAACAAACAAAAGTCATGGGCAAGACTGAAAAGAACTTCTAAGGATTTGATAAACATTCTGACCTGCCTGCGCCCTCTTTTCTCTCCTAAATCTATAAACACATTAATTTTCGGCCAACAGACTATACCAAGGATCAGAATGAAGCTTCAAAATGCACAAAAAAAACACGAATTTGTTTTGAACACAGAAAAATAAAGTTGAAAATTAAAATCCACGTTCGGATGATTCATTTCTCACATTTTGCGCTCGAAAATTGTGATGAATGACCAAAGGCGGCGCCTTTTGAAACCATGACTCATTGGCGTATCCTGTTTCTCGCCTTCCGATTCCATTTCCATCAATCCCGGGGACCATTGTTTATTTGGCGTCATGCCAAGCTCTCAAGCTGTATACAAATGTGGACATGGGATCCAGGTGTGAAATCGATCCATGGGAATGTAAAGAGGTCAACTCGGCTTTATGCAGCTTCTTCTCGAAGTAACTCTCTTTGGAACGCCAGAGTGGTCTTTATAGGGACAACTTCAGGAGCCTTTAAATGGTCCTCCAAGGAGGATCGCCTAAATTTGACCACTGGAAGCAAATTTTGACCCCTATAGGGGCTGTTTTTCCCTTGACCACTATAGGGGCGACTCTGGGGTTTCTTAGTGGGGGATGGGGGTTTCTAAGTTTCCAGTTGGGGATCTAAAGATATGTGCTTTCTCTACTAATGGAGCAAATTAATGAACATTACGAATCGGAAAAGGACAAAAATTGCGAGTTTTTGATAGAAACCTCCTAGGAATCCTAAAAAATCCCATTTTTTCTTTGAAAAGGGAGTTAAACTTTGAAAAAAAGAGTTTTTCGACACTCTTTGAAACGTTTGGTTCTTTGAACTCGTTTTAAAACCAGAGTTAGGTTATTTAAAAAAAAAAGAACTTTTTTAGTCCTAATCATCATCTCATGGGGCTTCAGAGGAGCATAGAAAATAGTTCGGAAAGTTGCCGGAGGCGGTTTTGATGTTGATTTTCATTTTTTAAAAGCTTCAAAAGCTTTGATTGTCATGAACTGATCTGAGAAAGCTTCAATTGTTATACGAAGTTAAATAATTTGGAAGGAAAAAGGCAAAAAAAAACTTCCATTACCATAAAAGGAACTGAATAGTTCCCAATGAAATATTCAATTCCTGATGGGATGAAAAGTGGTGAGGGGTTGAAGAAAAAAGAACTGGCTTTTGAATAATTGAAGGGAACTGCGCGGAACACGTGCTCTGCGAGCAACTCTGCATGACCCTGTCGGAGCAGGCCTACGAGTGCGCCTGTTGGAGCGAGCACAAGCTCCAGGAGGACGGCTTCTCCTGCAGAGGTAAACGAAAAACACGGTTCTTGGGAAGAAATAAAAAAAGATTTTTTTAAAAATAAAGTTGAGGGGGGAGGGGGAGGGGCGTTCTAAGATTTAGGTTGTTTCTGTAGATGTTTGTCTAAGCCCCACATGCTCCCCTAGAGTGACCACTTTTGCAATCGGAGTCTACGAGAGCCACTCTAGTGACTACTATGGCGCACCTAAGAAGGTTTTTTGAAATATTTTACAGTTTCAACCCAATGAACTTTTGTCCCGGTTGAATTTTTGATGAAATTGAGCTGAAATTTATTTTATGGTCTTTTAATATAAGTATGAAAAAGAGTTAGAGATTCCGCGGCAGGGGGGGTCTAAGACTTAGGTTGTTCCTATACAGTTTGTCCCGGAGCCCCTCAAGCTTGAGTGGTTTCTATAGTGATCTTACAAGATTTGTACTGATTTGAAAGTTTGAAACGTGTTAGGGACTACCCGCATGCTCCCCTAAAGTGAACACTCCCCTTAAAAAGAAGAAGTAAAGCGGTCCCTTTAGGAGAGTCTACAAGAGCCACTGTAGTGACCCCTATGGCGCTCCTAGGTTCTTATATTATTGATATAAGCTGGCTGTCTGTCAGAATGGTTCAAATTTTAAACAGTTTTGAATCGAAACCTTATTTTTCGCAATTTTGAGTTTGAATATTTGAATATTTATTTCACTCTAATACGAGTTATTCAGCAAATACCAACGTTCCATACTCTGTGGAGAAGTCAACGAAGACGACATCAATCAGAACGGATTCTGAAGAAGACGATGACGTCGAGGAGCAAGTGATCCGTCTGACGACCCCTTCTCTGCCGAAGGGGAAGTTGTCGGCTTTGTCTTTTAAGGTCGCCAATTGATTATTTGCAAAATTGAGTCTTAAAAAGGAAAAGTGGAATAAGGACAGCTTTTGATAGACCATTTTTAGTTTTGAAGTTTTTTCGGATGTAGTAAGTTCATCACTGTCTTTTCGAATTGGCGATTTTTCTTGTAATTACGCAAAAATCATCGGATTTTTCTCAATATTTTATGTTTCTAAAGGTTCTTGTTCTTTGAAAAAGTCGATTGAAAGGCGAAAATCATGTTTTTTCGATCAATTTTTTTCTAAAAATCAGTTAATTTTTTCTGAAAAGTGTTCGATTCATTCAAATTTTCTTTGCGACTGTAATCTTATACTTTGAAAGTTAAATAGCGAATCTTTATAGAAAAGAAAAAGGATGACATCAGATTAAAAAGTATATCTGAAATAGAATAAAAAGAAACAGCGATCTCCCACATTTAGGGCTCAAACTACGCCGAATTCCCGATCGGTGAAGACGCTTACCTGGAAACCAACATCACGATTCAATTCAGGTGCGCCCGAAAATGTATCTCAAATCAGCCGATTTTTCAGACTCGACGAGAAAAGAGACGGAATTCTGTTGTTCGCCGGCCAAATCGTCGGCGACGACTTCTTGGCCCTGTCCATTGATGGGCCCAACATCGTTTTTAGGTCTTTTTTCTTGGGATCTTTTTTTATGGTCATTATAAGCTTGCTTTTAATTTAATGTTCTTTGTTCTGTTTTCAAACGTTTTCCGAGAAAATCGGGCCATGAAAAACTGGTTTTTTTTGTTGAGCTCATACTTTTATCACAATGAGAAAACAAGCCTTCAAAACGTTAAGTCAGGGTTTTGACAGGCCCCGCCCCTTTTAAGGATTACTGTAGTCAAAACACGAAAAAAATTTTATTTTAATGCCAATGGTTAGTCGCATATATCAGAGAACTTGTGTTATATTTTTCAGTGAAATATGAAAATTTAATAGTGGAAAAGAAAGTTTGAGGCTTGAAAATTGCCATCCTGTAGGAATTCGACTTTTTCAACTATTTCTTTTGAATTTTCTGGGTTTGAAGATTAATGAAAGGGAAAAGTTAGGTAAGACAGCTTAGCTCTGTATAATCCGAGAAAAAAGTCAGGTAAGGACTTTTTAGAGCGGCTCAGATATGTTGATTCAGAAGTCATCAGAAAAAATGTCCGAATTTTGTCTTTTTAGTAGAGTTACAAAAGATAAAAGGCGCAAAACCTCCTTTTTTTGTAATGTGGTTTGCAAATTTAAGAGATTTTCATTACTTCACAAGAACGCAAAAGTCGCCTTTTCCGACAGAATCTGAATCAGCATGTCCGAAAGTACTATTTTCAAGAACTCCGTTTGAACTTCCCAATACTTTACTTCTTGAAAATGATCCAAACTGGGGTTTTTGGACCTAACTAGACCATTTTTTGAGTCCCTCCTTTTGAACCGAACTAGACCATTTTTTCAGTCCCTTCTCCCGAGTTTTCATGAAATTTAAGTCAGTGATACCTTCCGAAAGTCAAGCTCCCTTCCCGGAGCGTAGTGCCTCACGTATCAACTGGACTTTTCGGTTTCAGACACGACTGTGGCGAAGGCACCATCGAAGACATGTACCACGGGTCTTTCGTCGTCGGCGAGTGGCACGAGGTGACCGTCTGGCGCAAAAACTGCGAGAGCACCCGTCTGAAGATCGACGACGGCCATCCTCTCGTCGACTTCGCCGCCGAGTTCAATGTTCGTCCTCGTCTTCTAGGCTTCTTCGAAAACTCAAACTTCAAGTAGATAATCAACTGCCGCGTTAATCTTAAGAACGCCAGAGTGGTCTTTAGAAGGGTTAGGTGGATAACAGCCCATATAGGGGACAAATAATTCTCCTTAGAGGGGGAAAATTTAGGGGGTTCCTAAAGGGGTTTGAGGTCTTCCCCCTTCAGCTCAAGTGGTCCCTGTAGGGGTCTTTTAACTACTTTTGCGGAAAAATGGTATTTATGATTAGAAAGCGCTACTATGGAGTGGAAATGGTTCTTATCATAGATTTCAGAAAAATAAAAGACTAGCATACTTCCCTAGAGTGGCCACGAACTCAAACCCCTTAAGTGGCAACATGTGGAAGCTTTAGTGCTCCCTTTAGAGAAATTTTTTAGTTTTGAACAATAATTCAGACAGTTCAAACCAGATTTCCTAGGAGTTACTAAAATTGGACTTATTCAAAGAAAGTCATATTTGGTTCAAACTCGGACCTCAGATCATTTTTTGACCTTTTCCACCCTAAAGCTTTTTAAAAGTTTTTTTCAAAGTCAATGAAAGAAGAAAAGTTGACCGCGCTTTAATTAATAAAATTTCCTGCCTCACCTTTTTTATTTTTCTCGAGAAATAAGACGGTAACTTGCTTTGTAAAGTACGCAAATTATGGCAAAAAAGCGTTTTTTTTTTTTTGGATTTTTGAAGCGTCCTAACTCGAAAACGAGATCTATTGCGAGAAATTTTTCTTGTTCTGGAATCAGGAAGCCCTAAAGGACACTTCAGCAAAGTTTCATCAAAAGTACAACCGAAGGGTAAAAACATTTCCCTAGTTAGGAATAGATTAAATTATCTTGTTGAGTTTGAATTTGTATTTTAATCAATAAACTTCATTTTATTTACAAAATAAGAAGGGTGAGTTAAGTTGAAATTGGTACGTTTCAATGCAAATATATTAATATTTGGAAAATTTCTGAAATTTTCTATTTGCTAACCGGTTAACCAGTTAACTTACTATTTTGTGAGACTTATGCTTATTTTTTCAGAACTACAAGGGGATCACGATGGACGAGGGCGTTTTCATTGGCGGCGCGCCAAGAAATATCGAGTTCCTGCAGGAAAAGGCCGGAACGGCCGACGGAATCCGAGGATGTGTTCGGAAGGTTTCGAATTCAAAAAAAATGAGATAAAATGAACCTTTTTGTTCAGCTTGTAATCAACGATCATGTACTGCTTGATGTTGTGGAAGGCGTCAACAAGGCGGTGAACAAAGAACATCTTGGTTATTCTTTTTTTATTTAAACAAAACAGGGTAATAAGTAGGTTTATGAGAGGAAAATCATTCAGGAATTTTCTCAGAAATTTAAAAGTCTAGAGGAAAAATAATTTTCCATGAGAAAGTTTTCAGCAAAGTTATGACCTTCGAAAAGTAGATTTTACTAGGAATTGAAACTTTTCAAGCTTAAAATTTTTCGATTCATTCTTCAGTTGGAGCTGGCAAACCTAGAGAAATCATTTTTAGGCGTCCGAATCCAAAAACCGAGTTTTAAATCTCGTAGTTTGAACAAGCTTCAATGAAAAAGAACGTTCTAAGGAGTTATAGTCCGTTTTTTCCCGACTTGAAAGGTCCTGATTCCTCTGCGCTCTCTTCTTCTCTCGGCAACTCTCTCATGTTTACGTGTTATTTTCATGTTTCTCCGACCTCGCTGTCGAGAGAATAGAGAAAAGCAGACACTCAGAAACTTTCAAGTCACGGACTATATGATATCAAATATTAACAATAGCAAAGCTGGGATTCTTCAGAATCGTGTGGAAGAAAAGTGACGACCACACCTGAACCGTATGAAATTTACAAACACAAAAAACCACCGCCGAGGGTCGTTTTCGCCTACGACCTCACTCAACCTGGAATCCCGCAACTTACCGAAGGTGAGGCTCTTTTTTAGGAAAGAAAGGGGCATTGCTCATGTCAGCCAAATCGTTCATGCGCTGAATATAACTGCCTAGCTCGGAGGGATAGGAAAGCGTGACGGTAGATTGACGATATCGCAAAGATGTCGCACTTTCCTCTCGCGGGTCTCGCTTCTCTCACGCACTCAACAAAATTTCAAAATTTGCGATGTCGCGCTCAGCAAAATGCGATATCGCGCCAAGGAAAATATGATCTCGCGTCAAAGAAAATGCGCGAATGCACCAAGGGAAATGCGATATCGCGGCAAATAAAATGCAAGATCGGGACGAAAAAAATTTTAAATCGTCTCTTAAAAATAGAATTTTGGCGAGATCGTTTAGCCGCCAGCGACATCGCGGCATTTTTCTTAATTTAGAGGAATTTAATTTTGAAATCAAATAGGAATGCTCCAAAAAAAAATTTGGAAGAAAAGAATAAATTTAGGTTTTTTTTTTCCTTTTTTTATAGAAAAAGTTGCAAAAAAAAATATAAAAATTTGCTCGAAGAAAAATTTCATTTTCTCAATGCCAAGGAAAAATGCCACTTTACAGAGCGCAACGTCGTTTTTTTGCTCTGGTTTGAAGAATCATCATTAATAAGGACGTTCAAAGTTCATGATGCTCGAAAGATCTTCTGACCCGTTCAGAAAGCAATTTTTTTCTCCTAATTACTGTCAACAATTATTCATTAGCGTAATTAGGGATAATTTATAGCAAACATCCCCTTTTTATTCAAATGCCATGATTCAGGGTCGGATAAATCTCAGTGATTAAAGAAGATGAATGGGATGAGTCAGGTTTCAAAGTAGAGATGCAAAGGCTACGTTTACTTCCATTCTTTCTATAAAAAATCCCACTACACGGAAACTATGAGGTATTAAAAAAACTGAAAAAAATCTTTTGTATTTAATCCACTATTAAGCCAAAGCGTGTGGCTTTCTGAAAAAAATCGGAAGTGATCATATTTTTGATGAGAGCATTTTTTTGAGAGCATTTTTGAGAGCATTCCTAATGAGAGCATTTTTGTTGTTTTTCCTTTTCTTTTTGTGTGAAACATTATTATTAGAAATGAATTCTTCGAAAAAAAAAGCTCCGAACTTTTTTTCCTACGACGTTCCGCTGGAACGAAAATTTATACCGTGGAGAGTTTTTTGAAATTTTTCTTGGAATTGTTCCCCTTTTCTCAATAAAGCATGTTTATAGATTTTGAAAAAATGTTATAATTTCTGTAAAGAATATTCAAGGTTTGAATAGGCGCTGATGAGTATGTTGAAAGTCATTTGAATACGAAAAAATTCAAGAGATCTTGTTTTTTTGTTTTTTTTCCTGTAACCTTGAAACGTGTGGAAATTGAGGTTCAAAAAAATATTTTTTTTAGTACGTCACTCCGCTGAAACGCGTCAGATTTTTGAAAAGAAACTTAAAAGAAGATTTTTTTTTTTGAGAGCTCATACTTTAATTCTTTTATGACAGTATTCTGCGTGCAGAAATTCAAAAAACGTCTTTTATTCCAAGAAAATAGGCTCAGTTATTAGGTAAACTAAACGTATTTCAAAACGCGAAAACGTCTTTTTAATGCCAATTTCAACGGCGCCCTACTTCCTCTCATTTCAGAAATTTCCCAAATTGAGTTTTTGAATAATTGGGAGAAACTGCCCGATGGGAGAAAGTGCTTGAATCTCCCTTGAGAATTCGCCTCCACACACACTTTTTTTCCTGTTTTCACGCGCCTTAATTAAGCAAAATCAGGAGGAATGTACTTTCTGAAAAAATGTTGGCAATTAATTTTGATGAAGGTTATTTTAGTCTCACGGTGGTTTTCGCTGCCAAAAAAAAAGAGCCCCGAAAGGTTTTGTCAAATTGAGCGGAAAGTTCGCGCCCCATGGCCGAAATTGCTTTTTTGAACTTTTCCTGCAAAAGGTGTGACTATAAACTCACCTGGATTCTCCTCTTTCATATTCGTAGGGTTTTGCGAACAATTGTATGTTAAATCAGTTGAGAAGAAAACTGGGATTCGAATGGAACAATAAAAATAAGATTGAAAGAAATTTGAATTTAATTTCAAAAACTGATGTTGTCCATAGAGCGGAAATGACATGCAAATTTTCGCCGTTCGTCAGAAAAAAAAAGTGTTGTTTGCTCACAATTTGGAGGAATTTACTGAAAAACCTTTATTTGAGAAAAAAAGTATGAATATCAGATTTTAAATTCAATTTTTGTCTTTAAACTGCAAGTATGCCAATTTTTGGCGCTCCCGAATTTGGCTGGTTCTTTTTTCAAGGCCTATTTCAGCTCCGAAATTTTCGATAAAAGCATGAATAAAGGGAATCTCTGGTCTAACTTAAAAATTTGAGCTTTTTCCATAGAGCGCAAATGATCTGAAAAATTTTGGCCGTTCTATGATTTTGTTATATAAACTTTTTTTCGCGTTTTCGAGATTCTTCCAAGTTTTCTGATCCATAGAAAAGCTCCAAAGTTCAAAAAAACTTCAAACTGTATTTTGATACGCTAGAAAAGCGAAAAAAGCGTGCGAAATTTCGGCTATTTTACTTTCGAGACTCAATTTTGAATAACTCCTGACGCTCCATTCACTAATTAAACGGGGCAATAAAGAAAAACAGGGAAAAAATTGAAGTGGGCGGGTCGAGTGCGCGGGAAAAGAAGGCTTTTGGATGCAAATGGGAAGCCACGCCCCCTTTCCAAACGGCATGCTTCTTGCGACGTCGCCTCTCTATTGAATCAGGAACATTTGGATCTCCTCTGTTTATTTTACTCAATTTTGAGTCCTGTTGAAAAGAGTTAATTCTGGTCATGACCCTGGCATTTATTGGCCTGATTTGGCTGACATGTGCGAGTGCCATGCCATTCGACTACTACGGCATGTTCATCGAGCAAATGATCTCAGAGCAAATCGCCGAACTCGGCAAGCAGAAGCATCTCCGGGAGGCCAGTAGCAGTACCACTACCTCGACGACGACGGCGCCTTCTACCACGACGACGACGACCACCACGACACCAGCCCCACCTGGTTAGTTTTTGGCTCAGTTAAGGTGAAAAGGCTTATTCTCCGTCCCACCTCTGTTTTATAAAACTTCTTTACGTCACATCCATGACTTACTCATTCAGACCTTGCCCATGCATGGTTTTGAGAACGTTTTTTAATGAATGTAAGAAAGAGCCTTGATTTTGAAGACTTTGGTGGCTCAAATCGAGACAATTTACTTTGGTTAGGTTCATAGTGAAATTCTGGAGGCAAGTACGGAACTAGAATAGCCCAGGAGGAAGGTTGACTTAAAAGAATTTTTGAAAAGTAAGAAATAAAAATGAATTTTGACCTGAGGGAGGTAATATTGACAGAAATAGAAATATTGCTTGGCCACAAAAGGTGATTTTGATTTTAACTCACCAAGAATCGTGGGGAGAGATCAACGGCCTTTAGAAAGGGTGTGTATGGTAAAGAAATCTGTGCAAACTTGTCACGTTTTTTAAGAAAAACATTTTTTTTTTGAAAAACACAGTAAACAGAGCTTTTTTGCGCCCTTCGCTTCAATACCTGTTATCAGAAAGTATGCGCTATTTTGACCAAAAAAAAATTTATAAGGACCTGCGGAATAGGCTATAGATGTGCTTGGTGGAAAAAAATAGAAAAAAAATTTTAAAAAAATAAGGAAAAACTTATTTTTCGCTATATTTTTATACGACGAATCTGGATCGATGCATTTATTGAAAAAAATCAAGAACGTTTTTTTTGAGAGGGTGACTTGGAAAAAAAGTGAAGTGAGAATGAAGGGTAGAAATTAAAGTATTAATTAAATATAGATTTTTTTAGAAACGTTACCTAAAGAGGAAAGATGCGTTGGAAATTTTTTCATTATCCATTTTTTTTAAAGCTAATAGTCTTTTATTCTGTCGGCTTTGAAGATGAAGGTGAAGAGAAGTAAATTTTGAAAGTCATGTGGGTTTAATGATAGTTTCTTCCTCGTATCTGATTTTAGACTATGATTGCGAAATGCAGGGGAACGAAGCTCAAGATGTGCTGAGCTGTAATTATAGTTTTTCCTGGTGCAAAGAACAGTTGATCTTAGATTTTGATAGGGAAAAGAGCTTTCGATTTTATTGACCTACACGGATATTTTGAGAACTTTTTTTGGATCTTTTTGTGAAACTCTATTTTTTTTTTTCATTTTAGTTTGGTTTAAGGCATCAGTGAACCAACTACAATTTTGAAGGATTATGAAAATCGCTAAGATCGAATCGAAAGCTTTTCAAGATTATTTTAATCGTTGTACCTTTCAAGGAAGCTCCAATCGGATATATTAGAGTAGTTTCCTTCAGGCCACATGTTCCTTTTTGACACTTAGAAGGGCTTTTCGGGGGCTCCCATTGACGGAAATGAAGATTAGAAAAAATGGAGACCAATTTAAAGAGGCGTAGTATTTAGTTTAATCGATAAACTCGCTTTTAAAGTGTTTCTTGTCAAGAAATGAATAATTTCGAACACAAAAAAGTCTTACGAGGATAATAATAGAAAGGTCTGGTTTTAATCGAATCTCTGGAGCTTCAATCTTGTTATCAGCCTCATTAGACGTGTTTTGATCATTTATTTTTGTCTAGAAAGTTGTTTTTTTGCGGCGACCGGAAAACCTTTGATTCGTCTTAATTAACGAGATTCTTCATAACAAAAGTGCTTTTCCGAGTTGGATAGGTTGAAAAAAAGAAGTTAGAAACGCCTTTTTATCAGCTCCCCACGTCCAAAAATCCAAATCGCAGCTGTTTTGAAAAAAACGTTTTTTTTTTTTGAAGAAAGGAAGTCTATTTCAGCCACTATAATTCCTCATTTTAAATCATCAGCTTTTTCGACAACCGTTGCTAGGTAATTTCAATATGGCGTATTTTTCCATTGAAGATATTTCCATACATTTCTCAAAATAGAAATTAAAATTTTTACATGAGAAATTTTTTTCCATTTTTTGAAGAAACGAGGCTGTACTTTCGAAAATATGTAGTGTAGTTAGGAGATCCTTGAAAAAAGCATATGTAGTTTAGTCAGTTGATTGTTGAACACTGAAAATAAATAGACTTAAAAGGGCATGTTAGGTCATCTATGATGAGGTCGAGGGATCATTTAACTAATTAATTAGTAGATTAGAGAGAAAAAAAAACAGCTGCTTCCAAGCGTGAACATACGCTTCATAGATGATTATCCTTGAATTTTGTTTTGGATGGGAAATGTCGGATTTTTCTGGTTTACCACAAGATTGAAGGAAAAACAAGCTTTTTAGAAAGTGAGTTTTTTTTTTTGCAGTACCAGAAAGTTCAAGGAAAAGTACTCTGAAAAAATTGGTGAAAAGTGTGAAATCGCGCTCTGTGAACAAATCAAGTTCGATCAGGTTTCAAATACTCAAAAATCCGATTTTTCCTATCATATTCAACAACTGTATAGTTATCTCGCTATCTTACTACATACTCTCCATTTTCTCTAATAGTTACCGTAATCCCTAGCGAAGCTTGGAAAATAAAAAAGAAAAAAGAACTCTGAGGTCGCCTCGTCAATTTGCAAAAAGAAAAGTCGTTAGGAACACTTTTCCGGGAATTGTATTGCCTGAAAGCACGTCAAAGAGCCCTCCGTTTTCTCCCTTTTCCTCCGATTTCTGTTCTTTTTTCTACATGAAACTCGTATCGCTCACAAACGGCAAGGAAATGAAGCTCATAAAGTTTTTTTCCTTCGTTTCTTAATGGAACTAATAAAAGAGCAAATGAGAGGTTTTATTGCCTTTCCTTTTGAGAACAACATGAGGTTTGACGTTGAAGCTTTTCTGAATGGTTTCTGATTAGTTATTGAGAAACTACATGTGTTTATGGGAAAAGGCCTGGCAAAAATGGGAATATCATGACCGAACGGTGAGAAAAAGTAAGTGAAAAAATAGCCAGCACATTCGCGCTCCAAGGATAATATTGCTCTTAACTTACTATTTTCGCTACTTTCTAATGTTAAATTGCGGGGAAGTAGTCTTGAAGTGATTTTCTCGAGTAAATTGGGCTCCATTGATAAATTTGACGCTTTCATCAATTTTTTTAAGTCCTAAGAAGTTGTGAGAAAATAGCCACGTGAGGGGTTTTTCTGAAGGAGTGTTCTGCGCTCTACGGCTCAACTGTGAATTTTATTATTTGAAAAAGAAGAAAAATCCATTCTATGTGACTGTTATGGAAAAAATAAGCCGAAAAGTTCGCTTTCAAGGAATTCGCGCTCCATGGACAATAATATTTTGATTTATTTTCCCACTCTAACAATGTGAAAAAACGAGAGAAATCGCTCATTTTTTTTTGTTTCAGTATGAATTTTCTAACTATCAGGAATTTATCAATGAAGCGCAAGAGAGAACTTTCATCAAGAATTTTTTCCGTAGTTTGTCATCAATGAGTCTTTTCTGTTTTTCCAGAAACCACTGCTCCTTCTTGGCGCATCGGGCACTTCCATGGCGATTCTCGGGTCGTCGTCCGGGCACCCGACGATATTTTATCCTACCTTGAACTCCAGATCCAGTTTAAGGTTCGTTTTGCCTCGAAAAATGGTCGATTTCCATGAAAACCCGCTGGAAATTATATCGAAAGGAGTCACGCGATCTTCCGCTTTCCCTAGCCATTTTTCAAATTTTTTCCCCTTTCTTGAACTTTTTTTATTCGGATTCTCTCACGCACCCTTGAGATTTGGCCTCTGTTTGGTTCGCTTGGGAAACAAGGGTTTTTGTAGTCATGGATTTTCGGGTTTTATTACGGAAAGAATTTTTCACGAAGAAGGAAAAATTAAAAAGTAATGAGGTTTGATGTTTTCGGCGTCGAAAAAAATGCAAGAAAAATGCTTTCTGCAAAAAAATTTTTTTTTCAATTTTTAATATAACTTTCTAAATTTTCGAGCGGTTACTATAATGTTTCAAAGTAACGAAAAAAATTTCCCATTTTTTTATTCATTTTTTTCTTGAATTGTTGATAATTTTTTTAACAAAAAGGTTATAAAAAAATCATTTGAATGAGCTTTTTTTCCAGCCCGAACGACCAGAAGGAGTCCTGTTTTTCTGGAGCCGCAGCGAAAAATATCTGGTCGTGAAGTTGGAGAATTCCCTTCTGAAGACCTATGTCAGCCTCGGCGCTGATCAAGTCATCCTCACGTTAGTTTTACCTTCCTCGATTTTTTTAGAAATGAAACATGTACTTTTTTTTAGAAATAGTTTCTAGTCGCTTTTTATAATTTTTTTGACCTCTCTAACCGTTTTTTGTTAGCTATCAAAGATTATTCCTCTTCTTTCGAAAACTGGGCTGCCAATTTTTTCTTTAAAAGCTTGTTTGCTCCATTGAGAAAAATAATAATGGGGGTAAAAAAAAAAGTTTTTTTAAAAAAAGTAGCAATGACAAAATTTTTCTTGAAGCGGTTGTTTGCTCTATAACTAGAAATAATAGTGAAAAAAATATTATTTTCGCTCGGTTTTGTTTTTAGAAAATCCAAAAATTTTTTTCAGTTCGGACAACGTCTTGAGCTTGTATCATTGGCACAAGGTTGAGGTCTGGCGAAGCGGTCGCGGAATTCTTATGAAGGTAATTTTTCATTCACTTTTTTTCTTAGTTTGAAAGAAATAAAAAAAGGAAAAAAATAAATTTAAAAACTTTGGAAAAAAAAACTCGGACTTCTCTTCTTTTTTTTTTAACTCTTCTCTCTTCGAAAATATGGTCATTCTCATCAAAAAAAAAAAAGTGACATTTGCTATTTTCGTTATTCGCGTTCAGGTGTGTGATTTATCCTGAAAACATACGTAAAAAACAGATTTCTTGGGAAAAGTGAATAATAAAATGGCATATCCGGATAAACAGAGTGAGACACCTGTCTATAGAAGTTAGAGATCTGAGATTTCTAGAAGGAAGTTTCAAAAAAAAAAGGATCTAGATTGATAAAATAGCTCAGGGACGCTTTTGAGCAATGAAAAATTTATCCTAAAAGCCGGAAAGTTGACTGGGAAGAAAAAGCCATTTCGAGAGTTTATTGTGCGCCCTATCGCTAATTTTCTGAGTCGTAGAGAAAGTTAGAGGCTTTTTGTTGAATTTTTGATTTATCTTGTGGAGCATAGACCTCATAATTAATGAGACCAGCTTTAAAAAATCTGGAAGTGCGCTCCAGCGAACAATGCCCTTTAATGGCTGCCCTCTTTTTTTCGAAAATTTATTAGTTGTCTACTGAAGCGCTCATGAGGAAGTTCGGCAAGGAGAAGGCGAAAATATAGTTTAAAAAATTTCCCTTAGAGTCAAAGAAAATCATCAAAATCCGTTAAAGTAAGCCTTTCTCAGGCCTTGTCGGCTGATTTCAATGAAACTTAAATTTAGTCATTTTTTAACTTCCTTGTAAGATTAGTTATAATAAAGCTAGGTTGTTGGGAATTATTAATTGCCTGAGAAATGAAATATACTTCACAGGTGAACAAGCAATCTTGGGTCGAAGGACAATTGGATGGGGAAAACGACGACGAAGACGGCGAATCCCATCTCGTCGTTGGCGGCGCCGCAGGCAGAATTTCTCAATTCTCTCTTCAAGAAGGATTTTATGGATGCTTGAAGAAGGTTTGAAATGGACTAACGCGGTTTTAAGTCCGAAAAATAGAAACTTTTAGACAGAAAAGGTAAAATTGAGAGATTAGTGGAAGTCCGAAGAGACGACAGAGAAACATAGAGAATATCTTTCTCTGCCGTCTTCAAATCATGTCTCACATTTCGGGAACAAAAAATAACAATTGAAAATGAGAGACCGCTGTCTGAAGTGGAGGGTGAAGAGAAATTGAGATCCTCTCGTTTCTTTGTCGTTTCTTCAGGATGTCGTTGCCTCTCTTACACTTGCCATCTCTCAGTTCCCTTCGTAAACGGAAAAAAGAAAGGTTGGAAGACGGCAGAAAAGTCGGAGCCCTGTTTTTCTCTGGCGTCTCTTCAGATGGTACAGCCTCTCTCTCTTTCGCTGATTTTCTCGGAAAAGAAATAAGGAAGAAAGATGGAGCTGCAGAGATTGTGAGACCTTCTCGTTTCTCGGTCGTCTCTTCAAGGCGTCCTCCTCCTCTCTCTCTCTGTCTTACACTTGCCATCTCTCAGTTTCTTTTGTAAAAGGAAAAAGAGGAAGATTATATTTGAGAGATGGCAGAGAAGTTGAAGAATTCTAACTTCTCTGACGTCTCTTCATGTCTTTACTATTTTCGATTTTTCTTGCTTTTTTATTGGTTTCTTAGCAATATCTATCTTTTTTCCGCTTTTTTAAAAAAATAGTCAAAAAAAAGGTTTTATTGAGAATTCAGTTTTCAAGTTTTTTCCATGATTTTCGGCTTTCCATGACATCATGGTTGCTGTAGGCGGAAAAAGGAGATTAACTTGCCTTTTTTTTTGATTAATTTTCCCACGTAATTGAGATGGATGCAAAGGGTATAATATTCATTTTCTGTCTTTAGTTTGAAGTTCAATTTTTTTTAGCCCTTTGAGCTTTGCCCTCCTCACTTGTTTATCAGAAAAATGCAAGAGGGGCAGGAAATTTGCATACCTTACGCGGAAGTCCATCTTCTTCACATTGAAAAATGACACAAGGCAAAAAAAAAACATGAGAAGTGCAAGTCCAGCCGCTTCCTGCTTTGAAAAGAATAGAAGGGGAGATAGAATACATTTCTTCAGAAGAAAAAAGGCTGAGAAGAGGTGCGAATTTTCAAAAGAATGAGTTGAAAAAAATTGAGGAACATTACGAATTTGAAGTTTATATGTTTTAGGTTAAGGGTTGAAGTTGTTTTTGCTTGTGTTTTGTTGAGATGTACTTTCCTTCCTGATCATTCGCTGAAAGGTTCTGAACCCCAGATTTAGATTGAGTTACATTTTCAGAAAATTTTCCAGAGAAGAGAAGTTAATTTTTTTTCACTCAATCTTACAAGTAGGTTTTCTCACTAGATTGTAGGTAACAAGTAGGTTTTCTCACTAGATCTACGCGCAGAAGGACGAGGCGAAGGACCGTAAGACCATTCTTTCAACTCTTTCGACTACACGTTTGGACTTCTAGTTCGCCAAAGGCGGTTGTTCGTTATAGCTTTTAAAGTTCTTGTTCACCGCCTAGTCGATTACATCAGACTAAAACAACAAAATAAATGATTTGATTTGATTTGATTGCAGCGCTCACACCTTATTTGACGCCACTCCGATCCCAACAGTTTGCTCTAGGACTTTTAAGTATTCTTAAGGGACTTCTTTACCGCGTTTTTTCCGATTTATGTAGCTCTGATCGTGGCATAGAAATTTTTACCGGGAGCAGGTCCGAAACCTCATATTTGATGTACGAAATGATATTTAGCTTTGTTTTAACAATAATATATCTAATGAACAATAAAAGTGTTTTTCTAATGATTTTTTCTTTAAAACAATTCCTACTTGGAACAAACTCACTTCCAAATTTCAATTCAGCCACCACCCCAAGTCTTTAAAAAATTTACTGGTCAATCTACCATTGCACGAGATCTTCTTGTCTATTCCTCCACGACTCAAATGATGTATAACTGTATAATGTATTCTCTCAAATTCTAGATCCAAGTGAACTCGTTAGGGTTCACGCTGATCTGTCAATAAATTATTATTATTTAAAAAAGTGGAAAAATATCGATGTATAAGCAAAAGGCGATTGAGGCCCTCATAAGTCTCTGAGCCATCGAAAAAGATCATTTTGAGGTTCGGCTGAACGGAAGGACAGTCCAGCTAAGCGGTACGACGTCACACAACGTCACCGAGTGTGTCTCAGACCCATGCGCGTCCTTCGGATGTCCCCAGACCTGCGCAAGTCTCGGAAACGAGGCCGTTTGCCAGTGCGCCTGGCCGACCAGCGGCGACCGCTGTCAGCACTGTTCGTGACTTTTTTTAGTCTTATTGAGTAGAATGTTGTACAAAATGAGACTTTTTCATCCGTATTTTCCCTCATTAAACTGATCAAAACAAATAAATATTTAAACCGGTTAGAGTCTCTAGAAATACCGTTTTTCGAAAATTACAGCCAATAATAAGGGGGGTTAAAAATGAGAGTTTTGAGAGTGGGACGTTTCATTCGCGACCATTGCCGTTCAAATAAGAATTTTTTTGGCTTTAAAAAAACTAAGATGGTAAAAAAATAATATTACTTCTGTTTGAATGAGGGTGTTTTTGAAGTACACCTCCGACAGTTCACATCTAATTAGATCCATATTTTTTTATCGTCCCTTTCCAAAAAAATTGAAATATTAGAGGAACTATCAAGGCTTTTTTTTTACTATAGACAAAAAAATGTGCATAAAAAAATTATTTTTTTGAAGCTTTTATTTACTTTTTCCAGCCGAAAAAGGCGAGGTTGATGCGATGACGTTCAGTGGAACTTCGTACTTGGAACTGACTAGCGACAAGGTCATGAATCAGTGAGTTTGTGATATTTTGTGAAGGAAAAAAAGAATGAGTTTCAAAAATTCAAAAGATATAAATTTTTCTAGTAATCAGGAAAAACCTGGTTTACTGCTCTAAAAAAATATAGCTGTTTAAAGGAGCATAGGCTATATTATTATGGAGGTCTTGAAGCGTTGAACCATTTTCTGTGTTGATTGCGGACATGAAAAGACTTCGGATCTCAAAAAATCTGACGATTTTTGAACAGACTGAAAAAAATAACCGCGAACCCCAAGAAAAAAAAAGTGATTTTTTTCAGCATCACTGGCGATCGACTCCGGCTAAACATGGAATTCAAACTTGCCAATTTCTCAACTCCCCTTGATCAGGCACTGTTTTCCTTTCTCCTTCTTAAGAGAGCACTTGGAATCCAGCAAGTGGCCATTTTAGTGGTGTTCAATGAGAGGATTCAGGTCTTATTCTCCGGCGGCGACACGACAAAAGTCTCCGATGGTGACTATCTTCAACTCGTCGTTGACAGTAGCCATTTCGTTCGTTTTTCGATGAATCTCGGCTCGGGCGCCGTCGTTTTGACTCATCCCAGCAAGGTTATCGTCGACCGGTGGACTACTGTCAGCGTCTTACGGTAGGTTTTGTGATGAAAAAAAGTATAGCTTGGAAAATTATTTTTCTTGGTCACTTCAGGGACCTCTCCAAGTGCCATAGGTCAAAAACGTAGCGTCCAAAAAATATAGTTTTCTGAAGTTTTTCATTATTTTTTCGAACTAAAAGTTAGTTTCATCATCCCTAGAGTGGCCACTTGCCCTATTAGCACCTGTAAAGTAAAGCCCAAACCCTTAAGGAAACACTTCAGATCCTATCAAAATGATGGTAAAAGTTGAATTATGTTCCCGCAAAATATTCAAGCGTGATAGTGTGAGGAGTCGCAGAGGCACTAGACAGCGAGAGCATCGCGTCTCTTCAGCCGCCGTTGATCTCTCGCTTTTAAGTTCTGAGAGAGTCTAATTTTTAAGTCTTATCATCTCATCAATAGGAGAAAACGATATATTGAACTCGATTGGCTTATTATTCCTCCTAGCAGGAAAAAAAAACCATAAATCTCCGTAGAGCGCAGTTTCTTTTTTCTTTTTGAATGATGATAATTTTTCCAGACGAGGCCTACACGTGACACTTTCGGTGAACGGCGAAGATCCGATTACGGTAGCGTTGCCTGAAGGCGCTGAACAGCTCAACGTCTACCATGCCGTTGTCGTTGGTAATACACTTTTTTCGTTGAGCTTTTTGAAACATTGAGCTTTTCTTGCACCCTATCCAAAAAACCGGTTTTTGGGGCTTTTCGGTCAACGAATCGATAAGGCCATTTTTCCAGGAACCTTAAAAATCCCTGCTAGCTGAACAACCTTCCTTCTCAGAACACAAAAATGACAATTGTTTCCAGGAGGCCAACCCCCACCTGCGAGCCAACCGACGTCCTACCCGACTTCAACCGGTTTCCGCGGCTGCATCTTGTCGCTGAAGCTCGGCGATGACGTCATCTCGAAGCCGACGCAGGCCCAGCGCGCCGTCAACATCGCAAACTGCCTTGTTTGATGGCCCCAACGAGTTCTTTTTCTCTTTGCAATGTTCACCCCGAATCGGAGTTGATAATTTGAATAATATATTGATTGCGCATCTGATGCAGGTCCCGTGCTTTTTGTTTTCACCACCAAATTTTTTTTCGTTGTCGTAGTTTTGAGCTGATAAACTTTTCATCACTCAGAGTAAGGAAAATCAACAAAATTGTGAGAAGCGTCATTTATGGGAAAGAGTTTGAAGAAAAATTCTATTTTGGTGGATTACTGTAGCGCGCCAAAGTCCGCATACACTTGTTTACAGACCACGCGATATTGCATACTCTAATATATCTTTCAACGCGAATTTTTCTGAGAGACGTCAGAGTGTTCACTAAAGAGGTCAAAGGAAAAAGCCCCTCTAGAGGACAAAACTTGCTCCCTGGAGGGCTAAAGTGCTACCTAGAGGCTAAAGCTCAAGTGTTCCTTTAAATGGTCTTCTAATTTTCGTTCTGATTTGAAAATTAAAAATACGCATAAGGACCATCATCATGTCCCTAGAGCAACCACTTTTGGTATTTTTAGTGAGCCCTATAGAAGGTAAAGTGGCCTCTTGAGGGAAAATTAAAAAAGCCCTTAAGGTTGCCAATATAAGGACCACTCCTAAGCTCAGCGCGACATCTCCGTGGCGGTGCTCACGGGCGCAATGAATACAGTATCCTTTGAAAAGTTCTTTCTTTTTCTTGATTTCTTTTTGAGTAGGTGAAAAATTTCTTCACTTTTTATCTTGAAAAAAAGTGTCATAAAAGCTGGGCCTTATTGGTCATACACCCGGTGATAACAAAAAAATTGGGAACTAAAGCACAATTTGGTGAGATTATCGTTTTGAACGGTTTTCGGGGAGTACATTTGCTGACATCATTGATTGTAGCAAGTGTAGGACGCGCAGTCTGAAATGAGAAAAAGTTATCGTTGGAGCGGAGATGACGCGATGAACTGACAAATTAGCGGAGTCGTGCAGAAGCTGTTGACGATGCTGTTGAACTTGTTGATACTTGTCGGCGTGGAAGTATCGTCCGTTGAATCGATGTCCAAATCGGCGTCCGAGAGCGTGTACGTCGTCTGAAGAAAAATATAACTTTTGAAAGACGAGCATAAAAGATTCTAAAGACCAGGATCAAATGCATGAATTTACGAAAAAAAAAATTTTACGGAAGTTTGAATGACAAGCTTAAAGAGCTGACTTTAAAAACCGCCTTCCCCTCTCGAAAATCATGATAGAAGGCTTTCAATGTCGCACAGCAAAGTAATTTCATGGTTACGACATTATAAATGACGCTCTTGCTGAAGCTGTCACAAGAAGGATTTTTGAAAAAATATTTCAAAAACTATTAGAGACCAAGTATTTTTTTTTTGTCAATAATGAAGGTGTACTCCATTCGTCGCAACTTGAAACTAGATTTCTCTGCGCCCTCCTTCTCTCTCGGCAACGCTCTCACGTTTACGTGCTATCTCATTTCTTCTCTGACCAGCGTTTTCAAATTATGTCATTGTGCTTGACACCCAAAATCTGACCAGACTACAGATTTCAAATTTTTAGGCTCACTCCAATAGGCGGCACGACATTGGCAGGGGATCGCGAGAGGAAGACGTATCGAGGAGTTCCGGCGCAGTCCCAGCAGCCGTAGCGAGACCGGGTCTCCGTCTGGAACTTGGTCCAGACGGCCGGCGAGTAGTTGGCCAGGTTGTCCGAGGCGATCACGTAGATGTTGGGGGCGAAAAGCCGGTCGCCGTTGTCTCCGTAGTGTCCGCATCCGAACTGCGTCGACAGCGTGTCGAAGAGGCTGAAATTGGTGAACTGGGTGAACTGAAGGCTATAGGAAAATAACGCCGTGTTCAAAGTGATGTGAAACACCCGTCAGAAAGATAACTAAATTTGAGAGGGTCAGAAGTGGCTTTGATTACCGCGAGAAGAGCTTTGAAAATGGTATAAAGTCTTGGCAATACGAAATTCCGACAGGACCCAGAAAAGCCACAAAAACAGAGATTCGTTGATAACGGGCCCAATTTCTGATTATTCAAGCCTTTTTTCACCTATTCTTATTCCATTTCTGTGGGCTATACCAGTTTTGGTCGGATCCAAAAGTTCCTTGCATAGAATTTCAAAGGAGCACATACAACCTTTCATGGAGGTCTCAACGCGAAGAGCCCTTTTGAGTTATATTTCGAATATTGCAAGACTTTGCTCTTTTTAACACTACATCACGGATCTTTGGGGTAAGTAAAGGATAATAAAAACTTCAAGGATCCCTCTAAAAGCTGTCAACTCGAAAAATTCAAGAACATCGATTGAAAATTATCTTGGGCAAAGTTAAACCTAGTTGATTTTTTTTTTCTTAAAACAGTGAACTAAAAGAGAGTTTTCCAAAACTATATTTTCACGTAACCCAGAACTAACCTTGTAACGGTATCCGAACCGATCACATAATCATTTTCGACGAATTGGAATGGCTTGGCTGCTGTCGTTGTGGGAGCTTCAGGAAAAAAATTACAATAAGAACAACTTTTCTTAAATGAACCTGGTGTTGTAGTGCTGAAAAGGCTTCCATCTCTCCATTCCTGGTAAGTCTGATTGGCCGAAGACAAGTCGTCAGCTGGAATTTCCTATGGTTACACTTGGAAGACTATGAAAAAACTTGAAAAAACGCTGCATTTTTCAAAAAATATTACTCACCAGTACTTTGAAAACAGCTAAAACTTATTTAAATATTTAAAAAAATCAAAAATCTGAAAGCTAGATTTTTGATTTTTTTCCTAAAGCTAGATTTTTTTCAGAAACAAAATAAACCAGAATGAGCGGCCAACTGCGAGAGAACTCGTGCTGGTCGGAGTCCGTAGGCGATCAAAGAAACGTGAGCTGAAGAGGAAAAAATCAATACAATATTCAAGAAATCGATTTTTCTTACTGTCAAACCCAGTCGTGAATTGGGCGAACAACTTCGAGACGTAGTTCACAAACTGGAAAAAGTCCTTTTTATATTTATTTTTCCTGTTTCAAACCTTCTGATCAGGATTGGACATGTCGAACATCACGGCAATGTCCAGAGAAGTATCGTAACACGTGGCTAAAATAATCAATTTCCCGAGTATTGAACTGAATTTCTTATTGGCTGGCCACGCCCACTTCAGCAGCCTTACAACGGAGTCAGCCAATCAGAGATTTGGTTCGCTGGAGCGCAAATGCAGTACTTTCAAGATTTTTTTCCGAGAGAAATTCTTTTTTTTTCAAAAGTAACGGCTGAACTTCAAAGAAAGTGTTTTAGAGAGACTTTTTACGCATCTTCTGTTAAAATTCAAGCCGATATTCAAAACTCAGTTTTAAGAAAGGAGAACATTTTCTAGGTCTTGAAGCGATTTTCGGGTTACGGTACACGTCTTTATAAAACAAGACTTATAAAAAAGGTCCTGACACGAAAAAAAAGAGATAGTGTCTGGTTGGTGGAGAGAAAAACCCTGCTAATAGCTCCTTTTTCTCCAGTGAAAGAAACAAATGCTCACAAAAAGCCGGAAGAGCGCAGCTGAGCTTGTCCCACTCGACGTAGTAGTCGGTGTGGCTGAGGGCGACCTGAAGATCCGGCGCCGAGCTGGGAATGATTCGGGCCGGGTCCGTGACGAGGTTCCACAAATCCGTTCCGAAGTTGCCGGCGGGTCGCGAATCGTCAACGACGTACACCCGCGGCGTGTACGCTTTCAACTAAACTTATAACGGATGGAAGCTTGTTTTTTTTAATTACACCGGGATTGTTGTGAGAAAAAAGAGCTTATCCTTCCCGGCTTCTCTCATGCTGGTCAGGTGTCTCAACGTGTTTGCCCGTGTTTTACCCATTGTTTGAGGCTATTAGTCTCGGTTTTGTTAAAACGGGAGAAGAACGGGTGTAGGGGGAAATGGATGACCCAGTTGGGCTTAAACAAGCTCTCAGTTGCGTTTAAGAAAGTTCTACCATGGGTTCTAAACGGGTTCAATACGGGCACACCCGCCGGTACCCCTTTGAAAAGCAAGAAGGAAGCGTTGCGTACGCGTCGCGGCTCTTTGGCGCGGAGCTCGAGATCAAACGCGAGCTACTATTTTTTCTCCTTTTCGGCAATCTTTCAATAACGTTTGATCTTTTCTGGTTTTGAAAAGATTTAGTTTAAAAAATGAAAAACTTATTTTTTCATGACTACATTTGACCTCAAGTTTCCCGCCAAAAAGCCGCGTCGCGTACGCAATGCGTCCCCCATTCCAACTCAATTAAAATCGACTTGACCACTTTCAAAACACTCTGACCTGTCTGCGTCTCAACTTCCCTAGTCGGTAAGAATATAAATCTGATTTTTTCTCCATATTCATGAAAAAAGTATAAAAAAGTATACCAACAAAAAAAAACCATATTTTTAGTTCGAAGCCTCGGAATTTGGGATGAAGCTTTCCTGGTGAAGTAGTCAAAAAACAAAAACGGGAAGAGCGTGTAAAAACGAGAGAACGCAGACAGGAAAGTTCCAACTTTTGATATCTGCTGATAGCTATCCGCACAAGTTTTATTAACAATAAAGATCGATTCTTCAATTTTTTTTCTAGATTCGTTTTATTATACTCTTAGCATCTCTTTTTTTGGGTTTTCACTCAGTTTTTTTTAAAACTATTCTTCAAACTTCCGAATTTTCAAGTTCAAGCTTTTCCAAGACTATTGTTCTTTTTCCCAAAGCCCAGGACTTCCAAAAAAAAGAATCCACTAACATGAGCGGCGGCATTCGAAATCTGCTGTTTCTTCAAATCGTCGCTTTCGATCGGAATCAAAACGGCGGCGCTGGAAATTTTCAGCATTTCAAGTAGTTCAGAACGAGTTTACTTGGCTTGGCCGTAGAACACGATGCTGCTCGAGAACAGTCGGCTGTTCTGAACTTCGACGTTCAATTGATTGGCGATCGTGTCGAGAACTCTGAAAAGTCAGAAATTCCTGTTGAGGGAAACTATTTTCAGTTCAAACGTGTCGAGTCGAACTTTCTCCCCGAGATAATTGACCCATTGGCCGTCAATCAGAGGCTGGAGGAAAGCTTGGAAAGCGTCGAAAGACTGCTTTCCGACCGGGTTGAACCTGAAGGTCAGATCATTTGCCCTCTATCTACTATCTGATGGAAGATTGTCTAGTTATTAAGTCCATTTTTCGCAACTTGACTTCTCTGCGCCCTCCTCGTCTCTCGGCGACTGTCTCTTCTTGACGCGCTATTTTCACGTTTCTGAGACCACGTCGGCGAGGGAACAAAGAGGCCCACGACACTCGAAAACTGTCAAGGCGCGGCGGACGGACTATATATAGCTGATTCACGGCTGACTTGAGCCATCGAAAAAAGGGTCCTGATACGATAATGCAAGAGATAGTGCCTGGCTCGTGGAGAGCGCAGACAGGCCAGGCTCCCTTAACTTCCCAAGCTAGCCGGGAATCAGCTATAGCCTCTTCAGATTTTGACTGTCAATTACAATGACGTCATCCGAAAACGCTCTGTGGGTGGCTCGCTCTCTGATTGGTTTATCGCGCCATTAGGGGCAGAGCTTGAGCGGCAACTTGAAATTCAAAATCTGAACAGACCATACGAAAACTGCATCGCCAAGGCGGTACGGAGCTCTGTCGTGTTTTCCGCGCAAGACGGTCCCGTTTTGAAAGCACAGAAAAGGAAAAGCTACCGTAAAAACAGCTTTTTTTGCCAGTTTTCAAGCTTCAAAGAATCGCGCTTTTCTTTCCAAATCTAATATATTGTTCATCTACTTACTTGACTTGGTCATTGTAGGTGACCAGTTGGAAAGAAGCCGTCGGCTGAACGAGCGACGCCTGTTTGGCGGCAACGAGAACTGCTTGAAGGTGCTGGAAAAGGATATATTTTAGAAGAACCACAGAAAGGATTGAAGAGAGTCGCACTTCCAAAAATCCCGGAACATTTGAGAAAAAAAAAAATGTTTACCCTGACGACGTCGTCCTTGGTAGCCTCACTGATCTCCACGGCGTAATAGGCGGTCACGCATTCTTAAGAAGCATTTTGAAATTGGGGAAAAAGTTGAAGGATTACTGGGCTGAGGGCAAGGGCTGTATTGGACGATTCCTTGGGTCAGGGCGTTCAGAGTCGGATCGGACAAGTCGTCGAAGATTCTCGAGGGGTCTGTTACTTTGTCGAGCTTCTGGAACAATGGGAAAGTTTCGTAAAAGCACGGAAACGAAATTTGTGTGAAAAAGGCGAATGTGAAGCTATAAACTTCGAAAGGTTCAATTTCCTAGTTTTGATGATAGGAAACTTCAAAACCAAAGAAAACCATCAAAAACCGCTGAAGCTATTTGAGACTTTGAGAGCTTGTTTCTTTGAATATGAAAAGCTCTGCAGGTTATGACTCTGATACATCAAGAAAGATTCTGTTCAATTTTCAGAAAGTTGCAAGTCGCAAAGTAAAATTATCGTCCTCATAGACCGAAGAAGATAAAAAATTGCAATAAACGTATTCAACGAAGGAGCTTCAGAAAAGCTCAATATCAAAGCAATTTGAAGCGTTTCAAAATGTTCCTTTTTAACCTGTTTCGCGTCATCGCTGAATCCGTCATATCCAACGATGTAAGTGGCGGCGCCGAGGGCCTTCAACTGATTACCAGCATCGATTTCGTTGTCATACGTGTCCACTGTCGGCCTAAACTAACTGCGTCAAGAGTAATTTCAATTAAAAGTGAAGATGACCGCGCTTTGAAAGCATTTTTACACCGGAAAACACTTTCAAAATAAGTCAAACGCAAAATTAGAAATAAAAAATTTCACTACCTCTACCAAATCTCTCAAATCTCTCACTACTCTCTCACTACTTTGTCGTTCGTTTCTCAACTTTTTGGATATGTTTGGGTATATTTAGGGTTATAGCCGCTTGAGCCATCAAAAAATGGGTCCTGATACGGTGAAAAAAGAGAGACTGATTGGTCCATGGAGAGCACAGACAGTGCTACGCCCTTTAAAGTCCCAAGCTAACCGTGAACAGGCTACAACTCAAAGAAAGGCTTAAAATTGAGAAAACCAAAGAAAAGCTCTCGAAAAAGGGCAGTTTTCTAATGCCCAAAGTTTAATACTTCCTCCTTTCTTTCAACTGTCTGAAATTCTCTTTTTCAAGTACTTCTTGTAAGTTTACGGAGAAAAAACCCACTCGGCATCGGAAAGAATGACGAGGACCTGTCCACGACTTCCGTCGCCCAAATTCTCATTCTTGAACATGTCGATCGCCTTTTTCATCGCACTGAATTCAGTGGAATTGGATATGGATTTCGATAACTTGTGCCAACTTAGAAACGTCCGTGAGTCCAGCCGTGTAGGTGACCTGGTCGATTTTCTGATTGACGACGGCGAGGCTGTTTCCGGTGGTCAGTGAGAGAAGTTCCGTCGTTTGTTGGCTGAATTTTTCGAAAATTCCATACAAAAACTAGGAAACTAAGTTCAAAATCTTCATTAAAGTCCGTTTTTCGCGACTTGAAAGGCCCTGACTTCTCTGCGCCCTCCTTATCTCTCGACGTCCCTCTCATGTTTACGTGCAATTTCCGGCTTTGAAACTTCCCAACTTTTTTTCAGGTGAGAGTAGTTAATATTTCTTAGAAACCTGACTGAAAAACAGCCGCACAAATCTTGATTCAGTTTTGGAACGGAAAAAGTTGGAAGACCCTATATATTTTCTGCACCATTTCACCTCTTCTCCGTTCAATTTTCAAAAAAGAGCCCAGTTTTTAGCTCAAAAATCTAACATAAAAACCGAAATCCCCAAAAAACCCACTTGAAAGTGATAATACCAACGCGAGAGAACTCATTATTCTTGAACGTGTACTGCTTGATGAGCTTCTTGGCGAACGCTTGGTATTTCTAGAACTAAACATCAACAAAACTCCTTTTTTCCAATGAGAAAACCGGCAGAATAATGGTAGACAAGCTTTCAGAAGTGTCAAAGGCCAGAATGAGGTCCAAATGTTGGCAGGAGGGCTTGGAAATGACGTCAGCTTGAATTTTGAAGTTATGGAGGCTTTTTCCGAGAAAAACTGACCATGAGACGTGAGACCGTATCTTTGGAGCTTTTGAGCTTGCGCAGAAGGAGAATAAACTAAAAAATGTATCATGATTTCATAACAAAGTCAAAAAATAAGACTCAAAAATGAATTTTTCGCGATTTCTTCTCAATTTTCAGCCTAAAAAAGGGCTCTACGCCACGAAATAGGCTCAAAAACTGAAAAAATGAGAATTTGAACGCTAGAAAAAGAAGACGATGAAATCCAGAGCTTTAATTTTCAGTGGAAAGATGAAGAAAAGATTTTTCCATTGAAAAAATCGTACAGTTTGGAAAAAACCTATTTAAAATAGCGATAAATTCTCATGAAATGGCTTTTCAAAGACCTCATTTTTTTAAATCAATGTAAAAAATTCATTTCGCCTTAAAATAAGCCCCTTCCATCATTAAAGGTGCATGAAAAACGAACAAAAATGCCTCGATTTGCAACATTTTAATTTACTGTTTATTCTAGACTTTTTTTCAACAAAAAAATTAGTTTCCAATTCTTAAAACCAAACACAAAGTGTTTTTTTCATCCCTTCTTCCAAAAACAACATTTCCTGACCCCTAAAGTGAACACTCACAGCTGCAAAGAACGTTGCCAAATGGCTGATCCTTGGGAAGGGCGGTCCAATCGGCGTAGGAAACGATTTGATCCGCAAAGTTATTGTACGAGTTGATGCTGAAAAATGCAAAAATAGGGCTATTTAATTAATTATGGGCTCACTAATTGGCTCCAACTCCAATGACCGCAAAGTAAAGACCTTTTTTGCGGGGGTCTGAAGCCGGAGACGCCGATCTGAAAAAAACGTTTTTGTTCTTGAATTTGAAATTTTTGGGCCAGAAGCCTTGATTTTTGCATTTTTGAGGCTTCCTTGATTTTTTTGATTAAGAAAGTTAAAGAAAAATGATTTGGAGCTTTCGAGTTACTTTTTTTGAAAAATCTTATAAGATATCCAAGTGCTAGACCTATTTTTAAATGGAGTAAATAAGATATTTAACTGAAATTCTTAGATTTATCAGTTAGATGTGCAGATGAACAGTCTGAGGAGATTCTTAGTGGCCACTTTAGGGTTATGAAGTTTTTGTAGTCACTGTAGTAGTCGACCTAGTGGGCCCTTATGTGGCTAGAAATTAATGGCCTTTTAGGAATTCTGAGTGGTACTAGCCGGTTATTAGAACGCTAAACAGATACTTCTTCCGAGGTGGTTTTAGTGGCCACTTAAGTGTCCTCTCCGATGGAAGCTCTTAAGCGGCCCCTAGAGTTTTTCCGAGGTACTCAATAATGAGCTCAAGATTTTTTTTATTTTTGACTTTTTCTCCCAAAAAATTAGGTAAATGCAGAATGGAAACCATAACAAAAACAGGCAAATTTGAGCCTTTTCCGAATTTTTTTTAGAATTGATTCCTTTAGTCACTTTAGTGGATTCTTTCAAGACAGCTGTTGATTGGCTGAAGTTTCATAGAAAAATAGATCAATATAAATACTTTTTAGTGACCTTATTACTTTTGATACTCACAAACTCTTATCAGTGATCAGGATCAAAGCCGCCGGCGTCGTTTTCCTATTAGGCAAATGAGTCATGGCCAAATTGAAGATCGAGTCCAAATCAACGGAGAGGATTGTATCCGTCGACGCCACAGTGGACAACTGAACAAAAACTTTTTTAAGCTCTAAAACGTTTCAAAACTTGATCGAAGTCACTATCGAATTCAGCTTGAGAAGTGGAGAGTTTCTTGGAGACGTCCACGGCTTTCGTGGTTCCGTAGGCTTGGAGAAAGATCTGAGTTGCGGTGAAGTCCAAGTTGTTGTCGAGCTGAAAAAAAACTGGAGTTTTTTGTTTATTTTTCAGAAAGAACCCCTTCTTTGTTTTGAACTAATTGAAAACTTCAAAAAACGTTTTCCTCTTATTTTTTAGATCAATAAGTTCAAAGCCAAAAAATAGTCTATTCTTCAAATCTTGATTTCTTAATGCACAATTTTTTTTGGCTTTTCTTTTCTCGAAAAACCAATCCCAAAAATTAAAAATATTTTTCTTCAAACCCTGATTCCTAACAAACCTGAGCCTTGATTTGCTGAAGAGCATCGGCCTTGGCGTCTTTTTGAGCGGCGAATTTCTTGTTGAGGTTGACGTCAACGACGATGATGACGTCACGGTAGACGGGTTGGTTACAGTCTTCAAAGAAAATGTATTAGTTCGAACTTTTCAAATTTCGCGGTACAATAAGTGCGGACGGGCGGTTGCTGCGTAACCACCGTAGTCTTTGCGGGTACGGTGACTACGGTAGTCTGTCCTGGCTTTGTGGATGCCGTGGAGAAAACGACGGGGGTCGGTCTGCACACACTGTAGGCGTTGTCGCCGTCTGAAATTCAAGTTTAACAAGAAATTATTGACTTTATTTCTGAATCTTGAATAAAACCAGGAAACTCTTTAAAAATGAAAAAAAAAATAATAAAAAAAAAGCGCCAGCCTTCAGGTGTATCGGGCAAAGCATTGAGGGGCCACTGAAGGGATTTCATCGCCTCTTTAATGCTTCTGAGCGATTAAGTGGTCCCTAAAGCGACTTTGTCGCCTCTATAGTGCTTTCGAGTATTTAAGAGGTCACTAAAGCAATTTTGACGCCTTCTTAGTGATCATTGGAGGATCTAGCCTCATCAGTATGACATTGTAACTTTTTTCCTGATCATTCAAGATTTTTTAAATTTTATTTTCATTCAAAAAGTTTCTGAGTAACTTTCTTCTAAGGTCATTAGAGCTAAGCTTTTTTCAATAGATCAGAATTTGTTAGAAAATTATTTAACATACGCTTCGAAAACCTTAAATACCGCAGTATAAATCTAAAAAAATCAATTAAAAAAACTGCTCAAAAAGTCCCTCGAATTTTTCATTCAGAACGGAATTTTATGAATAAGATTTGCGATGAAGCATAATTGCCACCTTCCACTTCAGCCGCCTTTCTCTTTTTTTTCTTTCTTTAAGAAGTATTTTCAGCTTCCTACATATCATTTTTAAATTTCCAGGATCAATTGCAGAATAAAATCACTGTGAGGCTTGCATCATTTTCGCACCTCATCTTATCAAAATCATCTCAAGCCTACGAAATTCGTATTCCGGCATTTTTCCATTCTTATCTAAATCTTCACGCCCTGAATCACAATCTGTGTGCAAAGAATCTTATGCATGGCGATTTTCAAGGCTGATCGGAATAATCATTTCGATAATACGCGAAAACTTTATTTTTATCAATGAATCGAAATTACGTGTCCTCAATAGTTTTTTTTTCTCATTTTCTTATTTGTTTTGATTCATATATTTGAAGGGTTCATTGATAAAGAATTTCGAAATGACGCAAAAATACTTCAAAAGAGAATGCCGATCCGATGAGGTGTTCTAGTGAAAAGAAATGTCTTAAAGTTAATAAAAAAGACTAGGATTTTAATAGAAGGGTTGCCTGAAAGATGAAGTACAAGTCTAAACTTCCAAGTATCGGAAAACCGCTTCACAATGATTTTTTTTCTACCGGGAATGCCCGAAAAAGGAATAAATGACAAAAATGAGCAGAAAAATAGTATAAAAGTTTAGGATATTTTACAGGTAAATGAAGTGAAGAGACCTATTTTCTGATCAGTCTGGTACTTTTTTTGAGTTTCAGATTTGAAATTGTTGCGCTAAAGTATCATAATCGCTAGTGTGGTAAGCCAAAAGCCAATTTCTTGAGAATGCGACCGACCCAAAACGACTTGCGCGCAAAGGTTTCAAAACCTTTTAGAGAAAGCTGCTTGGTTCGCAGCTAAGAAATTGATATTTCAAACTCCATAAGATGCACAAAAAAGCAGCGCGACCGCGACGCTTCTAGCCAGCGAAAAAAAAAGTTCATATTTTTGCAAAAAAGCTAAATTTTCAGCCGGAGGCAAGGAAAAATAGTAGTGTGACTCAAATTATGAGGACAATCCTACAAAATGGCCTTTTTCCAAAGAAATATCAACTAAACTGCTCATTTTCCACTGAAAAATAATCAATAACCCATCCGAAACTCACTGCTAACGTGAAGACTGGTGGTGGTTTTGACGGCCGCTAATTTATTCTGAACGTCCGTCGCTCCTGGATTTCCGCGCAATGAGAACACAGCCGTGGAAATGCCGTTTCTAAACACTTTTCTCTCAAAAAAAGACAAATTTTTTGAAAAGTTCTTTAAAAATTATGATAATAACTCACTGAACGTCAACGGCCAGGGAATTGACATGATAGTTGTTTTTCAGCACGCCATTCAGCTGGAATTTCATTTTGAACTTGAAAATTCGTACTCTAATTGATGAAAAGGCTTGATTTTTTGGATTTTTTAAAGTCAGAATTTAAAGCTACATTTTTTCGATTTGTTAGTAAAGTTTTAAAAATTCAAGTTTTGAAGCTCAAAAATACACTAAACCGGTGAAAATTTTGAACTTTTCCCCTGACTCTAGCAGTGAGAGAATACGTCAGCATCAAAAAATTTTCAATTATTGAACCCTAAAAAAATATTGTTATCAATTTCAATTTTTTTGGAACATTATTTCTATGTTTATCATATTCTTTTATTCGAAGACCAAAAATCCGACCTCGCCATAAACGGCGTCTTTGTTGCTAACTGTGTAGCCGGTGGCCAAATAGGCTGAGGAGGAGTCTGAAAAAACAGTTTTTATTTGAATATTTTACACAGAAATATTTACTACTTATTTAAAAATAACTTTTTTTTTTCAAAACCTGTACCTTTAAACGTTCCTTTTTTTGAAAATGAATTCAGTATAAATAAAAGCTGGCTGTTCTTACTAGGGAAACTCTGCCCCGAGGAAAAGATTTCAAAAATTCAATCTTTTTTTCTGGAAAGTTCGGACTTATTTTAAGAAAAACCACAGAAAACCTCGTCTTCCAATTTTTCTTTTCTCAAAAAGAAGTTGTGTAGCAGGCTGTTCTCTATGAGGAAACTCGCTCCAAGGATAAAAGTCTCAAAATGGAAAAAAAAGCTTTTTTTTGCTCACCGTGTTTCGTAGCGAAAAGGACGATGAAGACAATCGAAAGAATCAGAAATATAACCGTCGAGATGAGTAGTGCGATTCGTACACGATCAATTCCGCCCAAAATACTGGCGCTGGCCATTTTTTCAAGTCTTTTCCAGCCGTATTCAACTGAAAAAACATGACATTTTCCCATTTCTTTATTTTAAAGTCATATTTTGTTCACTTTCTTCAGCCAAATTTACTATACGTGACTCAAAATTTAGGGGTCATGGAAAGATTGGAGCTTAAAAAAGAGGTCCTAGAACGGAAAGCAAAGTATTGGGCGAAGGTGATTCAAAAATAATTTTAAAAAAATGGCAAAACGAAAAAAATTTGCAAGATAAAAATTTTTTTATATTTTTTTGAATCCACAGAAAAAAAGGTCACCATTATCATTCATTTTTAAACAAGACTAGAAAAATAAATTTCGAAAGCAATTGGAAATCAAACTTTGAAAAAAATTTGAAGACTCCTAAAAGGGAAAATTACACGATGTCGCGCTTACGAGAGTAAATTTTCATAAAGCGATCTCACCTTGGGAGATGAATTTGAGAAAAATAAAGACCAAGATTTTTTTTTAACTTATGAAGGTCGAATATAAGAGAACCTCCATAACCCTAACTCAAAAAAAGCTTCATCAAGTTAATTCTTCCTGGAATTTTTTTCAAAAAAATGGACTTTAAAAAAATATAAAGGATATGAAAGGTAAGACTAGGAGCAAGAAACAAATGTACGGAAAGGAAATTCATTCAGCAAAATGGCGGAATAAGAGGCTCAACGGGCTTAGGTCCCGTTTTGGAGACGTCCTTATCAACCCATACAACAATTGTTTATATATTGTCACCTTACTCAAATTCTTATCGCTTTTTTTCGAAAAATTTTACCCACTCAAATGAGTCTGCAGATAAGTGAGTAATGGAAATTATCTCGGCTCCTTGACATCATCGTAATATCGAAAAAGCGGTCCGGAAATGTCAAATCGAACCACGAAATCGGCGGTTATCTGTGAATTTAAAGGTCGAGATTCTCTGTTTGATAGCGAAGTACGAAAACCAGAGAGGTTTTCGTTTGATTGCAATCAAATTTTGTGTAGGGGTTCAAAGTTCAGCAGAAGATCGGAAAGCTAGAGTGGTCCCTATAGGGATTAGTAGAAAAACAGACCTTATAAAGACCAAAAAAGTGTCCTTTACAGTGGTAAAAATTTAAGTGGTCCCTAAATGGCTTTGGCGGGGGGTTGATCCTCGAGCCCCCTGAAACTTAATAGAGCTCATAACAACAAAAGACTAGCCTGCTTCCCTGCAGGGGCCACTTTTACAAGCTTCAGTGGCCTCTGTGGTGCTCCCTAAATGAGGAGCTTTCAAAAGCCCTTAATCTTGCCCCTATAGGGACTACTTTGGCATACCTTCGTGCCAAAACTACTTCGAAAAGTGAGAATCTTTTGGAGTTAGTACAACGCCACAAACCATGGATCAAGCCATTCCAAATGCGGTTCAAAACTGAAAATTTAGATTCGTGTTTGTTTGTTCTACAGTGCTGGCCATAAAGGTATTTCAAAGTGGTCATTTGAGCATAATTTAGTTTAAAGTGGCTCAAATGACTTGCAACTTTGCATAGATTTTAAATAGCTACGCACTAACTTTTTCCCAAGAGAAGAACTCATTTGCTCGGGTTAGACCGGATTTGAGAGCAAAAAACCTAAAGTCGTGAAAATGAAGATTTTTCTCTTGAGATTCGAAAAATCATATCTTCAAAGAAACTTTGATTTTCAATCAGAAATTTTTTTCCCCGGTAAAACAAGTTTTCGACTTTCTAAAAAACTTGATCAGCCCCCTATCAACCCGATAGTAAGAGCGTAGTGACTTTTTTTCTTTGGAAGGCCTTTTTTTCGTTTTGACGCCTCGTCATTCAAATGGACTATACGAGGTCATTTTTGTTTGAAAAACACCCTGTTTTATGTTGAAAAAAACTTCAAAAACACCCTCAAGAATAGTTTTACACTGGTTTCTTCATCTTTCTCACTTTATCCTCTCTCCAGAACTCGCTTACTTCACTAGGTCTGATTTTGAAACCTCTGATTTAAAGCGGTTATGCTCGTTTTTCAAAATCAGAACATTCTCGATTTTTTATTTCAGATTTCAAAGCTTTTTCAGAACCTTGATGAATAAAAATAAAAAAAGACTCACTTTGTTTCGCTTACTTATTCAAAAGATATAGTGAGTTATAATGAGTTTCTTAAAGTTCTCAAAACTTCTTTTCAACAAGTGTTGCTTAGAGGGCTCCAAATCTTGTGTAATAAGATTAAAAACTTATTTTTAAATTTTTTTTAATGTTTTAGATCATGAGATAACTTTGTAACTCCTCTTTCCAGCTCTCAGATCGAAGATAGGCACTGTAAAAAGTTTCTTTAAACTTTATGGGAAAATAAGTTTTTGGTCTCGTGAAACTATGCTTCAGCAAAAAAAATTAGCAGTCTTCAGGTAATAGGAGCCTGCAATTCAGCTATAAATTATTTTCAACTTCACGATTTAAAAGCAATTGATCAGATAAAAAACTGCTTTGAATGCCCAAAAATCCAGAAAAACTGGTCGAATCAGAGGTTTCAAAATCAGACCTAGTGAAGTAAGCGAGTTCTGGAGAGAGGATAAAGTGAGAAAGATGAAGAAACCAGTGTAAAACTATTCTTGAGGGTGTTTTGAAGTTTTTTTCAACATAAAAACAGGGTGTTTTTCAAACAAAAAAATGACCTCGTATAGCCCATTTGAATGACGAGGCGTCAAAACGAAAAAAAGGCCTTCCAAAGAAAAAAAGTCACTACGCTCTTACTATCGGGTTGATAGGGGGCTGATCAAGTTTTTTTAGAAAGTCGAAAAACTTGTTTTACCGGGGAAAAATTTCTGATTGAAAAATCAAAGTTTCTTTGAAGATATGATTTTTTTCGAATCTCAAGAGAAAAAAATCTTCATTTTCACGACTTTAGGTTTTTTTGCTCTCAAATCCGGTCTAACCCGAGCAAATGAGTTCTTCTCTTGGGAAAAAGTTAGTGCGTAGCTATTTAAAATCTATGCAAAGTTGCAAGTCATTTGAGCCACTTTAAACTAAATTATGCTCAAATGACCACTTTGAAATACCTTTATGGCCAGCACTGTACTAGAATTACTCTTTTGTGTGATTTTCCTGAACATTAATCAAAAAAAAAAAGATCTTTCAAGAATTCCTGCAAAATGTCATGAGAATTTCGCAAACCGACGCAATAGCGAGTCACATTCCTTTGAAATGTTTCACCTAAAAGAATTTTTTTTTTCCTTTGGAACTTTTTTATCAAACTCATGTCATAATCATGATCGTCCTACGTGTAAAAATGTCAAACCGCACTAGAAAAACATTGGTTATCTTTGCCTTTAAAGGTCGCGGCGAGGAAAATCAGAGAAATTTGCTTTTTCATCATCAATGCTATATCTAGGGTTCGAAATAGAATAGAACTAACGGAAAAACGAAGAACTTAGGAACTCCAGAGTGATCCCTATAGGGGCAACCTTAGGAGTCTTGGAGGGTCCTCTCTAGGGACCACTTTACCCACCTTTATAGGGGTCACTGAAACTTGCAAAAGTAGTCCCTATAGGGGACGTGTTAGTCGAAGATTGTTATCAATTCCAAGCGAAGAAGCATTTTCATGAGAAAAACTGAATGGATAAGCGTTTTTTTCAATGAAATTGAGAGACCCCTAAAGGGTTCACTTCAGCTTTAGGGGCTAAGGGGTCAGACCCCTATAGAGACCTCCTTAATTTATCCCTATAGGGACCACTTTTTCGGCCCCTATAGGGACCACTCGCGCAGCGGTTGGAAATGAAAAATTGCAGTTTTCGCTAATTAATTTTGAAGCTCATGTGCGCAAGTCATTTTAGGTCAGACGCAACTTTTGAAAAAACTTTCGGAGTTTCCCTCGAGTGAACTAGAAAAAAAATACTTTCAAAACTTGAAACTGTTTATTTAGTTCATCTGAGCTGTTGCATGACGGAACGATCCGGTCTCGGCCTCTCCGAACTTTGAGGCCCTGGAGACGGGAGTTGCGGGGCGGTGTTCGGGTTCCAGTCGGGAACAAACTTCCCGCGGCCTCTGAAGACAAGTTCAAGATTGGGTCATGAAAATGGATGCCGACTTTTGGGCTTCCAAAAATCCTTCCTCGAGGATTTTGGAAAGGCCCGCGCTGGCCGTGCCCTCGTCGCAAACGTGTTTCGCCAGTTTCCGGACGACTTCGGGCATGTTTGCGCATTTAGATTCCATTTCTGAAGTTTCTTTTTTCAGATTTCGAGAAAAATGGCTCAAATTTCTCAAATCGGTTCTTGAGCCTTTTAGCGGACTAATGAGTGATTTAGCAGATTTTTTTGTTTTTTCTAAAATTGAAGAACTGTACAGAACACCTTTTATATTCCTAAGTTCTTCTCAAATTTTCTCGCGGTTCGCTTTCCTAATAACTAACCAAATTTATTATATCAATTTCATCAACTTTTGGAATAATGTTCTAAATTTTTCAACATTTTCGATCCTTTGAGTATCAAAAATATTTTTTAAATGACTGAAACTAGACATTGGGACAACTTTTTGAGCTTTTTAGCAATCGCTTAAGTGACATGAACGTCTTTTTTTTATGTTTAGTGAAAGTGAAAAATCGTACAAATCGCAAATTTTCTTTCTTCTCAAACATTTTCCTGTCTCAAGAGATTAAAAAAAATATATTTTTAAATGAACAGAATGTTCTTATCGCAAGTGTCAGGCTTCTGCGCAGTTAAGTTATCACTTAAGTGACTCTAGCGCCTCTTTAATATTCCTTAAAAGTTACAAAATCATACAGAACTCATCTCTAATTTCTGAAATTACAAGTTTACTCTTCCCTAAATTACTAACAGACTCTCTTTACCACACATTTTTTTAAATCAAAACTCACTTTTCCAAAAGTCAATTTTCGCGTCGCGAACTTCAGAATAAACCGTCGTCTTTTGCCACGGGAGCACTTTCAGCCTAAAAATACTTGTTTGAAGAAACAGTTTCATGAAAATTCACAAAAAATAAAATTTCAACCAATTTTTTTAGGTGTTACGTTTTTTAACATACAGCCTCAAGATAACGTAGAACCACATTTCAACGTCGACCGACTTTTTCACGACGACCGAATCTTTCAAGGCCAAGTGCAAATCCAACGCAAAGTAGGGTAGAGTATAGCCATCGGGAGGTGATATTCTAAATGAAAAAAAAAGTATTTTCAAAACAAAGTTCGTTTTAAAATCATTTCCAGCATAGTTTTTTGAGGCTCTCCCTAGTGCAACGGTTTGTGTGCCTGTCTACGGTGCGAAGGGTCGAAAGTTCGATCCCCAGGGGGTTCGAGATGTTTTGGGATAATTTTCTCTCCCAACTACACTCACGTTGCTCGTTTTCCTTCGGAATACGCTTCGCCAAAGTCGGCCAGGTACCAGTGGAGCAAATTTTGGCCCATCACAAAATTGGTCGGTTTGATGTCGCGATGGACGACGCTCGCCTTGTGGCACGACTTAAAAATGATAATCTTTTTTTTCCAATAAAACTAAAAAAAAATTTCCAAAATTCCATAGACATCCATTTCATGAACAGGTGAGAAAAAATAGTCGATATTTCAAAAAGTTTGTCCCTTCGGTTATGAGAAGATTGTTCGAAAAAATATGGAGTTAGGAAGAAGTTTCAACTACAAGAAGGTGGATAAAAATGATTAAATTTAAAGATAACGGGTGGAAATTATGATATGATCGTATTGATTTTACTTTTCTGATGGTGCAAAACGAAAAATAAATTAATTTTAAAAGAAAAATATGTTCTTTTTCCTCGTAAAAATACACTAAAAGGGAACCTTGATGGCGACCAACATCTCCTGAGCGATGAATAACACGCTCGGAATCGACAACGTTGGAACATTTTCCAGCGTCTTCTCCAAGTTGGCGTCCATTGCTGGCATCACTGAAAATTGGAACTTGCTCTTGATATATCTAATTATTGTCAGTTGATTCGAAAAACTTTTGGCTGAAGAATTCAAATAACTCGAAACCGACAAAAGAAAGTGTTGGAATTGAAAAAAGAGGAAAAGAAAAAACACGGAAGTAAAATTTTCTTCTTTTTCAAAGCTTTTGGCTTTTGGAAAAGGTGCTTTTCGATACAAAAACATTTGAAGGCGTTCTAGACTTGTCTTCGCACTTTCTAACATCTTTTTGAAAGAAAGTCCTGACCCAGGAAAGGAACTCCAAGGACGCGCCCTTCGCAGAGCAACGGCATGATTCTTTTCTGGTCCTTATGGGCGAGTACGGTGCGCATCATGCGGATTTCGCGAATCATCCGAACTCTCGTCGCGTGTCCCATACGCAGACAAGCCTTTACCATACACGACTGTCCTGGCGTCACGTCGGCCTCGCCTCTGAAGAAAACCCTCTAATTCTCCGCCAAAAAAAAAAGAAAGAAAGAATTACTCTGTGTAAAACTCCGACGTCGTTACGTATACAGCCCCAAACCTTCCCTCATTGTACTTCTCTACGACGCGGAAACGTTGAAGATTTGTCTCGTTTGTGCTGCAAAAAAATCAATGTTAACCAAAACATAATCAAAGCAAAACGGACCTATCAGCGTTGACTAGAAACTCGTTCTTTTTTAACACCGCCGTCTTTTTCAGATGTTCGTCAAGCAGCTCACATTCTTCATTCTGAAATTGGAAAAGTCAAATGTAAAAAAAAAAAATCTTGTATGGCGGATTTTTTAATTAAGTTCGAAAAATCATTATAAAAGTAGAAAAAAATAATGTAATCCAGATTATTATATTATAAAAACTTCAAACTGCTGTTGCTGATTCAATTTGGCTGCGAATTATGTTTTTACAAGAGGACAAACATGATACAAAAACCGCAGAAAAAAACAACTAAAGAGCCCAATAATTAAAAACTTTGAAATTTAAAAAGTTTTTTAGTGTCTCCATTATCTCTACCATTCACGTCATAAGAACCAGAACTTAATTCAAAACAAAAATTTCATTCTCTGCAAAAAAAAAACGTGAACCCCGTGAAAGGTCATTTTGTTGACATCGAAAAAATTTACACGTGAAAAACCACGTGGCAACGTGTCATTTCTTCTTTTATGACTTAAGTTCAAATCTCCTTTCTACTTCCATCACGACTCCGTCTTGCTCCTGGATTCTACGTCAAGATAAGTTTTCCTTTTCATAAAATTTCTAATTTCTAAAATAAGTTTATAAGTTGTAAGCGCTAGTAGATTAGGCCCGCGGGACTCCCGGAGTGCCGATCCTTTTTGCTTGCAAACTGGATACGCAATGTCACGCTGAAGCCCATTCCTGTGGCTGAAGCATAAACTGTTGGCAGCGCGATGCTGACAAAGCGATGATGGGACCCCCGCGGAAAAAGCCGTTACGGCCTTCGGCGTCTAGGATACTTAGTTTTGTCAAGGCCGAGCGGAGCTCTAGCGCACCGCCTAGTTAGTTCTTCTGACTGAATAACGCTTTCTTAACTTACTAACAAATCTATATAGCTAATCAGCCAAAATATTGTGATTCGAAATATGGACTTTTGTCTTGCGTTTTTCAATGTTGAAATTATTGCAGGAAGCTTTCAACAAACTTCTTCTGACGGGTCATGGAAATTCGACACAATAGATTCACCACCTGCGAGGCCGGCTAGAAAATATCAGGTACCAGCCCAATGCTCTTAAAAGCAGCTGAGGGTTTTTTTTGTGTGTTAAATTGCAAAGGAGAAAAGAAAAACAGTATTTGTTCATCTGACCACTATTTTGGATTTAGCGGAATCACATCCAAACGGGCATTGAAAACTCCAAAAAAAAAGTAAAAACTCGGACACTGGTAACTCAAAACGGACATGTCCGGGCATTCCTAGGGACCACTTTAGTGGTGGTATGAAAAATAAAACCAACGAAAATTAAAACGGCGACTTTTCCAATTTTTTCATATCGCTAGGAAACTTTCCGACGGATCCCTTTCCGACTTTTTCCCCTTATGTTTTTTGGGTTTATAAAAAATCTATAAATATTTTTTTTTCCTTTTTCTTGGTGTTTTAATCATGAAGTGAATTTTTTTTCCTATTTCTTGGTGTTTTAATCATCAGTTACCTACTTTATATAGGAAGATTGAAAACGAAGATTTTACCGAGAAAAAAAAGTCGGAAAAAGATTCGTCGGAAAGGTGGCCGTCAGAAAGTTCCCTAGCGATATGAACAAATCGGAAAAGTCGCCGTTTTAATTTTCGCTGGTCTTTTTTCATACGACCACTTTAGTAGCGTCAGCATCCTTAAGAGTCTCCTAGAATTGCTCATAAACGTCCGCAGCACGCCCGTTTGGAGTTACCAATGTCACGGCGTTCCAAGAGGGGACTCGCAAGCGAGCCGATGAGGCGTGTCATCTCGGACCTTGGCAACGCGAATCGGACATGTCGGGGCATTTCTGGTAACCACTTTAGTGGCCTCAGCCCTCTTAAATGATCCCTATAATCGCCCAGAAATGTCCGGAGCACGTCCGTTTCGCTTTACCAACTCCCCCGTCTGGCGCGACTTTGCGGCGAGGATTTCGCAGGCTTGCGCCGTGAATTGCGCGAGTATGTGCACATGTTAGCCGCAAGCTTGCGCGAATTATCCATGGAGCACGCATTCGTGATATCCTTTTCCTTTCTCCTCCTCGTCCTTCCTCTTATTTTCCTCTTTTGAGTTACAACGCTCAAAGGTCGCCTGTATTTTATTTAACTCAAGCTTTTTTTCTATTTATCCATAGCATTGAATTTTCAGCTTGATTTAAACAAAAATACAAGCAACCTGTGAGTGTCGCAGCTCAAAGAGGCTGAACAAACACAGAAAACTTGGAAAAAAAACTATATTTATTTCTAAAATGAACTAATTTTACACTTTACAACAATTGAAGTCTTTAAGATGCATTGGATTTCATGGTATCAATCAATAATGAAAGGAAAAAGATAACGTGAGAATGGTAAAATTTAAGCTATGTTTAATAATTACAATGACTCGAATTATTTCCAGTAATAAAACAACCGGGGGGTTTTTTGCAAAAATAGTAAGATTCAGAAGACCCGGAAGTTCAGAAACAGTGAAAAAAAGTGAAACATGGAACAATTTCAAAACGCAGAAATATCAAAAAAATACATCATGACATACAATAAAAAAATTTCCACTTGCAAGAGTTCTGATACTTCAATCTAATGAAAAGTAGTATTATAAAAAGTATTTTTTTCAAATCTTTTTCTGTGCAGTTTAGTGAGCCTATTTCTCTGCAAATTTTTAAACCCAGTAGGTAAACTTTTTTTGTTTTCAAGCATCCCTATCCAGGTCTATCTAAAAAAATGTTGCAACTCAACTTGCAAACAAGTGCCTGCGTAGTTACCTGGTAAGGGCTAGGTAAAATATAATTACAAGTAGCTTGAATAATTGATCGCGCATAACGATTTCCAGTATAGTCTCGACTTTTCAGAAAACTACATGAAATTATGATGTTCATATTCTTGCAAGTGGGTTTTCAACAATATAAAGATGTGTACAGTTGCGCTAGCAGAATCTCGATAGTGTTGAACACAATTTCTTCCTTCATTCATCCATTAGCCTCGGAAAAAGTCTTCTAATAAGGGCCTGCGAATCGATGGCTTGGGACGTTACGCAGCGAACGTTCCATCGCTCTCATCTAAAAAAACTTTTTTTCAAAGATAAAAAAATAATCAAAAATTACTTTTTATTCGCATATTTCGAACCAGGGTGGAGGAACCTCTTTCTTTTTGACCATCATCGTGTCGAAAAATTCGGCGTATCATAGCTGAAGTTTTATAGTTGCTTTTTTTCACTTTATACGATTTTTTTGTTAAAAATAAAAAAACATATTTTTTTGTTAAACAATCACATGATTATCAGGGTCCCTTTAATTTTTTTATATGAACAGATATTATATCTGGTACACTGCGTCCAATAAGGATAGGACCACCCTCGATCATGGACTTTTCGGCGAATCCAGAAAAATATATCAAAAAAATCTGTTAAAAGCCATCCGATTGAGCGTAAAGAATTACCTATGGAACCCAAGTTTCATCATAATAGCCATTTTATTAATATTAATCCATCACAAAAATCGTCTTTTTTTGACTCTGATAAACTTTTTTTCGAAATCTCTTCAAGTTTTCTGTATATATCCTTATTATAGACGTAGTGTACAGCTTTGGATTGTACCAAGAACATAAGAGAAATAATGAAATGTTATTCGAAAACTACAAACCTCAACATTGCAAACTTCCATATATCATGTTCACCACTCCATGAGAATCTTATTGTTGAACTCTCTCTTCATTAGATCTGAAAAATTCAGTATTACAGCTAATACAAAGAATATCGAACTCACTTTTTTGTAATTTCTGGAGTTAATTTTTAAGAAAAATAATCAAAAAAAACGTCTTCGCTAGGAAGAAAAACAAAATAATTACCTTTCTCAAAGTATAATCGGATAAACCAATACATCGAATCTCTCGAAAAAGATACGTTTCGACGCGTCGCATACAAATATGAAGTCAACTAAAAAAACGATGATGATAAAATTTCATTTATAAAAAAACCAGAAAAAAATATATAGAAAAAAAGAAAAACATAATTTAGGAAAAATAGAAAAACATAGACGAAACAGTTTCGGAATTACTGTAAATGAGTTTGTGAGCTCTAAAGCAGCCCTCCCATAGCGCAAGCTTGCGCCCTGTATTGCGCGAGGTTCGCGCAAATTTTAGCGCTGGGTTTTTCTTGGCGCAAGCCTGCGGAACTTAAATCTCTCGCCGCAAAGTCGCGCCAGACGGGGGAGTTGCCTCACGTGAATCGACAAGAAATTTATCATTGGAGCGCCCTTTTCACACCTCTTTGATTCTTTTTTTTTTCATCTTCTCGTACATCACGGCGTTCCAAAAGGGAACCTCGCAGTGGAGAAAAATGACCTTGGTTGATAGAATTTGGAAAAGGTTTTAAAGAACACCTGCGAAGATCGCAGAACTAGGTAAAAAATGTGGGTTAGTCCTTCTACATTCGACATGATTTTCGTTTAAACTTCTCAACAATATTCATTAAATTATTTTTGTTACAACCGTCTTAAAACCGATTTGAAGGCTGATCTCCAATTATACGGATGATTTCAAGGGAAACTTCGTTAAATTGCTTCTTTATGATTTGAAAGCTTCCGCTATTCCATGGACATCATGAAATTTCATTTATTTTCGCAAATCTTAAAAAAATACTTGATTCAATCGAAACGTCTCAGAAAAGTCAAAAACGAATTTTAAAGTAATTTTGAATTTTCAAAAAAATTCTGTTGCGCAAGTACGCTCCAACGAACGCAAGGACGCGGAAAGATCTCGGACATTACTCCCCCGTCTGGCGCGACTTTGCGGCGAGAGATTTAAGTTCCGCAGGCTTGCGCCAAGAAAAAAACCCAGCGCTAAAAATTTGCGCGAACCTCGCGCAATACAGGGCGCAAGCTTGCGCTATGGGAGGGCTGCTTTAGAGCTCACAAACTCATTTACAGTAATTCCGAAACTGTTTTCGTCTATGTTTTCTATTTTCCTAAATTATGTTTTCTTTTTTTCTATATATTTTTTTCTGGTTTTTTTATAAATGAAATTTTATCATCATCGTTTTTTTAGTTGACTTCATATTTGTATGCGACGCGTCGAAACGTATCTTTTTTTCGAGAGATTCGATGTATTGGTTTATCCGATTATACTTTGAGAAAGGTAATTATTTTGTTTTTCTTCCTAGCGAAGACGTTTTTTTTGATTATTTTTCTTAAAAATTAACTCCAGAAATTACAAAAAAGTGAGTTCGATATTCTTTGTATTAGCTGTAATACTGAATTTTTTTCAGATCTAATGAAGAGAGAGTTCAACAATAAGATTCTCATGGAGTGGTGAACATGATATATGGAAGTTTGCAATGTTGAGGTTTGTAGTTTTCGAATAACATTTCATTATTTCTCTTATGTTCTTGGTACAATCCAAAAGCTGTACACTACGTCTATAATAAGGATATATACAGAAAAACTTGAAGAGATTTCGAAAAAAAGTTTATCAGAGTCAAAAAAAGACGATTTTGTGATGGATTAATATTAATAAAATGGCTATTATGATGAAACTTGGGTTCCATAGGTAATTCTTTACGCTCAATCGGATGGCTTTAACAGATTTTTGATATATTTTCTGGATTCGCCGAAAAGTCCATGATCGAGGGTGGTCCTATCCTTATTGGACGCAGTGTACCAGATATAATATCTGTTCATATAAAAAAATTAAAGGGACCCTGATAATCATGTGATTGTTTAACAAAAAAATATGTTTTTATTTTAACAAAAAAATCGTATAAAGTGAAAAAAAGCAACTATAAAACTTCAGCTATGATACGCCGAATTTTTCGACACGATGATGGTCAAAAAGAAAGAGGTTCCTCCACCCTGGTTCGAAATATGCGAATAAAAAGTAATTTTGATTATTTTTTTATCTTTGAAAAAAAGTTTTTTTAGATGAGAGCGATGGAACGTTCGCTGCGTAACGTCCCAAGCCATCGATTCGCAGGCCCTTATTAGAAGACTTTTTTTCCGAGGCTAATGGATGAATGAAGGAAGAAATTGTGTTCAACACTATCGAGATTCTGCTAGCGCAACTGTACACATCTTTTATATTGTTGAAAAACCCACTTGCAAGAATATGAACATCATAATTTCATGTAGTTTTCTGAAAAAGTCGAGACTATACTGGAAATCGTTATGCGCGATCAATTATTCAAGCTACTTGTAATTATATTTTACCTAGCCCTTACCAGGTAACTACGCAGGCACTTGTTTGCAAGTTGAGTTGCAACATTTTTTTAGATAGACCTGGATAGGGATGCTTGAAAAACAAAAAGTTTACCTACTGGGTTTCAAAAATTTGCAGAGAAATAGGCTCACTAAACTGCACAGAAAAAGATTTGAAAAAAATACTTTTATAATACTACTTTTTCATTAGATTGAAGTATCAGAACTCTTGCAAGTGGAAATTTTTTTATTGTATGTCATGATGTATTTTTTTGATATTTCTGCGTTTTGAAATTGTTCCATGTTTCACTTTTTTTTCACTGTTTCTGAACTTCCGGGTCTTCTGAATCTTACTATTTTGCAAAACCCCCGGTTGTTTTATTACTGGAAATAATTCGAGTCATTGTAATTATTAAACATAGCTTAAATTTTACCATTCTCACGTTATCTTTTTTTCCTTTCATTATTGATTGATACCATGAAATCCAATGCATCTTAAAGACTTCAATTGTTGTAAAGTGTAAAAATTAGTTCATTTTAGAAATAAATATAGTTTTTTTCCAAGTTTTCTGTGTTTGTTCAGCCTCTTTGAGCTGCGACACTCACAGGTTGCTTGTATTTTTTTGTTTAAATCAAGCTGAAAAATTCAATGCTATGGATAAATAGAAAAAAAGCTTGAGTTAAATAAAATACAGGCGACCTTTGAGCGTTGTAACTCAAAAGAGGAAAATAAGAGGAAGGACGAGGAGGAGAAAGGAAAAGGATATCACGAATGCGTGCTCCATGGATAATTCGCGCAACCCTTGCGCCTCTACGCGCAAGCTTGCGGCTAACATGTGCACATACTCGCGCAATTCACGGCGCAAGCCTGCGAAATCCTCGCCGCAAAGTCGCGCCAGACGGGGGAGAAGCTGTACAACAGGCTTGTGGGAGGGCCGGACCGTCAGTCTATCGGCCCATTTTCGCCTTTTTAACGATTTCTTCCAAAGCCCGGCCTGACCCGAGCCCGCGCAGGCTTTTTAAAAAATTGAGTCCCAAAGCCCGGGAGAGACCGGCTCGGACCGGGCCGCTCGGCCTGACGCATAAGCCTGCTGTAGAAATACCGGAGGCTCCGCCCAGCTGGCAAGAGGAACATTTTGAAAACAAATATTTATTGCTGGGCGGGGCCAACCAATCACGTCGTGGGAATCTGCTGAGTTTTCGTTACACCGCGTTTCGGCTCGTGCTTTTGAACCAGAAAAACTCTTTCGCTGCGCGCGTCGAATCAGCTTTGAACGCGGCATTAATGCCGTGTTCAAAGTGATTCCGCGAAATTCAAAATAGCCGTCAGAGAAAGAGAAAGATAACTAAATTTTGGAGGGTCAGAGACCATTTTGCATTTCGCGGAAATTACTTTGAACACGGCATAAACTTTCAAAAAAATTAAGAAAATTTTTTTTACAATTTTATGAATAAAACGCGCACTTTTGCACTATGAAGAAGCCCCTTCAGAGGTAAGTTTTTTCTTACTTTTTTTTTTCTTTTATCTTTTTTAAATTAATGTCGTAATATTCAAATATGGAACGAGAAATATTTCTCGTTTCAGATGTTCTTCAAAAAGTCTTCCAAGCTTATTTATTGCTTCCCGTATGGTTTTTGTCATTTTTTCACGTCACTTTTATGTATCATTTCTCTTTTTCTCAATCTTCTCCGGCTATTTTTGTCTTGTCCGAATAGAAGATGTAACTTTCTCTAAATTATTTTATCTCGGATTTGCTTTTTTTTTTCATCTTTTTTTATACCGATAAATCGCGCAGTTTTTAACAATGTCATAAAACCTGAAACTTGTGTGAAAATTGTTGAATAAAAATGACGTACTGTGAGTTTAACGCCATCTTGAAAGAGATCAGGCTGCTCGCAGGCCATCAGACGCTTCATGAAGTCCTCTGGAATTGGCGGGGGTGTTTTACACGCACCCAGCATATACTGGAAATTTGAGAGATTTTATTTGTTCATTATCAAAAAAAATTACGGTCATCTTTGTTTGATTAACTGCCTCTGCAATTCTGGAAGTATTGATAGTTTTTCAGTTTTTTTTTCCTCGGAAACTAACACATCGCCGACGCCGGTAGGACTTGTAGAGTCACTGCTGGAACTCTCACTTATGGTCTCGCCTGGTTGCTAAAAACAGTTCAAAAATTATTTCGTTTTTCTTTTCTTCTCACTTCCTTCTTCTTCTTTTTCTCCTTTTTCTCTTTTTTCTTCTGAAAATAATGACATATTCAAACAAATAATGCTTAGATTCAAACCTTTTCTTTTTTTTCTTTTTTCTTGGCTGATAGCTTGGATTTCGACGGCGTTTTTTTAACCTTTGGTCTTCTCTTTCTTAAATTCTAGGTTAAATTTTTTTGTTAAAATGTAGATTATTCAAATTTTCTAGTTGAACTGTTTAAGGTAATGCAATATTTTGAATATTTTTTTGTATCCAACCATTCACAGTTTCTCCTTCAAAAAAAAACCCAGCAAGAAATTCGAAAAAAATCGAGTTGGAAAAATCTGACCGAAGTTTTCTTCGCCTTCTTCTTGAAGCCCATCGTAGTTTCTGTAGGTTTATCTTGATTATAATATTTTTTTTCAGAGATTGGTTTTTTAAACTTACGAGAGATGAAAAGAAGCCAACTAACTGTGCAGACGACGCTTCGATGAAATGGCGGGAACTTCTTGAACTTTTATGGTTTATTCGTTTATTAATAAAATTGAAATTGTTCGATTGAACTTATTTTTATCAGCTTCAAAGTTTAATAATCGAAGTATTTTTTTTCGTTTTTCTGGCCTAAATTCATGCTTTTTTTGATTTGTGCGGCTTGGAAAGCGACAAGTGTTCGATGGCAACAGCCGCCAGTGCACGTGAAAGAAATGAAGCGATTCTTGTTGACTCCAATTATCGAACGGATCTTCCAGAAATACATTATTCCTGCTTTTTCCTAATTTTTTTGGTAAGTCTTTTTCAAGAATTTTTTTGTTTATTCGAAGGAAGCGTTTTAAGTTTTTCATGGAAAAATTTTGCCGTTGCTTATCTTTTTTTCAAAATGAAGGTGCAGTCATGATCTTTGTTGTTTAGTCAAGTCGAAAAAAATTTTATTCTTATAAAAAAATTTATATATAAAATTTATATATAATTGAAGAGAAACATAATAATTTGGAACATCTGAGCAAGCTAAAAAAATAATGAATTTAAATTTCTCTTCAATTTGAGAATAATATCTATTGATACAGGAATTGAAAATGGCTCTAAGTCTGTTTTAATTTTTTTCTCAAGGTAAATTCGAGTTTTTTTCTCGATTAGTTTCTAGTCATGAAAGTTTGTTCAAGTGGAAAAAAAGGAGCACCTCCTGCGCTTATAAAATTTTTATAGCTAGACTGAAAAATTATAAGGCTACTTCACAACTACTTATTTTTAGATTTTTGAACAGAACACAATTTTTTTTAACTTGGTAATGAAAAGCCGATCTCTGCCACTAGAGTCTGGTTTTCTGATCCTTTACTACGTAAGAAACGCTTGAATTTTTTCTTTATCACTAGTCGTGGCTTATCTCTGAAACAGTCGTCGGGCGAGCACACCATTTTCACTTCATTTATTGACCTCATCCACGTTTTCAATGTGTCCGGTCTCTGATAACTGCCCTTTTTTAACTTATTTGTTATATTAGTTTATATTTTCTAGTTCATGAAAATTCACTTACTTCTTAAGCTTCACTTTAAACCTTTAATGCAAATAAATAGGTTTTAGTGGGTTTTTTTCCACCAAGTTTATTAGTTGGCTTTTCCTCTGAAGGACATTCATGATTTTTTTTCGATTGTAGTGTTCCTTTAGCAATCAGTGTATGAATTTCCAGCGAAAAGTTTCACTTTTTTAATATTTCTTAGGTGAATTTGAATTAAGATATTTTTGAACTCTTCCTTCATAAGATTTTCAAAACAGAGTAAGTTTAGATTGAAAAAATCAATTTTTCTCATTTTTCACTTCATGTTCTGAAGTTCTGTAGCAATAAAGTTAATTCTTAAGCTTTATTTTAGGTAATTCCTAGATGAGGAGGCTCTTGTTGCTATCTCTCGCGGTCCTGGCGAGATGCCAAACACAAACTCGATTTGACTGTTTCCCAGAGCCTCATGGAGCTTCTCAGCAGGCCTGCGAGGCTCGTGGCTGCATCTGGAACCAGCAATCCCAGCCGGTACGGCTAAATATATTCCAAAAAAACGTCTTTCTTCTTCAGCAAAGCGTCCCATGGTGTTACATGGCGCCTGGCGTCGGCTACAAACTCGGCTCGCAGTCGGGCGCAACGTACAGCTTGAAGAAGAACAGCGGACCCAAAAATCCGTGGGGCCTCGATTTTCCGGATGTCCAGTTGACCACCAAGACCTATGGAAGCATTCTGAACGTTAAGATTACGTCTGGTCAAAGGTGATTTTTCGAGTTGTATATACCTTCTTTGAAGAAAGTATGAGTTCCCAGGTAAATTTCTAAAAAAGCAGGCAGTTAGATTATTTTCCAGGTTAGGTTGATTTTTCAACTTGAGAAAAGTTGGTTATTTTGAGTTTTTCTGTAATATTTCATCTTTTTTCATGTTAAGATTAATTTTTCTCAGAGTTTCTTTGACTTTTTCAATATTTTTGACCCGAAATTTCTGAATTCCACTCGATATTGAAACAAAAACACATTAAAAAGTTTCTCGGACCTCGGAAACGCAAACCGGAGCTTTTCTAGTGATCCCTTTAGCGGCGTCAGCACTCAAGTGATCCCTAGAATGGCTCAAAACGTCCGGTCTGCGTTACCGAGATCAGAGAACATTTTTTTCAGATATGAGCCGCCCGTCGACTTTCCCAAACAACCGGCGACGTCTTCTGAGCAACTCACTCTGTCCACCGACGCTTCTACCGACGTCTTCTCTTTCGCCGTCGTCCGTCAGAGCAATAATCGCAAGATCTTCGACACCAGCATCGGTTTTTCAATTTAAAATAGATAATTTTCAAAAAAAATCTTCATAGTCTGTTCATATTTTAAATGTCAAGTCTGCTCACAAGCTCCGCCCCTAATGGTGCGATAAACCAATCAGAGAGCGAGCAATTTATAGATCGTTTTTGAATGACGTCATTGGACATGACATTCAAAATCTGAACAGACTATAGTCAATTCATGGCTATCTAAGGGGCGTGTCTGCGCTCTCCACCAATGAGACGCTCTTTTTTTGTAAATCGTGTCAGAACCCTATTCTCGATGGCTCAAGCTAGCCGTTAATCAGTAGGCAAAAAAGCTTCCTAGAAGGCGTTCAGTAACCCTGTTCTCTTTCCATTTTTGCCTCCGTCTTTTTTGAGCTTTTCCTAGCCTTGTCTTTCAGGCGTCTAAATATCAAGCTTTTTCTGAAATTGCAAAAAATCTAGAAGCAAAAGCAAAAAAAAATAATAAAAAAATATCCTCTCCATAACCCTTTGAAACATTTCCTTTTGAAGATTATGGCTTTAGGAGGCCTGATTTTCTCCGACCAATTCATCCAAATTGCAACCTACCTTCCCAGTGAGAACATGTACGGCTGGGGCGAGAATACTCATCAAAATATCAAGGTATGAAGTTTACCGAAAATTGAGATAAAATTTGGTCTCAGCACGACTTTTCGGGATACCTCACCTGGGGAATGTTTGCCAGGGATCAGCCGCCGAATTCTGGATCTCTCGACACGATGAATCTTTATGGTAAGAAGGGGTACTGTAGGGATCTTTATTTGGGGAAATGCTTGTTGAAATCTTGGTTTTGAGTGTTGTGCATGAAAAGGGGCTGGCAGGTCATAGTCGGCCTTTTTTTTGTCGGCGTTTTTTTTAAAGAAGCTCAAGATTTTTTTTAAGGAAGTTTTAGAGCTTTCTTTGAGACTTGAGTGTTAAAAAAAATATGTTTCATCCGGTTTTTACATACTTACTTTGGAATTTCATGACTTTTTTCAGGAGTTCATCCCTACTACATGTTGGTGGAGCCGGACGGCAAAACTCACGGAGTTCTTATTCTCAACTCTAACGCCCAGGTTAATCAATTAGCGTCAAAAAAATTAGACCAAAAAGTTTTCAAAATGAAAAAAATTATATCACTTTCATTTTTTTGTTATTCTTGCAATCACGTCCTGAAGCCCTTTAAAACAAAAAAATTTTTTTATTTTTTTGAACGTTTCTGAGCGATAAAAGGTTCATAAACAATTCATTCAACATTATAAAGACGGCTGTTTTGAGTCATGGAAAAAGAGTCCTGACACGATAAAAGACGAGGTAGTACCTGGTAAGGGGAGACGCAGACAGGCCACGCCTCTTTACGTCCCAAGCTAACCGTGAACCCAACAAAATTTCAACTTTTTCAATTTTTTTCGAGATTCAAACACGAAATCTTAAAGGATCTGGTCTGAATTATTTAATGTATAGCTTAAATTTTTAGGAAGTTACCACGGCCCCCGGCCCTTCCCTGATCTACAAAACGATCGGTGGAAACTTGGACATTTACTTCTTCCCCGGCCCAACTCCCGAACAGGTTCAAAACCTTTTTTGAAGCTCTTTTAATGAAAAATCTTCAATTTTCAGGTCACTCAGCAGTACCTTTCCTTCATTGGAAGGCCATTCCTACCTGCCTATTGGTCACTTGGATATCAGGTAACTTGATTTTTTTTTTTCGGAGTTTTTATATTCTTAGAATTTGAGATGATCGAAGTACGAAAAGAGATAGTGATTTGTTAAATGAGAGAAATAATGTGAAAATATAGGAGTTTAGTGCAGAAACCCGCACAATTTTTCAATAGCGGGAATTTTTCTGGCGCGCCCGATAGTGTTCTGAAATTACTGAAACATTGTCCGAAAGTTTGAGGTTTTACCTTTTTTATCTTGAGGGAATATAGAGATTTCTTCCTTTTTTTTCAAGGGATTTCGTGAAAAAAAATTTTTTGAAGCTTTTGCGATCATAAAAACACCGGAATATTGCGCACAAAGTTGAATTTTTCTCGTGAATTTGACCTTTTTGAGCTAGACAAGGAAGGTCATTTTACTTTGCGGTTGGTATTTTTCTGAAAATTGGTCAGAACGCTCCTAGATGTACCAGAAGAAGATTCTCAAAGTCTCAACCTGCACAACTTTTTCGATAAAAGACGCTGCGAAGTCAAAGAAAACCCTCAAAATCCGTTAAATTTGCATATTTTGAGGCTTCGAGCCTTCATTTTTCAAAATGTAAGAAGTTGGGCAGGTTAAGACTTTCAGAATCTTCATCTGGTACAACAAGGAGTGTTCTGGCCGATTCTCAGGAAATTCCTAACCGCAATTTAAAATGACCTCCTCTGTGAGGGAATTCAAAGCTTTTCCCTTTTTTCTTTGCGAAAAAATAGAAAATTTATATTAAGCTTTCCCGATACGGTTACAAGAACTTGGATGATGTAAAGGCGAGAATCGGCGCGGTTAGAGACGCCGGAGTTCCGATTGATATTGGTAAAAAGCCCAAGTTTCTTCTTTCGAGGGTAAATTCTGGGTTCCAGGAGTGATCGACATTGACTACATGGACCGTTACAAGGATTTCACGACTGGATCGGTGAGGAAATCAAAAAAAAAATTGATTTTTTAAATTTTTTTTGTATCAGATATTTTTGTAGTATTCAAAGTTCTTTTTGAAATTTTTTTTTTCTCTCTGCGCTCTCCTCGTCTCTCGGCGACCCTCTCCTGTTGAGGTGCTGTTTTCTTGTTGTTCTGACCTCGCCGACGAGGGAACAGAGAGACGCAGACACGAGAAACCTTTCAAGTCGTAATAAACGAACCGGGAATTTGTGGAAGAATTGATTCACAAAAAAACTTGACTCAAAAATCAAATTCAGAACTTCAACGGATTGAGCAGCTACGTGCAGCAAATGCACGACTGGAGCATGAAATTGATCCTAATTTTTGATCCGGCCATCGAAGTCGATTATCCGAGCTTCCAGCGAGGCATTTCCGCGGTGGGTTTGATTTAAAGAAAGGTAAAATTGATCAAATCCAGAACGCCAAGTTCATCGAATGGGAAAACGCCAACCAAGTGATGCACAGCATTCAAGACATGGTAAGGTTTCGAAAAGTTCAGTTGTTGAAATTAATCAAGGGCGCTCCATCGCTAATTAACACTTAAGTGATCCCTAGATGTTCTCAGAAAGTCCAAGGCGCGTCCGATTTGCATTTGCGTTACTGAGGTCTGAGAATTTGAAAGTTTATCCGTGGAGCGAAACTGAATGATTTGTCGAGGCCGTTACTGACTTTTTCAAAATTATTATTTTTCTCTTCATATCTATTGATTGAAAAAAAATGTTATTAAAAAGGTGAAAATTCCAAAAAATCTTCTTTCTGTCAAAATTAATTTTTTTCGCTCAAACTTCCTACAGTAACCCCGAAACCCTACAGTACCCCCTCGCCAAAGACACCAAGATCATGTTGGGCGTGGTTTGGCCAGATAATCACGTCGCCTTCCCCGACTTCTTCGATCCGACGAGCAATACCCAAAATTGGTGGATCAGCGAGTTCAAGAACTACAGGTCGCAGGTTTACTGTAGCTTTGGAATGGCTTTCAAAGAGAAATAGTTTTAAAGGTCGCCTTTGACGGCATCTGGATCGATATGAACGAACCGTCCAACTTCGGCACCAATGATCCTCATCCGTGGTCGGTTTTTTAGGGGATTTTGGGAGTTTCAGGAAGGAATTTATAAAGTTTTTAATGCGTTTTGTTCAAATTATCATTGGGTGAAGAAAGTTTCAAGTTCCAGGCACTTCTGATATAATATTATTCGTAGTTCAAGGTTCGAAATCTCGAAAAATTCTTTAAAAATCAAGGTTCTTCCCACTAAACTTGACTAAGAGCCCACCTCTTTACTCATGAAATAACGTGTTAAGGTACTTCGACAACCCAGACCATCCGAATGCGGCGCCGTTATTCTGTCCGATGAATAACTCCTGGGACATGCCGCCGTATCTGACTCACTCTGTTTGGCGTTTCGGCGATGCCAGCACGGTAAATGAAACCTATTTTTCAGACCACTAAGAAAAAAAAGCTTTCTTTTGTATTTTATTGAAATAAGAGCTTTTTTAGGGAGCGATATAGCGCAAGAAGTTTGCTTAGAGGGGCGTGAAATTCCATGAAGATCCTAAAAATACTTAAAATTTTGCTGTTACTATTCTCAAAAATGAAACAGAAATATGGAGCTTCAACTTGAGCTTTCGGTATTTTGCTTTCGGCACAGCTTACTTCCGCTGCGACATAGGGAATTATCCACAAAAAAACCTTCTTCTCACACCAATAAATATATTTCAGGGAGCCTACCTCGCCACAAACACTTTGTGTTTGTTGGCCGTTCAAGCCAACAATCAGCAGCGATTCTACAACACCAAGAACCTTTATGGTACAGAAAATTGAAGAAAATATTAAATCTATAAGAGTACAGGATTGAGTGAAGCAATCAGCACTCAACAGGCCTTGTTCCAAAGTACGGGAAAGCGCGGAGCCGTTGTTTCTAGGTTGGTATTTTTTTTTGTTTAAATATAAAGACCATGGTTGGGATCCGGTATAATCTCTTTTTTGTCGTATTGTTCTGCACTCCCTAGCTCAACAGGTTGAGGGCCTGTCTACGGTCTACAGGGTCACAAGTTCGATCCCCGCCGCGACATAACCAAGGGGCTTGAGAAATGTTGCTAGTGGAAGACCAAGGGCGATTTATATTGAATATAAACGCCGTAGCGCAACAGGTTTTGGGCTTGTCTACGGTCCACGGGGTCACAAGTTCGATTCCCGTCACCCAAAGGGGTTCAGCAAATGTTGGTAGTGGGTAACCACGGCTTCTTGATCTTGCAATGACGGATATGTCACTAGAGCCTATCTGATTATCACTGATATCAGGATAGGACCTTGCCACATCGCTTCTTTAAAGACCGCCATTACCTCCTCCCAAGACACCCCCGTGAGGTTAGAAGTAATTTTTTTATTGCTGCCAATACTTCTTCCCTGAGTTCAAAAATCATTTTTACTCGTTTTTTTTTCGATAAATTTTCGTAAGTCACTCCTTCCTCCTGAACAAATTGAATGTGCTCGGGGTGCCGACGCCGCTCAAGTGGTCCCTAGGCATAAGGACAAGAAAAAGAAGACTATTCTGCCCCACCTATGTTTTCAACTAAAATTTTGAGGTCCACGTTCCCGTCAGCCGGTCGGTACGCTGGTCACTGGCTTGGCGACAACACGGCCCGATGGGAGGACCTCCGGACTTCGGTCATTGGCGCCCAGGAGTTCAACCTCTTTGGAATACCGTAAGTTTGAATTTTTATGAAGACAGAGGCGTTGAGATCGGAAAAAAGCAAAGTTTTGTCATTCGTCAAATTATTATCTTTAATAGGAGTAAGGTTTTTTTTATTCTATTTCATTGATTCTTATATGTCGTCACTCAAGTATTTTTAACCACAATTAGATTATCTATTAAGAAAATTTGAAAGTTTAGCGAACGTTCTAATCTAATAGCCCTCAAAGTTACGTAAAGTTCTTCATTGACGTCATCATGAGACGTTTTGTTCTATAACAACTTTACAAGTTTACTGATCCCTCCAATTCCTTTAGAAACCGGCAGCTTTTGTTCAAACCGCCCTTCTATTCAATGAAAAAATTTATCTACAAAAGATCCCGGAGATACGAGAACAATATAAATTAATTCAAAAATTGGCCCTGATTCCTTATTTACAACCAAATGAAAACTTGGAAAATGAGTACGGTAGAAGGAAAGACTCAGAAAAAGAACAAATCGGCGCAGTCGGTTAGGTCGGCGCTGTCAAGGCGGATCGAGGGCGGACAGCGGTCGTACATCCTGGAGAAGGGGTTGGAGATGATCCCAGCCAGGGCGTTCAGGCTCTGGAATTAAATAATTTAGTCTCTTAGGATGTCCTATAACGCATCGGTTGCAAATATTTGATTTTATAGTCGGGATTTAGAAATGCTTGAGGCGTTGTGGTTTGAATCACCCAACTTTACATTTTTAAGACTTCTTCAGTGATTCTTGATCCTATTGCGCGCAAGTTGTTTTGGGTCGGGCGCAGTTAGGAGAATTTTTTGTAGATAATGCATCTCGTAGAAAAACAGGAACGATTTTTAAAAAGTTCGAAGGTAAGCTCGAAAATCAAAGAAGGATTTTTATGTAGGAGCCCTATCGTAACACATTTTTAAGAACCCTAATCTCGAAAATTCATTCTTACATGTCGTTGTTGAGCTCTGATTCTGTATTTTAAGGACGAGTCGATAGTTTTCAGTAGTAGCGAGTCGATTCTGGAAAAAAAACAATCAAGTTATCATATTGATTCCGAAATGAATCATTTTTCGGGAGGAAGAATGTCAGAAATGCCGACCCAATAACCATCAAAAACGAGACACACACGAAACGCGACCGTCACAAAAATACGAAAAAGTGTTGGTGTTCCTCATTTGTGTTAACTTAACCGATTTCTCGCCCAAAAAAAAAACTTTTTTGGGAGGGTCTCTCTCTCCTCGACCACACCCAGATATAATGCGCTTAGTGACGAAGGCATCCTCCTAACTTCGTCTCCAATTTCGGGAGCAGCACCAGACGCCTTCTCGAGAACGGATTCTCGAGGATTTGACTGTCTTTTTGGTCTTTTGTTAGGTTGGTCTAGGATGAGTTAGTAGGGGCAAGTTAGGCTATGAACTTGAGGAGAAGCTCAAATCGTTCCATATGATTTTTCTTACTAACGGCCTGTTAAATGATTATTTTATTCAACTGGTTTCGAACGTTTTTTGGTCTTCTGTTGTGTTCGTCAAGGAAACAGCAGCCAAAAATTAGGCTACGAACTTGAGGAGAAGCATTTTTGAGCTTATTAGTTCTGTCTGATTTTTTCTACTGACTACCTGTTTGATGAAGGTTCTCAGATGTTTTTTCCTTGAACTGGTTTTGATAGGTCTATTTAGTTATTTGTTTAGTTGGTCTAGGGTGGAGTAAGGAAAAATTAGGCTTCGAACTCAAAAAAAAACCATTTTTGAGCCTGATTGTTCTAGCTGACTTTTCCTACTGTCTGCTTCTTTGTAAAAGATTTTTAGGTCAGTAATTTTTTTTCTAAGAAAAGCTTTGGTTAAAGTTTTTGATGAGTTTCCCTTCGGACTATATTTTAAGGAATTTTTTTGAATAAGATAAGATTTTTCTTGCATATCTCTACTAGCTCGCGAAAAAAATTTTTTTCTTGATCTTTGCTGCGAATTTTTCCTTCTCAACAGGTTTTCACGAGTTTTTTTGTGTAGAATTGAACTTTTTCTTCGAGGAACTTCTCATTTTTTTATAATTTTTGAAAAAAATTGTGATTTTTCAAAGCCCTGCAATTTTTTTAACTAAAAGTGCTCATGTCGAAATTAAATTTATCTACCTTTCCATAGTTCTTTTAGGATTCACCGTGTTTAATCTCATTCATTCGCATTTTTTTATTAAAATTGAATCTTTTTTTTTTTGTTAAACTCATTTTTCTGCTGCTTTTTTTCAACGGTCACGCCGTTTCTGGATTTTTGACATCTGATTCTAAAAGTTCAATTTACTCGGAAAACATTCCTGGTTCAGTTACGTCGGCTCTGATGTCTGTGGCTTCAACGGCGATTCCAACGAGGAGCTCTGTCTTCGGTGGCAGCAAATGGGCGCTTTCCATTCCTTCTTCAGGTATTTCTTTAAGATTTTATAAACAATCTTGAGGATCTTGAAATGAGCTGAAGCCATGAGAAGCTTAAAAAATTGAAGTTTGAAAAAAACAATTCCTAGAAATCACAACACGATCGGAGCTCCCCCACAAGACCCTGCCGTTTGGCCATCCGTAGCAGCGGCGTCGAAAAAAGCCAATTTGTTCCGTTATCAGTACCTCCCGTACTTGTTCAGGTTGAGGCTGTAGATGAACATAATTCTGTAAAGCCCTCAACTTTAGCTTGCACTTTATCGCGTCGATGAATGGTGGAACCGTGGTCCGACCGGTGTTCTTCGAGTTTCCCATGGATACGGAGACACTCAACCTTTCCGAGCAGTTCATGTGGGGCAAGTCGATGCTCATCGCTCCTGTTCTGAAACAGGTGGATACTTGATTAATGAAACTGAAATCCCTGAAAGATGTTTAGTTAATTTGATCTAGAAAGAGAGGTTTAAAAATTTTTTATCAAAGCGTAAAAATAATTTTCAACTCTAGAAGGTTTTTTAAAAAAGAGGATTCTTCAATCGCAGGGAGCAGTACTGACTTTAATTTAGAAGGCAAGGAAGGTTTTCAGCTTTTGAAGATTGTTTTTCCATGTATGTTAAGATCATAAAATGAAAAGTAGAAAATGGATGTTTTTTTCCTAGAATAAGGTGTTCTTAAAGGGAGCCACCTCGGTGAATGTGTACCTGCCTGAAGATCGGTGGTACTCCCTCTCCGACATGACTTATGGAATTATCGTTTCCGAGGGCTACCGTACTATGTCCGCGCCCACAACTTCGTTGATTCCAGTTTTCGTCAGAGGTTTGTACAGTCCGACTTGAAAGGTCCTGACTTCTCTGCGCCCTCCTCTTCTCTCGGCGATCCTCTCATAATTACGTGCTATTTTCATTTTTCTCTGACCTCGCCGGTGAGGGAGCAGAGAGACGAAGACACTCAGAAACTGTCAAGTCGTGACGGGAGGACTTTACTTATTCATTTCAAAAAATATTGTGATTACTTTTTTCTGGGAAGTTTGATTTTTCGAACAGTTTTTCTAGTTACCTTTGAAGTAGGGTAAAGAAAAATAGCATGGCCAGAAATTCGTATTTCAGTATTGTTCTCCGTTCTTAAGCTGAAAAATAAATTTTTTCAATCGAGGTATAATTTTTTCTTTGTTTTGAACTTTTCCCATCTTCTATAATAATACCTACACATACATAGAAAACGGTGTGATACTTTTTTTCGTAGAAAATCTCTTTTTTTAAAAGGTTTTTTTGAAAAGAATAGTGGTGAAAATAAAGGACTGGTGAATTAAGCTTTTTTGATGAAAAAAGATGTGAAATGAGTTGAAAATTTTTTTTCTGAACACACTTCATTTGAAGTAATTTTTCCCAAGCAGAAAAAGTTTGAAGAACTCTATGATGATTTTTGAGCATCATTTATTAAGAAATTTTCGCGCTGAAACTCAAAAAAATTAGTCTAATTTTTACTTCACTCGGAATTTCCCAAATATATATTTTCTCAGGAGGAAGCATCATTCCCCGACAAACGCCAGCCATCACGACGGACGCCACTCGTCAAAATCCATTCGAGGCACTTGTCGCGCCAGGCAACCGCAATATTCCCGCTTTTTTTTCTCATCAGCCGGATTCAGACGCCAATGGAAACGCGGAAGGCGTCCTCTACTGGGACGACGGCGAGACGATCGTCAAGGACTTCGGAAGCCATCCGTATCATCAGTGGCAGTACACCTACAACTTCACGAGTGGAGGCACTACGAGATTGTCGATTAAACACTCGAAATCGGTTGGTAGTGGAGGATGGACTGGGGAAACAGAGTTCAGAGCCGAAATTAAGATTCGAGATTGAAAAAATCTTCTGAGAAACAACTTTAGTTCCCTTGAAGCCACTGAGTTCAAAGAAAACGTAAAATTAACCATTTCAAGTTTGAAATTTGGGAAAAGTTATAGCGCATTCCGGGAAATTAGTGATATTCCAGATATGAAAATTGGAAGTTTGATCGTTTTAGAATCTCACTTTAAGTGAGCCAGAGTGGTCCCTAAAGGGGCAATCTTTGAGAGCAGAAGAACCAAAACCTTCCAAAAAAGGTCCATATTGGGGTTTTAGCGGCCCTTGTAGGGGAAACGTTATTTGATTTTTGTGTATGAAAACAGCGTGATTAGTCGAACAAGTTTTTTTTTAATAGTCTTTTTTTTAATTTTCAGGACTTTACAAAGAATCAAAAGGGGGACCGCTTAACATTTGGGGCTTAGTGTTCAGATTCTAAACCCCTATAAGGGTCACTTAAATTCTGTAGTACTATTTTGTCACTTATGGAGGTTATACTTCCCCTAACCACTCTAAGAACCTCTCTGGAGTTCCTAAAAACTCCGTTGCTAATTTTAATCTAAACAAAAATATCTTCGAATTGAAAAACTCAAAAATGCTCTTAAAGACCACCGTCCCTGTCCCGACGCTCGACATCCTCGAAATTTTCGACTTCCGCGGAACTCCCGACTACAGATCCTTCAAGCTCAACGGCCAAACTGTCAATATCAACGTCCAGACGTCTTCCTACAGTCCTATAACCAAGGTTGATCTCGTCATGAATAAAAAAGACGTTTTTGGTCAAAACTGTTTTCTATGAAAAAGTAAAAAAGACTAGGATATGCTCCATCGATAGTCCTAACAAGCTTGCACTGAAATTACTCCTAAAAACTTCCTTATCACCACTATTCTATCAGGCTCCTTTAAATTTATATTTTTTTCAGAGATTGTACATCTCGACCAAGGGCCTTATCGATTTGTCCAAAGGTGACGTCGTCCTCGAATGGAACAGTTCCAGCTCCTCAACCCTCGAATTTTCCCCGAAAATGGTTGCGCTTGAGAGCAACCGATACGAGCTCAAACTTTGAAACTTCAAAAATGCCTATATAATGTAAAAAAATATTTTATACTGAACTATGGAGACAAGAAGTACAGGAAAACGGGAAAAATTAAAGCAAGACCGTAACGATTCTAGACTAAATTCGTTCGAAAGGCGATCACTGAAACACAAGAAAAATATATAAAGGCAATAATGGATGAGCAAGAAATGCGTTTTGATATACATCGGAATTGGGGTTTTGAGGCAAAAAGGCGTGGAAATGGTGAGTAAATGGATTTTTGATTTTTTCGAGGAATATGCGAAAATATAGATACAGTTTCGAAATGAAGCTCATGACGGTGGTCACAGCACTGAAGAAGGTTGAGGCAGACGTTTCGGAGACCCCCAAAAAGTTTGGTGATGAGAAAATAAATATCAAAGAAGGAGAAAGAACAAGAAACAAAAAGGTACCACGTACAGGAAGAAATATGTATCTCGTGAAAAAAATTATGCAAAAAAATTAGTTATATTGATAAAAGAAACTCAATAATTTTTAAAGGCGCAAGGGTATTTTGAACATTATTCAACGCGAAATGATAATTTTGGTTCCTGCGCCTTTAAAAATAATAGAAAAATATGAGCAAAAATGTATAATTACTTTTCCAGATGTTTAAAGGCTCAGCGTGGGATCAAAAGTTTTAGCACGAAAATTATGGTCGCTGCGCCTTTAAAAACCGAAAAAAAACATCGGCTTGAATGAACTAAAAAATAACGTATTTGGTTATCAACAGAATGTATTGAAAAAATTCGTGATCAAATTGAAAATTTCGAAGCAAAATGTGAATTTTTGAATAACATATTGTATAAATCGATGAATTGAGTATCATTTTTCGAGAAAATATCGAATAGAAATCAACTTTTCGCCCGCCATTCTTCCGGTACCTTACCAACGTCGACATAAAGATGAAAGTATAAAGGCCGTGTCGTGACCTGAAACAGAAATGTGATGATTTTACGTAGATTCGAGGAAATTCCACCTTTCTAATGGTCCATTTGTTCGTTTCGTTGAGGCCATCGTAGGCGACCCGCGTCGCGCTGTTCGCCAGCAACTGGTAGCTGAATTTCCGGATTTTTATTAGATTTGTTGAATTTTTAGAGAAACAAAAAGCCAAGAGGAAAATAATTTTAGTCATAAAACCCGGAAGAAAAGTGAAATTTGATATGTTCACGGAGTTCTTACAGTTTACAACATGCCTTGCTAGAAATAATAAAGAGAAAAAAATATTCTTTTTCAAAAAGTAGAATCTTCTGTCTGAATCAACAAGTTTTGAAGTAATTTCGAGCGAAAAACACAAAAAAATTAAAAATAAAACAAGTTAATTTTCTAAGAACTTATTAACAAAAAAATCAATAAGCTTCAAAAAAATACATTCCCTTGGAATATCATGTTTAGGTAATTATCTAAAAATAACTTGGTTTCTAGGTTATCAATTTTTTTAGGCGATTCAATGAGACCATTTTAAAAGGATTGCCGTTCAAAAAATTTAATTTGACAGAAAAAAAAGACATTTTTTGTCTTTCAAAAAAGTTTCTATATGGTTTCACAGCCTTTAAAAAAGCAATTAGCAAACTTTTCGATCCAAAAAAAAAAACAAACATCAATTTCGGAGCAGTTCTTTTCCGTTTCACGTGCTTCAGCATGGAATATCGGCCGGTGTCCGGATTGGGTCTCTCGATGGTGTAATTCAACGATAAAATCCGTTGTCCTGAACCCATTTTGCGACAATTTTCGGGGGATTTTCTAACCCATATCATCGTCTTCGCCGCCCCAAGCCCAGAACATGTTGGAATAGCCGTTGACGGTCCGGTAATCCTTCATCGAAACGGCCAAAACACCGCCAACTATCTCCTTGTACCATAATCTAGAAAAAGGGACTGGTGAATATCGATTAGAAAACTGCTCTCATTAACATTGAAACAAGTTCTTTCTTGCATTTAAAAACTCGTTAAATATCTATTTCGTGTTCAAATCAATTCCAAAAAATTCAAAACAGCCGTCAGAGCGTGAAAGAGATAACAAAATTATGGAGAGTCAGAGATAATTTTGAACTTCGCGGTAATTACTTTTAACACGGTGTTAGAAATTGAAAGCTTTCAGTGAGAAAACAGAACTGATTAACATTATCTTTGAACCAAGTGATCATCAAAGTTAAAAACCTTTTAAAAAAATAAAAAGAGACAAGGATTTACAAAAACTCAGCTGAGAAGTACTTTGAAGGACCCTGATTACATTTCAAGAAAAAAAAAAGATTAATTCTATCTGTCGTAAAATATCGAGGAAATACTCTAAAAATGCAAAAATTCAAACCAAAGCTCGATTAAAAAAATTTTTTTCAACTCTCTTCAGATGCTCACATTCAAATATAACATAAGAAAGGACCTCTGGCTTCGAAAAAAATCTAAAAAAACGTACTGATAGCCCAGATTGCTGACAAAAAGCGCCGAGATGCCTGGGCTGTGGGGGACAAGAGTACGGATTTCGATCATCCTGGAAAATAATTTTTTTAAAAATTAAATCTTGAAGGGGTGTGACCAGTGAGAAAAAAAGTATTGACTGCATTTTATGAAGAAAGTCAATTGATTATTTATTTTGTTGTTTTGAGCATAAATTAGGCGGCGAGAAAGAACTTTAACACCTAGAAAAGCTTTAAAAGAACAATATTCTCTCAAAAATCCTCTTTTACTAGCCACGAGGCGAAAAAAAAAATCAAAACCTGCGGAAACATGTCGACGTCATGAAAAACGACACAATCGACGCCAAGTTTCTCGGCGAAAACGAAGGCCGCGTTCATGATCCGGCCCTTGTTGAATAAATCATTTCCATACTGAAACAAATCGTTTCGAAATAGCGGTAATACGTACAAAATATCAGTAAAAAACCATCATTGGCAAAGTCGGAAAGGGTGGAAAAAAGCTCAATAGAATTTTTCCTTTTAAGGTGACAAAAATTCCTTTTTGCACCATTTTATCGGCTATTATGCACCATTTTTGCTGCCTCTCCCTTTTTTCAATATTTCTGAAGCGGCCATTATCCACAATTCCGAATTTTCCCGAATTGAATCTTGATAATGAAAAAGTACCTGTTCCGTCACAATAAACCGAAAATCAAGCCGCTGTCGCTGAAGGATCGGGATCAGAAAATCGATAAGCCGCGTCAAATGTGACTGGCGGTCCCTGTAGGGGATGATCACTGCGATTTTGTCCCGCGCCTTGAAATTTAAACTTTTTTACAAAGAAAAATTTGTGGCGAGAAATATGACAAGAAACTGAAGTAATGGCTTTGTTTTTTGTTTTTGTTTTTCAAGTTTACAGTAAGTTTCTGGCGTTTTTCTCCCCGGAAGAATTTATAAAAGTCTTACGGCGGAGAGTCGTAAAACTCGCTTTGCATAACCTTAGAGCCTTCAAAAATTAAAATGAAACGTTTTTAATCAAAGTGTGAAGAATTTTCAGGAATTAAATCAAGTAAACACGTGATAATAAAGTGCAGAAGACAAAAAAATAGAGATAAATCTTTCACAAACTATAATAAAGACTCATTTTTTTGTCATTATGAAAGTAAAGCGACGAACTTTGCAATCTCTGGGCGCCCAAGTTCCACCCGGCCCAAGTTCCGGATGAACCGCGTGAACTTCTCCTTCCTTCAAGTTCTGAATGAGCAAAACCGCCTGAGGCAGGGACCCTTGAAGATCTGGAAGATTCTCCACAGCTGGACAAGATCCGTCTGCTTCAGCGCTAAAAACGAAAAATTATTATCACTAGATTTTTTGAGAAAACTGACACTTTAACGGTTTGTACGAGCCGACTCGTTGTTTCTTCCATATTCAGAAAATTGACCGTTTGCCGTGCGATTTCCAACTCAACGGGATCCGAGAAATCATTGCTTGACCTTAAAACTTGTTTCATTCTCATTTCAAATCTTCAAAAAAATGAATCAAATTTAAAAAATTAAAATCACTTCTCGGCAGGGTGGGAATTGGCGTTTCGCGGAGCATCTTGGTGACCTTGTTCAAAAGTTGCGGCTATTCTTGAAAATTTATTAATTCATCAATCATAATCGCTTTAAGTAACCTTTTTTCATCCTTTATTGCTGAATCGCGTAGCAAAATAACGTAGATTATAGTGAATAGGGCTGCCAGTGGAATCAAACGCTTTGGCGAGCAGTTGCGGAAAAGAAAGAGCCACTGCCGCATTCTGAGCTTCTAATTGGAGTAGTCACTCCATTTGAATAGCGAATAACACTGAAAAAGCTCGGTAAGAAAAATTAAAAATAAAGAACACAATTTAAAATCGGGTAGCGAAACTTGGACATTTCTGAGAGTTTCAGGAGAAAAACGCTAATGATCAAAGATTGAAAATGCTGAGAAGAAATGAACGCTTATGTGAAGCAAATAAATGAACAAAAACCAAACAAGAAGTAGCTAGAAAAAGTGAAAAACGAAGAAAAAGCTGCTAAACTGGTTTCATCACCCCAAGTGCGCTCTTGTTACGCGTACTGACGTTTTTCCAAAACTCGACAATGGCGTGATTTTCGTGTTCATTTTTCTCCTTCTTTTTTTTTCACTTTTTTTAAAAGTGTTTTCGCTTTCGTATTTGAAGATGTTTTGTTTTAAGATATATTTCCGAAAAAATTTTTTTTGCATTTTCGAAGTTTTCGAACCATTGGTTTCAAAATCGCAGGATCACACAGTTTTTAATTGTTTTTTTTCAGTAAACATTTTTCAGATTATGAAACTAGTGGGGGACGAACTCGTATTAATAACCCTACCCGACGGAACTCAAATCAAATGGTCTTCCAAGCTACAAGAGCTCGCCGAGTACGCCGCATCACATCGAACCAACATCACGAGTGATCACGTCGAGCTCCTCTCCATAATATCTCCAGGTGCATAAAATTCATTAAATATATATTATTTTTTGGATTATTTTTAGATGAAGTAGCAAGGTTGGCGAGTAGTGAGCCGAAAAAGAGAGTTCCGGCGGGTCGACGGAGTACAAGAATGGATGAGAATGGAGAATACGGGGAATCAACCAGAAAGAGAAAGGTTTTTTTTAGAAAAACGCTTTTTTTGGGATCAAAAAATTGAAGAAGCTCAACGATGCCGTGAAGATGGAAATCGATGAAGATTGCGATAATGACATCGACGAAATCGATGAAGCGACCGAAGTAGCGATGGAGGCTGTGAGAAGAAGACAAAACAAAGCGGTTAGTTGCATTAAAATTGGAATTTTCACAGAATCTTAGTTAAAAATTGTTTATCAAATATAGAAAATAAGCAAAAGATTGTCTTAAAGTATATTAGGGCTATAGTTCTTTTATAACGCTTTTGAAAAATCGTCTTTTCCTTCAGAAGTTTTTTTTTATGATTTTCTAAGTTCCATATTTTATCGTTAAAATTTCAAGTTTTTCGTACTAATTAAAGTAATTCGCATTCTTCTTATGTGAAAAAGTTTAAGAAAGTTAAGAATTTTATTAACTTCAAGCTTTGTTCAAAAGTCTTTTATGCGTTTGAAGACCCAGAAGTTATTTTGCATAGCCTTCAATATCATTGTAATAGACTCTCCGTCTTCAAATTTTCTGTTCTTTCCAACCCTCTACCAAAGATTTTTGAGTAGAAACTTTCTTTATAACAAAAATATTTTCTAAAAATCATTTCCGATGTTTTTTTTATCAAATATGATCATGCAGCTCGTGTGCAAGTTCTGCAAATCGTCGGCAATGCGAGTCGTCGACCCGAAAAATCCCGAACTCAACCTCCGAGTCCTCGAATGCATGAACATGGACTGTCTGGCGACGCATTCGCTGACGATTTTGGCCGGCGGGAGCGTTTTCGGCGTCAATGAGGTGAACGAGGTGCTCAGGACGCGGCAAAGGGAGACCATCCCTCCGTTGACCAAGGACCGCAACGGCTTCACCGTCATGACCATTAAATCCCAGAACAAACCGGTCCGATTGATTTGATTCCCACTAGAATATTTTCACCTTTCTGTTACTAATCTCATTATGCTCCTTTTAAAGTTCAGCCAAATAGGAATAACATTCAGAGAGTTCAAAAGACAATGAAGAGTTTGGAGAGCCAGAAACTGCTCTTTGAACGTCAGATTGTCACGATTTTTGTTTCCCTCCGAGCTATAGAATAACTTCGTTCAAAGCGCGCGGCCTTTTTTTTTTTTGGATCATGCGCCTTTTTCGGCCCGAAAACTCCGTTGAAGTAAAGGCGCACAGAAAAATGCCGCCCGCATTGAAGGGGAGGATTCCAGAATGAGCTATTTCTATTTCGCTGAAAAAATTAACTCGGCTTTATGTTTCGTTTGCATCAAATGCATGTCAAATCACAATATTTTTTTCAATTCTCTCGCTCGTTTACTTTGCTTACCTTTTACTCACTACTTACTTGAACCCATTAATTTTCATCGGAAACAAAAAATTCGAGTATTTCTGAAGTTTCTTCGAAAAAAAAACGCCGATACAGCTCAAATTTTTTTAAAAATCGAAGCGATTTTTCACAACTGCAGAATTTTTTTGCGGACTTTTTACACGTCATAGTAGAACTTTAGGCCGAAAAAATTACAGCATTTATGGCTCTTGTGTGCTCTATCGAGAGTTTCAGAGATTACTCATCCTTTTTCGATTGTTTCCTGGAAAAAATAGAAGAGTTCGAAAAAATTCTGTTTTTTAGCGCTTCTTTGTATGGAAATGGGCTCAAATCAGTATTTCTAGGCTTCTTTACTAATTTTTTCCTTGATTCGTCAAAGTTTCTGAACTTTTAATTGACGCCCAATGTTGTAAAAAAAAAAGTTGACTCCACTCATTTAAATTATCGACTTATTATCATCCAATCTCAATTCATACCGCTTGTTATTTCACTTTTAGTAACTGTTATCAAGTGAAATTTCCTCTTTTCGCAAGAGTTTTTGTCTTTTTTGTACTACCGTTGTTTCATTTTTTTTGGAATTGATTTAATTTGAATTTGCGTGTATCCTATGTTACGAGTTTTCCCATGTCCTAATGAAATTGCGGGCAAATTTGTGCAGTTTTCTGGGTTTTCATTCGTTTATTCGAACATTACTTGCTGCTTCAAGAAGCGGTTTTTGACCGGTTTTTTGATTTTGTTAGGAAAATGGAAGTTGACGAGGAAAAGCCGACGTGTCAGACGGTTCCAGGCCTTCCGCAGAAGAAATTTTATAGGTTTTTTTTAAAAATTTTTTTAAATCAACAATTTTCTTCAGGCAGCGAGCTCATTCCAATCCTCATTCGGATCATGATATCGAGTATCCCGTCTCTCCTGATAAGTTAGTGAATTTTCTCTTCGGTGTATTAAAAAAATAGGTTTTCTGATCTTTGAGGGAAAGGAAAAAAAGGATTAAAAATTGTTCAAAAAGTCGACTAAAAATTTGGTTTTATTTTTTTATTTTTTTCGGTTTTTAGAAAAATATATTGATTTTCGATTAACTAAAGTCTTGCGCCTAGATGTAGTTGCTGTAATTTTTATTTCTTAGAATTGTTGAAAACAGAAAAATCTTGCAACACGGACAAAGTCCAGAAGGACCTAAAAAGAACCTTTGGAAAAAAAGGGGTCAAGGATGTCTTTTTTCTCGACCTTTTTTTTAAAAAGGACCTCTTAAAGAGAAAAAAAAGAAGGAGCAGAAAAAAGGGGAACATGGTTCGCAAGAAACTTTTGATATTTTTAACTAAAAAAGAAAATACTAAAGTTCCTTTTTGAGATATTTTTGAGGTCGTTTAGACTTGGCCTTGATTTTTCTAAACTGGAAACTTCTGATTTTATCAAAATTTTCTTCCTCTTTCATTTTTTTTTCTCATGAAGCCGTTCTGTCCACTTCTTCCTTTTTTCTTATATTTTTACGAATTTAGAATGGATTGGAGCCAACTTTTTGGCGACTATTCCGAAGGCCGACGCGTCGAGTTTGCCGACGTCGGATGTGGTTATGGAGGCCTTCTGATGCGTCTTTCGCCCCGATTTCCGGAGATTCTGATGGTTGGCATGGAGATCCGCGTCAAGGTGGGCGGTTTCATCCAGTAAAATCCTTTTTGAGGCAGATAAATCGCTCAAAAATATTTTGACACGAGAATGGGAACTAGGAAAGGGGGGACCACAACGAATTCTCTGAGAATTTCTTTATAATTTGCAAATCTGAACCGAATTTTTAAGTTTTAGGGTGGAAAAAAACTCCAAACTTGAACATTTTTCTTCTTTTCTGAGCGCAATGAGTTGAGTGATGGAATGTCAAAAAAGCGCAGAAAATAGTTCAAAAACGGTTTTTCTACACGAGAAAAATTGAAGAAAAACAGATTTTTTGCCCAGTTTTCATAATTTTGAGGGAGATTACTTTAGTTTGAAGTTTGAAATCTTTTTTTTTTCGTTTTTTTTCTCTAGCTGAAAAAAAGATCCCTCATATGACCACCTAGCGCGTATTTCTATTCGGAACATAGGATTTTTTGAAAATTTGTGTTTATCACATAATCCCACCTGAACCCAATATTTTGTTACTTTGAAAAATAATATCTTTATAAGCGACCGTGGAAATCCTTCATCTGAAATATTTAAGGGTTTTTGATCTAGATTACTAAAAGTTTTCAAAGTTAGTACTAATAGGGCCTTCTTGATCGTACTATTTTCATTGAGGAAGAATGCTGTAAAATGTTTTTTTACGATAATGATTTTTTTTAAAATGCTGAATCAATCAATAAATTCTTTTTAAGGTCGCCGATTTTGTGCAAGAGAAAACGAACGCCTTGCGGAAGCACCACGAGGCGACGGGCGGCTTTCGAAATATCGCCTGCCTGAGAACAAACGCCATGAAATACATGCCCAACTACTTTGAGAAGCACCAACTCTCCAAAATCTTTTTCCTCTTCCCGGATCCCCACTTCAAGAACAAGAAACACAAGTGGAGGATCATCACGCCGACGCTCCTCGCCGAATACGCCTACGTTCTCAGGCCTGGAGGTATCCATATTGGGAAAAAAGAAAGATTTTATGAAAAAAAAGGTCCCCTGTTTCATTATCGCAAAATTATGTCAAGTTTTCCCGAAATTCGAAACTTCAAAATATTTGAGCATTTTTTTGGAAAAAAAAAACTGCTTTGAAGTACGTAGAGCTGCCTTATTTTGAAGATTTTCAGTAGCAGATACCCTTATTTAAATGGAAAATTCACGAAAATACGTGGATACATATTCTTTGACAATATATAGAAAAAGTAATATTTTATAAGCGACTTGAACTTCAAGTTGAAAAGTAGTTTCGATGATCGGATTTTTTTCATAGCTGAGAAGAGAGAAATATTTTCATTCATCTAGAGTTTAAATAAATTTGAAGTTTTCTTGATTTGAAAACTATTGGAAATCTAGTTTTCACGGAATAATTATTTTATCGTTAGAAAGGAAAAGGAAAGGAACGATTTTTTGAACAAGTCCATACTTGAGAAAGTTGAGGAGCGTTTGAAATTTAGAGGCTAAGCGTTTCTAAAACGGAAGCTTTCTTGTATGCTAGTGCTCTTTAGCTTTGAACAATTGATCCCAGAAGATAGATTCGTTTGAACAAAGTGGACGTTATGACGATCTCTGTCGCTTTCATCAACTGTTCTAGGCGTTTGATATCATCTTTTGATGGTCTCTTATCATTTCACGCTGTAATTGCCCTCCCATCAAGGTCGATTCTCGCGTGGGAAAAACCGCGTGGTTTTCCCTTTTTTCTACAGTTTTAGATTCAATCCTCCATCAAAAAAATATGTATTTTTTTAGTCTTCTCTAAACTTTTTTTAATTAGTGGGATAATTTATAAACTTTTTTTGAAAGTGTCTAACTTGTTCCGAAAGTTCCTGATTTCCTTATTAGAAAGTAATGTTTTGCAGTTTTTGTCAATGATTTCATATAAAGAAATTTTTTTTCTTTAAATTATTGTTTCGAAAACTTTTCCTCTTTTCCTTCTTCACCTCTTTACTATGAATCTCGTGAAATTTAATCATTTTTACTGGCGAGTTCATATTTTTAGCGTGAAACCGGGCAAACTTAGGCATCGATACGTTTCAAATATTATATTTATTTTGCTGAACCTCTTTTCAATGGTTTTTCCATTTTTCCTGCGCGATTCGTTCTGAATTTTTTCCTCCCAAGTCTCCTACCCAAGGGATTTTTTCAGTACAACACTGGAAATTATTGAATGAAGCCGTTTCGGGTATTATGGCGGCTTAAAATGAACCTCTCTTTCTTGGGCAAAGATTTTTTCTTGAGAAACATATATATTGAAGTTTGAGACAGATAATATTATTTAAAACGTGAAATTTACCATAAAATCGCCGAAAGGGGCAGAATAGCTCTTTTTAGTTATATATTTTCACAAACTGGAAGATTTATATACAGTTATGTCTGTAGAAAAGGAGAATAGGAAAGGTTAAAATGGAAAAAAAGTCCTATAAGTAGACGGTAGACAATCATAAAGCTGCAATAACCAAAAAAATTGTGGTTTTTTGTTTCATTTTTGGTTCTAAGGTTTAACTTTGTCATTATCTCTGTGAGCTTGATTTCAGTTTTTATTGAATCTATCGATCGATTTCTATTTTATTCATGATTTTCAGGCCTAATCTACACGATAACGGACGTGAAAGATCTGCATGACTGGATGGTGAAGCATCTGAGCGAACATCCGCTTTTCGAAAGGCTCACTGACGAAGAATTGGCCGCCGATCCAGTGGTGGAGATGCTCTACGAGAGCACAGAGGAGGGCCAAAAAGTCACCAGGAATTCCGGCGACAAGTTCCCCGCCGTCTTCAGAAGACGTCCTGATCCGGATTGGGTCTAGGGAAATGGAAGAGAAAGCTGGAAAAAAAAATTATGAAAAAAATAGCCGAACAGCTTGTGCGCCCCATCTATTAATTGAAAAGGGACCGAAAAGGAAAGCTGGATAAACATTAGTTAGGAAATCGGACGAAAAGTACCATGAAAAAATAGCCGTTGTAAATTTAGCCGAACAACTTGTGCGCTCTACCGATTAGTTTAAAGACCGAAAGAAGGAGCTGATAAAACTTATAGAACTTATCGAAAAAAGTTTGGAAATATATTTTTTATCAATTTATTTGTCACTTTTTGTGTTAAAGTCTGAGCCACGTTTTTCTTTAGTTTTCGTAAAATCGCTTCAGAAAATTTTATTTTTTCGGGACATTTTCGAGTTTTCTTCTAGTTACTCATATTTAAGGCGCATTAGACGAAAAAAATCAATTTTGAAAAAAAGTTTCCGTTGAATAATTTTCAATGAAAGAGGGTCTATTGAAAAATAATCAGGAAAAAAATTTCGATATAATTAAAAAACAAGATGGTAAAAGAGAAAAAAAAATTCAAAAAATGGATTTTTTCTTCCTTCTCTCCCTTCTACGGCCTATTTTTCAGACTTTCGAATTTATTTGTTTTCCTATTTTTCACTTCTCGACTTATAGCCTCTGTGTATGTTTTTGCTGTTCTCTCCCTGAAAAAACTGGTTTTCTGAATATTTTCCCTTTTTTCATCATTAGGTCAAAAACTTTTTTTTTTCTTGGATAAAACTTGTTTGTGAATCCTTATTAACACATTCGTATCCCCCAATAAGTGGCTCGAATTGTTTTTGCATTGATTTTGATTCGCAAACTGGTTGTTTTGAGTATTTTGCCCACAATATTATGTTTTTGACGATTCTCTCAGTTCTTTTTTCCTTGAATATTGTCCCAATTGCCTCCTTTCCTCGTTTTTTTTTCAAAGAATTTTTTATAAATTGATACGGTTTTCTTTTTTTGTTGTTGTTGAATGATTGTTGTTGGTTTTTTTCTGTTAAATTGCTGTTATAAATTTATAAATTAATAATATTTATTGTTTTTTTGTAAGAAAATGGTTCCTAGACCGTTGATACTTTTTATTCATTGTAGTTATTTTCCACGAAATTTAGGGAAGAAATCTTTCAGGCACCTTTTTGCGACAGAAGCCTGGGTTCAAATGGCCGAAGATGAGTACGAAACTTTGCCCACTCATAGTATTCCGGTTGGTATCTTTCTTTCCGTTGTTTCAGAATTTTACTTCAGAAAGTTTAGTTTTGAGAAAGGAAAATCGCAAAAAGTGAAGTCTGGAAAAGATTTTCTGTAGCTTTTTTTTTCTTTTTTAATAAAGAGCCCTCTTTTTTTGTATTTCTTTAAACTTTTAAGTCTCATAAGTTTGGTTGGATTGAAAAATAAGTTTTTTTGATAAAATTAAAGTTCGAAGCTTATCTAATTTGGTTTAACAGCGATTTCGAATTTCCATTTCATTCAGGGCTATATAAAAACCGTGAAGTTGAAGTTATCATTTTATGAAGCATTTTCTGAGGCTGCCAGATGAATCAAAAGGCGACATTTATCAGAGTTTTTTTTAGAGCTTTTCGCGAAAAATTTATAAAGCTTCACATTGAAAAGCTTGACAGAGAAAAACAATCTTGAAAAATCTTTTTTTTTTTCCTTGTGTTCATCGATTTTCTTGGGAGAAAGAAATCAATAGTTTTGGCTCCTTTTCGAGTGTTTTTCGTAAAAAGAAAGTTCAGGTGCACCTTGCGGCAGGTGCCCTCGCCGGAGCCGTCGAACACTGCGTCATGTTCCCCTTTGATTCGGTGAAAACTCGAATGCAGAGTTTATGTCCCTGTCCCGAGACGAAATGTCCTACCCCGGTGCATTCCCTGATGAGCATCGTCAAAAGGTTGGAAAATTGAAAAATTATCGATTTTTTCAAGTTTTTCTTCGTTGGAAGTATTTGATCTACACTAAATTACTGATGGAAGCTTTTAAAGTTGAAATTTTCTATGCTGGGATTTTTCGCAGAGTATTTAAATTTGATATTATTATTTTTTTGATGAGGACTTTCAAAACTTAGGAACCCGTGCGTTTATCGATGATTTCTGTTTTTTACGTTTAAAAAACGCATAAGATACACTAAAGTGAGGTTAGAAGTTTTCAAAAATGAACTTTTTTCAAATTATCGGTTTTTTTTTGGTTTTCTGATAATTTTTCTGGATGAGCATTTTTGGAATATTAAATAGCTGGAAAAGTACACTAAAATACACTATATAACGATTTTTTTTCTTTTTTTACCGTTGAAAAACTGCCAAGGTACATCAAAAATATTTCAAAGTGAAGTGACTGTTTTGCAGAATTTTGAAAATATAACGATTTTTTGAATTTTTCTTCACTTTGCAATGGGAAGTTGGAAGCGGCTGTTGAGAGTCCAAAAAAAATTTTAATTCAAAAAAAAAGAGGAGTGATTTTATATTTCGTGATTTTATCACTAAAACTAGGGTTCTGTTTAAAAAATAGCTTTCTAAACCTATTTTTCGCTTTTAAGAGAAGGTTGGATGCGACCGCTACGTGGAATGAACGCCGTCGCCGTCGGTTCGATGCCCGCCCACGCCTTGTATTTTACTGTTTATGACAAAATGAAGGTTGATTAAATGCTTCCCTTCTTCAATTTCTCTCTATCTTTAGGAGTTTTTGACTGGAAACACGGTCGGCCATGGAAATTCCCTGTCCTACGCCGCTTCTGGCGTTTTCGCCACGTTGATCCATGACGCTGTCATGAATCCGGCTGAGGTAGACTTTTTAGGAAACTCTGGGAATTTTATAGGATTCTAGAAAAATGTATTTATCCATGAATAGGGACAGGAAAAAGACTAATTCATGAGTTTAAATAAAAGTTGGGATTTTTGTAATTTTGAAAAGTCTATGAACTTTTTTTCGAGTCTGCTATCTGATTAGGTACCTAATTAGAGAATATAGAATTTGGAGAAAAAAAAAATAATCAAAACCGTCTTTTTGAGCTCAAGAGCTCGAGATACATTGGAAATTTCATTTTAGTTTAGAAAGTTTTAGTTTTTCTTTCAAAGTTCATCTCATTTTTATATTTTTAAAATCTTAAGACTCAGAGGTCGGTTATTTAAAGAAAATCTTCATATCACTGTTGTAAATGCTCTTGAACACCCTATTTAATAATATTTTTTCATGTTTGAAACATTCATTCAGTCTTCAGAGAAGATTATGGAATAATTGAAGATTTTCACAAAACTGTAGTTGATCAAGAACGGCGCGTAGATCAGCACGTCTTTTTGTGATAGAAGTAGACAGTTTCGAGAATTCCGACGATTAGCTGCTTCTCCATGTTACCTGTACCTGATCGAAATGTATGTCCAATATTCAGGTTGTAAAGCAACGAATGCAAATGGCCTTCTCGCCGTACGGGTCCTCCTTAGAGTGTGTCCGGTGTATATACCGACGAGAGGGCCTCGGCGCCTTCTACCGGTCTTACACCACGCAGTTGGCCATGAACGTGCCCTTCCAAGCCGTCCACTTCACCTGCTACGAGTTCTGGCAACAGGTAAAAACAGGAATCCCATCCGAGTAATTTTTCTGAGAAGGTCATAATTGGGCAGACCCCTTTTAAAGGAGGTTTTGAATCTTCCTTTCTTCTAAAAAGTCGGAATTGCCTTTTCATCCTAGAAAGACTGTCCTGAGTTTTCGCTTTTTTTTTTGTGGTCGAAGTACCGTATTTCTTTAGGCTAAAGATCTTGAAGCGAAGTCCGTGTACTGTAGTTTTTCTTCCTTTTTCTGAAAAACGTGACAAATTTGCTTGGAACACTCTATTTCCAGGTTATAACAAGAATCCTCCTGGAAAATTAATTTAAGTCATTTTTTCTGAAAAAATAAGGTCATATTTTGGCCCAATCTTTTCAAAAGCCGCCAATTCCTTCTTCAGGGTCTTCCTGATTTTTTCTTTCTTCTAAAAAGTCGGAACTGCCTTTTTATCCTTGAAAAACTGTCCTGAGTTGTCACGTTTTCTATTCTGGCCAAAGTACCGTATTCCTTTAGGTTAAAGGTCTTGAAGCGAAGCCCGTGTACTGTAGTTTTTCCGAAAAACGGGACAAATTCGCCTGGAACACTCTTTCTTTCCAGATTTTGAACCCCGAGCATAAGTACGACCCGAAGTCGCATCTGATCGCCGGAGGACTGGCCGGAGGTCTGGCGGCGGCCCTGACGACGCCGATGGACTGCGTCAAGACCGTCCTGAACACTCAGCAGACCGCCGAGACTGTGGAAGGATCTGCGGCTGGAGGAAGGCGGATTCTTGTCGCTGTGAGCTTTTTTCCGTCATTTCGAAGCATTTACTCGCGCCTTGGGATCGCAAACCGCTAAAGTGATCCCTAGAATTGCTCAAAAACGCTTAATTAGCGTTAGAGAAGCTCGTTCGCCACAATTGGAAACCTTGGAGCTTTTCTGCGCTCTCTTTCTCTCTCGGCAATTTTCTCACTTTTAAGTGCTCTTTTCATGTTTCTCTGACCCTACCTGTGAGGGAACAGAGAGACGCAGATAGGCAGAAAGTCGAAATGATTATATTTCATCCAAAGGGATATCAATACAAGATCAATATTCGTTTTTTCATAGAAGTGATAGGTGATGAACCAGTTTCAGGCCGCCTATCAATACCGGGGTGTTTCGGACGCCATCCGGACGATCTACACTCAACGAGGCGTCGGCGGCTTCGTTTGTGGTCTGCAAGCCCGTGTCATTTTCCAGGTATCTCGTGGGGAATTTTTAGAAAAATGTGGAATCGAAAAAAAGGTTTGCTCTAGTGACCACTTTACCTCCCGTCGGTGGCGCACGGCTTGCAAAAGCGGCCCCTCTAGGGGTTTTTTGTGAAAGGTCCTATAATAGGGAAGATTGCTAGTTCATTGTTATTAACCTCTAATAAAGGTATTTGGAAAACCCAATAAATTGGCGGTAAAAAAAATTAACAGAGAAGTAACCGATCAAGTTCTATTGACTATTTTTAATTTTTAAGTCTGGAAAGAAATTAGAAGACCCCTACAGGAACCACTCAAGCTTTAAGGGCTTAGTATTCAAACTATAAACTTCTAAAGAAACCGCCTAATGAACCCTTATATGAAGCCCTTTTATTTCCCCAGTACGGGCCGTTTTTTTATAACCCTTTAGAGGCCATTCTGCCGTTCCTAAGTTAGGGCTTTAATCTCTCTAAATTAATTTTAATCGTCTTTATTCGAAATACTTCTTCCAGATGCCTGCGACGGCTCTGGCGTGGTCCGTTTATGAGCTCTTCAAATTCGTTTTGTCATTCGAAGGCGGTCATTCGGCTTGATAATCATGTTTACTTCAGAAATTTAATTAACCAATGTCACTTTTTTTTTTCTTCCTAGAGCGCAATTGGTGAATTCGTGATAAGAAACTCCCATTTTTTTTAATCAGATAAAATGAATTTTAGAGTAGGTTAGGTATATATTTTGATTGTTTAGTTGTGCCTTTCGTTGTTGATTTTTTCTTTCTCTTTGGTTTGATCTTCACGTGTAGTTTTTCTCCTCTTCTATTTTGTTCTCTTGATCTTTCACTAGAACTCGAGCATAGTTTTTTTTTCGCATTTCTTTTACGAATTCTAAGATTTTCTTCGTTCCTAGGATTTTCCCTTTCACTGCTCCTTCTTCGGTCTTTTATGCCCCTTTTTTTGAACGCCCGTTGAAATAAAACGGATTTTTATTTAATGGTTTTATTTTTGTTGGTTTTCGCCGTTGTGGTGAACGGATTTACGTACTGGTTTTTTTTCGTGATCTTCTGCACTTTTATGTTTTTTATTACCGCCATCGATTTTGTGTTTGTGACGGACGGAATTTGATAAGAATGGACTTTTGGGCTCAAAAACGCTGTTTGATACGGTTTTTTTCTTTGAAGAGGTTGATCAAGTGTTAGATTTTTTTCTTTTCAATTTTTTTGGAAGTTCATCTCCAGAGTTTGAGAACTTTTAAACTAGGAATTTTTTTCTTTCTGCCTTCTCTATCATTTTATCAATATTTTATATATTTTTTTCAGTGAAGCTTATGCATTGTCAACTCTTCACCTAACCTAACGAGTGATGGTTAGACTTTTTTGAATTTTTTTTTGTTAATTAACCACGCAAAAAGGGCTCTATCAAAAAGTTTCAGCGAGGGGAAAAATGTTTTTTATGAAAATTTCCGCGTAGAAGTTTTTTTTCAGTTTTATTCAGAATACATAGAGAAAGGATCTATCAATTTCAAATAAAGTTGCTTAATTTTTATTTTATTTCATTCCAGCAAGATCTTATTTAGGATTATTTAAGTTCATATTTTAATCTTCTTTGAACTTTTTTTGGTTATGAGGCGAATTTCCTTCTTAACTTCATCATTGTGGAAGAAAAAACCAGTTGAAACAATTTTCAAGCTTGGGCAAAATCGGAATGGTAGATAATGGTAGAGACTCAAAAAAGGCCGTAGAAAGGCAGCAAAGAGGGTCCTTTAACGAGCCTTCCATTTTTTTTTTTGGGATTTTAAAGGCTCAAGAAATGGTGGAAAAAAGGAGAGGCAGCAAAAATGGTGCATAAGGGCCTATAAAATGGCGGGAAAAGGCAGCAAAAAAGGAGCCTTTGTCACCCTAAAGGGAACATTTTTATGAAGACTTTTTCGACCCTTTCCTTCTTTGCCTGTGAGGATGGTATTTTTTTGACGATTAGAGGAGTTAGAGGAGCTCCGAAGTGTTGTTTCAAACGTGAAAAAGGGCACTCGAGAGAATTTTTCGATTTTTTTTTAACCACCCTGGTTTTGAGACAGTACATGGTCTGATTGTGATCAAAGATTTCGCACGCGCTGCGACTTCCATTCATCCATCACCTTTCCCAAACGACGCATTATTACAATAGTTACCTTTATTGGTCGCGTATCAATATATCAAGTTCCCGACGAAATCGAATTTCTCCTCACGGTTTTCTACAAAGAAATGAACTGAAAAAACGACGCTTGCTCATTTCTCATTCCAACGGACTTTACTCGCTGACTGACTCTTCAAACTCGTAACTAATGACTGTTGGAGGCTTCTGCGTCTTGCACCTGATCCAAGCCCGACACGCCATCGGCCAGATCCCCGATTCGACCTTCTCATTTTGGAGAATCATGGGTGAGTTTTCGTGATCCTGTGGTGACGACTGTGTGCTCTTTCTTGTTCAGGATTTTTCTTCTTTTGATGGATTTTGAAGTCAATTATAACATTTTGAGTACCTCAGACGACTGTTTCATAAATTAATTTCAAAAACGATGCCCTTTTTATGAGCTACTTCAGGCAATGCCGCAGTTTGGTGACTTTTAGACCTCAGAAAAAAATTCTATTGTTATTAGGATTTTTATCAAACTAGAGAGAACAGTCGGCGGCCCATTCATAGCTCTCTCTTTAATCCATGCTTATTCGAAATTGTGTTGTTTTCTCTCTTATAGTACCTTTTTTGGGCTTTAGAAGTACAGAAAAAATTTTAAAGGCTGTTTCTGGTGCCGGTTGATCTTTTTTTTATAAAGTTTGCTGTAATCTAATCTCTAAAAATCCCAGCAAGGATTTTTGTCTGGGACATTTTTTGATCAGGAAAAGGTTCAACCCACTAGCTTTCTCATCGTAAAACTGTTTCCTTTGTCTTTCCTAATTTTTTGCTTTTGCCTTTAAAGTTTTTGTGAAGTTTTTCTGGTTTTTGGAACTCATGCAAGCACAGGCAAATTGAGAAGGTGCCATAATGTGTCCAAAAACACAGGCGAATCGATAAGGTACCATAATTTGTACATCGTGAGACCTCCGGCATACCTTTTAGCTATATCTGAACCATCTCGGAGGTAATTCAGAGTCTCTCTCAAGCCCCGCTCATTTCGCTCAAAGTCCTCAGAGGTATCCTCGAGGTACCACCGTGAGACTTTAAACCCTACGACATAGTCGAAACGAGAAAGGGTATCGTGATACCCTCTGAGGTATATCGAAGGTTCTGAAATCTGACGATGGTACCTTGAGGATACCTCTGAGCACTTCGAGCAAAATGAAAGGGGCTTCAGGGAGACTCTGAAGTACCTCCGAGATGGCTCAGATATAGCTAAAAGGTATGCCGGAGGTCTCACGAAGGACACATTATGGGGTCTTCACGACCCATTTTGAGAGGTACCTTTGTGGACACATTATGGTACCTTCTCGATCCGCCTATGAAGGTTGAGATAATGTTTCTTAACCTACTCTTTTCGATAATCTTGCATGATTTTTCCTTTTTTTTTCCGTCGATTGCTCTGAAAATTATTTTTGTTATTCATTTTCTCTGAGGTTCGAGAACATCTTGAAGTTTTTTTTTTCGATGATGGTTTTTTATGTATTTCATATCAAGTTCTGGAATATTTTCAATCCTTGCAGGTTGCTGCTCGGAAATGTCCGGTTTATCTCACGTTTCTACCGGCCAACCTGACGGAAAATGCATCGCCACGGCGGCTGCTCTGATCGCCGGTGGCGCTCTAATTGGCTACTTTGTGAGATTTCCTAATTAGAAAATATTAGCAATGGATCTAATTTTCATGTTACTATGGATATAGCTGATTCACGGCCAACTTGGGACGCAAAGGGGGCGTGTCCTGTCTGCGCTCTCCACGAGCCAGGCGCTGTCTCGTGCATTATCGTTTCAGGACCCGTTTTTCGATGGCTAAAGCCAGCCGTGAATCAACTATAGAAAGTTATATGTCCGCGACCATTTGGAGTCTTTATCATCGCCATTTTTCTTTCTTTTTTTGGATTAAATTTGATAAAATGGATCGCTGTATTCAATTAACGGCTAGCTTGCGACGGTAAAGAGGCGTGGCCTGTATGCGCTCTCCACTAACCAGACCCTCTCTCTTTTTAATCGTGTCAGGACCTTTTTTTCGATGGCTCAGCCTACTTGTTGATTAGCTATGTATAGAAGCGTTGCTCGATATGATTTTTAACATTTTTGGACCATTTCTGGAAAAATTAGAAAATGGTCAAGAACGAAATAAGTTTTAGCGGAATTTTTAAAACTTCCCGTTCATTTTTCAAATACTTTCTAAAAATTCAATTTTTTTTTTCAGGTTGGCTACAAATTGGCGACGAAACGCGCACGCGTCAACAACTGCATTCAGTTGGGCTGCTCCAAGGTTATTTATTTCTTTTAATATTTTCGTTGAGAAAGAAATCTAGATGATCATTTATACATGAATTTCAGTTCTTCAACAAGATTAAACGCTCGAAAAGAGCTTTTCAATACAAAAATGAAGAAAATGTACCGGTTTTAGGTCGTCGACACGGTTGACGTCGAAGATATCGGCGAAAAGAAGGTTTTCTGCCGCTGCTGGAAGAGTGAAAAGGTAAGAAAAAAAAAACGAATTCAGACAATTTCGAACAGTTTTTAAACTCAGGAAACTGCCATATTTTCATTTTTAGTCACTGAAAAATGCCTTTGAGGAATTTTTTGTGTGTTTTGAGCTGAAGTTGGGACTTTTTTTCAGAACTATTTGCTAGAAAATCTGAATTTGAACTTTTAAGAATTCGTAGAGTTTTTGTAATTCGAACGAAAATTTCTATTCAAAACTCAATAATTTGTCGTAATGGAGAAAAGGGAAACTTATATTATAATTAATTCACCATGAACCGAACGCCAGAGGGGCCCCTATAGGGGTTTAGGATCTGACACCTAAGCCTCTAAAGATCAGGTGGCCCTTATAGGGTTTTTTGTTTTTTGTCCACGTGTTTAATGAAAATGGGGGAGTTGAAGTGATCCCAAGGATCTACCGCCAGGAGCCCCTATAGAGACCACTCTTGCCTATTCTAATTTTTTAGGAATTTTAGAATGGACCTTATAGGGACTAGGGGAAAGAAGCCCCTATAGAGATTGAAAAAGTGGTTCCTACAAGGGTAAAATCAAGGTGGTCACTACAGAGATCGTTCAATTTAATTCAAAAAAGGTCATTGTTTGTTTTTCGCATGGAAATGCTTCTTCACAGAGAGTTCATATGAAATATCGACTAGCACCCTATAAAGGCCATTTACTAAAACTTTACTAAAAAGGTTTCCAAGGGCCCCTAAGGTTGCCCCTTTAGGGACCACTTTCGAGTTCCTAAGATTTGAGTATTTTCTACGATATCCACGATCTTCTCAGTACCTTTATTAACGTCCAGAGCTACTATCCATTTTTTTTTTCATCCCTCTTTTTCCCCTTTTTCCACCGTTTCTGTGCCAATAAATGATACCAAAACGATAATCGGTCGCTATATTTTCCTTTTGTTTTCAGTGGCCCTACTGCGACGGATCGCACGTCAAGCACAACAAGGAGACTGGCGACAACGTGGCGCCGCTGATCGTCAAATCCGAGAAGAAACAATAAAATACCTTTGAATCTACCTCTTTTGCCTCATTTCGAAATTATTTTCTCTCAATTTTCTTTTTCAAAGTTACCGGTTTCTTGCGTGTGAACTAGATAGTAAAATTATAATATCCGTCTTTTTGTTCAGTTAGCTCGAATATATAATAAATTAAATCACATGTAAGCAAATTAGGAAGAGAACGTAGGAATCATAGAAAATTGGAGGGACTACTTTAGGGATTTGAAATTTTGAAGTCTCCCCAATCTTCCATTTAAAAAGCAGCCTTTTTCAAGATACCTTAGAAATAATCGAAAATTTACAGAAAAATGCACAAAATATTAAGCAATCAGGGAGTAAGTACAGACAAAGGGATAGAAAAATTAAATTATGGTACAAGAATCGTTGAAATTGAATCTGGGATATCACAAGGATCGTGCGAAAGAGACTGGAATACTGGTAGGGGTTGGAAAATTACAAAAACTGGCGAATATTTTGGAAATATATAATAATTTTTTTCTGGGTTATTTATCAAAAAAACTTTGTCGTAGTCGACTATTAACCGGTAGCAGAAGTTGTTCAGGTTGTTCAACTGCGTGATTGGCACCTGGAAATTGAAAAAAAATTGCTTTTTTTAATTTTTTTGGATTGTATCAAGTTTTTTTGTCAAAATTTGTGTTAGAAGATGTATATTTCTGAAAAAAATTACATGTTCCTGAGGAAGTTCCTTCGTTTTAAAGAAAGGTGATTTAAATTGAAACCAATGAAACAGTACCTAAAATAAATACTTCAAGTAGAAATTTTGAAACGGCTTTTTTTGGGAGAAAAGAATATGGGCCGATCAAACTAGAAATGTTTTATTTTATTTTTCTATTTAACTATTTTTTCTTGTGAAATGAGTCTCTATAAGCTCAAAAAGACTAAAGATGGCATTTTTTTCACTTGTCCTGACCAAGTGTTTACCAGCTGATTAATCGGCCAGGTAAGAATGGGACCAGAAAAAAACTCATTTTTGAAACTTTAAATTTTTTTCAACTCTTCTTTTTTTGGAAAAATCTTTGGGAGCTCAAAAGAACAAAAAAATTCCATATGGTCTCTTAATGGACCTTTCAATTGTTCTGATCAAATGTTTACCTGCTGATTAATCGGCCAGGTAAGAATGGGACCAGAAAAACTCATTTTTAAAACTATAAAATTTTCAACTCTTTTTTTTTGGAAAAAATCTCTGGCATCTCAAAAAACCGAAAAAAAAACTCTAATTGGTCTTTTATAGGGCCTTTCATCTGTCCTAACCAAATGTTCACCTGCTGATTAGTCGGCCAGGTGAGGTTGGGGCCAAAAACGACGCTCAAATTGTTGGCGTTCATCAAATTGGTTTTGCTGTGGTCGGCAACCTGAAGAAAAAAGGGGAATTAATAATCCGATTAGCCTTTTTTTTCTCGTAGTTCACTTCCGAAAAGACGTCACACCTTTTTGTTCAACAAACAAATGTGCTCAATGGATAGAAATGACGGGAACCCGAAAAATAAACTACAAATATGACGCCAACCCAAATACAACCCGCAAAAAATTGGATTCGTGTTGGATTTTTCGAGTTCAAAATGACGACGCTTATGTTATTTTGTATTTGGTGATTTCCGGTCATTTCGAATTTTCGAAAATTTGAACTGGAAGAAGAAAAATCATTCTTGGTTAGTTGAAAATTTCAACTTTTTCGAATTATTTTAAAACTTGATCCTTCTCGATTTTGAACTAAAAAATCACATTTTGGCTTCAATTGAAATATCAAAAGAAGTTTGAAAACTCAAAAATTTTGTCATGAGAAGTTCAATTCCTCCAGCGGACGAGAGATTTCGCCAATTTTGGAAAGAAAGCCAAGTTCAATATCAAATTTCAATATCCTGATAACTATCAATACTTCAAAAAAAAAAGTTATTGAAAAGCAAATTTTCCCATTTCACGTATCAAAAAGGAATGCTAAAACTTAAATTTTACTTCATTTTAAATGAAATTTCCAGAATTTTCCGGTTGAATATCTTTTTAAGCTTGATCGAAAGAGCAAACTCCATACCTTGGTCAAAAACCGGACGATTGCCTTCAACAGGACGTAATTTTCCCTCGGTAGCAATTTGATGATTTGCTTGATCGCCGGCAGCTTTTCATTCTTGGGAATGTCTGAAGAAAAAAAGTCGATTTTCTTTTTCGAATCAAGTGATAAGCTTTTAGAAAAAGTTCGTTAAAATTGTTCTAACAATCTCATAAAAATCTATTAAAGTTAAAAAAAAAATCATTTTAAAAAGAAACTTTGAGGAGAATTTAAGCTCCTAGGAAGAAAAAAAAAGAATCCAAAAAGCCTCTTTCAAACGTTTCTCAGTTTTTTTTCGGATATTCTTCTTTCTCCACACGTTTTGAAGGTCTCCAGCAGATCTCCTGGATTTTCCCTAAAGTGATAACTAACCGGCGAGCTCGACGAGCTTCGGGTACAAGGCGTTCGTGAGCAAGGGCTCTCCGAGGGACCGAAAGAAGGTTTTCAATAAAACTGAAGCCTGGAGACAAGCCACCGGCGTGTTGTCCCTGTACTCGGGGTCGTTCACAAAATCCACTTTTTCGCCTGGAATCCATTTTTGTTTGTTTGAAAGGTCGTTCTTTACAGTTTCTAGAGATCTATTTAAAGTTTTCTGGCCAAATAATATAACTAAAAATGTTTGAATGAAATCGCAATGAAAGCAGAAAAGTTTTGAAAAGCGATTCATTTTGATTCTCTGGGAAGATCAATTTTCGCTTTCTCTTTCCACATAAAAATTGAAAAAAGGGTCCTACGAGATAGTATGAAAAAAGAGAGAATTTTCGTTTCAATTTTCGCTTTTACTATGAGTTATTGTCCGAAAAAGCTTACAGCGGAATTTGTCCAGGTATAGAAAAGATAAAAACTTTCAAAAACTCGGAAAATATTGAGTAATGAACACGGCTGTTGAAAAAAGATGAATTTTAAGAATGTTTGAAAAATCGATAAATTACCGCGATTAATCCGTTCCTGGAGCCGTTTGATGCTTCCAATGTTGGCGCTTTTCCGGAAGACGCCCTCCATATCCAAGGCGTGTTGTTCCAGGAATTCGATAAGGTACTGAACAACGGGAGGAATGTCGCTGTCCGGATGGTGGGCCATGATACTGTAACAGTTCCAGGTAGGACCTTTTTTCCGGAAGAAACGAGGAAAAATTCGATTCCTTTCAAGTTCTCACATGTTGTTTCAATGTTGCGAGTAGAACAACAAAACTCAAACTTTTTGTTTTAAAAGGGACAAAAAACCCATTTCACGTGTTAAACAGAGCGGAAACTAAAAACAAAAAAACCGTCTGACCATTCGAACAAAGATCGATGGAAAAAGAAAAGGACGGGAAAAAATAAGAAAAAAGATTCATTTCAACTGTTTCTAGATTGAAACGATCTTGATGAAGCGAAAATTCAAAGAAGGGCTGAAAATAGATATTTCCCGGGCTTTTTATTGGCAAAAAAAAAATGTTTTTTGAGATTCCAGAGGTCCTTTCGTATATTTGAGCAGAAATTGAATTCGATCGCTTTTTTGAAATTTTGAGAGCCTTTCTTTTTTCTATGAAACTTCTAGGAGGCCGCCAGAAAGCTTCACATCATCTTCTAGAAGTTAAAAAATTCAAAAGTCACGACAAAATCCTCAAAATCATCTAGGACAACCAAAAGGCCGTCTCTTACAAGCTCTCGGACCAAAATTTGAAAAAAATCGGGAAGCTTCTTGCCTTACGCAAAAAAAACTATGAAAGCTCAATAAAAAGCAATAAAATGCTCCAGAATCCCAGGAAATCTCAGAGAATACTCAGGAACTAGCCGGCTCGAAGGACAACATCAAAAAGTGAAGTATCTTCACACCTCGGCGGGGGCAAAGTACCCAAAGGGAAAAAGCCCTGGGTTAAGCTCCGCCTCTCCGGCCACGCCCACTTCCTCGGGCTGTTCGTGGGAGTGAATCACCGCGCACTCCATTGCAAACAGATCTACAAAGAGAAAAGAGGTCCTCGAAGCTCATTCCGATTGATTACGCACAGATCAAGAGGGACAAAGGAGCTTTGAGCTTTTCCGCAACATTGGAAGCTTTGTAGTGTTGAAATCTCATAAACTGCGAAACTCAAAATTTTCTCCGCTTTTCCAAAAATTAGTATCTTTTTCACTCTCTGACGGCTACTTTCTGAACACGGCACTTACTCGGGCAAAACTGAAAAGTTCTCCAAAAGCTTTTCTCAAAAAAAGACCTTAAAGGGTCCCCAGCAGATCTTTATCACATCCTTTAACAAAAAAGATGCTGAAAAGCAACTAAAAAGATTCGAGAAGAATCAAAAAAGAATCCTCTAAGGCTATGAAAAAAGAGCTCAAAACCTTTTTAACATCATTTTTGGACCTTAGAGGAACCTTTTTACCTCCCTCTCAGGACCCATTGAGGACCGTCAAAGGAACTTTTCCTTTTCTTAATAATAATAATAATATTTATTCATCCATAAGGTGAAAAAGTATAAATAAATTAGAACCGGTTTTTACATATGTAGGATTTATAGTGTCTATCAGATTCCTGCTTTGTATAATTTATCATGAGCACTTTCAGAGGTCTCCGTTTTCAGGACAAAAATTATCCAAAACGTAAATTTCAAATTTAAAAGGCCCTTTTTCGAGTTTTCTTCTTTATGATCGACATCAGAAGCATAATAGCCACAAAAATTTTGTGAAAACGCTCAAAAATGCTTCGAAATATTCCGTTTTGCAAAAAACCAACGTTCATCAAGAGCTCTTTATCAGCCTTCGATTGTGCTCTGACGCAATGAGTCAAAATAAAGAAGGAAAACAGTCTTTTCCAATGAAAAAAGAACAAAAGCATTTTCGGTGCTCAATACGATAAGAAAAACCAAAAAATCATGGAGGGAACTTTTTCGGAGTAAAAAAAAGTCTTTTTGAATGCGGAATAGCCCTTGAAATAGCTCATTTTCTTCCTTTTTTTATAAATAAAATCTGAGGAAAAAAATTGGGAAACTAATCAGATATTCAACTCGTTCTTTCGTAGATGAAACGAAATACTTACCCAGGTAGAAAAACCAATAAACCAAAAAAACCACCATTTCAGCTTTCTTTAAGGACCTTTTGGAGCTAAAAACTATGACTAAAATGGTTTTTTTTTTTCAATTATTCTGTGAAAGTTTCAGAAAAATCTCTCATTCTGAGAAAATCCCACGTTTTTCTCATGGAAAAAAAACGAAACTTTTGATTTTGTATTCGCCTTTTTTTGGCTGATAAATCATCAAAAATTACTAATTATTCCGGTTTCTTCATTTTTTTAATTTCCCGAAGTTGACGTTCAGATGTTCCAAAGCTCGGTTTCAAAGGAAAAATAAGATTTTTTTACCATAATTCACCAAAGGCCGATTTATCATGCAAGGTCCAGGAAAAAGGTGTTTTCTGATTTTTTTTTATTTTGCTTTTTTATACATTTTCCTGATTATTGAGCTCTGTTCCATTACTCAACTGAAACAATTAGAAAAAATGAGTTGATAATATTATTCTGAATAAGATGTTAATCTACAAATTAACTTTTTTTAAAAAGGTCATCGAATATTAATTTCCAAGTTTCACATCAAATATTTGTTATATAGTCAACAAAAAAACATCATCTTTCGAAATCGAAATACAAAAATATTGTAGTTTAAACTCCTCGAATTACTATATCGAACCTCGATAACGTCAGAAATGATAGTAAAAAGGTGATATCATATCAAAATGTGTCACCAAAAAGGTTGTCACGAAAAACAAAACTTTGAAAAAAATGATACTTTTTTTAATGGAAAATCGTTTTCTGAGCATCAAACCAGCCTATTCCTCTGATAGGACCTTCGAAATTTTAGAAACAGCGAAATGAAGAAAAAAATGGGAGTTTCAGATGTAAAGACAAACTTTCTTTTTCAGAAAGGTTTTTGAGTTTTCGGATTAATTTTATACATTAAGCAATGATGAAAGAAAATATTCTAATTTAGCTATCTTCTTTGAAAAAATCGGCTTTTTTATTCCAAGTTCACTTTTTTTCTACAAAAAGTTTTGAAGGCGTGAAATTTTTTAGAAATTAGGAAAAAAAACTTTTTAAAACGCTCTTTGTTGATTAATTTCTCAAATGGTGAAATAAAAAAAGTATTTCAAAATGTTCAAAGAACTTCCCACAAGAGTTTCTAATGAAAAAGATTAATTCGAAGATTAACACATTCTTAAAAATATTATTACCTAATTAAATTAATTGTTTTCTAATTACATCACTCGAGCACCGGAACAGAGCTCAATAACCATGAAATAAAATAAAAAGCTTAAAAGGAACAATAAGTATTTCGAAAACAGCTTTTTCCAGGACCTTGCATGATAAATCGGACTTTGATGGATTAAAATAGGGCAAAAAGTATGATTTTCCTCTGGGATTTTTTTCTGGGGAATATTTTGAACCTCCAATTTAAAAAATAAAAGATACAAGAAAACCAAAAAATTAGTAATTTCGATGAGTTATCAGCCAAAAAACCCTGTGTAAATGGCGGATACAAAATCAAAAGTTTCGTTTTTCAATGAGAAAGACGTGGGATTTTCTCGGAATGCGAAAATTTCCTGAATATCTTATAGATGAAATTTTGAAAAAACTATTTTCTTCAATTGATCTCTTCACGTTTATTTTGGTTGAAAAAATGAACATTTTGACAGATTTTAGCCGAGAAAACTTTCAAAAAGTCGCAAAAAAATGAAACTAACAACTGAGAAAAAAAAAATGAAAGCTGAGAAAAAAATGTCTCAAATGTTATTTACACTGCTATTGTTTACTGGGAAATCATCCGATTTTTCCATTTTCTTTGAAATTGGAGGAATGAAAAAAATCATCACGAGATATTTATTAAAAACTATTTTTTTGAATATGGAACTATTTTTCGGTTTTTTTGAAATTTTATTAGCAAATCTATTTCAAACGTCATTTTTTTGTGAATATTTGATGTTCCTTTGAAAAATTCGAAATTTCAAACAAATCTAATATATTTCCATCGCTTCTTTTGGGCCATTGTTGAAAACTTTTAAGTTTTTGGAAATTTCGATTCTTATTCAACCACAAAAAAACTACTGGTCAGTGATATTTCAGCTCTTTTTTGAGCTGAATAGTTCGAAAATCCATCCGGTTTTCATCGAGATTGATAAAAAACCTTTCTCTTTTTCCAGATAAGAAGAAAAAAGATCCAAAAGGTCGATTAGTTTTTTTTTCGATAAAACTTTTGTCTGTGAGCCAGACGGGGCCGAGTACAAAAACTTTGTAAAGTACAAATTCAAAAGTTTCTTTTTTCTTATGGTTAAGGGTGAGACTCTGTCTGAGTCCAGAGTTCATGTGGTTTCGAGCATTTTTAGTATTATATGAAGAATTTCTAATATGAAGCTGAATGACCGATCAACTTTAAAACCAGGTCCTAATGGGAAAATTCGGAATAAAACTTTTAAGCAATGTATTTCATCAAAAAGTGTATAGTACTTTGAACGGTGATAAATATCATAGAAATAAACAGAGTTAATTTCTCAAAGCAAAAAAATATTATTTTTTTAATTTAACACAAATAAAAAAACAAGTTATTGGTCATATTAGCAAAAAAAGCTCAAGATTTTTTTCCACGGTTTTAATTATTTTCAACTCTTTCCTTAAAATTCATAATAGCTTTTCAGTACCTTGAAAAAAACAAATACAAAAGCTTTTTTTCTTCGGAATTAAACCTCAAAAGATGTGATACTAAAAAAATCTAAAATTGCCAAAAAATTTTTTTAAAAAAAACTCACAACTGCAGGGGAAACGCCAAACTGTTGCGTGGGCCGCGGTTGCGTCGAGGGGAGTTTCGGGCCTTTTCGAAGTTTCCGAAAAACGTCTCGTCGTGGTCGCGGATCGGTTTGGGTAAATTCAAGCTGGAAAATAGGGAAATTCACGGTTCAAAATGAAAAAAAATTCGACTTTTTCGGTATTTGTACATGAAATTTAGGTGAAAAATTTTTTCACGGGTGAAACAAAAAGAAAAAGAAAAAAAAAAGAAGATTGCGCGAGAAGAATGGTAGATGTATGGCACTCAAATAAATAAAAAAACACAAATAATTTGTTAAAAACGTGCTTAAAGATGATTATTAAAAATACAACGCTTAAAAAAATAAATTGGGATTTTTTTGTATATCCAAAAAAATTCGCAAAAAAAGAGATTCGATAATCATACAATTATCAGAACCAAAATTCTAAATCAACCTAAATCAATCAACAGAGCAATTTTATAAATCCCTTAAATGGTCCCTCAAGACTCCATTCAATTTTTTCAATTTTTTTTTTTCGCTTAAAAAAAGTACAAGGGTTTTTTTTTCGATTTCACTCGGAAACTTTACTTCTGTTAAATTTTCTAGCTATAGTATATTTGAAAAACTCAATCAAACAAAAAAAATGAACGAACCGAGAAACGGTCAACGCCTGTTCGAGCTCGTCGATGCACATGACGTAGTGGAATTTGTCCTCGAATTTTCCGGAAATGAAGGGCTTGAAAAGGCTCCAGAGGATTCGGATGAACCGCGTCGGGTGCACCACATACAACGCTTTCAGGTTCTTTTTGTACCTTAAAAAAACGATTTTAATCTTAAAAAAATGGTATTTTTTTACAGGAATTTCTGAAAACTTTCTGATGTATCCGAAAAAGACTTTCAAAGCCTCAACCTACGGAATTCGCAAATAAAATTTCCTTTGGGATTGGTTTTTTTGCCAACTTCTGTGTAAAATGACCTCAATTACTCAAAAATCTTTGATGATGAAAGTTAATTTGGAGGTGCAATAACTCTTTAAAAATAAAAAAATTCTCATAATTTTTCCTAATTTTTTTCGGCGTAGACCTCCGAAAATATTTATTTATTACCTGCGATCCAGAATCTTATAAGCTTGGAAGAGCCATTTCACGGGCGGTTTATTGTGACTTCTCAGTCCGTAATGAAAATAGACGATTGTGTAATCGAGGTCGACGAGCTGAAAATGGTGAATTTGTTCATGTGAAACTTGAAAAAGGTCTCAAAATTGCTTTTCGGGCAAATTCGGAATAGTGGATAATGGCCGCAAAAAGGGAGAGGCTCAAAAAAGGTCGCAGAAAGGTGGCAAAAAAGAATTCCAGAAAGTTCGCAGAAATCTCTTCAAATTTTAAGCTACCTTCCATAGAGAAAAATTCAGTTTTAAATTATAATTTTTTTTTCCTAAAAAAATTATCATTCGTTACCATTTTAAATCGACATTTTTCTACAAACTCCAACAAAAAAAAATTATCTACATTTCGAAAAAACGCTTAAAAATCATCAAACCTTATCGAGAATATGCTGTAAATAGCGCAAAAACTGAGCGTGGTCAAAGTCTCGTCGTGGGGGTAACCGGTAGGCGTAAATGACGATTATTGGCCTGAAAATTATCAATTTTTAAGGGAATTCAGGTATCAAGAGAAAAAAATCATGCTTTCATTCAAAAAACCTTTAAAAATCAAAAAAAAAACTCAGGAAAGTGATTTAAAAAAAAAAAAAATGTTCTTCTTCTTCGTGCCATCTTTATACCCTTTTTCCTAGTTTTCTGAATTTTCCCGGAGAAAAACTACCTTCCAACACGATCACCATCCGCAATCACTTGAACGATTTCATGAGCGGAAATTTCGGCGAAAGACTCCTCGAAGGGATCCACAGGGCCGAGTTCCGATTCGAAATCGACCGTTTCGAGGAAAGATCTCGACGGCGTCATTCCCCCGGCCAACGCCACTGAAGATTTTAATTGAGAAGATTGGGTTAATTAAAAAGTTGATGGAGTGATCGGGTTATTGCCTTTGAACTGCACTTAATTCACTCACAGACATATTTTTTTCATTTTTTTAGCTCAAAGATATTTTTTTAATTGTATTGAAATTTGATTCTAATCAATTTTTTTCACAAATATTTTCTTGAAAAACTCCTCAAACCCAACTCAAGCTTCACGGCGTTTCAAGAGCTCAGCTACGATCGAGTTCAGGCCTTTTCAAACTATTTTCAGCAAATCTTCAATTCTCCAATCCAAAAAATCTCGCTTTTTGCAAGATACATTTTTCAAAATCGCTGTTTTTCTTCAGATTTGACCAATTTCAATAATTCTAAAGCTTTTTCTCAAAACTATACTTCAAGTTTCAAAGGTTTTCGGCTCAGAATATGTGAATTTATTGCTTCGATACATTCTTTTCAAAATATTTGATTCGGAAATCTTGAATCGAAACGAAAACTACACACAATTGACGTCTTCCGGGGAGAGGAGATCGTCATCAGCGAAACCGTCCTCCGGTTCGACAAACCCATGACAATCGGCCACATCCGAGGCCATTTGTCTGAAAATGAAAAGAAAATCTTACAAGAAAGTGTTTTTTTACTTTTCGGTTAGGGAACCCTGAAAACTGGCCAAAACCCTTCTTCATGTTCCAGATGAACATTCTGAAAGTATCAACCTGTTCAGTTTTGCAGCTTTTGAGAAAGAACACCTTAAAGGTGAAGAAAACCTTTAAAATTCAAAAAATAGGCGGTTTTAAAACTCATTTCTTCAAAACTAAGAAGTTTTGCAGGCTGAGACTTTCAGTTACATTAAAATCTCCATCTGGTACATCAAAAAACCATTCCGGCCAATTTTCAAAAAATTCCCAACAACAAAGTAATATGACGTTAATTGCCAGAGAAGACAAAAAAAAACAAATTTGAGAGAAATCTGAGGAGGAAACCTAATGGAACCGAGAAGGAAAGAATAAAAAAAAGTAGAAAAAAAAAAGAAAGACAGATGTTTTCAACATTTCCAGAAAGGTTTTCGAGTAGAAAAAAAAAATCAGCCAGAATTGGTTGAGATTTCAATAATTTAGTGATAGAAACTTTTTTTTATCAAGTTTTTTTATTTTTTTGAAAAATATAATTTTTTTCGAAAAAAAGAAACGGTGAGAAAAATTTGATAGTGGTCTTCAATGATCGTACGTCGAATGACTCAATGTTCAGCGGCGGCTAAGCGGTTTCTCTAATTGCAACCGACTCGAAACAGCTTGCGCGCGGCGGTAATGAAAAAATATGTATTTTCTTATCTTTAGGAGCAATCCAAAACCGCTACGCGACTATTAGTCCTTCCACGTCTAGTTACGGAATTCTAAGCCGGTTGAAGAACATTCAAAATTTACTCTTAAGTTTTTTATTTATCGTTAAATATGAAATAAGAACTTCGAAACACAAACTGAACTCAAAATAAAGATTTTAATTATCGATTTTGGAACTAACTATACGTTTCGAAGCTCTTTGGGTTGATTAAAAGCCGGACAGAGCCTAGAAGGGAAGAAAAAACTCGTAGCGAAACGAATGCCAATGGAAGACATCTCGAGAGGAAGGCAAACCCATAAAAAAACACCAACCAATGTGTGCAGAATTGCGCATCATTGATTTCAAAGTAGATTCCTATTGAGAGGGGAGTGGTATTTACACACAAGAGTTCCTTTTTTGGAGAACCGAGGTAAAATGAAGAATTTCGAGCAGAGCTTGTTTCAACGAACCAATTTCATAGGAAAACATAACCATGACCCAACGGAACCAATCAAAACGACAAAAAATGGGTCTGAAGGGGATTAAACGATGAAATGGAGCAGGGTCAACACGTGAACAAAGTTTGAAAACGACGATAAATTCGCCCGGTTTGGTAAATTATCATATCTCTGTTTTTGGAAAAAGTTAAAAAAAAAATAAATAAATATTGAGATTCGATATTAATGCGATGATCTTAGAACACCCATGACAACACCACAAATTAATATAAAATGGTAACGTACTGAACATTTTTTAGTCGCGACCTTAGAGCTTCGACGTTTTAGTGGCTATTGAAGTAGTCAAATTAGGGGCCACTTGAGAGATTTATAAATTTAGAGGTTTTTTTAGAAAGCCAAGTGGTACCACTACACCTCTAAAAGTTTTTAGTCGAAACTGAGACGCAAAATAAAATCCACTATAGTTGGTTTTAGTGACCACTTTGGTGTCCTCTCCAATTAGCCCTTGAGGAACCTTTAAGTGGTCAGGAAAGGTTTTCCCAACAACAGTGAAATTTTTGAGCAGTAGGAACAAATGGAAAAAAAAACGAAAAAGAGCACATTTTGGAGCTTAGGTAAAAAGAATGGAAAATTTTAAGGTTACTCTCGATTTTTATGAAAATGTACTCAAATCTTGAACAATTCTAGATGAATTTTCAATAAGAAGACATTTTAACTTTTTATCTATTAAAAGAAGTCAATCAGATTAAAATTTACTAAAGGGACATGCTCATTGGGAGTTGAGTCATTTTTCTTGTATATTGAACTCCAAAAAAATTATATTTTTTTCTTAATATCCTAAATTGAAAGATCATGGTCGCATGTAAGATTAGCTCGACGCGTCATAGGAAGAGCTTCCGACTAAAAACGGCTTGCGCATGAGAAAATTATAAAGCATTCGAATAGACAAAAAAAAGTCGGCAGAGAACGGATACCAAAATCGCAACGCCTATGCTTCGCTTTGAGCCATTCTAAGTGCGTCCGAGTCAAATTTAATTTACTATATATCATGGTAAAAAAAATCTCAACGCAGTTGGAAAAAATTCAAGTTAACATCCTAACAAAAGCAATCGTTTCATATTTAGAGAAAAAAAATGCCATCGAAAAAGGCAATGATATCGGCGGGCAAGGAAAGCGAATCGCTTCGATTCGGCGTGTCTGTGAAGAAGCTGGTTGGTTTGGCAGGAATGGAAATCGCGCCCAAAAAAGGCGAAAGGTGTGGAAACGGAACGAAACGAGACACGATCGGATGTCAGCTGCTGCGAAAAGACTGAAAAAGGTCCGGTCAGCCGGTGGTCGAGTGCCAAGTAAATACATTTCCGATGCGACCTTCGCGAAGCGGACAAAAGAACTGACTGACACGTGTGCCCAGCCAACCGTTCGATAGTTTTAACTTTCATTTCAACGGGAAAGGAAACTAAAAGGTCTAATGCGTTGAAAATGGTTTTAATGCATCGAAAGATTGCTGAAATGTTTCAACAATAAACTCTGAAGGTTTGGATGAAACGTCCCTCTAGTAGTTTCTTTCTCAAACTTTTGCATTTAAAACATGAATTTTTAAGTTTTTGTAATGGCCAGGTAGTAGTTATGAATACCTAGGGCTTCGGATAACTTTTGAGCAAATGAAAAAAAAAATCCAACTTGACACAAACAACCTTCCAAAGCGTTCAAAAAAGCTGAACATTTACGTATCTACTTGATTTTTTTTTCACCCTCAAAATAATTAAATTACGTAAACTGGTTCCGAAAATAACTTCATTCATCAAATTGCGTACTTGAAAAATGAAGTTATTTCATTTTTTTTAGTGCAAAATCTCTTATGGGAGAGAAAGAGAAAAAAATTGGAATAAAACCAAGGAAACGAGATTTGCGAAGAAATGGATGAAAATATCTAATTTCTGACATACGAAAACATTCAACTCTTCATCAATTTTCAATGAAGCCCAGAAAGTAATTAGGAAGATGTGAAAATTACTCAAAAACAACTAAATAAAAAGAGGTCCAAAAAAATGAGAAAAACAAAAAGTATTAAAACCCCTTTTTTTCGTTCATTTAAGGTTTGTGAGTTCCAGAAGCAACATAATAGATCATCTTAGCAGCAAACAAAAAAAGGACGGGAATGAATGAGAGAAAATATTTTTTTAAAAAGAAATTTAAAAAAAGGGAAAAAAATGGATAGTCGTCAGGTTCGGTGTTGCGTGGTGAAAAATGTGCAAACACGTGGGCGCAAGTAAAGATTAAGAAATTTTTTAATCTTTTGAAGTCTCAATTTCACGAATAGTTACATCACGGTGTTCCGCGCAATGAAAAAAAATGCGAAATTTTGGGTCCCAGCGGCATATTATCCGTGGCGCATTATTGCGCCCTTCTCATCGTTTCTGATGCAAAAATTGAATTTCTTCACTTTTTTCATTGGTTTTTTACTTTTTTCTATTTCTTGCATTTATGTGATCCGCCTCTCTATGGGTACATCTTGTGGAGCTTTAAATTGCGCATTTTTTTCTAAACCGGTTTCAGATCTTTAACTTTTTTTCTCAAAAAGAGCTGAAGATTTTTTTCTAAAAAGTCCTAATTTTTTTCAAAAATTTTTGAAATCTGTTTCGCGACATGAAAAATAATCGCTCTATTTCGGAAACTATAGTTTTTTTAATTTAATCAGTTAATAATAAAAAAAGTTATTATCTAGTTCCTTTGACGTAGTTTAAAACCGGTTTCGCGTAAATTAGAGCCAAATTGAATTTGCTGATGCAGTTTAATGATTTTGATATATGCATCATCTAAATTATATATTTTTTTCTAGTTTTTTGATGGTTTTTCGGATTTAAACAAAAATTTCGCCATACGAGGTTTTTTTTTCTAAAATTTCTGCTTTCTATCCATTATATGTTTTTCTGAAACTAGGTTTTCGAGGTATATAAAATGTTTTTCATTTGCTCCTCGAATTTTCCTCATTTCAATATTTTTCGTATTTATAAATGCTTATTCAATGGGAGCTGATTCATTTTCATAATATTTTTTTGTTTTTTTATTTTTGTAATCAGTAATTTAGAGTTTTTCCCTTTTTCGAAATCGTTCCTAAATGTTTTTTTAACGTAAGTGAATGTTTTTTTCACATCATATTCTTCAAAAATGACAAATTTCGAACATTTCAGGAGCTATTATCCTGAAATCGCAAATTCTAAAAATTGAAAAAAAGTATTTTGAGTATGCGATAGGGCGTCTCGGTGTGCTTACACTCTAAGCATCATTATTTACGAAAAGTCTTGACCTAGCGTAATAAAAAAAACACCGTGACATTTGTATATTTTTATGTATGAACTCTTCTCGCCTCACTTTATATTTACGGCATTATATCCACACATCATCTTTTGCGTCATCTTCCAAAGGACACGTTCCATATCTTTCTCAGCATGAGGTAATTTCTGATTGAAAAAGCGTCTTCTGTTGAAATCGCCCGTCTTACAGTTGAGAACAAGCTTTGTCGATTATTTCAAAGCACAAGACCACGAACATGTTCCATCGTGGTCAGTGGTTCCGGCAGAGAATGACGGATCCCTCCTATTCACAAACGCCGGAATGAACCAGGTTTCATAGATAAACTTCGAATGAAAAATAAGTGATTTTTCCAGTTCAAGCCTCTGATTCTCGACCCAAATGGAGTGAAAAGGAAAATTGTTAGTGTGCAAAAGTGTATTCGAGCTGGTGAGTCAAAAAAAAAGACGAGTATTTTGAAGTTGGAGAGCTTCAGGTGGGAAGCACAACGACCTAGATGATGTCGGTTCCGACTTGCATCATCAGACTTTTTTCGAAATGCTCGGCAATTGGTCATTTAATAATGCCTATTCAAAGGTTATTTTGTGAAATTTCCGCAATAATTTTCAAATTGAAGGAGGAAGCTTGCAAAATGGCTTGGGATTATTTATGTGACACATTGAAAATTGACGCGGATCGTCTTTATGTTTCATATTTCGCCGGATCCGAGGAATTGGGAATTTCAGCAGATTTCGAATGCCGAGATGTTTGGAAGAAAATTGGGTGGGTTTTTTCCAAGGGTTTTTATAAAGTTAGCTTTCAGAGTACCTGACGGCAAGATTCTACCTTTCGAGAAGGATAATTTCTGGGAAATGGGAGCCAGCGGACCCTGTGGCCCATGTACCGAAATTCACTACGATCGAAGTGAGAAGAAACGCGATGCCGCAATTCTTGTGAATCGCGACGATTCCGTCGTCGAACTTTGGAACCTCGTTTTCATGTCCAATTTGCGGTGCGGCTTCGAAAAACTATAAACAAAAAACTACTGCGTGAATATTTACGGTGACTTTTACGCGTGAACTTCAAATATTGAAATTTTTGAGCATCGAAAATTTTGAAATCGCCCCCTAAAGTCACCGCGAATTTCAAGCTTCGCTCGTAAAAGTTTCCATAAAAATCATTCATAGCGATAAATCGTTGTAGGACCTGTTTTTTTTTAAGTGCTCCCGGAATTGTAATTTTTCCTTTTTTGCGAATTTTGGAGCGAATGAAGCGTTAATTTTAGGATCGCCGAAGTTTCTTTGAACATAGAAAAAAAAAATTAAAGTCAGATGAAAGTTTCTTCTACAGCTTTTTGTTTCAAACAAGGCTAAACTTCTGCTCCTAGTAAAGTTTCAAAATTCCAGACTTCCTTCCGGTCAAGTCAAGAAACTCCATTCGGAGCATATCGACACAGGAATGGGATTTGAAAGACTTTTGTCCGTTGTTCAGAATGTTCCATCCAACTTCGATACGGACGTTTTTGCTCCAATTTTCCAGAGAATCTCTGAGGTTTGAATCTAAATTTCTGAGCATGAAAACAAAAAAAATATTTTAAAGGTAAAAAACGTTTAAATTTCAGTTATCAAAGTTACAATACGGTGGTCGGATCGGTAAAGATTTGGCTGGATTGCAAGATTCTACATTTCGCGTGGTTGCGGACCACTTAAGGGCTGTTACCGTAGCCATTGCCGATGGAGCGAAGCCGGCTGGAACCGATTCTGGGTGATTTTTTTCGTCTTCAGAGATTTTTTTAATGTTGAAGTTTGCTTTTATAACTTTTTTTTTCTCTTCATGAATTTCATGTTTATTTGCCTCTTATTCAAGTTTTACGGTTTTCTAGAAGCTTCTGGACGCATTTAGAATGGCTTCAAGCGTTGCGGTCGCGCTGCGGCTCAAGTTAAGGCCTTTAAGCGTTTCTGGGTTGAATCGTTCATTGGAAAAATTAAGACGAAACTGGTCGAAAATTCAAAAAAATTCCTCAAAAATGAAGATTTACTGTTTCAAGGAAACTATGAGTCTGAAGTAAACCCTTTTCGCTATTCAAAACATGCATTTTTGCGTTCAACACCAAAAAATTTTGAAAGGCGACTCGCGTAAGTCGTTTTCTGGTCGGGCACGTCTTCATTATGAATTTTTCGCAGCTGCTACTATTTAAGCCACACAAGCGGTAGAAAGTGTTTCAATTCTGAAAATTTACATATTTTCAAACTATTTGAAGACTGCAGAATTAATCGAAAATACTCGAAAATTCAGGTTTATTGTCCGAAAAATGCTGCGTCGAGCTTGTCTTCAATCCACGCGAATTCTGAATTTCGAAAGATCCAGTATTTCTGAACTTGTTCCTGTTGTTGTTCGCACCTTAGTGAGCCGAAATTCAGAAAAGGAGATTTTTATTTTAACTTCAAGGGAGAAGCTTACCCAAAGTTGCGCCGTGCTGAAAAATATGTCATTCAAACGGTGGAAGATGAAGAAAAACAGTTCTGGAAAGTGGTCGACAAAGGCGCGAAGACTTTTGAAAATATGCTGAAAGACGTTCCGAGTGGTTCGAAGAGCTTCCCAGGTTAGAAAAGAGAGTAATAGACGATCTGAAGAGACGTCAGAGAAGTTAGAGTAAATATTGTTTCTCTGACCTCTACTACTCTCCCACAGTCTTTCACTTCTGACCTTTTGCACTTTGTCTCGTGAGATTATCATTAGAAACACAGCAAACGTCGAAAAACTCGCCAGTTTCTCAGGCGTCTCTTCAGGTCTTTGTTGATATCTCGCTTCTTGATTTTGCTCATGATTTTGTAAAAGGTCATTAGAATGATGGTAAAACTCGAGAAAGTGCTGGTGGGGGGAAGCGAGAGATTAGTGGCTCCCTGAAGAGACGCCAGAGAAGTTGGAGTCTCTATGGTTTCTCTAACCTCTACTAGTCTCCCACGGTCTCTCGTTTCTGGCCTTTTTTACATTGTATCGCGATATTAACATAGAAGGACATTAAACGTCGAAAAACGCTCTTGTTAGTCTGGTGTCTCCTCAGATCTTGTTGATCTCTCGCGTCTTTGTTTTAGTCATGGCTTTGTAAAAGGTCATTAGAATAATTAAAACTTAGGAAAATGCTGGTGTAAGAAAGCGATAGATTAGCGGCGGTCTGAAGAGACGCCAGAGAAGTTAAAGTCACTGTTTTTCTCTAACCTCTCTACTGCCCTCTCACGCTCTCTCGCTTCTAACTCTTCGTACAATTTTCCGTGAGATTAACATGGTAGGATAGTATAATTCAAAACTATGAGAGAGTGAAAGATCTGCGACAGAAAAGAGACGCCCGAGAAGTGAGGACTCCCTAGTTTCTCTGGTGTCTCTTCAGGTCGTTATTGATCTGTCGCTTCTTATGTTTGGGAGAGGTTTTGAAAGAGGACAATAAAATAATGCTTGAATATAAAAAAAACGGAAATGTGTGAATGCGAGAGATGAGCGGCGGCCTGAAGAGACGCCAAAGAAGTTGGAGCTTTTCTTCTTTCTGTGGTCTCTCTTCAGGGCGGCACTGATCCATCTCTTCAATTTCTCAATTTGAACTATTTCAAAAATTTCAAAAAATCAATTTCGTTCCAGGGAAATTTTTATTCGCCCTGCATGACACATACGGCGTCTCCGTAGAAATTACGACGGAATTGGCCAGAATACAGGGACTTTCAGTGGATCTTGAAGAATATGAACGACTTCGGAATCAGGCGAAGGTGAAAAAATGATGAACACAGAGAAAAACAGAAGGAAAAAGAATATTTTTAAGAAAAAAAATCGGAAAAAACGAGTTTTCTGTATTTCTTGGACTCATTAGCGTTTCTCCAGCCGATTCGGTCTTGAAACTGAAGTTGATCAAACTGAAACTGATCAAAGCTCAAATTGATTGAAAAAGTTCAAAAAAATATGTAAACGTGTAAGATTTTTAATCAATTTTTCACAAAAATAGCTTGTTCTATCATATTCCCTCAATGAAAGGTAGAAGTTCCAACAACCTGAAAATGTTGAAAAAATCGAAATATGAGAACTAATCAAGTATGGTAAGAACGTTTTTTTCATTTTGACAAGTCTAGGAAAAAAATTGATAAGATCAATCTTTTATCAATTTTTTTTGCCAGGAAAAATTGAGTTTCAGAATTTTTTTGACTTCAGAAAAAAATGGTAGAAATTTGAAAAATAAAGAGGTTTTTAATAACTAATTTTTGGATCCTTATTTTTTTCCACTGATTTTCTCGACGATCTTTGGAAAAAGTTGGAATTGAATCAAAAAAATAATGCTTGACTTTTTTTTAATTGAAAAAAATTCTTTTCCAGGAGGCCTCCAAGAAAAGCTCATCTTTTGGCCTTTCTCTATCAATTTCTGATTTTCCTACCCATTCGGATAATGCCAAATACGAGTACGACTACGATTTTGCCACTGATAAATATCGTATGAAAAAAATCGGAATAAAATAAATATTAACTGAATTAAGACTTCCCCAAAACCACCTCAAAAGTGTTGGCAATTTACGAAGAAGGACGGAAAGTGGAAAAAATGGAGTCCAGTGGAATCGTTGTCTTGGAAAATTGCCAATTCTACGCGGAGGAAGGCGGTCAAGCTTCGGATTACGGTGTTTTGATGATAAATGATGTAACTTTTTCCTTCTTGGATCCTTTTAATATTATTTTTTAGGAGCCTGTCTTTCTTGTAGAAGGTGTAAGAAAGCATGGCGGGGTTTCTGCTTTATTTGGTAAGAAAATAGGGAAAAATAGGGAAATTTTGGAAGGCGCGATTGTCAAGCAGTGCATCGATGAGGTCAGTAAGGATTTGGATTTAAAAAAAATTGTAAAGTTGTCATTTTGAGTTTTTTATTATTTAAAGGAGTTTGAAAGGCCTTTTTCAAAGAAATTTCAAAACATTTCAGAGAAAAAGATTTAAAATTTTACTTTTTACTAAAGTTCTTAAAAATATTATGCCCAGTAATGCAAACTACAGAAAATTTGCTCACAACAGTAACATTGGATTTAAAATTATTGAAAATTGTAGTGTCTGGTCATTTTTACGATACTTTTAAAGAAAAAAAGGCTGGGACTGATGAGAGCTCACACGTCGACTCATTTACTCAATTGGGCTCTGAGAAAAGTTGGAATCGGGTCAGGACAGCGTGGATCTTCACTGGGTTTGTATTATCTTCAGAAAAAAAGTATTAAATTCAGGATAAATAATCTTCTGACCACAAATTTTTTTGAAATTGGAAGATCAAATGAGGGAGAAATTGAAAATAATAAAAAAACGCTCCAAAATGACGTCGAAAAAAACTAGTTTTGGTATTTTTTTAGTGATGACTTAAAATCTTTTTATCGACAGAAAACCTCGGAGAACAAAAATAAAAATTAGAACGTTGGTTCAAAACTTTAAGGGTAAACTTTGAGTAAAAATTGAGATCTATTCATAAAAAAAAGATTTTCTAGGCGATGACTCATTAAGATTCGACTACGCCACTTCGGAGGAGCAGATAAATCCTGAAAAACGCGTTGAACTTGTGATTTTATCAGTTTTTCATTTCCAAACGTTGCTTTTTAGTTGAAAGCAGTAGAAGAACTCGTGAATGAGAAAATCGCAGCTTCCGAGAACACTTTCGTGAAAATTCTGCCTCTCAAAGAAGCTTGGAAAATGGAGCAGCTCCAATCTGAGTTCCGAGAGGTGATTTCGGATTTTCCTACAATAAAATGTACAGTTTTCTGAGATTTGCGACCTTTCTCAATTTTTAATAAAGTAAGAAGTTTTCAGCACAAGGAATACCCGGAGAAAGTTCGAGTTTGCGGAATTGGGAACGATTTTGATGGAGTCTTGGAGTGTTGCTCAGGAACGTCAGTTATTTTTAATTTTTCGGTTTTTTTTTAAATCTAGGAAAAGCTATTTTCCATTCAATTTTGTTACAGAAACATTTTTTTCAAAAATTTCTCTTACAGTTTTTCGAAGATTTTGTTGATTGAACTGTTTTTGTTCAGTAAAACACACATTACATTTTTCAACCTAAGTTAGATTTACACAAAAAAATGAATGGAAGTATACGAGGAATATAATTTGAACCCTTACAAGGAGATAGTTTTCCTCACACTCTGAAATATTTTAAAAATTGGTCAAAATAATTTTTGGTGTACTAAGAGAACACTCCTGGAGCTTCAGTCTAGTTTTACAAATAAAAGACCTTTAAAATTGAATAAAACGGCCTAAGGCCAGTAGAACCTGTCATTTTCAGACTTTGAGCTCTCATTTATCAAAAACTAGAGAATTTCGCAGGTTGAACCCTTCTGGATCTTTAATCAGTACATCAAAAACTACTTCGGCCAATTTTCAAGGACTATGTTTCACAGTTACAGTTGACTTCGAAGCCTTTCTGAATATTTTTCTCTATCATTTCAACCTTCAGCCACGTTCGGAGCACCAAATCCATCGGTTCCTTCGTTCTGATGGGAGAAAAATCAACTGCGAAAGGGATTCGCCGAGTAACCGCTCTGACTGGAAGAAAAGCTCGAGAAGCTCAAAAATATGCTGGAAATCTCGAGGAGCTTCTGAGCTCTGAAGCTGAACAAAAACAGACCTTGGTCAGAAATGAACTTGAAAAATGGTAGTTAAAAGACCATTTTCAGAAAATCGACTGGGACCGAATCCCATATCTGCAACAGCAAAAGCTTCGGTCAATGGTTAAAAAATCAGAGAGGAACGTTAAAAAAGATAGGAATTAGTATTGTTTTAGTAATTTCCCCATTTTGTTACAATTTGTTTGTTATAAATCTGCGATCTTCGCTTTTCCTGCCACAAATGAACATGACGACATACACCTGAGCCGCCACACCTGTCGACGCCGATTACCTGTACAGGTAATTAGAAGCGGAAGCGAGATTGTCATCAGGTCGAGATGCCCACACGTCACAAAGAAAGCGACAAGATTAGGCTTTTTTTTGAATTTGATCAAGAAATGGCTTGAAATGGCGATGGTGCGTCATAATTATGGTCTCATTTTTGGTATTTCAAAGCAAAAAACTTGCGAAACTTTTCTTTTGAGAACTTCGAATTTAGTTTTAAAAAATAGTTTTTTTTTCTCATCTTATATTTCTGAAAGACTTTCTCAACTTCTGAGTGGCCCCAATAGAGGTTAAGGAAAAAACAGCCTCTATAGGGGCCGAAAAGATGGTCCCTAGGCTATAGAGGTTTGTCAATGTTTATTCAAAAAAGGTTATTTGTTAAGTTTTTTCGCATGGAAATGCTTCTTCGCATAGAGTTCATTAGAATTATCGACTAGTATATCCCCATATAGGGGCCACTAACTAAAGTCCCTATGTACTTTGAAAAAGTAGTCACTATAGGGGTTTCAGCTAGCTATAGGAACTTCTTTGGAATTCTCAAGAGGGTGATCCCTATAGGGGCCTTGGATTCGGTATTTTGGTCGGTATGGTTGTAGGGGTTGATGTAAACACTTCCTAGAGGCTTTCTTAGAAACAATGTTCCGTTTTCAAGGTTCAAACTCCATTTTTGCGAAAATTCCGATTTTTATTAGTTCAAATAAGTTTCCCCATCCTTTTTTTTAAGTTCAAAATCAAAGATATTTGAACTCTTATCAATTCAAATTTGAAAAAAGCTTTCTTGCCCCCATATTCCTTTGATCACCACTAATTTTATGAGTTCGCCCCTTTTGGAACCTTCCAAAGCGCCAACAACTTGCCGACCCGTAAACCGACGCAATCGACGAGAGCGGAATAATGTAATAATGAAGCATTGATGGCTGGAACCTCATAAAACAGCGCGGTAACATCGTCGGCCCCAGGAGAAAGAGGGACCGCCGAGACGAGGTTGCGTCATCGGAGCCGATCCGGCCCCACCGTCTGCCTCGACGTTGGCACGGCAACAACGGCACGAGTGATGTCACAACAGTTCGACATCTGGACCCAAGAAAGAAGGTCACTGTTACTTTTCATGGGTTCCTGAAAAGGGGAGCTGCTGATGGGACGGGTCGACTAGAGCGGTCACATTGTCAAAGGAGCCATTTTTTCTTAATTTTTTCACCGACTTTTCAAATTTGTGAGTGGGAACGGAGAGGGGGCGGGGGTTTGCTTATAAGACCCGGGGCAGCTCTGCTGAAAGGAGTTGAGTGTCTCCTAAAGGAAGTCGAAGTTTAGGGACCCTGAAAGAAGAAAAAACGCTTCTGCTGTTCCTAAGAAGGTCAAGAAAAACTTCTTCCAAGCTCCTGAAAGTCTCAAACTGCACAACTTTCCCTTTTTTAGAACGGGCCAAGAGTCTTAAAAGTAGCCTTACGGATCTTGAGGGTTTTCTTCGACATTGAGACCTATCTTCTCGAAAAATAGGAAGCTCTACAGGTTAGGACTTTCAGGATCTTCATCTGCTAAAAAAATCGGCACAAGTCAGTGGTTTCAAAATTCTTATATTTATTTTACTCTGAACTCTTCCTCTCTGTTATTTTTTCCTACAGGTCCTTAATCGGATTATTATCCTCGAAATCCAATAAGCGCTGAAATTTCTTCACGAGCTTTATCAGTGCTCGCCCTGATAACGCGTTGGATGGACACTCGCGCGAAAACGTTGCCTTTCCCGTACGTTTTTCGCAACATTTTTTACAGCCTCTTATCGTTCGGGTCACTTCACGTGACGATATCATCGAGAAGCTGACTTCGACCAAAACTTGACCTTTTTATAATTTATTTGAAGAAGGAATTTATGGAATTCTTTGAAGATATCTGTATCTTTAGTTCTTACAGTTCTTATACGGTATCAAAAGAGTATATTAAACTATTTCCTTGAAACTTCCTACTTACTAGCACTAACTAGCACGTCACAGTAATATTGGAATTATTAATTCTCAAAAAAAGAACTCCTAGAAAAAAATTAATGCAAAAAAAGAGGAATAGAACAATCTAAAAAAAAATTTTTTTCTCGAAAAAACCGTCCAATAAAAATTCCAACAGTTTCTAGTGTGTTTGGGATGATTAACTCGGCTGCAAAAGGGCGATAATCACCTTTTCCTGGCGCCTGGATTGGCAGTTTTCTCACCCAAACAAACGGAAATGATGGCAAAGTGGTTCAATAATAAGAAAAAAAAAGTCGGGAAATAGTTTTCCACCTGTCAAACAAAGTAAAGATCGTTGAAAGGACTGCAAAATGTCTTCAAAGCTTGTAAACAGGAAACATCGGCTTGTTCGATTTTGCAGACAGTTCTGCAGTGTTTAAAGGAGCATGAGCGGTTCAAATGTAGAGTCCTGGCGCGAAGATCTTTTCTCAAGACAAGGTTAGGACAAGAGACTTCGAACGATCCAGAAAGCTGGTGTGAATGAACTAAATGTTAAAAATTACTAATTCATTTTGATGTTGAGTTACTTGGAGAGTGGTCAATCTAGAAGGATCTTTCAAATGGATTTTTTGATATTTAGTAAAGCCGGAATATCCATTTATTTGAATCGAACAAATTATTCTTATTGCTTCTTCTTTTTCTTTATTTTGTAACTTACAATCAACATCAGTACGAAGGCATTCTGTGCAATGGGGCAGCTGATAAGACGGCGGACATTTTCGAGGCTGGCGGTGCTAGCTGGTCCCGACCGCCCGAGGCGACCAAGGCATGATATCGGCCATTCGCTCGGGTTCGGGCTCCCAGATTTCCGCTGTCAGGCACTTGCTGTCGCTGTCTTTCGTATAGCTTAATTCTGGCCCAGTTTCGAGAAAACGTCGGAACCCAGGTGAGGCTCATTTCAATCAAAGAGAAACATCCGAATCAAAAAGCTTATCTCCTTTTTGCACTTTTGATTTCTAGTAATTTAGAGGAACATAGTTACAGAACTTCGGTTTAAAATATTACCTCAAACTTTTGTGACAATCATAAAAAAAACTGTTTTCTCAGTTGATAAACAAAAACGTTTCAAAAAAACTCGAACAGAAAAAAAAAAGGAAACGAAAAGCGTACCTGATTTACAATTAAAACACGGCAGAAAACTTCTTTCATGTTATCAGCTCATTAATGTCTACTCCTCGCTTATTAAAAGATGTCATACTCACGGTAAGTGACAAGTGACGCGGGTTGTCAAGCCTGCGACAGGCTCCCAATTGAGCTGAGGAACGTGTGGAGTTAATTGATGGTTCATAAGAGAGCTCTGCTATTATGAGGAGAGCTAAAAAAACTAAAACGTATACGTCAAAAACCTAAAAAAATACAAAAATAAATCAAAAATTTTTATGCCGTGTTCAAA